CTAACCCTAACCCTAACCCTAACCCTAACCCTAACCCTAACCCTAACCCTAACCCTAACCCTAACCCTAACCCTAACCCTAACCCTAACCCTAACCCTTACATCATCAAGGGTCTTGACAACCCTCAAGAAGAGCTGGAATGTAGGGTGCTGCCGTTGAATAGTTGCATCGAGATCCCTCCCAAAGTCTCTTGCGTGCATCAGAACAGGACGACCATGGAATGCAGCATTGAGAATATCCAATGCCCATACAGAACAAAATAACAGCTCAGAATGTTGATCAGCTTCGTTTGATCTTGATACATGTACTCCTATGGTCAACGCGTAATGAACTGTGCGACTGCAAAACTCTGCAGAGAGGTCATCACTTTCTGTCCCTTGGAAGAAAAGATAAAGCAAACAGAAAGCTTGGAGCAGTATTCTCTTGTCTGTTACGAGACCTAAGTCAAGAGACATTCTCATAGCTGACGACAGACACTTCCCGAAATGCTCGTGGCTTTGCCTGTCGCAGCTGTTTGGAAGACTCATGTGGTTTTCGGCGGAATTTTGCTTCGACGCAACGAGACAAATACCTTGCCTCAAAACAATAGCAGCGGGATCAGAAGGATCCATGCCATCGTAGCCTTCCTTGTCCAGCACTGGGAGGATTGGGTGTATTCTCTCGAGGTAGATTGCATATAGAGCCTCGCAATCTTCTTGGGTTGGTAACATGGATAGACACCAACCTTCCAGGTAGGGGAGCACAACTTGATGAAGCATGGGATCCAAGTTGCGAAATGCAGCTGATCTTGGCTGGCGCATAGAAACCTTTGAGTAGTACTTCTCTGTTGCGCCTGTGTGCAAATCCCTTATCCAGAACCCTACATTGCTATCATCAGGCGGGCTTTTTGCGGCAAGAAACGCGCTCTCTGGATTAAGGTCGCCAATGAAACGATGATCTAGGCCCCTGGGATCGTTGGTACTTCGCGACATGGTGTCATCTCTTAACAGGATGTTCGGAACAATACGATTTTGGAGTGGACTGCCATTGGTTCCGGGTACTGGGGAGCCCTGGGCTTCTCGCGGTGGGCGACTGTTTGGCTGTTGGGAAGGACTCGCTGAAGACGCTGCAGCTGTCCCTGAATGCGACGATTCTACAAAGAGTGATCTGGAATCCTCAAATTGCCTTGGACGCGCTGTACTCTCTGCAGCTTCGTGATCGCTTCCATGCTCGTTGCTTCCATGGCGGCAACGTCTCTGTTAGATGTCTCAGCTCTCTGATTCCAGCATCATGAACCCAGGCTGACCTTGCGCCTGCGGCAAACATCACAGGCACGGAGGGACTGCTTTCTCTTCTGGGGAAGGCCGTCTGCCTGTAACTGAACAAATTTCAACATATCACAACCTTTGCTGATACATGCAAGGCGTGAAGCATGACATGGCGCGGACGCAGCAGATGGCGGTTGACGTTTGCGAGCAGCTGACATGAGAACCTGGGGCGGTGCTTGCCAATCCGACAAACCCCACATTTGGCAAAGATTCTGCGCCTAAGGCTAGGTAATTAAACCCACCTGCGCACCCATGTTCCACCCAATTCGAGTTCCTCGCAAAGCTCGTCGCAGGCCTGAGCTCGACGTCCGATTCGATCTCTTCGACCAGAAGAACATGACTTCCGTGAACGCTTGAAAGCTCACGTGCTGCAACTAATCTAGCAAAACTAGCACCGATCACGATGACATCGTGCGAGTCCCGGGGTAGTCTCATGACGGAATAGTCAGATAGCTATGGTCTTGTCTTCAAAGTGGAAAGAAGGTGGATGGGGCAAGATGTGACCGTGAAGGTTCTCGGAGAAGAAGTCAAGGTTCAATAGAGAGTCGTAGCGTAAACTAACATGCGGGTTGACCATTTGGAGACAATCGATAAACTCTGTACTGCCATCAATCACACCGAAACGCGGCTTATGACGCGGCAGTGATGTGAAGTGATGGAGTCATAGGAAAAATGTAAACCCTCCCCTTGCTAACTCTGCACTTCTGCTCAAACTCATCGATTCAACCAAGGTGCCCACGCAACGAAACGATATGAATACCGGAATACTTTACCTTGCCACATCGCTCGGTCGTGTCTACCGGACCGAGCTGGAAACACATTTCGGTATAGCAGATATTAATATTTAAGCTCTGATTCATCTTTGACTTGAATGAGCAGCTTTCATTATCATACCCATTATCTCAATATCTTCTCGAGCATCTGCAGCAGTGGTCTTCGAATCCTTTCCGTTCACAACAAATTCATACAATTCCTTCATCTCTAATGTATACGGATCTTCGTACGTTCGTCTAATCACGGAGTCTCTGAATGATCCGTCCGGGAGAGTGTCTCGAACATGCATAGTTGTCGGCAAGCCTTTTACAAATGGGGTGTCGATACATATTTTGACGGTTTTTGTATCGCCAAACACTTCGATCGAGGAGTCGAATCGTGGGACCTTGTCTATTCCGGATTCGTACGACACAGCGAACCCAGGGTATTGGAACAAGCAACTATAGAGTTGTCAGAGAAACCCCTTTAACCTCCTCAGAACGACTTCACTTACCACCAAAATGGCGAGCCAGATCCAGAAGCAAGTGAGGCCCCCAAAACCTTTTCAGGTTTGCCAAGTAATTCTCTCATGGCGCTTAAATCATGGGAACCAAGACTGCCCAGAAGTTCCCACATAAAACATGTTGAATTTGTAACAGGAAGTCCCAGTTCCTCTGCGAGCGCCTGTTGCATATTTCGACTGGTGCTCTGGGTCAGCCGTGCTGAATCTTCCGGCTTAAAGTCGCGGAAAGTGCGGGGGAATGTGCCTGATTGAGGGACGAAAAGAGAATTGGCTCCTATTATGTCTCTCACTCTGGCATATCGAACTTGGTCAATACTCCCAATCTCCTCCACCGCATCTACAAAGGCGGCAGAATACCGCCTCATGTACCCTACAAACACCCTTCCTCCCTGTGAGGCTTTTTCGGCCTCGATTATGCGGTCGGCATCTTGCAGAGTTAAGGCAATCGGTTTCTCTACGAACACAGGCTTGTTATTCTTCAGCCCAAGCAGAGCATGAGGCACGTGGAAAGTATCGCTATTCGCAACCATTACCAGATCAACTTCGGAGGCGCCACAGAGCTCTTCAGGTGAGCAAGTAGTTTTTGGAAGGTTACCGCCAGCCACCTTGAGCCGACAGTGGTCAAGTGCATCGTTTGATACATCACATAGATAAGTGATCTGGAACAAGTGGGATAGAAGATTCAAAGTTGGAATATGCACAACTTGGGTAACCATTCCACAACTTCACAGACCAATTATTAGCAAATATCCACTGGAATCATGACATATTAAGCATGCATTACTCACCCAATAATGCCGACACGTATAATGTGCCCCTGTGCTGCAGATTCTGTTGGCTTGATGGCAAACATGGTGAAGAGTTAGAATGGTTATCATATGCTGAACATGAAAACTTCAGTTTTCGGCATACCCCAGAGTACAAATAGGTTCGGTACAGAAAATTGGCAACTGAATGCGGGGGAAGGCTTGCTTGTCGGAGTTTCCTAAAATGGCCATGACACCTCGCCCATCGTTATCCGGACTTCGAAAAACGTCTTGTTTCCAAAGTTCGGATAGAAGTGCGAGAGACACCTACATAATAAAATTGGTCTCTTTTTATGAAGCTACCAGCTTCTCACCCGAAAACTGCGACCTCTTTCTCGCTATCAGTGGCCAGTCTGTTTATCAGTATGTCAATCGGAGTAGCGTTGATTGGTTCAGGCATCTTCGCAAGGGAGGAGCATTTGGTATTATTTAAGAAGCAAACTATTCCCCGACTGCCTGACTGATCCTTCTCAGCCAGCCATTCAAGCTTCCAAGAATTTGACTCTCAAGGCTGTGTACTCTAGGACGGCAAAATCCACGCAAGCTATCACCAGCCAAGTTCGAAACGTCGATGTCTACTCAGAAGACACCGATGCTGGGTACGATGATCTTTTGAAAAGATCAGACATATCAGCAGTAATTATTGCGTAGGACATCCAACCACCAGTTGCTATTACTTTTCAAGCAGTCTAAATACTTGCAGACTACCGATCAAAAGTCAAAACCAATATATTCGCTCAGCATTGTCAGCCGGGAAACATGTCCTGTCCGAGAAGCCAGTCGCAGAGAATCTCCAAGAAGCTCAAGACACCATCAAATGGTACCGTTCCGAGATATCGGGGGTGTCATGGTGCGTTGCAGAGAATTGGCGTTTCTTAAATAGTTTCCGGTATGCTTGTGATGAAGTCAAGAAGTTAGGAAGACCACTTGGTTTTCAAATACGGACCTTTATGATGGTCAAGACGGATTGGAACTATTTCAGTGAGACCCTCCTCGTACTGCTGAGAGCACAGAGTGACTAACCGACGCAAGCAAGATACTGAATGGCGCAAAAGCCCTACTCATCAAGGTGGATTCGTCTTGGATGGGGGCGTACACTTCATTGCTGGTCTACGCCAGCTCCTTCAGGCAGCAGGCGACCGTGTAGATCAAGTCTCAGCCTTCACCGCCCAACTACAGGAACACTTGCCTCCGGTTGATACTATCAACGCGATTATTAAGACTCGCTCCGGAATTTCAGGCACTTACCAACAATCTGTAGGCACGACGCTTCGTGGGGACGAATGGACGATAGCCTGTGAAAAAGGTGTCGTAACTGTCAACGGCTCAGAAGTCACAGTCAGGATTGATGGGGAAGCGAAGACCGAGACGGTGCCTAATGAGAGAACAGGAGTGCCACCGGAGGTTCGCGCATGGGGCGAAGCACTAGCAGCTGGTAGGGTGCTGAAAGACCAAGAACCCGAGCCAGCGCTGGCAGATCTCGAGATTGCAAGTCTTACCAACCTCCTAGTCATTTGTGGAACGAGGCTGACGTTTGTTCTTCATTTAGCTCGACCTGATGCTACGAAGTGGCGAGCAAGCGGCGAAACCAATGAGCTGTCAACTACAGGACTTGTGATGTTCTTCATATTTATAGACGTTTGAGTTTCAGCACTCAGCAGAATGCACTCGAAATAATGTTTCAAGTTGTCTGACAAACGTTCATTAAAGTTTTCAATAAAGCTTTAATATTCCAATTGGAGTTATGTAAAACGCTTCTTCTTATTAAAAGTCCTGAGTTGCGCAATGGAATATCCAAAATTTGACTGACAGTGACTCGGAGCACCGTATTGAATGGAAACCTGAAAGTACTGCCATTCAAAAGGCTGTCATCAAACGTTCAATGCCGCAAACGGTACATCGTCATGTTCCCCTTCGCCTAGAATGGAATCCACATCGCAGTTCGCCCGCAATTTGCGCTATTATGAAGCACTAGGGCGGAGTTCCCGCATTCAGATAGTCCAAAATCCCTTCGTAAATCACATCGTGAATTGCGGCGCACGCGAAATGGTTCGCCATCGCAATTTAGGTCACAGCCGTCCCCCGCAAATGGCTCCGCCTGGGGAAATGCGGAGTTTCCTAATTGTGACTAGTACCAGTGATCCACACGGGCGGCGTCGGACCAGACTGGCGGATCTGGGCCATGCATATCATCACCTGCAGGTGCAGCTACCGGATGCTTGAACAGCTTATAATGAGAAGATGTATCTCTTGGACTATCACTTCTTCAGAGAAGCTCCGTGCCATTTCTTCCTCGAGAGTGTTTTTCTGGGGAACCTACAACTCTTCTTAAAATGTTGGACTCCTTCAAGATCGACTTCAAGGCCAATAAATGGGCTCTGCTCTTCTGTTCAGTCTCTGCGATTGGTGCTCTTGTCTATGGCTATGACAACACCTACTATAATGGCGTTTTAGCCATGCAAGAGTTTAAGAATGATTACGGCGATCACCTCGAGGATGGGAAGAAAGCCCTTGCTGTCAGTTTTACATCGCTCACTGCATCCGCTATCTACATTGGCGACTTACTCGGCGCCTTGGTTTCTGCTCCTATCAACGACAACTGGGGGCGGAAAGCCGTTTTCTGGTGTGCTTCCATCTGCATCTTGCTCGGAGCTATAGCCCAAGTCGTCGACACTCATTATGAAGGAGTTATAGTTGCCGGTCGCATTTTCATCGGTTTGGGAATGGGACAATGCACCGTCACCTCTCTGCTATATATCGGAGAGGTTGCACCACTGCAAATTCGCGGTCCTGCGCTTATGATGTTCCAATTTCTTCAGTCATGCTCCCAGCTGGTGGCGTCGGGCATCACACAAGGAACCGAAACCGTCAAAAGCTCCCTGAGCTACAAAATCCCGATGGGTGGTTTGATCGTTCTGCCATTGATGATGTTCGTCGGCTTGCCATTCATCCCAGAGTCTCCAGTTTGTGCGAATAATCTTTCCAAATATCTCCCATGTCTTGAGATCTAACATTCCGTAGGGTATGTCTTCAAGGGCCGCAGGGAGGACGCTGAACAGGCTCTGAAAAGAATCCATCGAGGCAACCGAAATTACGATCCCGTCAAGGAAATCGACATTCTCGAAGAAGCTAGACGATGTGAATTAGAGCACTTCGAAAAATCGACGTGGTGGGCAATATTCCAGGATCCTATCGAAAGAAAGAAAATTGTATGGTCCGCTGGCGCCATGTACTCGCAGCAGATTTGCGGGATTCTATTCTTCTACGTCTACGGTGTCGTCTTCGCCCAAGCCATCGGAATCAGCCAGCCATTCACAATCCAACTTATCACCAACGTCCTTCAGATCTTTGCTGTTGCCTTCGCAGTTTTGACAGGAAATAAGATTCGACGACGAACGAACTTGTTAGTTACGACCAGCATCATGTTCGTTGCCTTCCTCATCATTGGTGGCATTGGCACGCACAAGACGCTCACTACTGCCGACCAGTACGTAATCGTCGTGTTTTCATACGTCGTCATTGTGGCCTTTAACATTGGACTTGGTCCATTGGCCTACACCGTGGCTCGAGAGATGGCTGTGGGACCTAACCAGAACAAAATCATGTCAACATCTATCATATTCTTCTACTTTATCACTTGGGCTGTTTCATTCACTGCTCCGTATCTCTATTATACCGCCGGGTTGGGGCCAATGCTCGGCTTCGTGTACGCAGGCACGACCGTCACGTCTCTGCTCTGGTGTTACTTTTGTGTTGGCGAGACTAAGGGCAGGACGACTTTGGAGATCTCCATGTTCTTCGCGCTAGGTATTCCAGCACGTCACTGGAGAACTTATGTTTTTCCGTCCACGGAGTTGACTGTTGATGGAAAAACCAAAACTGAGATGCGGGAGGGCATTGAAGGATAGGTGGAAACTATTGGTCTAGGCTGTCATCCCGAAATCACTTACAACAAGAATTTTAGACGTCGTGTGTTCTGTCCCTTGCATAACGTGGTTTACCGTTCCGCTAACTCATCAGTTTTTATTCTTCGTCTTGGCATCAGTGAGTCGGAGTCTATTGGGTGTTTTCAATCAAGCGGATCTAGTACTGCTATAGATAGACTTAAATCCTCTTTATATGCGCTTCATGGTCTGTCTACGGGATTAGAGGATTATGGGATATCGTATTGGTTTGCTGCGGCTCGCCCCGTCATGTGCATCTAATCCCTGTTGATTGTGCATCCTCCGTGGTTCTTTAATAATATTATCTTCTCACACCTAGGAATATGTGAAGACGACGCATTCCACCAGGGTCACCTTGTGACCTAGTTGGTAGAACCAGATCATGAATCCAAAAAGCTTAAAAATGCAATAAAAGCACCTATTTAATTCAGTACATTTCTTGCAGTCGACACCGGCATATAGCGACGCTGGGGGATGTGCGAATAGCAGAAGAAAAGAAGCCAACGGTAGCACTCATTCCGCCTGTCCCCCACAAACAGGCTGACGGTCTCGCACGTGGGGCTAGAAACAAGATCAAGGTATATCGAACAAGATTGGGACTTTACTCTCACATCAGCCTCATATATGCATAGGTCAGGGCTAATCGGTTAAATCCTTTCTCAGCAAGGCCGATGATTCCGGGGTGTCGACGACGCGGGGTCAAGAAGCAAATGCAGCAGGCATTTTGCATAATGACCTCACTGCTCCGTTCATATGTACGAATTATTGTGCTGACCAGTGGAATAGAAAATGCTCGGCTAATTTTGCTTTATTGCGCAGCAATTCCTTCCAAAGGCTTAGAAAAGTGCAGCTTTCAACGCAATTCACACTCCCTGGCGAGGCGACGTTACTTCCACTTCCGACAGTGTCAACGTGCTCTTTTCCGTGGAGGGTTATGACGCTCATAATTCGAGTGTCCGTAAGATAACTCTTTCTAGATTGCATAAAACGGTCTAGCCTGGAGTTCTAGTGCTCGATGGAGCAAAATATTACTGCAGAATTGGTGCGTCGACGCTATCCATCCAGCAAGGTTCAGGAGATATTCGTTTCTACTCATGTACTCATGTGTGTAGCAACATGCTGTGAGAGGTGGCGCGGGGCGAGAACCAAAAAGCAAGCGACGAACGCGTGAGAAGCACGTATTCATGTCCCGGCTACATAGTTAGAGTATAGTTAGTTATATTTTAAAGATAATAAAGCTAATAATATATTATTTACAGTGGATCCCAGTAATATATATATGTAGGATGGTTAAGGATATGGAGTAGTTATTTTCGTGATTAGAAGCGTACGGCTTGATTATATGTAAGGAGTGTAAGTATGTAGTGTAAAGGTTTTACTATTTTAGGCTGACCGCCACTTCAGGGGGTAGGACATTTGATGTTAAGGCCTTCCTGAGCGTGAGGAATCAAGAGAGAGAGAAGCCTCCTACAGATAGGAGCTGTAAAGAAGCCCGGGAGTAGGATAAGATAGTTAGGATAAGGGTATAATAAGATAAAATAATAGGGGAGATAAAGTAAAGTAGGGCAAAGCAAAGCAGAGTTCTATATAAGGTAAATCAAAGCTGGTCTCTGTTGTTCTGTTCTTATCTGGTGCCTCTCTCTTTTCTTATCTCCCTTATTCTCCTCTTTTTATATATCCCTACCATATCATATGATACCTAAGGCCCTTGCCCCTGTGTCACATGATGCCCTTTAGACTATGAACCATTTTCCCCAGTACAGTACCTAAGAGATTTGTATAAGAAAGTATTTAGGTTACCTAGGCCTAGTAATTCCTTATAAACTCCTTAAGGATAACTTAGTCTAGCCATACTAAAAATAAAGGAAAAGATAATTTAAGTATATAGGAAGAACTCATAACATTCCTGCTTAATAAACTTAAGGACCTAGGAAAAAGCCTTTGCTTCGTGAACAGAATGACCAGTACCCTTCAAGCTGAGGTCTTGGGTGAAAGAAGTAACTCACCTCCGAGCCTTGATACCTGCCGAGAGCGCTTCCGCGGTCACTGCCTTTGCTTGGGCGAGTGCCTCTGCGACTGTACAGTTCTGGTTGGCCTTGCTAAACGCCTCTGTAACCGATGCGAACACCACAATCTCGTTTGCTCCTGCTGCCTTTGCGTTCTGCAACCCTTTCATGTTCGGCGCAAGTACAGGGAAGCGAAAGTGATGTGGCTGATCCTTCTGAGAATTGCCAGAGTGCAAAGTTTCCTGAAGAACATCGTGTCCGTCTGCAAGCTGGGGCACCCACTTGGGAGAGACAAAGGAGGTCGCCTCGATATTCCGCAGTCCCGCTGCAGCAAGCTGCTGAATCAACTCGATCTTGACATCTTTAGGTACCAGTTGCTTGATGTTCTGGAGACCATCTCTTGGCCCAACCTCCATGATTCGGACATCGTCTGCGCGGCCTGTCAATGCATCATGTCGCAAACGTGGTATCGATTGAGAAAAGGCCCTTAGGTGTTCCAATGATCTTATAATGACTTTGCGACGATTGAGCGCGGAAATTTGTGTCGTATATGGAAGATTCGAAATGGTTTGGCAGAGCATCTCGATAATTTTTCGATCGCAGCAAACGTACGTTTAGTCAAACATTCACCACGCACTCTTATGATGCAGCACATCTGTTCTCTATCATTAAACTTGGCATAATAGCAGTGTCTTAACTCTAGGCTCACATCGACATCTCGGCGGATTCTGGATGTGACTGATGCATAAATGAGAATGCCGAGGCGAGACATGTACAACCAGATGACCTCGGTCTCCAGCTACAGGGACAGTTCTACCTCAATAAGCTAGCACACAACACCTTGTCTCATGATGGCAAAATAACAAGTTGTACATTTGTGGTCATGTGGAACTGGATGGCTCGTCTCAAATTGCCACGTGAAAGCGACGAATGGCTCTGTCGCGGGCTCGGATTGATAATCATATTGAGCAACTTGTTCAGTCATTTTTATTACAACAAACGTACTTGTCGCATGTGGGTGCCTAGCTTAGGTAGTGTACTGGCGATACTGGTTTATCCTAGAATGCAGCTACGTGATATAGAGAATCACATAATATAAAAGGGGAGTGATATATTTAAGGAGGAGAAGATACTCAGAAAAAGAGAGATAAGAGACATCTTTTAACCAATATAATATACCTGATAATATACCCTACTTTGCTTTAATTAATTAATTCCACTTCACTCTAATTAATTGATTATTTGTTTGCTTTACCTAGATTACCTTTCAGCTTATCCTATCCTAATCTCTATCTCTAATCTACTAGCTTGATAGCCCTCTCTCTACATACTATATTCTCTCTCTCTCACATATAAGCTCACCATAGAGAGCTCCTTTCCCTTCATTCCCTACCCTCAGGGCGCCCTTGACATCGAGTGTCCTAGCCCCTGACATGGCGGTCAGCCAAAAATCTTTACAGGATATAGGGAAAATTGAAACCGCGACGCCATTCGCAGTACAATACTTGAGTATACCAATCGATGGCATGTTAGAATAGAAAATCGAAGGAAGTATCTGTCTCGCATAACTTGCCTAATATTGACTAAATGGTATACTATATATTCCTCCAATATTTGAAAGAAAGTGAAAACTTGCGCAGAATAAATATCCTGTGGAGCGGTATACTTGAATCGCTTCTTCTCCACAGACTCTTCTTCCCCACGCACTCTTGTTCTCCACACGCTCTTTTTTCTCCACACGACTCTTTTCCTCCACACGCTTTTCTTCTCCACGCGCTTTTCTTCTCCACACGGCTCGGGTGCACAAAATATCCTCCACATTTGTGAATTACAGTCACATGAAGCGGGAGTTTTCCCTAAAACATGCATTTTAGAGCGAGATCCTGTTTTCGGTTCTCAAGCTTAAAAGGCTAGCTCCGGAAATTCCGAGTAACCTGGTAAAAGCTTATTCTTTGCAGCATTTCTGTACAACTGACCACAGCCTTTAATGCTATAATCAAATATATAAGGATATCAACACGCATGTATACTTTAGTTTGAGAAAGAACAGTTTTGCACATTTCCTTGATTTGCAGTCAATCCAGTTTGGATTAATAAATGCTAAGTATTAAAAATAGTAAAAGCGAGTCAACTTTCAACAAATGCATAAGCTTACCTTTCTTTGGTTTATAGCCAATAGAGGCTTCGCTTCCATTCTTGTTCAAGACCCTTCTGATGTTATACCTCCTGCATTATGGGCTGCAGACAACGCGATTGTTCCTGATTATAACGTGCCATTTATTTCAGTGCAACCTCGCGCTTGTAAGTCAGGTCTACCCACTTGTATCTCCAAATATCTCAAAAATTAACTTCCTTGCAAAGTGGAATCGGCCTATACTTTCGAATCAAGTGCAACACTTGATCATGTGTCCCTTTACGTTGACAAAAACGACACGGATGTTGTTCTGGTCACTAATTCCAGCATCTTCAATGCACGTTACGTGAATGTTTTGAAATATGGTTATGCTTCAAATCTGCTTGAGGCTAGCTTCTATGGCTTTAACGCTGCTGTCAATATTGTACGTATTATTGCGACTTTGACTTCAGGAGTGACAAAGCTAAGATTTGCTGTAATCTTTTAAAGGCAAATGGCTCCATAGCTCACCTTGAGCACATGAATATCACAGTGCACAACGGTGCTGCAAACATATACGCATACGGCACAGATACTGTGGTCTATGTTGAGAACGCATGGCTTTACAGCAGCGGTCCTGTCAGCCACGGCTTATATGCCTCAGGAAATGGTACTATCATTGGTCGAAATATTCAGCATTTCTCTGGTGGACATCGATCTTCCTCATTCTCAGGCGACTCGCCAGCAGGATATGTTTATGTCTATGACAGTATAGCCCACACGGCTGGTGTTGGATCGGCTACTTTCTATGCACTGGGAACAATTTACGCAGAAAATGTGCTCTCTCTCTCTGAGAATGGCCCTGTAGTTTTCATGGATGGCGCTCAAAATGCCACGCTGGTTAATTGCGATTCTAAGGCGGGTCTTCTAGGCGGAGTTGCCATTTTTAGCTCCCAAACACGACTTTCAGGAGCCAAACTTGTGCTCGAGAACAGCAGAATCACAACTCTTGGTGATACAATGCCTGGACTTTGGTTTGGTAACACAATTATAAATATCACCATCAACTCTACCCAGATCTCCACCCGATCTGGTGTTCTGATTACAGCAAACACATCACAAATCACTCAAGACTTCGACTATTACGCTGGATATGCCGAAAATCCGGACTTATTGCCTGCAGAAGTATATGCAACAGCGATCGAGACAGATTTAGTAGGAGATCTGGTAGCATTCAATGGCAGTCTAATATCACTCAGCCTTGAATCACACAGCTCATGGACTGGGTCGGCATATTCAGGATTTGGAAAGGCGTACTTTGATGTGGCGATTGATAATACAAGCAACTGGACACTGACCGGTCCCACGACAGTTCAGAGTCTGACCGATGAGAACACATCACTTTCCAATATTGAAAGCTCTGGTTTCAATCTTTATTATAATTCCAGTGCCAGTGGTAGTGGTTGGCTAAACGGCAAGGTCATATCTCTGTCGGGTGGAGGTAAAGCCATGCCAATATTGATGGGCTAAATGATGTAAAGAAACATATGTTGGTCTGCTTTGTGGTAATCAGAGGACATTGTTCAGATGCAGTATTGATGTTCAAAAGAATATATTTTCCAATAATGGATAATCTCTATTTGAAAAATGGCTATAAGATCAGAAAAATCTGTTCTTATGCTTTTGCTGAGGTCAACGGGCAAATTTCAGTCTCTACTGCCGTAGAATGGGGATATTTTGCTTCTAAATTAAAGGATTCTATTAAGATAGAGAAACTCCCGTTATCTTTTAACGATTGAAATATATTTAACTGTACAAGATTTTATCCCCGCATCTTATACAGTTATGTTTATATATATATTTTGCCACCGCAACTCATCTTTTTCGGCGATCTTCAAGCTCGTATGTTCTAGTGTATGACTAGTTCTTTGCTAGTTGACAGGATAATACATATCCCAAGATCAGCAGGCATGCAACTTATTTTCGCCCAGTCACGCCTCCTTTGAGCTCTGCCTGAGAGATTCTGAGCTATGATCGATTATGGATAGAATATGGAATCTATAAATTTGCTATACATTTGATACTATTATAGCAGTTGTGGAGATTTATAATAGTATAAGTTACTGATATTACCATACAGACAACTCTGGTTAAAAGACCTCGGATCTTTATATAAGACCTTTCCATTATCAATTGTGATACACTCTACACTCACTGTCAGCGCAATAGAATCCATATCATTAGGTCACAATTCGTCAGGTCTAATCTTTTGCTCATAATGTGGATCAAGAAAAGCGGCCTCAGAATCTTCATATTTGCGGACCCAGAAGTCGCCAATTCCAATATAGTCTAGTAAAGGCTGACTATATCCGACATCTTTTTTCCAAGCACCTTGTGATCAGACGTTGTATGATAATACCCAGTCATAAGTAAGGCATAAAACTAAGAGCCTTTAGAGATCTTACCTGGATTTAGTGAAAAATCCTACAGCGGAACAGCCAATCTGTTGCTAAAGGTCCATTTGTGTAGGCTCAGTACATATTGAACTCTTCTTCTCTTATGTCTTTCTTCCTGTTAACACAGACAGCAACACGGTTCAGAAGGTCAAGCAAGGATGAGAACCATTTGTTCAGGTGCAAATCCTCATACTCATGCTAAAAGACGTGCTTGCTGAATTGAAAAAATTGTGAACCGCTTATCATAACTTGAATATGCTTTTGTCAAAATTCTGGTGTTCCACAAGGGCTATTTTTCTTCTTCTCATATGATTGTCGGTGTACTTGCTTCTGTGTGAATCTCTTCTAAACAACAGAAACGTTGTGTCTACTTTTGTGTGATAGGGTTTAACTTGGATTTCAGGACTAAGATCTACAGCCTGTGGTTCGATCCTCTCGTTATGTTCCCCGGCCCGGTCCTTAATCGAGTGTAATCAATACCTGCCATTGTATCCTTTCACCTTTGCACGAGGGCTGAATACCAATGAACACGAAACTGCTGCTTGATGAATATAGCACACGCAATACTTCCAGATATCAGCCACAATCGACAAAATTAGAACTCGTTGCTCGTGTAAGTCCAAATGAAGTAAGCTTCGCTGGAGCTCAAGCTGGGATAATATTTATAGACATCGACCCGGTCATACGAATATGCAAAAAGATCCTATTCACGTAGGTTCAATCCAGGCCATTCCAGGGGTAAATTCCTTGGAAATATTGGTCAATCCAGCTTCACTTATTTTTGTGAGAATTTTCGCGTCTTCAAATAGTCTAACTGTTGTTGCCGCAGCGTTGCTGGAAGTGAAACCAGTCTCATTCCCCTTTGGCTGGACACAGCTTCTCATAAAACAGCCACGAGTCCTGAAAACCTTGTCCATTAAAATTTTACCACTTAGAGTTCGATTTTGGTATTCTCTTCGAGGTTTTGAAAGACTTGTCATAGATGACTGCCTGTAACAATGAGGATAGGCGCGTGTTCCCACCAGTCCCCGCGAGACTGCTTCGAAGAGTCCCAAGTGGCGGTAATCTTGTCCCTGCTGGATTAAGTGCTAATGCAGTTACTAATTCTTTCTATAATTCACCAAATCTTTTAGTAGACCTCTGCGGCCGGGTCGTTGTGGGCGGCAACTGACGTGACCTTTAACAGGCAAGACTCAGACTCGTGCCAGAACGTTGCATTGATGACAACTACGCTCAAGATGCGAAAATAGCTTCACAATAATTTTCACTTGGACCCCGTGGATGTATCGGGCGCAGTGATTCCTACATGGAGCAATGCCTTGTGATCGGAAGGATCTTATGGAACTTCGATATAACTCCTACAGATGACGCCTTATCCTTAGAGCGCTGAGGGCGAAATGAAACACATGAGGGAATTTCTCACCTAGGAAAGACTACGTGCTACTATAAGACACCACAAAATGACTAGGATTGCCTTATCTGACAGCGTTCTTGACCTTGGGAGGACATTGGAAGATGTGCAGACATCAACAATGGATTGCCTCGCCAAAACATTTGAGGATAAATTGTTCTTGGAGGATTCCACATAAATCCATGGCCGACATGTAATTCTCTAATTAACTACAATTGATTTCTTAGCCAAACGGAGTAATTTATCATGTGTGCGTACGGGACTTTAAGCAAAAATATGAAATTTTGTGGTAACGGAATGCTGTTGGAGCACATTTGAGAATCAAGCCGGTTCAACCCTGGAATTTACTTTAACAGACTTAATTGCTGCAGGTCGAATCAAATATGCATCAGCCTAGCAAATGCGACGAGGCGAGAGTCAGCTTACACATATTGACAGTACCACGAGAGATCAGACGTTTTCAATGAACTATGTTGCGTTAAAAGTAAACAGGACAGTCCCAGTGAACTCGAGTAATGGGAAGAAGTTGAATGTCCCCTGAAAAATTCTAAGATTTAGCTAGGCAAACCACGCAGCTTGATGAGGTTGAAATATGGAAGCCGAGAAGAATGATAGAAGTTACAAGAGACATAACCCGTCTAGCAAGTGGGTCTTGAACATCATCAGGAGCTTCCAGGGCTAGCAAGCGCAGGTGGAGGCGTCTTCTTGATCGTCACTGGCTTGGATCCATTGGTTGCCGAGGACGTATCGGCCATCCAGTAGATCTGAAAGACACTTGCGGCGTCATCAATGGGGACGGCATAGAAGTTTGAAGTGGTCCCCCCGTAGGTTAGAATACTCCCAAAGAAGGACCATTCGTCGTCGACCTGGGAGGAAGACGCGTTATTGACTACCTCCACTGCTGCGTTGATTCCTTGGGTGATGGCTACGAGCTCGCCCACAGCTGAAGTGTCATTCGAACCAGAGACTGCGGCGATTGAGAGTGTGCCCGTATCTCTCGGACTTGTCGAGTTCGTTGAAACTATGGATGGTTAGGAGATTTCGAGACTTGTCGGAAACATGACGTACAATTAACGACGCCGTAGCCCGACGTTGCCTGGTCACCTGAAATGATATAAATCGAGCCTATTGGATCAGAAGCTGTGTGTGAATTCGCGGTTTCATTGCTCACCGTTGGAATACTGGAGAGACAGCCCGCCACTGCTGGACCCGTAGGCGTAGAGTCCGAAGCTGGTGTCAGCACGTTTAGCCTTTGCAGCCGCAGCAGAAGTAGCGGCCGACACCAGCGTTAGCCACAGCGTCACGTAGTTCATTGCGGTACAAATAGAGAGCGACAGTGCAAATCGTATAGGACAAGCTAAACAAGGGATGTCGAATTGGTAACGAGCGGAGGTGCAAGAAACGAGTGCATGTTATCCAAAGCCGACGACTGGACTTCCCAGATATATACCTTGGCTTCAGAGCGCTGGCATTTTGCACGTCCTCGTTGACGGCGTCGACGACGCCTCAATCCAGCATTGGGATCTTTTCATGGACCACGTACATCTGGTCCAACGCATGATGCGCGTTGACTGACACGCGTCAATCATGGCTCGAGCGGTTGCATTACTCGGCTTCTCCGTTGTCGGAATACTCGAATGTTTCACTCAATCCAGTTGTGATCGGCCGCTTGGCACGTCGTCACCAGTTCTCTCAGCCTCAACTGCGAAGCTGCCGGAGAGAAACACGACAGCCGTGCTCCATCCAGTTGTTCAAAACGCGTAGCATCTCACTGGCTCGCCGTTTTGTCGTCCCTGATCCCGTCCTCGTGATCGCCCGGACTCTTCTCCTGAGCTCGCTCGACGTTGCTTTCAGTGCGCGGAGGCCTTTTGTTGACCTGGTGAGGACGCAGGTACGCGAAGGTCCAGTGTTACTCTCTGCATGGGTCCCTGTTCGTCCACGATGCTCGACTATCTTACGCATCACCTCCCTCGCTCTCGAAGTCAGGCTGGCGTGGATAGGAACGTAACTCCCTCCGTCTGTGGAGATCAGCTCTACAGTTCTTACATCCACCGCAGGCCTCTTCGTCGCCCCTAACAGGGTTCTCAGCTTATCCTCCGCAGATTCCCACATCCAATTCACTTTTTCGAACACGGTGTGTGGTCGCTTGAAATGCCTATAAGGCATGAATGTGTGTCCAGAAAACTTTGGCGTCCCTGTAACTGCACCTTGAGCGATCTCGGCCAGCAAGGCCTCGTGGCTTGTGTCATGGTCGCAAAACTTCCAACCTCGCCGTGCGTTGGAAATGCTCTGGGGATCATGGATGGCGAGTACCAGCTCATGTTTTACGCATGGGTTGACGAAGATACCAAGGATCTACGCGCAGCAACGCCACACATCTCGAGATTTCCCTTGTCCATGCATCAATCGCACCGGATCTCCCAACCCGTCTGGTGAAAGTTCGACTGAGCACGCGCTGCTCAGTGAAGCGCTTAATCCGGCAGCTCTGTATTCTTTCTTCTTTTGTTTCTGCATGGAACATGGGCACAGACGACATGGTTGGTGTTCGTCTTCAAAGTATGCAAGCACCTGTCTCTAGAGAGCTGCGCTACGGACTATAAAGATTTCATGTCGACCACATTTTGGACGGTCAACAAAAATCACACACTCTTTTCCTCAGAAACCCTCCTTACACTCGCTTAATACGATCATTAGTGCCTGTTCCGCTACATTGCGCTCTCTTATAGTATCTGCGTACTCTTTCCCTTAGTTCTTTTGCTGTCGTGCTTTGCGCTCGCACACGATGAAGCTGTTACCATATTTTTTGTCACTTGCTCCTTTTGCTGTTGCTGTGCCGCAGAATCTGCAAAAAAGGCAAACCGCAAGTACTACGACCAGCTCTGTTTCGTCCTCGGCCAGCACGGCTTCATCCTCGACCAGCACGGCTTCGTCCTCGACCTGTACCCCTTGCTCTGGTAATACCGAAACCACTCGGAGCGAATGGTGCGACTACGATATCAATGATGACTACTACAGCGTAGTTCCATGTACCGGTGTTACACGCGAGTACTGGTTTGAGCTCACAGAGACCACGGGAGCTCCCGATGGAGTTTCTCGAATGCTGCAAACTGTCAACGGTATGCCCTCTTTGTCATCAACACGAAGATGATGCTTATAGCGGATTTTAGGTTCGGTTCCTGGGCCAACAATTTTTGCTGATTGGTACGTATTCGAAATGCCACCTTTGTCCAACACTGCTGATGTGACTTTAGTAAGCTCAACTTGTTACATCGAACTTTATCATGTAGAGTGTAATGTCCAGTTAATTTAACTGAATCTCACAGGGGGGGATGAGGTCATTGTCCATGTCACTAATAATCTGCCATCGGACTCGGGCAATGGAACAAGTCTACATTTTCACGGCGTGCGACAAAACTACACCAATCAAGCGGATGGTGTAACATCCGTCACTCAATGCCCGACTGCGCCTGGAGAGACTTACACATACAAATGGAGGGCAACACAATATGGATCTTCTTGGTAAGCGTGATATTATCTTGGTAGCTTCCAGTGGAAGTGCGACAACAAGAGCTTCACAAATGATTGTGTCATGCTTCCCTTGTGATCCAGAGGCCTAATTTTATTTCACAGGTACCATTCCCATTTCGGTTTCCAAGCTTGGGAAGGCATTTACGGCGGCATTGTCATCAATGGACCCGCCAGTGCAAACTACGACGTTGACCTTGGGAACTTGTTTATCCAAGATTGGGACCATTCAACCGCTGATGAACTATATATCAAAGCTGAAACTCAAGGGGCCATTTCCTCTCTCACCGGCTTGATCAATGGTACCAACGTCTATGGAGACGATGGCAACTCCAGTCAGGTTGGATCTCGCTTCGAGACAACTTTTGAATCCGGCACTTCATACTTGATCCGTCTTGTCAACGTGGCCATCGACACTCACTTCAAGTTCATGATTGACAATCACGTAATGACGGTCATTGCTGCCGATTTCGTCCCGATTGAGCCGTACGAGACGACCTCTCTCAGCATAGGTATGGGTCAAAGATACGATATCGTTGTGACTGCCGATCAAGCGGACACTGCAAGTGACTTCTGGATCAGAGCTATTCCACAAAGCTCGTGCTCAGACAACGACAACGCAGACAACATTAAAGGCATAGTTCACTATGGCTCATCGACCGGAACCCCGACCACTTCGGGTTATAATATTACGGATGAGTGCGTGGATGAGACTAACTTGGTCCCTATCGTTTCCAAAACAGTGGGAGATGTTACAAGCTCTGTCGATGAAGCTGTTGGCGTGAGCTTCAACGATGACAACTATTTCATTTGGGAATTGAATGAAACGTCGTACCTAGTGAACTGGTAAGTTTTCAATCACCTTGCCGATCTTGAGGGCATGTTTTAGTCCAATATGAAGGCTCTTAATACATGCAACTCTGATCGCAACACATCGGACTACCTGAAAAAGAATCAAGAGGAAATGCTGACTTCCTTATAGGCAGAGTCCGGTTAGAATTACCCTACTCCTACTTTTCAGCTCAAACTGTCTGAATACATGAGAACTTAAGGCTAACACATATTTGCATCTAGACACTACTGAATCTGTACAATAACGACTCCTTCTCAACCACGTACAATCTGATCGAGCTGCCAAATGCCGGCGAGTGGGTTTACTTACTTATCACGGAGTCTGGCATACCGGTTGCCCATCCTATCCATCTGCATGGTCATGACTTTTACGTCCTCGGTGCAGGTACCGGATCATATGATGCGAGTACCGTGTCTCTCAACTTAACAAACCCCGCTCGTCGTGATGTTGCTATGCTTCAAGCATCTGGTTGGCTCATGATTGCTTTCCAAACAGACAATCCGGGCGCCTGGTAAGACATAGTACTCAGTCCCATGCAAATTGGTTACTTTTCTCAACTTTTTCCCTGATACTTCATTCCGGCATCGGCAAAAAGTTTGAGAAAGTACACCAATTTTTACAAATGCATCCCTCTTTTTGACCTAAATTTTGACCTGTACATTGCCAGGCTCATGCACTGTCACATCGGATGGCACACCTTGGAAGGGTTTGCTCTACAATTTCTTGAAATGGAGAGCGAGATATTGAGTACGATCGATGAAGACGATCTAACTAGCACCTGCAGCGCCTGGACTACGTACATGACTGACAACGATGTTGTTCAGGGGGTAGGTGGCATGGAGGACTCGGGCTTGAAGAAGTTGAGACTTTAGATTATAGGATGTGTACTAGGTGCAACCGATTGATGCTTTTTAGTAGTGAGGATCCGAAATCGACACACGATGATCATCTGTCAAGAATGTGCTTTGCCAACCCCAAAATTTGAACTCTCTTTCAGCACTATCCATAGTAGAGTCTCTTTGCACCTATTGAATACTCATTTTACACAAACACCGTTGCGTTAGAAAACACTTCGAACTGGACGATGTTCAATAATTCTGAGAGTATTGTCGGTCTGCGTCAAAACAGAACGCAATTTCTAGAGCAATAGTTGTGTTTTCACCAAAATTGGGCCTTTGGAACGCGCCCGGCTTACGTCGACCTCTTGAAATATGTAAAACTATTTCTGCTTTCTGAAAAATTAAGTTTCAAACAAGGCTACGGCTTTTCCACGAAAGTCCGTCCCTATGCCAAACTCATCTGGACGCTTTCTTGAATGTCCCACTCGCTGAAGACATGTTACGCATGGACGTTTTGTGCCTGCCATTGTTCTCCAGGTAGCCATGGCGGAGTCGAATCCTTATTTTAACAATGAAAGTGTTGCCATTTAAGAATGTAAATTCTTAAATTATGAATTCGCCGTATTCATGGTATCTCTCCAAATAGGAGTGAGTTGCTTTGGCTCTTGCGCATCCTTTGGTGTCAACTTGGCTCATAAGTGCAACTACCGCGTAAGCCTCAAAGCATAACACTTTTCAACGAGCTTTTCGCGAATTTGGACGGGCCTCTTGGAATCAGGTAGGCAAGTATATAGACTCTAAACTGTTCAACGTATAGCAGCAGCAAACTCTAATTACACGTCGACTGGACTCCGATTTCTCTAGGGATATAACCAAGTGTTTTGTGCGGGTTTGGAAATAATTTGCACGCCGCCCACAATTGCCGGAAGATGTCCTTATGTCAAATCTTTTCTGGGAGCAAAGCATTGTGGTTGTCAGAATTTGAGCCTGCCTAATATCAAGGCCAGATCGACCATGGGCGAAATCCAACGACTGTGTGTTTCTCTCCTCCTGTTGACAGGCAATCTGGCAACCAAGATTCTCACGAATCAATACTTTTGTAGCAGAGCTCCACAGAAAGGAACTTGACAATTTTGGAGGCATTTACTATCCTTGCGATATAAAAGGTGAAGTCACTGAAATCAACGGACCGAAGACATGCGCAAATCCGGCATATAATGCCAACACGGGATGTAATTTCATTTGAGGCAGTTGGAATATGTACGGAGTTGGTAGAAGCTTTCCTGCTTCATGTCTGCTGGCATCCCAATGTTTGACTCTTTGCTATTGTAAAACCCCAGCCGTTGAGCCATTGCAGCTCACGGAGTGTTGGCCACATTGGGTCTAGCGCCTCGATATTTCCAACTGTTGTTTAACCCTGATGAAACGTCACACAGTGATGCAGTCTATTCACGGCTCCATCTGAGACCTTACGATCAACCATGGTCAACACTTCTTGAAGGCTTCAGCTCTCCTCAGCTTTTGGGACTCCGCTTGGGCTGATCTTGCCCTATACTTGATCTCCTTCGTCCCTTGCGACGACAATGGAGACGACTCTGCTCAATCACTATAAGCTACCCTCGCTTGACCCGTCAGAATGGCCGGCTGATAAAGATTTCGAGGACAGCTCAGATGATGAGCCGGTCTCATCATCTGTTGGCGTGCAAAAACGTGCATCAAAGTCCCGATACTCGGCACTGAACCGTAATGCCACGCTTCGATCAAGCGTACCTGGTGCCGAGAGGAGCAAAGATGGAAAAGAAAATCTAGTGCAAAAGGACGAACCGGATCCTTTGGGCGGATCTCAGAGTGTTATACAAGTATTGCGACTTCGGGGCTTGCCAATTGAAGATGACTGGAAGCTGCGTTGGTGATCACCGCGACAATGCGTGTTGGTTAAAGCTGACACAAGAGCACAGGAAATCGCTTTTTGCTATCTTCAACGACGTTTTCACCGCCTATGTTTCTGTCAGAAGTTCATAACCGTGCATCGACCGATGATTTGCTACGCGGTCTGGAGTTCCTGTCACAGTCTATCGAGAAGAAGTCTGCGTCGCTGAAGGTCCTCGTTGAATCGAACTTTGAACGCTTTGTCAAGGCTAAATCTACCATAGATAATGTATACAAGGAGATGAGAGAGCATGGTCAGGATCTAGAGAAGCCGAGGTCCCCAGGATCGCACAGCAGGGCACACTCCCGGCAGCTTAGCAGAAACAGTGTACACTTTCGACGCACAAGCGGCAACCAGTCCTTCAGCCCGGGTCTAACAGTGGATACAAACTATAACCTGAAAAGAAAGAATGCTTTAATCAAAGAATCGGATTATGGCGTTTTGCCTATCAAAGTCCCCTTGCTGGAACTAAGCACCAAAGTCGAGGAATTATGGGGCCCTGCTTTGGGTGGTCGGGAGAAGGAGGAGAGCCTCAAAGCGGTTCTTGCCTGTGTTGAGAAGAATCGATCTTTGTTCGAGCTCGGAACCGTCGTCAGAGACGCCATCAAACGACGGGACAACGAAGCGCTGGTAGAGGCCTACAAGTCAGCGAAGGATTATGCAGATCAGGCTAGGAAAATTGTGGACAGTGCGGTTGCAAGTCGTACTTCCTTGAAAGATGCGGATCTCCACCAAGTCATTGTAACAGCGCGAATGTGGGCAGATATTGAAGAGCAGATCGAAGTCTTCAAACGTGACGTATGGCGCAGACTTGCGGGCACGCATTTCTCCAAGCATGATTCGGAACCAATGCGCAAGCAAGACGAGCATTTGGAACTGATCAGTATTCTTCTAGAGCTTGGGGTGGACGACAATCCAATCAACATTTGGCTGATAAGTCGGTACGACTTCTTGAAGACCAAGATCGACGCTGCATTTGAAAGGATGAAGGTTGAAGTTGAAATTCTTCGAAGGCATGTTTCAAACGATAATCGTCCAACAAATTTTCAAATGGCTAGTTATCTGCGCAATGCTACTCCGGATGGAAAACTGAGCAAAACAGACGGTATCGACGCTCCACGAATTATTGAAATCTGGGAACATATACAAGGAATGCTTGACTCTATTCTATCCACTAATGGTGGAATCTTGGGTGAAGTCATTGAATTCTGGGAGACCGCTCAGGGCTTCATTGATGGTCGGACGCAGCGCACACTTCCCATTGGCATTGATGGCGACAGCCGTAAGCATCATCGTCTGTCGACCGATGGCGTTAAGCACTTAACTAGCGGTGCACTTGAACTAGTCATGAAGATTCGGGAGGAGTTGAGGGCCTTCTTCGCAGAGCCTCCGCCAGAAGATCTATCTCTTCTGCTGTCACCTTTGCCTCCCGACTCGCCCATGACGCCTAACTCTAATGTGTTATCGCCGAGTGCGCTTTCACCAGTGTGGAACAAATTTGATCCGACCAAACTTCCTCCTCCTTCACCTCGCAGAGGAGAATCGTGGGAAAAGTACGGATTTTGGCCACCCTACGCGAGTTCAATAAGCGGTTCTTACTACCTAAGCAAATTCTTAGCTATGATCGGCACAGCTTCTTGTGAGATGGCAGGTCTGAGTGTTGTAAAGGCCGGTCGTAACAACGTAGATGACATAAAAAAGACGCTTGGAGAAATTCGTGAGCGATGTCTATCGGCTACGTTAGCGGCATGGTCTCTAGACTCCGAAAACTGCAGAATGCTAGAAGATTGGACACGCTCGTCTGAAAGGCACGACCTCACAAACATGCCGGTGCGATTCCGCAATTTCCAAGGGTTCTTGCTATCAAATATACAGCAAATCATGTACATATCTGAGGCCTCTCGTCGATCGGAAACATCTGATGTCATTGTACCACCTTCAACAAAATTACTGCAAGGTGTTAGGTCCCAATTCGTAGCGAGCATCTATCGAGCACTACGTGGCATGGTACAGAATGCGGAAAGTCCGGAAAAGGGTGAAGGGACCTGGGACACTGATGCAGACGGTCTCATAGTCAGGCGCAATATTGATGAAGCTCTTGACGGAAGCTCAAGACATCTCGATTCGTCTAATAAGGTACGTCTGGTTAAAATCACTACCCGACATGAAAATGCGCTAACCTGGAAATTCCAGAAGATTCGCATACTCATTACGCTAAGTAATGTGCAAAACCTCCGCAACGACATAATTCCTCACTTGATTGCCCAGTTTGAGACAAACTTTAGCGTGCAACTCACCGATGAATCAAAGTCAATACAAGAAGCACTAGGCAAGATCGACACGGATCTTTTCCGCTTCTACACCGAACCAATCACCAAAAAGCTAGAGAGTATCATAAAGGAGAGCATAACCTCACCATCATGGGTGCCTTCACCAGAAGCACCTCGGCCGGAAGACGCAAAACCCTACGTGTACGAAGCATTACTCCAACTTGTCCTTGTTCATTCAGAAGTCAGCACAACTGCGTCACCGCTCACCTCGCCCATTCTCAAGCATCTTCTCGAGGCCATATCTGAGTTTCTCATGGACGCCTTCAAATCGCGGTCACAATATTCGCTCGCTGCCCTTCGACAGGCCACCCTTGATGTAGAATTTTTGGCTCAGACCATGAGCAATTACACAACAGATAAGGCAAGTGCAACTCAGAATGCAATCTATGTTGCTCTGGACGAGCGAACCGACAACGAGGCTCGGCTTCAGCTTCAAGGAGAACTTCAAGAGATGAGGAGTGCACTTAAAAAGCTCAGGGAAAAGACTAGGACAGAGTTCGCTTGTTTCAAGCGCAACAGGAGCGAAACGGTGAGCTCGAGGGGCGGGAAGAGGGAATAAGAAATGGCCAGCATGCGTGACTACGCAATACCCCCACTTTCTCAAGTTTTCACTCAAGACTGTCCCCTTTCACAAGTCGAAATGCATTGTAAAGATCGGACGGACCACATATCCTAGGTTTGATACCATACGCTCAGGAATTCTTGTCAAGTCTTTGGGGCATATTCTTGTGTAGAAATGCCAATCGAACTAGGATTTTCGCTTCCTACGTGCTCCAGAGTGTACTTCGTGCATCATCAGGGGTTGAATTCTTAGTGTTTGACATTGTGTCATGGAATAGCTATGGGCCGGAAAGTTGCCGGCGACTCAACCGTCTATCTACGGGCAGTCCATGATCCCAGTCCTTTCAATTATTTAGAAAGGAATCTTTCTGCCTTTTTGACAGATCCCGTGGTCTGATATGCGAGCTTCTGATGATTCGACGCTGCTGCCTGGACAATTGTAGGGTCAATTTGATGGGAAGCCAAAACATTCTAACCCAAACAATCCACGCGATCCAAACCTTGTGCGAGGAATGGTGATCAGATATTAGTCTACTTTGAATGTAAACAGCTTCAAGTGAAATTACGCGCGCCTTATTCTCAATGTCGATACTCTGCAATGTAATCTTAGTCATGAAGTATAATTAGTCAACTGTGTATATATTTCAAGATTTGTACGGCGTTTTTCAGTGCCAAAAAAAAGTGTGTGAGATGAAATTGCGACAAATCGAAAAAAGCAACCGAATACAGAAATATCATTTGTACAAATACTACAACACAGGGGCATGTGATTGCCATTCTATGCAGACTATGTTCAAAAACATTTGTGTGCCCCGGCGCCTATCTATGCTCAAGAAAAATGTGCCCTCGTGCGATTCTTATGCAGGAGATCTAGCCATAAAGAGTCTATCTCCTCCTTAGGTACCAGTGATACGACAACAAGCCCATCTCCTTGCTGAATGGACTAGGAACCTCAGCAAGCCCTTGTCTTGCGACAGGATGTCTGAGGTAGACTGCACTGCACACGTTCTGGTTGACCTCCAGATACCTGGGAATGAAAGCGAAGGCGCTCATCCAGTTGCGCGGTACCCATGGTGTCAAGTACGGCTTGTCCTGTAGACGGGCGTTGGGCCACGACTTCAGCAGCTCGAGGTGAGTGATGGGTGGTGCTCTGGATTCTGGGGGCGGATGGAGCTGTTCCAAATGTTTCTTTACGACATCGCTTTCCACCTTGGATCGGTCTAAACGAGCCGCGAAGCTCTTCACCTGCTTAGCCGCAGCCTCGTCCGATTCCGCAGAGGACGCTTTGATGGCGGCCCTGACTTGTCTGCGTAGTTCGCGGAGCTTGTAAAGCCTTTTTTTCCGACGTGAGCGAAAAACGTAGCCTTTGCCTAGCTGCGGCCTCAGATATTCCGAAATCTTTTCTTCCAGTCTCTTGAGCTCGGCTTTGAGCTTGTTTACGCTCATCGCAGCGTTGTCTTCTTCAGTTAACGCGGAGTCTCCTGCTACCTCTGTTGTCGCACCGGCTTCAGCCTCGGGTGCAGCTTCCGCCACAGCCTCGTCCGCCGGGGTCTTTTGGTTCCTCGGCTTCGCGAGCAGCAGATCTTTAGGCGCGTCAGCGGGCAGGTTGTTGTAAATCCATTTCCTCGTGCTAGCAGACTCCTTCATGCCGGTCGAATACATGACCATCTCAGGGTCAACACTGAACATGTCACCTGGATTGAGAAGGTAGCCAGGATGTTTGATCTGCAACGAGAGTTAGCGCTGAGCAAATACAGCCGCTTTCCAGAGCGTCGAATGAGATTGAAGCGAGCATACCTTCCTTCCATTGACCTTGACGTGGCCGTGGAGAACAAACTGCCTCGCGGTCCTGATGCTGCTTGCAAACAGAGCCCTAAAAATAGCAGTATCCAAGCGCCGCTCGAGCGGCCAGTAAGTCATGCTCATGTAGGGAGTGTTCCTTGGTCTGCGCCGGATCATCCATTGGGGGTCATCTTTGCCCGTTCCACGGCCGGCAGCCTGTCTGCTGCCATCGTCTTTTGCGAGACGCTCGATGTCCATCTCGACAACGGCAGGGATCTTGCGATTGAATTGCAGCTTCCATTGCTTCTCGCGAACCTGGTGGCCGTGATAGGTGCGTGAGTGTGACTTCGCCAGCCACTTTTGCTGATACAAGGTCTTGGTTTTGAGGAAGGGGTCGCGATAGTGGGCAAGGTTATAAAGGTTGATGCCACGCCAGGATTGAAGTATGCGCTGGAGCACGACGAGTTAGCAGCTCAGGTCGATCAATGGATGAAAGCAGAACACATACACCCTTCCTATACAGTTCCCGATAGTTTTTCCGCACCATGATGGGATGTCACGATGGGGAGCGGGTGAAGATTGGAGATGGGCGTGGTGATGGCTGTAGTGGAAGAAGAGCAGTTTTCAGGCGAGTCGACTCTTCCCGTCTCACTTGGGGAGAGAGTTACAGGCCGTTGAACTTTAGTTGACTCGAGTCCAACATGGCCCGATTGAGTCCGGGTCAGCACGCCAATTTGCGTCCTGCCCGATTGCCAAAACCGGACGCGTGCATAAGCCGCACATCGGCCCGCTGGAGCTGGCCCGGCGTGTCACGTGGAGCCCGTCGGCCCGTCCAGATCGGGACTAGCGCCCGCCGCCGTCCATCTCGCTCGTCGTCTCCACCTCCAGAACTTTTTTCTGCGCTTCAGTCCAGCACTCGTCAACGTCCTGCACAATACCGCCTTCTCACTCTTAGACAAGAACAGGACGGAGATCCCGCCGCGTCTAAGGGCACTGCGCGTCGACCATCGTACATTTTCGTCTTCCATCTGCTTCTGCGTGTTCTGCTATTCTGCTTTATCGTGTCCGCCGCACGGTAGCATGGTCAAAGCTTGAACGCTCCCGCGCCCTCTCCCCTCTCACTTTTTCTTGCACGCACGCGCACGCACACTTCGCTCATCTGCTCATAGACCAAGTTGCCCGCTCACTCGCTCGTCTGCTCACTGGCCCCAAACCAAGCGCCCATTTTCGTGCTCGTCTTGTCAATTGCTAAACGGAAGTCTAGACCAGCTGACCTTTTACCTTTCTTCTCGCCGTCATGAGCGCAGATACTGAGGCGGCGTCCGCCAATCCTACCACTGTCGAGCACAAAACCGAAGAATCCAAGGCTCCAGAGTCGTCAGAAACCGAGGAGAAGAGCAACGATCCTGAAAATGGAGCTAGCGCGAACGACAAAAGTGAGTAGTTTTCTTCCCAACGTCCATTCTGCGTGCGGCATTTCTCCCCTCGTTGGCTACATACGAGGCATTCGCACACCTGCGGAACACTACAATTGACTCGCGTGATCCAGAGAAAAATAACAGCGCTGGCCGCGAGCTGGATGACAAGTACAGCAAGAATCGCAGCGACAACAGCCGCAGCAAGCGCAATGGCAGCTCCAGAGCCAATGGCAACGAGCACCACCACCACAGGCGCGCTAAATTCGATCGCGCCAATATCAAGTCTCGCTACGACGATCAAGAAAAAACCGATGACCCCGTCCTGATTCGCAAGCAGGTAGAATTCTACTTCAGCGATGCCAACTTGCTTCAGGACAAGTTCCTCTTCAACCAGATTGGCGGTTCGGAGAACCGCCCTGTTGATATCAAACTCATCGCAAGCTTCAAGCGCATGTTGCGTTTCGAGCCATACTCTGCCATCGTTGCTGCCCTTACTGAATCTACTGTCCTCGAAGTCATCGATGCCGACAAACCAAACGACGCCAAGGTAAGGCGACGCACCCCACTTCCGGGCAACATCGGCAAAACCCATGCCGAGGTGAAGGCCAATTACAATTCGGAGTCGATGAAGCGCAGCATCTACGCCAAAGGCTTTGGTCCAGAGACGGCCAAGACCCAACTTGAGATTGAGGATTTCTTCGCTCCGTATATGGCTACCTCTGTGCGTCTGCGTCGCGCGGACGACGGATCTTTCAAAGGAAGCGTCTTTGTGGAGTTTGAGAACGAGGAGAGCATGAAGCAGTTCCTCGAGCTAGAAGAGAAGCCTGAGTGGCAGGGCAAAAAGTTGGAGATCAAATCCAAGGTCGAGTACTCCAAAGAAAAGGATAAGTTGTTGAATGAAGGCAAGATCCGGCGTAACGACCTGGAAGGCCATGACGACCGGCGTGGCAACGGCCATCGTGGCGGTAGAAACGGACACCGTGGTGGACGCCGCTTTAACGAACGTCGTGGCAGGAATCATTCACGTTCGAGGTCGAGGTCTCCCGGTAGATTAGAGCGAAAGAACTGGAGAGACTTGGCTGACGAGGAGGACAAGGAGAGGGCCTCCAAGCAACAGGATCTTGAGGACACGTGAGTCTTCTGTTTTATGTTTCTGTAAATGGCCATAGTGAAGATTTTCTGACATTTTCTATAGTGACGTGCCCAAGGTCACAGGTTCTACCGAGGACAATGGCGAGGCGACCACGAACGACAAGAAGCGTGCACGTGAGGATGACGACAATGCAGAAGGCGCTGAGACAAAGAAGGCCAAAGCAAATAATGATTAAGCTTTGAAGAGGAACTCTGGTGGCTACTTGTTAATCATGAGCATAGAAATGGCGTTTGGGAGAAATAAAAAAGAAAGAATGGGTTGGCTCCGCGATGCAAAGTCTAAATGCGCGAATGATGCATTGTCCTAAATGCTGATCAAAAGGCAACCTTCTTCCGTGTCATGGAAATACACTTGTGTCAACTAGATGTGTGAAAGATTTCTAAGGACGATTGCTTCGTTTCGTCTTCCGTTCACCACTTGATGATTTCCTTAGCAATATCATGTCGAGCATTGGCGGAGGCAACTCGGATTCTGAGAGATTCGAGGCCGTCTAGGTCTAGAACAGAAAGAAGGTAAGGTGAGAAATAAAAACAGCCGAAGCATGCATTGCTTTGCAAGAGTGGAACTTCGCACCGACGAACGCTCGAGCTCGTTTCACGGTCGTCGAACATGTCACTGTATTGTTTCTTCTATTTCTTGTTGCGCGTTTTTTTTATCGACACCTGGTACACAATAGCAGGAACCTTTCCACGCGTCTTACCCATCGAAAGAGTACTACCTGTCATCTTTCTTTTTCCGAAATGTCGCGGTCCATTGGTGCGGCGATGTCCTTTTCCTGGTGACGTTCTGTCTATCTTGCCATAGATGTGCGCGATTGAAAACGCCCGTTGTAGCCCGTAACACCAACGCTTAACAGTGAATATGCATGCCATCCGATGTTATTCATTACAAAGAAAGAAAAGAAGGAAAAAAAAAAGAGATAAAAAACTCTTTTTTTTTAAAAAAAAAAATAAACATTATGCAAAGCGGTGAAGCAAATGGATGGGGTTAATCAATCAACCTTGACCGCACTAGAATAAACCAATGACGTTAGTTCCACTCTAAAGACAAACAGTAAAGAAAAGAAAACGCATAGGGATGGGAGATGGAGAGTTGGTGACTTACGAATAAATCCTCCTCACGAACGCGTAACTCGCCAGGAAGCCAATTGTACCTGTCAACAGACCATACACGAGACAGGCAAGGAACGAGTAGGAGAAGAAGAGAATGCTGGACACAAAACCGGTAATGTGCAGCTTAAATGCATAAAACCAGATGCAGTAAACAAAGATCCAGATCGAGGACGCGCCGCCGACGAGGAAGGATTGCCACCACCAATGGTAGTTCTGTCTCGGGCGTCAGTATTGAGGCCTCCAACGCAGTGTCTCCTCAGCCGCACGAGGAGATGGCTTGGGGGTGTTTTTTTTTACGTACCTCAGAGCAAAGCTGCACGTATGTGGCGACAACCGAGACTTCGACAACGGTGATGACCAATATGCCGCACACAACGGCCAAGAAACCAAAGACGTAGTAGTAGCCGCTTTTGTCTTGCCACATGCTTTTGAACACGAAGAGAAGTTCGACGAAAATAACGGCAAAGGGAATGAGGCCGGCAAGCAGCACGGTCTGGATGCTCTTTGTGTACCACTCCTGTCGGGGAATCTGCCGCGGTATGGCATTGGGCTTGACGGGATGGTCCCAGGCACCGACGACGACGAAGCCGTACCAGCTGCCCACGTACACGAGGGGAAGCTGGATGAGAAGCCACAGCGAGGCAAGGGCGAGGAGGGTTCCGAAGGGGATGGCAGTGCTCGACGCCTGGGCCCACACGAAAAAGTTGAGGATGAAGATTGTGGCGAATATCAGGCCAGGGATCAGTGTGCCAGTGACGATGACGTTCCGTCTCCAGTTCTGACCTCCAAACGTCTTGTAGACGCGCGCAGAGAAGTAGCCGGAAAATGCGCCAGCCAGAACGAAGAGCGCCATAGCGACGCTGATGAAGCCGCCGCGGAAGGAGGGGTTGAGAACGCCGAAGCAGCTCAGCAGGACGAGGCCAGCGGCCATGAAGATGACCTGCGTGCCGGAACCGACGATGGGAGCGAGGATGGAGCCAAAAGGAGGGGGACGGAAGACGTCGCCATGGACAAGCTTCCAGCCAGTGATGTCCTCAACGGCCTCGTCGTCCGACGAAGAGACGTCCGCGTCCTCAGAGGCGTCAATCTGATCAAGCAGGCCAGAACCTGCCTTTTCCATGCTTCGGCGGGGCGTTCGATCGGGTGACCTCAACTTGCGCTTGAGCTTGAGCTTCCCGTCCTCGACGCCGGACTCCTTGTTATACAGCTTAATGTCGCCGCGAATAGTGCGCGCGAAGATGACGGCGACGACGGCCGTCAGCAAGCCAGATATGACGAGGGAATTAACGATGGCCAGCCAGTGTATCTTGTTGTTGTCCTCCTCGTTGGCGAAGTACATGTCCCATCGGCGAGCCCACTCGAGGTGCTCGTCCTCACGCCAGTAGACCGAATACGTGTATGGAATGGTGAGCTTTCCGTCTCCAGTCAGGTCATCGTCGAGGTCGTCCTGGGGTGTGTCCACGTAGTCGCTGATTGTCTCGTTACCGGCCACGCGCGTCGCGTTCGCACGGAAGCTTAGCTCCATGCCCCGCTCAATGTTCTCCATGTCCAGGGGCAGGCCGGTCTCTGCGTTTCGGTGTCCGGCTTCAATGCTCTTCGGATAAACCTCGAAGCCGACGACGACCTTCCTGCCGTTGTCGCCATCTTTACCGGGCGCTCGGTGGTAGCGAATGACCAAAGTGACGTGGTTGTTGATGTAGTACAGAGGCTTGAGAGTGGCCGGATCGTAATCGACGTAGCCCAATTTGAAGCCAGCGGCGTAGTACTTGCGTGACTTGTCTGTGGTAACGAAGCTGGTTGCGCCGGGCAGGTTATCTACGATCCACTCAGCCTCGTAGTTGTCGCTGATCAGATCGCGAGCCCAGCGAAGAGCCTTTGCATCCACCTCTTTACTGCATAAATAGCTGACCTCTTGATCTTCGCCAACGACAAGCTCGTAGTCGGACACAGTGATGCGGTCGCCGCGGAGGACCTCACCCAGGTTCAGGGTTAGACTTGTGCCGCTTGTCAGGCCACTCAGACGCTTGCGGCCGCTCGGAGGGCACACAAAGGGCAGCTCGGCGTAGGCATACTGCAGCTGGGTGCGGTCGGAAAACAATTTGTTCCAAAACAGAGGTATGGTTTCGCCGTCGCGGTAGCTTTTTATCGAGTAGCCTGTGACGAGACCGTCAGCGAGATGAAGTTCCACGTACACACTCACCCCCCGGACGATAGGGCGCGAGAGCCAGCACATACCTGGGATGTAAAAAGCATTCGCGAAAGACGATAAAGAGAGTACGGACAAGACAAGCAAGAGAAGAAGATTGGTGAACCGTACGTCGCCGTGCATCTTGATTGACTATTTATGCGAGAGAGGGAGAGGAGGATGTGACGGTGCTAAGAAGCACCGGGGTCTCCGCTGAGAAAGACTTCGCGGTCGAGGTCGACGAGGGAGGTAGAGGATGCACGTATGCGTGGAGGAAGACGGAGTCGATCTCGTCCTCAGTCCTGCTGCAACACGGCGGGTAAAACGTACGGCTACAGGCACATACGGCAGCAGCAAAAGTGGAGGCGAACCAACGGGGTGACGGATACACGGATGGCGTCTGTTGCGCCAAGAGTGTCAGACGTGGGCTAAGCCGTCACGGTGGTACGTAGGAGCCGGCAGCGACGGGTTCAAGATAAGGTCGAGGACGAGGACGGAGGAGACAGCAGCGGGCGCGGACGGTGGATGTGTTCGGCGACGGAGCAAAGGGGGGGAGATGCTGGAAGGGCAGAAGGCGGCGAAGACGAAGGGAACGAACGACGGGAAGAAAAGGGGAATTGTACGAGCAGGATAAGAAAGTAACGAGCGGGGATGGGAAAGGAGATAACGAAGGGTTGGGGAGATTCGTGTGGGTGAAAAGATGGCGCTTGGTAGCTGGAGGAAGCAGAGACGAAAGCCCAGGGAACGTCACGCAAAGTCAGTTACGTTACGGCTGACATGGACGTTGGCGCGTTACGTTTTCTTAGTAAGCAGGCGACCGTTCACGTAGCTTACGTTGGCGAGGAGCACGGAGCGAGGAACAGATGCGGAAGTGCCTGCTGCAACACAGGGGCCTGGAAGGCCGGACGGGCGGCGGAGCCAGTAAAATCAGGGCCTCCGCCCACATCATTAAGGAGATATAGGCAGTTGACATCAGGGGATAGGCCCCTAGCCCTGGCGCAGCGCTGGCACGGGCACATGCAAATTCCTGATCGTCGATGATCTACTCTTTCTCCAAATGATCGGAGACGACGTGGCCAAGCAACAACTGCGGTGGACGGGACGGCCTTTTTCAGACGGACAGGCTCATTGCTGCCAACTTTTCGCTCCACGCTTACGATCATGTGCGGAATTCTCAAGGCAGCTTCAGGCCATGCACATGCCTGCCGTGCTCGCTGCTCCTAGCCGTCCTCTGCGTTCCTCCTCCTGCTGTGCTGCTGTCTCTTTTCGGTCTTCCGTCGAGGCTCGATGGACCAACTGATCATCGACTGACGATCCATTCAGAGTGTCAGTCCGCCCTTGCAACTGCAGGGCTTGAGCATTGCTCCGCCTTTGCTTTGTGCATGTTGGATGAACCCCAGCACCGAACGCGCTTCCGGCTCTCCGTTGGTCATCTTCATCGTCGTCGTCGTGAGCAAACAACTGGAAATACTACACGTAGCCTCACGAGCCCCTACTATCTTGGCTTCACTATCACGACGGATCTACCGTGTCCGCTTCCTTGCAGCTGGCCGTTGAGCTTTGCACCGCAGAAGTTTTCGGTCGTAATTTTTTCTTTTCTTTTGGCTGATCTTCCTTGATAAGAGCCAAACCGGGCGTCGCGTCGTCACTAGCGGCGAAGTGCCAGGCACGCCACTGCCAGTAGCATTCTGCGGCTGGGGGCCTCTTCCTCGTGGGTTTGGCCACCCATCTCTCCCTGCAGGGCACGCAAAAAGTTTACTTTTCGAACACGCAGCACGACTGACAGAGCTATTGTTGGAACATCAAAAAAAACGGTCCCGCAGGCTTCAAACGAAACGTCTCACAGTGGGTCCGTCGTCATGCCTTTGGGGTCGCTGCCATTCTTATCGTTTGGCCCTGCATACACATCAGCCGTCAGAAAATAGGCCCAGCATCGCATGTTCACGACTCCACCCATACGAACATGTTTTCCTCCGGGCTGACAGTTGCCTCTTGGCCTACACATGGCCGTGGTTTCTTTGACCTTGGGAGCGCCTTTCACGCCCGTTGACCTAGACGGGGTGAGCACGCGCAGACCTGGAAATGATTTCCTAGCGATCCCCAATTACCACCAAAAGGACAGCCCGCCGTGTGCTGGGAAGAAATCTCCGAGCCGAGAGCGGGATCAACGTCGCCCGCCTCTTTCGATGGACCGTCAAAACCAAGCCGTCCCTGCTCACGACCGTTGTGGCCGCTCGCAGCCAGTCAGCCAGCAGCAATGCAGCTAACCGTCACACGGAACGCGACCGACGACATGACGAGAAGGAAATAATGAGAGGGTAGAGCCAACAGGCAAGGGCAGCTTCGCGGGCGCGGATGCGTGCGATCTGCCAATGTGCGTGGGCGTATGTAAGTTACGAGGAGTATGTTTTGCGTACAGTAATGGGACCGTGCCAGAGCTGCCACCTGCAAAGTCCCATGCCCGGACATCGTTTGTCCGTCGTAGCTCGCGCGTGCAATAGAAAAGAAAAAGATTACGCGTGCCATCTCTAGCCTTTAGTTAAACTTACTTACCCCGCCGAGTTGTTCCTTGCTACTGATCTCGCCTTTCGCTTCTTTTGGGATGTTCCCGTCTTTTTTTTTGGCGCACCCATCGATCCGCCGGTCGGGTCGTGTCCACGCAAGCAAGACGGCAGGCCCGCTTTGAAACGAAGCAAAATCACCCAACACATTTCACGTGAAAAGCACGTCACATCGTGTTTCTCGCCTGCTCTTCCTTGTCAACGGAAAAAAAAAAAATAAAAATAAAAATAAATAAAAAGGCCTAGCCTACTTCATATCCCACGAATAAGCATCGAGCAGCCCAAATCATAGGTGTTTTCTCTTGAGCCCCCTAGAACGCGGGGTGCAAGGGGGAGGTGTGAAGTCATTTCCTGGTATGAGCCAACATCAATTCATTCGAAGAAGTTAGCTTCTACATTCGTTCCATCTTGACTCCTACCGCGTGCGTGTTTGCTTGTTTGCATGTGGAACGCTCGCCGCATTGCGCTTCTCACTTCTGTACTGTAGCATCCTAATACCGCTCTCCATAGCCATCGCCGTAGTTCTCGTAGTCACGTCGTCTGCCGCCGTACTCGTTATCGCCGTCGTAGTCGTCGCGACGGCCGGCCCCGTACCTGCTGCCTCCCTCGTCATCATCTCTTCCCTCGTAGCCTCCTTCACTGTACCGTTCCTGGCCTCCGTAGCCACCGCTGTATTCCTGACGCCCTCCATAATCTTCCCGACGTCCGTAACCCTCCTGACTGCCTCCGTATTCGTCCTGGCGACCGTACTCCCGTCGTCCACTCTCGTACGCATCCGGACGACTGTACTCTTGTCGTCCGTACTCGGATCGTTCACCACCATACTCATCTCGACGTCCGTACTCTGTTCGTTCAGAGCCATAGCCACCGCCATACGATTCCTCGCGACCTTCTTCGCGACTACCCCGGCGGCCGTGGTGCTTCGGACGACTCTCTTCGTTCTCACCATAGTCGCGTCTGTATTCGCCTCTGTACTCGTTAGAACGTCTCTGGTACTTCTTCTTCTTCTTCTTCTTCTCATCATCGTCACTGTCATCGTCACTGTAATCATCGGATCGCCCTTTCTGCTGCTTCCGGCGATGCTTCTCTTCCTTCTCGCGAGCCTTGCGTTCCTTCTTGGCATACTTGTCCTCCTCCTCGTCCGAATCCGAATCTTTCTTCTTGCCGTGACGTCTCCAGGCAAGTCAGTAGCGGTGACGATGCAGAAATAGAGTGAAGATGGAAAGAGATAAGGGCCGACATGGAAACGAAAATGTGAGTGAGCTTACCTGGATTCGGAACCGTACTCGCCAGATCGTTCATAAGTGTTGGTGCGAGTCTCCTGTCGGTACGAGCTGCTAGATTCAAATCTGCGCTCTTCAGTGCGTTCATAGTCTCCACCACTGTGGCCATGTGATGGCCTCTCGCTTGATTCGAAACTGTAGAACTCCTGGCGGCGGGCACCACCGGGGTAATCGGTTTGACTAAACTGCGCCTGGCCGTAACGCTCGTTGTCGCCACGGCCCGAGGACGGGTGGTGGCCCAGCTCCGAATACGACTGGTTGTAGCCACCGTCATGCTGATAGCCCACCTGCTGGTAGCTGCTCTTCTCTTCGCCGCCAAAGGCTCCGCTCAAGAGCGAGCCACCAACGCCTCCCACCACACCTCCAACAATGTTGCCAAGCAGGCCGCCGCCAACGGCTTCGCCCACAGCGTTGCCAACCCCCTGGCTGATTTGATCGTGTGGCAGTCCGCTACTATCTCCATACCCACCAGAAGGTTTGTCACCGCCTATAGCCTGGCTAATGCCACCCAACAAGCCAGCGCCAACCACGCCTCCAACAGCACCGCTTGAGCTTGAGGTGCCGATGTTTGGCATACCAAGGGGCTTGCCACAGCCGTGGCCCTTGTCCTCGACGCCTTCCTTGTGGTTGCGGCCTTCCTCGACACCGTTGCGGCTCAGCTTATCGCGGAGCTCGTCACGACCACGATCGCTTTGCCCTTGCCACCATTGCTCAACAACGCGGAACATCTGAGACCGACAGTCTCGTGCGCCATCATCACCGTACTCACGGAGAGCTGGGTGATGAAAAACGCCGTTTATAATGCGATTGATGGTACGGTCGACATCGGCGCGCTCATCGTCCCAGCACTCGACGATCTGAGGCACGACCCACTTGAGTACTTGACTTGCCACCTTGCCTGCGGGTTCGTTTAGAACGTTGCTGAAGTGGTCCTTGGAAATCATGGAGTGTGTCGGATCCGTCGAGTAGTCGTCATGGAAGACAATCAGCTGCTTCTCGCGACTAGACTGGATGATCTCGGACGAGCCGGTGCTGAGCTCCGCCTTGACTTGTTTAATGATGGGCAGTACGAACGGTGCGATGAGGCTGAAGACGAAGATGTTGAGTTGTTCCTGCAATTGTTCGAGCAAGTCCGGCAGGATGGGGATCTTGTCGATGGTTTCGGTAATTCTGCGCATGAGGTTGTCGTGAAACTCTAGAACAGGGTAAATCTGCTGTCGTAGTGCCTCGGCTTGGCGTGCAAATTCCTCTGGTTCCTTAGGTGATATAGACATTTGCTGCATCTGGGCGTTCGTGGCGTTCTGTTGCAGCTCATCGACCTTGCTAGATTCACCTCCGCCGATGATCCCCGCAGGGAGTTTGTCAAGTATGCCTTGGATCACGCTGGCGCTCTGACGGTTGCGCTCTGCGTTGGAAATGGTCCCCTCAAGCTCGTCGATCTCAGACTGCGTAGCCTTGTCAGAAAGCTCGCCCATGACAGAATGAAGGAAGTCGACGCCTCCAAATGTGCCGGTAATGAGCGGCCAGATAGGCTCACGAGCTCCGCGAACTTGCATCTGAGTACGGCGTCCAACGTGAGGGAAGACGTCACGCTCACCCATCTCGATCAAACAGAGTTCGACGTAGTTGGAATGGGCAGAGAAGTCTGACCACGGGTTAGCACTGGTCTTAAGCTACGTGTTTTCGCTCAAATCAGGAAACAATCACCTTCTAAGCAGTGGTTTGCAGTGCCCAGCAATCGGAAGGCCTCGTAGAGATCGTCGTCATTGCCATTGCGTCTGGCTCTGCGGCCAAGCTCAATACAGCGTCTGTACAGATCCCTAACGAGTCCAGCAGAGGTGGTGATACCGGCATCTTCAGATGCAATGTACTTTTTAAGACCAGTGCGCTCGTCGATAGACAGCTCGCGGCGTTCGTCGACCGGCCCTCGAAGTCGACGGTCGTAACGACGGGCATCTTCATTGTCAGCGTAGTCCTTCGGGTTGTCGATATGCTCCTCAGGGCGATAGCAGCCGAGACGCTCGGTTGTAACTTCAAATTCACGCGTGCCATAGCCGAAGCTCATGAAGCCTAAGATCCACAGCAGCAAGCGAATTGCTTCGGCACTGACCATCTTCAGAGTGCCTACCTATGGAGGAGATTAGTCAAGTCGAACCTTGGTAGTTTTGTGCAATTCTCGCATACGTCGACAGCCTGACTGTAGTCGCGTAACCAATTACCAAAGTACACACGTTTCACGTCAAGCTTGGAGAACTTCTTGTTGGTAGCACGGCTCATGAGCAGCGCAAGCAAAGTGTCTTCGATGTCGCTTGGGCACTGTTAGCCGGGACTGGGCCCAAGACTTCCAATCACGAAAAAACGTTACCCGTGACGCCAATTCTCGCCTTCAATACGTGAAATCGAAGCGATGTTGCCTGCACCGAAGGCGTGGGCAGGACGAGCCCATAGCACTAGTAGCACCAGACACAGCAGAAAGGTGGTACCGTCTGAAGCTCTGAACATCGCCATGCTGCAAGAGGGAAGCTCTGAAGATCGAAAAGAGAGACTGGAGTGTCTGGAAAAAAATTTTTGATCCTTTTTTGTCACTGTGCCAGCTAGGAGTTTGTTGAGTATTGTAGCTTACACGTAGGTCATGCTATCTGCGCAAGCGTAGAGGGGCAGCGTCTTGGCTAACATCACACGCCGCGCTCGTCTATGAAGCCAAGAAATGCTTCTGACATGCTAGGACCAATTGACTCATGGCATTCATGCCGTGTGAGACGGCTTGGCGTCGTGAAAGAAGCTGATGCGAACGGGGGTGACAATGAAGATGAATCCAGAGCTGAAATGTTACTGTAGCTGGAAGTACGACTGGCGACTGTGAAATGGAAAAAAACACTGCAGAAAGACTAATGTGCGTAGGACGGATACAAGGCACACGCCATGCGCCAGATGACAGAGTCCACGACGGTCTTCTTAATACCATATCACAGGTCGGCAACGTGGTGGATTGCTTCAAGGTATTGTGTCGAGCAGACTCCAGCAGCAACCGCGGCTCTACACAGCTCTTGTTTGGCTCAGCGAGCACAACGGACGGCTTAGATGCTGAGGTTTGTAGGCCTCTTCGAGCACGTGTGAAGGCTCCGGGACCATGCAGAGACGATGCAGCGGGAATCAGCAAGCGTGATGATCGATCGCCGAGTGTAGACTCCATGTGCACGACAGGTTTTCGTCACCGTTGTCGCCGTCCTCGACGGCATTGTCGCAGTGCCACCAGCCATCACAAGCTGCCGTAGTCATCGCAGTGGTCACTGTAGTCACAGCATAGAACACAGCCATCTGGCGAGGCGTGGAAAAGAAGGCGAGCATCAATCAACTCTCGCCACAAAAGAATGCTCAGCCCTTTTCCCAGCGGGCGTGGTGTTGGTAGGAAAGACCCCCCACGTGATGCGCTCCCGGACCAGCCGGCACAGTGTTGCTTGTGAGTGTGAGAGTGGTGCAATGTTGATGCCTTGTTTATGCTTGATATTCTGCCTGAGGCTCGAAACCTCGAGTCCTGGTCTGCTGACTCAGCACCGTTCACTTTCCCTCTCTCTTGCCTTTGCTCACTCGCTGTCTCCAGTCAAACACGCAACACATCGCAATCACATCGGCGCCCGTACATTCTCCGACACATACCCGCTTCACTCTTTTCCTTATTCTCGATTCGCTTCGTTCTGTCCTTCACCCCCTCCTTGTTCTCTTCGCACTCCCGTCAGTTATGGCTGACAACACTGCAGCGACCAGTGTTTCCGTTCTCTGTGCCTATCCCGTGTCCAGCATCTATGACTTCAACCACAGGTTGGTATCCAACTTTCCTCATCGCACACGGAACCGACTTCAGCGCTTTCAATATCAGCGTCCTTGTCGGCGATTCCGTCGGGCTTGCGTCATCTGCTAACCCTAGTACCCTAGGTTCGTCTACTATGTAGCGCTCGCGGTTATCCTGCTCGCTCCTCGTCATCGCTGGATCACCCCTGCCGCATTCGCCTTCTGCACCCTTTACACCGTCTTCTCCACCCTTTACGTAGGCGCCCTGTCTATCGCACCGAGCCGTCTCGGCCCCAGCCTGGATATCTTCGCACTCAACAGCCTATTCCTGACCAACACGTACGCTCTCGCCGCTGCCGTGTTCTGTCGCCCAGATTTGATCAAAGGCAAACGAGGCTGGCTTCAATGCATTCGAGCTTTCGTTTGGCTATGGGTCGGTTTCATCACCGCTACACTGGCCAAATCTTCCTTTGAACGGTTTGCCCAGAAGGCTGTTGTTGAGGTTCAATGCTTTGCTGAAAACGCGCCCTCGGCGCCAGCAAACATCTTTGCTTTCGGCGAGCTTGCCTGCGAGAATCCTTGCGTTGTGCCCGAGACGTCTGTTGCCTACGTTTTGCAAGAGCAGCTCGCTCCTATGGTTTGGGGCTCGCTTGACACGGCTACCAATTCCTTCTCCAAAATGTCCATTCCTTCCTTGACTCTGACCGAATACGCCGTCGTCATCCTCTTCGCCGTGGCTCTCGCCTCCACCCTTTGGATCAATTTCTTTACCAGCCCACAGATCACCCGCAACACAATCTTCGCGTCCCTGACGCAAGGAAAGAACGATTCTCGTGTCCGTGTTGTGCTGGCCAAGATTGCTGCCTTGACGTGGTACAGCTGGAGCTATTTCGCGTTGCTGCTGGTTGCCCTAGCCACGCCGTTTGTGAGCTACGTGCAAGAGCAGCTTCTTGTTCGCTATCCTACTGTGCAAAACAGCTGCCTTGTTCGCCAATGGGTGCCTTGGGCGATTGGAGTTGCCCTTTTCCTCGTCAAGGTTGCCGTCTGGCGTCGCAGAAGGGAAGCTTGGTCGAAGGAGAAGGCGTGTCGCATTCGCCGCTTCAACACCGCACTGCTCCGCTTGCAGCGAGGTGTAGAGCTGCCTCTGCCTCTGCCAGAGCATCATCACGCGGAGAAATGCACAGCAGCGCAGGGCCCTGCCTCTGAAAACCCAGATTCTACTGTTCCGTCCAGCCCTCTCCCAGGGCTGCGATCAATGAAGCACCGCATCGAAATCGCACACACACGCAAGATCAGCGGGCTGGTGGACACTATATGCGAGTTGAAGGAATGGTGGATGGACCCAGCTGGCAAGAAGGAGGCGGAGTCAGCCACTGCAGATGAAGAGAAAGCTCTTCTGAAAGGACATTATTGAGCACCAGTACGGTGAGAGTTTACTATCAGAATAAGGGTGATGCGTCCGAAGTCGCATTGATTTCCAAAAGTTGCTTCAGAGTGCAGAATCTCGACATGTTGCGAGTTGGCGTGTGACGAATTTTGTTGGTATGCTTGATGCCTGATGCCTTCCAACCCAGCCCTTCTTGAGCACGGCGCAACTTGGCATCCTTCCGGCAGTTATCGATATGGTGAAGCCCAACGTACAGCCGTTCCCCACTTTAGACAACGGTGAATCGGGTAATCTAAGTGTGTACTGGTAGAAATCGAACCGTTCTGGCTGCTCAAAGACAAGGCTCATGCAGTAAACGTGCCGGCCGAGCACGGTCCGGGCTCTGGGTCAGATCGGAATGCTTCTCCTCATGGAGAGGCCACTAGTAGACTGAGGAGAACGCTACGCGAGTTCAAGCTCGGCAATCAAGATTGCATCAAGAAGAAAAAAAAAGAAAAAAAAAATCAAGTGCACAACGGTAACGACGGTCTACGCTCCAATATGGTTGTGAATCCACGATCCATTTTTTCTCCGCTCCGGCGCGTTCGTAGCTTTATCGCAGGAAGCTCTTCTCGCGGAAAAGCGAGATGCAGGGGATAAGCTTTTGGAGCTTCTTTGAAACTTCGAGCGGGGGCAGCGCAAAAAGCATACGTCGCGTGCGTCTGGTAGCGCAACCCACAACGGCCCCAGATGAGAAAATGGGAGAGCCAGAATTTCGAAGAGGGTCACTACGTCCATCGACTTGCAGTCAGTGGGATATCCCACAAGACGGCACAGTTCAACAGCTGGCTTGTACGAGATGTGATTAAGAGTGCCCACTCGAGGCCAAGAACGCCCTGCTGGTCGCACTTGAAGATGATTATTTTTCTTCGTTTGCTTGTTGCTACCATTGGGTGTTGAGACGGGGGGTCACGGCTCGAGAGAACAAAAGCGACATGCAGGGAAACTTTGAGGCGTAAGCTGCGCTCCGGCCGCCTTCCGGCCGCCGACATCGTCAAAAGAAGGCGATTGAGCAGTGCTTCTGTTGGGTGTCTGGGACCACATTTGTGTCTAGTGCAGTTTGCGCTGGCCGGGGGGGCATTACGCCAGCAAGGGTGGAAGGCTTTTTGCCTATTGCTGGAAAGACAAGACGCGGCTCCATCAGAGCAATGGGGGAAGTTACAATGCGGGAGCGTGTTTCTTCACCTTTGCCGGTCGGCGAGGAAGCAGGGCACATGTGCATGCCTGGACGGGAGGAGAAGAAGAGGAAGAAGAAGAGGAGGAGGAGGGAGGAGAGTCGTATCCGCCGCGGCACGATGGCAAAGGGTCCGAATGCGGAGTCGGGACAGACGAAGAGAGGCAAAGATGGAGGGACGCACAGAGAGAGTGTGTGCGAGAGAGAGGAGAGCCTGTGAGCGTGAGTGAGTGTGTGTGTGTCTGGCTGGGTGCCTGTTTTGCGTATGAGCGATTGAGCGGCTGCACTGAGAGCAGACGTTGACGATGACGGTACGCAACGGCGGGTCCGGCTCAGAAGGCGTCGCGGAACGGCCTCCACGGGAACGACGGTGGGTGCCAGCTCGATCCCGGGCGAGTCATGGAGCCGCTGGACGCTGAGCCTGCTGCGAGCTGCGGGCTGCTGGCTGCTGGCTGCTGGCTGCTGGCTTCGGTGCGGTGGAGGTGCGCGCGCTGTTGGTCGACGACTTTCCACGGGCTCGTTGGCAGCGCTGGGCACCGCACAGACCTGCGCCGCACGTGACCGCCGCCCGTCAACGCCTGGCACTCGCGCCCGTCTCTTGCCTGCTGCTTCTCTATCAATCTGCTGCCACCATCCTCATATCCAACCCCCTCGAGCAGACGGCGACGGAGGTGGCCTTTTCGTTTCCTTTCAGTCGCAACCCCCTTCGGCTTCCTCCCTTGACCCGCGCTTTCGTTCGTTTCCCTTCTTCCCCTCTCCCCGTCACGCCCCCCCCCCCATCCGCCTCGCAATCGTCCCGGCGTCCGCCTTCCAAGCGGCCGACCCACCACGCCTTCTTCGTGCCCTTCGCCCACTCCATCCCCCACACACCCCAAAAAAACAGGATAGCCATGAACACCATTGCGAATTCCGCCAGGAGTGGCTGGGACCGCATGACGAGAGCGCCCTCGATACCCTTTGGCGGCCACCGGTCCAACGCCAGCGACTTGCAGCAAGCTCACCGCCCCGTTCGCACCGCGACAGCGCCCGTCACCTCGGCCGCGCCTGCAGGCCACGCCCAGGTCACCCTCTCCTTCAATGTGCCCTTCAACTCGGAGCTCGCCGGGCCAAGGCGCGAAGAGGTCATCTACGCATCGCCAGGCGCTTTTGATCGCTGGGTCCAGCCCGAAGGCGCCGAGGACAAGCCCGTGTACGAGCTGCCTGTGCACGCGCAGCACCGCGAAAATCTCGAGATTTTTTGCGAGAACATCGTACACAAGACAAATGGCGGCGTCAGGTACTTTATCCGGTCCGGTCATCCCAAGCCCGTCGCCGGCATGCCGCCAAGATCCAAGGCCTGGGTCACCAATGTGTGCCTCCGTGGCCCTTACGACGTCGTCCAAGGCGCCCGTCAGGCCATCCTGAACTCGATGCCGATATCACTGGTATGCTCGGTGCTGGCACTGTGCACTGTGAAATGATGCTGATGCTTCCTAGCGTTCCGCCGTCATCGACCTGGACGAGCACCTAGTCTCCGGCAAACGACCGTCGGACGGCGCCCACGGCATATCAGCGGAGTTCCTCGCCCATCTGGACAAGACGGCCCACCATACGCAAGCCGATATCTTCTTGTTGAAGCCCAAGCCGCTGGATGATGCCGTCAGTCTGAACGGCAGCATCGAGGCCGCGAGCAGCGAAAAGCTTCGTATCGTAGTCTTTGGCGACATGCTGACCGAAGAGCATGCCAAGATCAGGCTCTTGATCATGATTGACCAGCTGGTACGTTGAACTCTTTTGATCCAAAATAAGAGACCCAGGCAGGTGAAACCTGTTCGGCTTACCATGTGACAGCATCGACTCCACGTCGACACAATGCCAATCGATCTGACACTGCACACCTTGATTCAAGGGCGGGGCCGCAAGAACATTACCGCCATCGAGTCGGCTACGAACACGACAATTTACTTCCCACCGCCGTTCCCTCAAGTGTTTGGCTACGTTCCGCCGGGCGCTATCCGTAGACCGGAAGACGAGATCATCATCACTGGCAAAAACGCGAGCGAAATCACGGACGCGAAGCTGCGATTGAGGAACTTGGTCGTGGCAGCTAAGCCTTTCTTCAAAGATGTCAACATCACCGACACCAAGATTGACGACATCATTCTTGGCCGCCTCGACAAGGTTCGAAAGCTGATGGAGCTGAACGGTGCCTTTGTCGTGTTTCCGTCTGTTGGTCGCAGAATTGGGCGCATCCGCGTACAGGCAACAGACATGCTCAACGTTGAGCGTACGGTTCGTGAGGTCATGGCATTGGCGTCGCAGTTCTACAGCGCAACTTGGCTCGTCCAAGGCCAGGCCGACTTCAGCGCCTACACCGAGGAACTTTTCGAGGGCCTGGGTGACATCTGCATCAGCTCGGGCGCCGAGGTCATCTTTGAGAACAACACGTTCCACGTTTTCGGGTCCGATGACTCGGTCAAGCTTGCCATGCACGTCATCAGCGACACGCCCTTTGCTAAGTACCAGGCCGCGCTGTCTGTCAAGGTCGAGCTCGCCAACGAGCACAAGGAGTTTGTCAGCGGCAAGAAGAATGGCAAGATCAACAAGATCATGAGTCACTCCAATGTCCAGATCGTGTTTGACGGTTTCAACGAATACAACTTCTACATCGACATTCGTGGCCAGCATTACGATGCCATCAAGAACGGCTTGGAGCTTGTCGAGCAGGAGATGCCTGCTTCGATCTCGTTCCATGTTCCCGATCAATACCACAAGCGCATCATCGGCATCGGCGGTCAGCACATCCAACGCATCATGAAGCGCTACTCTGTATTCGTCAAGTTCTCGAACGCAATGGACCGAGGTGCCCACGGACGAGACGATGAGGACATCAAGGTCGACAATGTCATCTGTCGCACGCCAACGCGAAACGCCCAAAATCTGGAACTAGTCAAGCAAGAGATCATGGACATGGTGGAAAAGGTCGACGCCGAGTTCGTCAACGAGACCGTGTTCATCGATAGACTTTACCAGCGCGACATGATCAAGCGTATGCCTGAAATCGAGCAGCTTGAGAAGAAGTGGAACTGCAAGATTACTTTTCCAAATCCTGAAGAGGCGAGCAACAACGTCACCATTTCCGGGCCCGAGTACCAAATTCCGCATGCTGTTGATGGTTTACTGGTAATATCCCCACCCTGGATGTTCTGCCTTTGCGGGTTAACGTGCTAACATACGACGCACAGGGGATGGTGCCAGAGTCACACGAGCTTGCCTTCTCTGCCTCTCCTGAGCTGAAGGAGTACTTGCGAGGGCCAGAATTTCAGTCCGACGTTGTTACTACCATGCGTGAACAGTACTGTCTCGATGTCCGCCTCGACCCAAATTGGAAAGCACCTGCCGACCTTTCCGATCCTGAATGTCTTGTGCTTAGCTACACTCGTAACAACGCTGGTGGCCTCAAAGATGCCATCGATGCCCTCGTAGCTAAGCTGGTTGCCAAGGGTCTTAACGCCGAGACAGTGAAGGGTGCTATTCCCAGGCCCAAGTCAGACTCGTTCGAGGACTCTCTTCCTTTTTTCGAGTCGAAGCTTCTGCATCAAACAAAGCCATCCAACACTGATTCACCAACTCGTTCCAACTTCGGTGATGTCGAAGGCGAAAGCTCGAGCTTCTTCTCCAAGTTCCGCAAGCCGGGAAGCATGACGTCCTTCTCCTCACTCATCGACCGACGTCGAAACGGTACCAACTCGCCGGGTTCGCTGTTCAAGCACGCTTCAAGCAACGCCTCGAAAGCGTCACTGGCAAGTCTGGAATCCGTCAGCAGCTTTTCGCGGAATCCATGGAATGACAGTGGCATCAACCTTCCTGAAGAAGAGGGCGGTGCTCTCCACCTCGGCGGCAATGGCTGGCATCATCCTCCACCAAGCTCTCACAGCATGACCAATGGCAAGTTCCCGTCCTTCGGCACTCTGCCAACATCCCACGCCAACGGCTCCGTCGCATCGCTAGGTCCACATCCAGTACCAGGTGACACCACGCCGACCTCACGCTATGACGTCCGCGGATCTGTTGACAGCGGTCGCCCCAGCACTTCTCATTCTTTCAAAACCGCTTCTACTATTACAACTACCACCACTACTACAGGATACCCGGGTCCGATCGGCCCACCACGTTAGAGATACCAAAAAAAAATTTACCTGCAACTACAAAAGCGGCCAATGATGAACAATACCCACAATGGTTTATAACGCAAGATACCACTCTTACGGAGCACACGAAAAGGAAATACCCATTTTGCGATGTTTTCTGATTTATTCAACTTTTTTTTTTCCTTCTTTCTGATATCTTGTACCTCGTATCGTGAAAATTGTTGGGCTGGAAAGCAAAGCTATCAAATGCTATTGTGCTAGTGAAAGTGCTTATCCTTGACGTTGAACTTGTTTCCTGAGAATATTGTTGCCTTCTCAGTCGTGGCGAAATCTTCTCAGGAAAGAGACGACGGGAACATGTTGGCTTGGGTTTATACATATGACTTTGAACGGGGATGGTGTAAAGGTGTGCTTTTGTTTTCAATGCGGCTGTCTCTTGACAGTGGCCAGCTCTCGGGACATCGTCCAATGTTCAAGAGGCTTGACTTGAAGAACATGGCCCACGTTACCTTTTTGCTTGCTGCATTTGCGATGATACCACTCAACCATAAATCTGGCGCCGCTCTGCATTCTTTTCTAGCAAATAAGACGATACTCACTCTCTTGCTGGGACACGAGAGGACGTATTTCTGCATCATTTGAAGGACACGCAACTTAAACTCGTGGGTGCAGTGGAGATCAGCTTTGTGGGATCAATTTGAGCACAATGACGCGATGTAGGATGACGGCTGGATTGTGTGGGGCTGCTAATTCAGCTAAAGTCTGGTATCGCGGTATCAAGTATACGGGTAATGCAATGAGCAGATTCAAACTTGCGTTCTCCATCCTTCCCACCGCTCATTCGTACATTTACTCTTGGTCATGGTGAAGGAGATTTGATCACGTGACTTTTTCCGATCGTACAATCCCTTTCAGCTCGGCACCTTCAGACGTTCACTGCAAAAGTGCGAAACCTGAGCTCGACGTAACATTGAGATGCTTGGAAGACACCTTGAAACCCAACACATTACAGCTTCTGTGGCCCCAATGCGATGATGAGCTTGTACTGACTTCTGTCACCTCCTCGCTCGTAGCATTGTCTCTCCTCGCATCAGGTAGCGATGGCACTTGATGCTAGGCACGAAGCCTTCACAGCTTGGGCAAAGCTGCGAGGAGTCGTCATCAAAGGTGTTGCACCCGCCAAGTTCCCAGGCAAGGGTTTAGGTGTTGTGGCGACCCGGAATCTGAAGGTTGGTAGCGTCCATTCCGTCATTAGGGTCGAGAAGCCAGATTTACAGAACCAAACGGTCAGAAAGGAGAATCCGTCGTCTCTATACCAGCTTCAGCGCTGATCACGCACGACTCAAACTTTGTGCGCGAGTCCGGCATCGCTCGAGGCACGGTTTATGGCGTAGTCGCCGCCGCGTTAACACTCAACCATGAAAATGACGACCGCTGGTACAAGCCATGGCAGGACGTTTGGCCTTCTCGAGAAGACTTCGAGGAGAGCATGCCGCTGTGTTGGAGCGAGGAAGAGCAGATGATGCTTACTCCGGCCGCGCAGACGCTGCTCAGATGTCAGCGGGAGAAGTATGAACGTGATGTCCAGACTTTACACGCCAGCATTCCCGAGCATCTGAGAGATTGGTACAAGTACTACTGGCTCGTGGTCAACACGCGCTGCTTCTATTGGGCGTTTTTCAAAAAGGCCAGAGACGAAGCGAGGAAGGGAAGGAAGTTGCCTAGAGATGAATGTCTGGCGCTAGTTCCATGGGGTGACTATTTCAACCACGAAGATCACGGAGTAAGCGTGAATGCGAGATGTTGGAAATCCCATGCTGACATTTTACGTCGTACCGAAGTGTCGAGTGGTGGAGGATGTGCAAGGTGCCGCGATCATTTGCGACAGAAGCTACAGTTTGTACCATACCGTCGGCATGCGAAGCAGAGGATTCTGACGTGCAAAAGGCAAGGGTGAAGAAGTTGTGGTGTCCTACGGAGCACATAGCAACGACTATTTGCTAGTCGAATGTAAGTTGACGGCGACTTTTATACACGGAGTCGAGTCTGCCATTTAACACGACCGCAGACGGCTTCATCTTGGCCAGCAACCGACATGACTGCACAACGATAGATCACTTGATTTTGCCTTTGCTCAGCGAGGGGCAGCGCAACCTGCTTGAGGACCATCACTACTTGGGAGAGTACTATCTCAGTCCGGCTGGCCTGTGCTATCGAACCCAGGTTGCCATTCGCGCCATGGTCACCTCAAGCAAGCGAATGCAGAGTTTCTTAGCCGGCGAGTACGACGGCGAGATGGAGAGCAAGAAGATGGACAAAAAAACGCGCGAGATCTGGGCGTTGTTGAGGAAGTTTATCGAGCAAAACATCGCGCGCAGCGAGGCGGCCGCCAAGAGCACGGCCTCTTCACGCATGACAAGCTCGAGATGGTGTCAACTTGAGGTTATGTTAGACGCTGGAGAATCAGCCACGCTTGGTGTTTGATAGACGTGGAGGCAAAAGATTGCAAAAGTCGTGTGATCCAAAGATAGATGTATATACTGTCTCTTCTTTTATTGATCTTGTCTGGTCTGATCTGATTCTTGTACTCTATTCTAATCGCGTAGCAGAAGCCCTGGTATTTCTCTCTCTCTACCAGGCTCATGCCTTTGTTACCAAGCAATCTTAGCTACAGGACCATTTGGATACCTTCTCACAGCCCACTTCCTGGCCTCGTCGATGAGCAAGATCCCAACACCGAATCCCATGGGAATAAACCAGTGTTCAGCAGGGACCTGCGAAGTCCCGAGTTTCTCGTGGAAGATTGAAACGTAGAGGAAGAAGATGGCGATCAAAAAAGAGAAAAAGACGGCCGGGAAGAGGTACAGGTTCCTAGTTTCCTTGCGAAACAGTGGCGGATGCTGCAGGAGCGAAAGCCTGCGTGTCCGGACCGCCATAAGATTGAACCATTGCCTGGACAACAGGTTAGAGACGGGGCTTGGCGCCAGCGTGAATTGGACGAGCTTACATGACAACCAAGTTCACGAAGTAAATGGAGGAGGCAGTGTTTAGGATCTGGTTCATCGTGTCAGCCGACATGTTGGCCGGCGACGCGCCGAAGCCGAACCACAAGACGCTAAAGGGTAGGCCCTTCCGTTGGGCGTACCAGTAGGACATTGCGAACGAAAGGGTCGTCTGCAAGACACCTGTGATTCCGTAGGCCTGCAGGATCAGCTTCCAGTCGACGAGGTGGTCCTTCTTCGGATTCCTCGGTCTCAGTCTCAGCACGTCCGCCTCGGGCTTCTCGTACGCGATCGCGGTCGCGGCGGCGCAGTCGGTGAAGCAGCAGATGATGATCATCAAGAAGGAGGACAGGATCTGCGGAAGTCCGAAGACGACGTTGGTCATGACGGGCCAGAACTCCGAGAACGAGCCGGCGGGCAGCAGGTAGCAGATCGTCTTCTTCAGGTTGTCGAACACCACGCGGCCGTACTTGACCGCCTCTACGATGGCGGAGAAGGAGTCGAGAAGGACCATGTCGGCCGCCTCGACGGCGATGTCGGAGCCGGAGCCGACCGCGATGCCGATGTCCGCCGTCTTCAGAGAAGGCGCGTCGTTGACTCCGTCGCCGGTCATGCCGACAATCTCGCCGCGAGACTGCAGCTCCTTGACGATCCGCAGCTTCTGCTCCGGCGTCGTTCTGGCAAACACGATCTCGTCGTACGCGCAGAGCCTATCCCACTGCGACTCGTCAAGGCTCTTGAGCTCCTCGCCGCTGACGGCGATGGCGCGCGTCGTCGGCGTGGACGGGATCACATCCGAGACCGCGATGACGGACAGGTCGCTCGCCGACTCGACACAGTCCTGCGGCACTGTTATGATCCCGCATTCCGCCGCGATGGCCTGCGCCGTGAGCTTGAAGTCGCCCGTGACCATGTGCACCTTGATCCCCGCGCCGCGCAAGGTTCGGATCACGTCCGGGATCTCGTCCTTGGGTGGGTCGACGATGCCGACGATGCCTACGAATTCAAGCTGACTCTTCGACTCGTCCATGATCGTGTTCTCAAACTCCTCCGTCTGGATGCCCAGCAGCATGTGCTTGGAAGAGAGGGCTTTGCGCGCCAGCAGAATAACGCGCTTGCCTTGCGCTGACCATTTGTTCTTGACGTTCTCGACGTACGTTCTCTGCTCTTGGGAAAGCGCCTGGGTCTCCCCGTTGCCGTCCACGTAGAACAGACATCGCGGGAGGAGGATGTCCGGTGCGCCCTTGATTGTGAGGATGGGCTTGGAATCTGACGTGTGGTTGAACTCCTTGCAGCTGTCCGAGAGACCGACGACCTGGATCATGAACTTGTTTTTCGAGTTGAACGCGACGCGGTAGATGCGCTTCCACTTTTCTCGCGTGCTCGAAACCGGTATGATGGACTCGGCAAAGCGTAAGATTGCTGAATCGGTGGCGTCGCCCATCACCTTGCGCTGATCTATAGGCAGGTGGTTCGTGGTCACATCAAAGTCGCCAGCATTGCATACGGCGGCAATCTCGGCAAGATCTCTCAGAGCCTTTGACAAAGGCTCTGGCCTTTCGTTTCTCTGGCTTAGATGGACAATGCCAGCCGCAGTATTGGCCGGCATCTCCTCTCGGGCAACCATGCAGTCGCTGACCGTCATCATGTTTTTGGTGAGCGTTCCCGTCTTGTCAGAGCATATTGTGCTGACCGATCCAAGAGTCTCTACCGTCTTGAGTGACTTGCAAAGGATGTTGTTTTTCTTCATGACCGCGGCAGTGATGGTGAGACTGGCTGTCACGGCAATAGGGAGCCCCTCAGGAATGAACGCAACGGCTACCGATACACAGTCGACGATCAAAAGAGAGACTGAGATCCAATCGGGATGATCTTTGCGAAGCCAAGCTGCCCTATACGTTTTTGTCAGCTGGGTTGTTTAGTCGGATATTGTCGCGTCTACGCACCAAACAATAATGACAACGACGACCATGGTAAGCATGATGGCAACGATGGTCGCCACAAAGTAGTAGATCTCTTTCTCCAATAGTGTGAGACCAGTGTCAGGTGTGCTCGTAAGCTTCGCAAGCTAGACACAACAATTTAGTACGAAGCACAACAGATTTCTAAACTTGACTTACCTGTCCAAAGATGGAACGGTCTCCTGTAGACACTACAACGCCCATTGCGCTTCCAGACACACAGTGGGTGCCTGCCATGCCAATACAAGGTGTTTCCATCTGCAACCTTTTGTAAGCACTCTCAAAGATTCAGGTCACGTCAGTCCGCCCAATACGTACGTAGTTCTTTTCAGCCGAGTCGACCACGCCGCGCAACGGCTCCGCTTCGCCAGTGAGAATTGACCGATCGAACTTTGCATCCGGCGAAGCTTCGATGAACCGAACATCTGCAGGCAACTTGTCACCTAGACGGATGAACAGCAAGTCACCCGGGACTAGCTCTGCGGCAGGGACCTCTCTTCGGCTTCCATCACGAAGGACGACGCAATTATCTGGCATGAGATTCTTGATCGACGACATGACACGAGAGCTCGACCAATCTCACAGAACGGTCAGCAGCGAAACAACACGGTGAGGGAACAGCTCACCTTGATAGAAGGCAAAAGTGGCTTGTATTAGCCACACAATAGCAAGGACGATAGCGAGAGCCAAGTTTGCGACGGCTGGGGGGTCACCGAGGGGCTTCCAAGCGATGAAGACCAGTATGGAGGCAACAAAGAGGACCGAGCCAAACCCGCCATAGAGATAGCCGATCGTCTTGCGAAACCAACGAGAGGGCGGTGGAGTTAACACGTTACGGCCAACCTCTTTTATCTTTCTGGCTACCTGGTCACTGGACAGGCCCTGGCTAGGGGACACGGAAAGGCGCTCAAGGACATCGTCTACCGGAAGCAGATGCCACTCGAGGTTGGCAATATCTGGAAGACTTCATTAGCAGCCGCCGGACTCGACGCAGCGTTTTTGTTGTCCCCACCGGTTGTCACATTCTTTGCCTTGGTCTCGCGGTCGGGAACACGCTCTTGGGAGTCGGCAACGTTGAAAGAGCTTTTGAGACGGGGTCAGAAAATCACAGCGCCGACCTGGAAAGTTCAAAAAGGCACACGAACATTGTGCGGTACTGGATTGGAAGTGCGACGGCAGGGTCGACGAGGCTGCGAGAGCGCGACAGGCTTGAACGAGAGGAGTCTCGCGACCTGCTGCGCTGGAGACCAGCCGCGTTTTGCCTGCCGGCCCGTTCTATGTCGATGTCATCCGCATATCGGATACGAGGCTCTGGTTTTATGTCGGGATCAGCCATGATGAAAAACTTGACGGATTGTTTGCGGCGTTCAAAGCAGCGACAAGCTGGGAAGACGAGGGGCCCAAGATGGAGTAGAAGAAGGATAGAAAAAAAGTTCACTATCGTTTGCTCATGGTCGCAATTTATATTCGTAGTGAATGCTTACAGCGGCTGCACCGACGATATGCCAATATACACGTGCTGAGGGATTTTCGACAGCGACAAGTTCGACCTGGTTCAGCCACGGCGAGACGGAACGATACTCAATTCAAACAAGCCAGCAGAGCTCACGCATGCGGAACATGAAGCCTATGCTATCGAGCAGGTTTTTCTCACAACGTTGGTTCAGAGCTAGGTAGCATGCCTGAAGGTAGATCCGTAGGGTCTGGCGCATTACCCGGCCTGGATAGTCTGAGGGATTTCTTTTGATGAGACAGAACACAGCCTCCCAGGGCCAGGACTTTGGTAGCCAATCTGGAAGCGGGCTTTCACGTTATCATCGAGTAAGGGGATCCATCAGGATCTGTAGACCGCATTCGCGTGTCGCGGCAAGTACAACAGCCGCGAACTTGCGTCATAGAAGTCATGGCAAAACAGTACCGACAGAACGAAAGCGAAGGGGGCTGGAGTGCAGCAGTTCGGCGATTTAGACAAGACCTCGCGTACCAGAGCAGACCGAGGTTTCGGCATCGAATGAGCGCATGCGAGCTTTTGAGGGCAGCCACAGCAAGCTGTGATGCTGCTCGCTCTGCTATAAAATCGCGGCCCTTCTCAAAGGCCGAGGAGAGCCGTATGCGATTCAGAGGATGGGTGTGTGTGTGGGGAAGCGCAGCATCAGCCAACCGCATCAGCAAAAGACGAGTGCCAGGAGCACGTGGCAGAGATGAGACGGGCGATTTCTCTTTCATCACACGTACGGAGAATGAGCATCAGATAAGGCGCAGGGCAAACGATGATGAGGGAAGATGGGGTTTCTGTCGACAGGTCGAGAAGACGATGGCCCAAGCGCTGCTTAATTTCCTTCCGTGTGTCGTCACCTCCCGTGACTTCGCGTTAGCGCGATGCGGAACCGCGTAACGTCACGACTCTGTTCGGACAGCGACCGACCAGCTTTTCTCCAGTGAGAGACACGTCTTGCCTGCACCGCTTCACCATTCGCGTGTGCCAAAACGTGCTGACACGCTTAAGAAAACCCTGGCGGCGATTTGGGCCCGTTGCACAGGAGAGACGGGTGCGGCAATTGCACGACATCGGTGCCGACAGTCATCCATTTTTCACGCGTCCTGCATTCCAACTCAGCTCTGGGTAGATCCATCGACTAGCCATGCCGGCATCTTCTTCTTGCAGCATGAGTGCCGGTAGATCCCCTCGCAGCACGCCGGCTTCGTCACCTCCTCCCGACATGAACAACTCAGAAGACCGCGCTCAGTCCGACGAAATGCGCCACGAGATCGAAGAGATGGCAAGGAGGCGGCGAGAGGAACAAGCGGCACGCGACGCCGAGATGGAGAAAAAGCGAAACGAGGATCTCAAAGGAGGCCAGAAGCATATGGACGACAAGTTCAAGGCGCTGAATTACTTGCTCAATCAGAGTAAATTGTGGTCGGCCGTGATGCTGTCGCAGATGCAGCAAGAAGATGAGGGCCAGGAGGAGAATGACGTCGTCGCTCGGGATCGGGCAGCAGAACGCGAAGAGAAGGCAGAGCAAATTGCGGAAGAGTCGCAGAGGCGAGCAACGCGGGCCGCAACGAGCGGCGGCTCTGGCGAATCTCCTCGCAAGCGAGGACGGCCGCCCAAGAAGGCAAAGAAAGACGGCAAAATCTCCAGTTACTTTAAAAAAGATGACCTCGAAGCGAAGTCAAACAAGCTCACCGTCGCCGAGGCTGCCCGAGAAGATGCTGATAATGAGGTGAAGTCCAGCGATGTGGGGATTCAAAACCTCAAGTCTGCAAAGCAACCTAAGCTTGTGACTGGAGGTACCATGCGCAAGTACCAACTCGAAGGCCTTGAGTGGCTGACTTCGATCCATCGAAACGGCCTCAATGGCATTCTTGCCGACGAAATGGGCTTGGGCAAGACCATTCAGACCATCGCCTTTCTCGCCTATCTCCGCGAGGTTCAGAGCTACGGCCCATTTCTGATTGCTGCGCCTCTCAGCACGACGAGCAACTGGCTGGAGGAGTTCAAGAAGTGGACTCCTTCCGTGCCCGTCGTCCTCTACCACGGAACGAAACAAGAACGTGCCGTCATTAGGAAAAAGCACTTTAGGAATCCGGGCACGGCCGACTTTCCAGTCGTCATCACCAGCTACGAGATGTGCATGAACGACCGCAACTTTCTTAACAAGTACCAGTGGGGCTTTTTGGTCATTGACGAAGGTCATCGGTTGAAAAACCTGGACTGTCGCCTCATCCGCGAGTTGCAAACCTATCCTTCTGCCAATCGCCTTCTCATCACAGGCACACCACTTCAGAACAACCTGTCTGAGCTTTGGTCGCTGCTCCATTTTCTCATGCCTCAAATCTTTGCCAACTTTGACCAGTTCGAGTCATGGTTCGATTTCTCCGAGCTCAAGCAGAAGCAAGGGTACGAGACAATTCTGTCTGAGGACCGTCAAAAACAGCTCGTCACAAGTCTTCACGCCATTCTCAAGCCATTCTTGCTTCGACGCGTCAAGGCCGACGTGGAGAAGTTGTTGCCAAAGAAGCGAGAATACATATTGTATGCGCCACTGACGACCATGCAGCGAGAGCTCTACCAGGCAATCCTTGAAGGATCCAGCAGAAAGTATCTCGAATCCAAAGCTGCCGAGCGCTTGAGCATGAGCCGCTCAGTCACGCCGATGAGCGTCAGCGGCCGAAGCAGTCTCGGCAAACGCAAGGCCAGCGGCCATGACAGTGATTGTAGCACCCCAGCTAAGAGCACAAAGACAAGTCGAGAGTCAACACCTAGTAGGAGCGTACGGATTCGAAAAAGCAAGGTGCAGAGTTACGAGGAGCTCAGCGATCGCAAGTATTTTGCCCAGCTTGAGGCTGAACAGTCACACCACGAGCCGGAGGAGCTCTCGTCAGGCGCAGAGGAAGAGCACATCTTCGCAGAAACGCTTGCACTTGCTAAGAAGCAGATTGGTCAGAAGAAGCTTCAAAATCCAATTATGCAGCTGCGTTTGTGCTGCGATTCGCCGTACAACTTCTTCAATCCCTTCCTTCTTGAAGGTCAGAATGGCGAAGCCGGTGAACCGGACGAGACACTGATCACAACGTCCGGGAAGATGATGTTGCTCGACTCCCTGCTGCCCGCTCTGTTTAAAGATGGACACAAAGTGCTCATATTTTCTCAATTCAAAACACAACTCGATCTCCTCGAACAGTATGCATGGTTCCGAGGCTGGAAAGTTTGCAGAATTGACGGCTCAATCCCGCAAGCCGAGCGTCAGGCACAGATCACAGCCTTCAATGCGCCTGCCACAGGCAAGAACAAGAAAGATGCTGTCAATCTCTTCCTGCTCAGCACCCGCGCCGGTGGCCAGGGCATCAACCTAGCTGCGGCGGATACTGTGATTCTATACGACTCGGATTGGAATCCCCAGCAAGACCTGCAAGCCCAAGACCGCGCACATCGCATCGGACAAGTCAACAACGTCATTGTATATCGTCTTGCCACCCGCGGCACCGTCGAACAGTCTCTTCTCGAGACCGCAGAGGGCAAACGACGCCTAGAAAAACTTGTCATCCGCAAGCAACGCTTCAGGGAAGATAACAGCAAGTCGAGACAGGAGAAGGACGAGCTAGAAGAGTTGCAGAGACTTCTGCGGCAGAGCGATGGAGAGAGGATCGATCTAGACGCTGAGAGAGCGGGCGCGTTGCTCACCGAAGATGAGTTGAAAGTCTTGACAGACAGGAGTGATGAGGCCTATGCGAAGGCTGAGGAGGGCATCGCGTTACAAAGTAAAATGTTCAAGTCGGTGGAGAGAGTGGCAGAAAACAGCCTGCTAGATGGTTTTAAGGCATGATATTTCTGGGTCGTCATGTTGAAGCTTTAAGAGGTTCTGCAGCCATATTTTCAGCGCTGGAGTAACGTGGCATGCCATCAACGTTAAATCATATCGATAGACGCGCTCCTCTTGGTTTTTGGTGAAAGCTCACACTTCACAAGTCCTGAAAAGTTGAAAGCATGCGTGTATCACTAGTAGCACCAAACGAAGTCTCGTGGTGCTGGTATCTATTCTCAATCTGACAAAACAGCAGGGCTTAAAAATGCCTTTAACGACGATGTTACATGCTAAAACCCTTACGCGGTTATCAAGCCTTACCTAGACGTTCTATCTAATCTCCCATAGATGAGTCCCTGTCGTGATTATGCCTTTGTAGTGAAAGTACGGGTTGAACGCCGATGAGTAAGTCAAGGCCGGCTTCAGGGAATAGTCAGGATCCAATTGAACGTGTGAGTCGTTTCGCCCACAGCGACGACCCAAGTGATGGAATATCGTGGATTTCTCTTCAGGCGCTACGAAATCAAAGCCAGCTGAGCGCCTTGTACCTGTCGACATGCGCTACGTCAAAATCAATGCTGCTCGATCAGTCCATGTCAAGATGCAGAGCCACGTGAACCCAGATCGATGAGCATCGGACGAGCGTGCCGACGGGACTGTAGACACAGCCCTTTTACTTTTCCTGCTCGTTGCGAAATCGTAAAGGCGTAATTGGTGAGCAACAATAGGGGTGGGGTACTTGATACAACCAAGCTTTCGCCTACAGCTTCCAGAACAGGTCTGTGGGTACGGAACCCTTGTATAGTGCATCCGTTGTTGCATTAAGTTAAAGCCGGGCAATTACCTAAGGTCCGATAATGGGTAGTCGATAGCGACTGCGATAAAGCTGATGTGGTGTGTATGTATTTAAACGCGGATGGGCACTAGGTAGAGTTGAAGGAGAAGTAATTCAAGTCTGCATCTTGTCAAATAGGATAATAAAAAAGAAATAAGGGAAAAGCCTAAAGCTATGGGCGACTATCCGCAAACGTCGATTAATAAGGTGAAGCGGTACAACCATCAAGGCATATCTAATGAGCTGCTGCGTCCGCAAGAGCACCAAAGCTGACAAGCTCGCAGCGACGTATGACGTTGACTTCATTCACTCGACGGTGAACAACACACCCGTGGTACATGTCTCATTCGTGCCTGATCCATCCGTGCCTCTGCCAGTCATCTTACCGATGATAGGCCAGATAGGTCGTTTCTCCGGGGACGAACAAGATCACGTCTACCTCCACGGTTATGTGTCGTCGCGGCTCATGCGTCTTGCAGACGATTCCATCAAGTCGGGCGGAGAAGGGCTGCCCATTTGCATTGCTGCAACCAAAGTCGACGGGTTCGTGTTGACATTGACACCAAATTCACACAACTACAATTACCGCTCCGCCGTCATACACGGGTATGGAACCATTGTCGATAACGACGAGGAGAAACTGTGGGCTATGGAGCTCGTGACAAACAGTGTTGTTCCTGACCGATGGTCGAATAGCCGTATACCACCCGACGGTGCGGAGATGCAGTCAACGCGTATATTGAAAGTAAAAATCACGGCTGCCAGTGGTAAAGTGCGCGAGGGCGTGCCAAATGATGAGAAGAAGGATCTGACTAGAGAAGACGTGTTAAACAAGGTTTGGACTGGTGTGATTCCGGTGTACGAGACATACGGCGAGCCGCAGCCGGGGCCGTACAACCGTATCAAGAACGTTCCGGAGCATGTCGAAGGCTTTATTCTGGACCGCAATGAGATCAATGAGCGCTACGCCTACGAAGCTGCGCATAAACCAGCCCCAGAAAAGAGAAAGAAGCCTGGAGAAAGTGATGATGAGTAAAGACATGATTCATAGATTCATAGACCCCTTCAACCTCCTCGCTGCGCTTAATGATTGCGTTCTACGATCTCTTTCGCAAAGGCTGCGAAATCCCTCTTTTCATCAACCATTTCCCACAGGTTTGGCTGTGTAAAGACCGCAAGCGTGTTCCGTGCAATCTTCGCTCCAGGCACGGGTTCTGCGCCTCGGACGAAATGTGGCACTGCTTTGAACTTGCCTTTCGTGATGATTTCAAGCGCCTCGCCCGTCTGAAACGCGAGGCAATCCTTTGGAACGCCCACCTTGACGGTGGCCCCAGATCGGGAGCGTATGTACAGTCCAGCCTTGGGGTCGGGGGAGCCATTTAACTCCTCCAGAGGCTTGAAGCCGCCATGCAGATGCGGAACTTCCTGGGACTCGTCTACGAACATGGCCGATGTGAGTCCAGTAAGACACCCGTGATCGACGTGGGTCGCGCACCAGTCGTCCTCGTCTGCGTCTTTTGTCATTTCCGGTGGCATCGGAAAGTAATGCAGCAGCCTGGCCTTCGAAACCTTGCTGGTCTTTACAACGTGCTCCAAGTATCCAGGCATGTAGCCGTCGATTTTAGCTTGGGCGTACCTATCGCATGCGCGCGCAACGAGCGTTGCCACATCGATGATCAAGCGACAGAGATCGCGAAATGTATGCTCAAAGCCGGGAAGAACATCTTCAGGCGGCCAAACGTTCGACGCGGTATACTCTGGAAAGCCAGGGTATTTCTCCACAAGCTCTGCCTGGGACTCCGTGTCCGCAAACGAAGGGCTACAGTTCACGTAGTAGGAGCCTTTCAAGGTATCGAATTGGCCGTCCTTGAGCTTTTCCTTGCCGCACGACCAGCCAACAAGCCACTTCGCATCTGGGTGTTCCAGTTTACCTAACCAAGAACAGGTCAACTTCCTTCGTTTCGATTCACGGTGCGGGCAAGTTCTCACGAAGCTCTTCTGCCGGTAGATTCGCCAGATACGAGGAATAGGAAAGCAGGTTTTTTCTGAGCGAGGGGAATTCCGCCGGCAGATCCTTAACGACGATGATGCCGAGCGAATCCTGGCCAAAGGCTTCTTCAAGCAATTCGAAGCTCACATCTCCTAGCCGTATACATTAATGGCCGCTCGTGCATGCAAGGACCACGAAGGCAAATCACCATCTTTTAGCGACTGCAGGCTCACGGTGACAGCCTGTTTATTCTGGACGGCATCATGAATCGCCATTTCGAAGTTGGTTCTAGAGATCTTTGTGACAGGAGAAGAGAGAAACTATGGAGGGTTACATTTGATGTTCATGCTTCGGCGCTTAAACGCGGGTTACGGCAACGTTAGACCTTCGACGCGAAGCCCACTTTTAACTTATCGCGCCCGCTTGTCGTCACAAGGATCAAAGAGTCCCAAAGGACTGGCCACGACTCTTCCCGCGTCCGATCATGGTTAAGGCGCTGGTTTTCAAAGGCGACAAGAAGCCCAAAAAACGCAAGCGGGCCGCTGTCGAAGACGAAGGCGGCGCACAACCCTCAAAAGCCGTCGTTTCCACAACAGCCGGCGTCGCTGCAGAATCGGCAAAAGTGGCCGACGATGATTCCTGGGTATCTGCAGAGCTTTCTACCGACATCTCGGGCCCCGTGATCATTGTGCTGCCGTCCGAACCGCCGACGTCTCTGTCTTGCGACTCTCAAGGCAAGGTTTTCAGCATACCTCTCGAAAACACGATCGATAACGATCCTACGACCGCAGAGCCGCACGACGTACGGCAGGTGTGGATAGCGAACCGCATCGCTGGAACTGAGAGCTTCAGCTTCAAGGGCCATCATGGACGCTACATGGGCTGCGACAAGTTCGGCGTCTTGAGCGCATCGCGCGAGGCTGTCGGTCCAGAGGAGCAGTTCAACATCATACCCGTGGCCGACAATCCGGGCACGTTCGCCATCCAGACCCAGCGCGACACGTTCATTTCCGCGGTCGAAAAGAAGGGTGGCGCGATCGTGGACATACGAGGCGATGGCGAAGGGATAGAGTTTTCCAGCACGCACCGAATACGCATGCAGGCGCGCTTCAAGCCGAAGCTGAAGGTCGCGAAGGAAGAGAAGGCCAAGGAAAAAATCAGCAGAAAGGAGCTGGAGGCAATGGCTGGCAGGAAGCTGGAGGACGACGAAGTGAAGAAGCTGAAGCGAGCGAGACGGGAAGGCAATTTCCACGAGGCGATGCTGGACGTCAAGGTCAAGGGCAAACATGATAAATTTGCGTAGAGGCGCAGGCTACACGGAGTTCCGGTCCTCAATCGAAGCGTGGAATCGAACCCACGAACATGACCATGCGTCAGAGAATTGTAGCGGCAAACACTTCAGCAGCAAATCCTTCGACAGCATGTCGACATGAGCTTGCGCAAAGAGGAGATTGCGATAGGTAAAGATGCTGAAGGCCAAGCAGCCTTCCGGCCATAAAGCCCAAGGCGGGAAAATGTGCGGGACGTACACAGTTTATTCCAGTCTCCTCGATACATGCGGCAATATCTCAGCGATTCGTCACGACTTTCCTTTCGCTCGTAGTGCACGAATCCAAAAAAGCGCAGGCCCAACCCATCACCATCACCCAATTGGGTCTTGAGAGCAATCGTGAGCCGGCACAGCAAACATAAATGGAAAAGAAAGAGCAAGAGAAAGAAAAGATCTCAAACGTGTTGGTCTGAAGTGGAGTTTTTTGACTTCCTATCGTATAGGCCCGCAACATCAATAGCGAACCAAGCTAGTATTTGTACATATTCCATATTTTGTTTTGAGGTCCTCCTTTTTCGTTGCTTGCAGTGCAGTGGACGACATGATATACATAGTACAAGGGCTAAAGCAACAGATGAACCCGCAAGAACACCAACGCTAAAGATGCAGAAATCCCTAGAAAAGAAAAATTCATGTCAGTGGTGACGATATGGGCGAAAGCGCATCGCCCTAGTGAGTCGTAGTGGCAGAGGACATGGCCATGGCTTTCTCGCGATCCTGTCGCATACCCTCAAGCACACCGACGAGGCCACCCTCACGCAGCCGCTCAAGCACAACCTTCATACCCTCGGTCGCGTTGGGCTGGCTCCTGTGCGCTCTCTTCAAGCCGATCGCTTCAATGCTTCGCTGCAAACTCGACTGACTCCACCGAGCAAGCAGCCCGACCTTCTGCTCGTCATCATCCAGGGCCTCCGAAACCGCTTTCCGTCGCTCTCGCAAACGCTGTCCAAACTTTGAGGTGAGTTGAACCGTCGTCGTCACCTCGGTAGAATCGTCTGTGCCGAATCGCAGCGCCTCCAATGGCAAACTTGACCCAGAGGAAGACGCTGTTGCTGCAGGTTCGCCATTCCCCGTGGCCCTATATTCCTGCCTCTCGACCACGGTTAAGAGGTTTGTCAGCTCCAGATTCCGGCTCTCGGTCTTCATCCAGCCCTCCCTCACGTCGACAGTGCTGCGCTCAAGCACATAGCTCTGGCTTTGCCCGTTCGAGCTGGCACCAAGAAGGTTGCGGGGGAGCAGCCGGAGGATGGCCGAAGGCATCTTGCTTCGCTTCAAGTGCAGCCTCGTGGTGGTGAGACGCTGCGTCTCGGGATCGAAGACGCGGTCGATAACATCGGTGCTGATGACGTGCGTCGAGAAAGGATTTGGGTAGCGAAGGAAGTAGGCGAGCGTCACGGTTGGAAAGCCGTATTCGTATGTGTGATTCTGGGTGAGGAATTTGACCATTGTGGAGGGAGGTCTTGCTGTCAGCGAGGCGAGGCTTGAAACAGAGGCTCAACGATGCAGCGCGGCGGAACCCGCAAGAATTCGATGGATTGTCCGCAATGTCAATTGACTTGTCGCTACGGGTTCATAGCAGGGAGACAGTGGGATGGAAGTGGTGTGGCCTGAGAAAGTTCGGGTCGTACGTCGGCGACGGGCAGATGAGCACGCGCCACCGAACCTTCTCCACATCTGCGATCGCATCACGTGAGACCGGCCACGACGAGCAGCGGCGTTTGTGCTTTGCCGACTCGTCATGTATCAAACGGTGCACTCCGTATTCTGTACATACGCGCTCGATAGGTGCAGACATCATTTACAAACGGCTCGCGGTGGACCAGACGTCTTTATAGCATACGGAGCTCACAGCTTCTTCAATAGCAGCAGTATCCCCCCCGTCGTCTCGCCCTTCCTCAGTCCCACTGCTCCGTCCCCAAGCACCTCCGCCCTGCCTGACGCTTTCAGCTCATCCACCTTCGCCTTGAACCCTCCACTCTCCCATATAGTCGCCAACACTGTTGCATCAACTATGCCGCCCTTCCGAACGACTCTCACGAATTCGTCCAGGACGGCCGGCCCCACGTGGCCTTTCGTGAGCGTCCCCACACATATCACAGCGTCGTACTCTCCGTCCTGCCGTGCAATTCGCTTCGTCAGATCAGCTTCCGTCAGTACTTTGTACGCGTGAGTCCTCTGCGCGATAGCCAGCATGCCTGGGCTGATGTCCAGGCCGTCCACGTTCGTCGCGTTGTACTCCGACGCGAGTATGGCGCCCACCAGGCCCGTCCCGCACCCAGCGTCTAATATGCGCAGATCCGAAATGTCGTCGGTTCCCATGGCGTTGACGAGCGCTGAAGCCGCATTGGCTGGAAATGCATAATCCAGCTCGTCCAGGTCTCGGTCGTATGAGTTTGCCCACCGATCATAGAGATCCCGTGCCTCGGAAGGGCTGGAGAGCGCGTACGCTTTCTCCAGAAACGAATTGCCGGTATCTGCCATCTTCTTCAGCCACTCTCCTTGTGGCTCGGATACACTGTTGTGATGCTCATCCGTCATTGCTAGCTGATAGAGGACCTAGTTTTGGTCGTCTCTACATGGGCAAAGTTGAAGCGTTCGTCCGAAGATCAGACCCTGCATGAGTTCCTTTTCAATTCAGTTTAGAACTAACTTGCCGGCTGCAGTCCGGACATAGTGATCTTTGCTGCGACAGAGCAAAAATGAAACTGAAGGTCAAAGCAAATATTCTTTTCTTAATACAGGATGGCAGCGCCGTCCTATTGCCTTTTCATGGTGTGGCTCTTCATAACCTTGCTGTGCCTATAACCTATCGTACATGAAGATACGAAGAATCAAAATCTGCGTTATGCTTGCGAACGTCTACTGTGTTGTCACACATTTTCATGTCCGACTTTTTGGAAACTCATGGTACCGGACGGGTTCTGAAAATTGAAGTGTTGGACGTGTGAAATAACGTTAGTCGTGTCGGCTGCACTTCCGAATAGCAGTTTGCCTCGATTTCTGTCGTGGTCCTAGCATCAAGATCAGGAACCATAGTTTGTAGAAATTCAAGAATCTCCTGGATCATTTTGGTGCCATAGCATGGCTTCAACACGGCGAGGCAATTGTTCTCGCATTTTATTGTCACGGTCTCTCCGTTGACGTTTGTTTTCAGGGCACAACTGACGAAGCAACGGGAAAAAGCATATACTAGTTCTCCTCTAGTATGAGTCGAGGGCAAACGATCCTCACATAAGCCAGTTCTTTGTATCAAGCATGATGCGCAATCCTATACGGAAACGGTCTGTCGAGTTATTGTGTCCAATCGCGCAAGGACACGAATCCTCGCTTCTCGCCGTTAAGTCTGCTTTAAACGACTGCGTAAGGTAGAAATTTGCCGGGCCAATGTTCTCGTCGACAAATATTTCTGCTTCTCAAATTCCGAGCCTTCGGTGTAAGCCTCTAAGTTACGACCCTCGTGGAAGGCTGGCATTTCATGTAAGCATACGTACTCCAGATAATATCTTTTGTATTATTGATGAGCAGAGGGGCACGTTAACCCGGCCATTGCACGTGCATACGTACGATAATTCTGTACTTATCGGATATAGACAAAGCCGTAACGCCCCTTCATTTTGTTCACAGTAGCATGCTCGACATCTTAAAAAACGTGGTGGAATCAAACGCACGCCGATTCGATCAGTGTTTCAAGCAATTGTTCAAGTCGTAAATGAGAGTTGAGAGGCAGTGAGAAGAGATAGTATAACAGTGTGTTAAGAATGCGACGTGGTAGCATTTAGTAATAGCCGCATATGTCTCCAGCCTTCGCAATACTATGTCAGACGGAGTATCTAATCAAGTTTACCAAAAAGGAAACACCCAACTTACATTCGCGGGCTTATTCAGGCTGTTGACTGATCATTAATTCTGGGTCAACGTGGATTTCGCTCGTGTCAACCCACATGAAGGCGCTGGAGGTGCAGTCGGGTTATTTTTTCAATGTACTCATGTCTGAACAGAAATTGTATCTAACGTAAGATGCAGAACACCTCAGCGTGGCCATCTTAAAGTTTAGCCTTGATGCAGAAGTTTGGTCTAAGCTTGGGCATTGTTGGCTGTTCACCGGTTGCCCAAGTTGAGTGCACATGGATAGGTTGACGTGAACTCACTGGCGTTGCCTGACGTAGGCAACACAGGAAGTCCCAGCTGTACAGCTGTCATCACTTTCCTGAGGCCCGACTTGGGTACCTGAGAATCTAGTTGGAATTTTTTTCCCTCTTTTACTCTTTCAGCTTCTTAGATCATTTTCATCCAATATTTCTTACATGGCTAGCAATGCTGTAGACGCCGCAAGGAACGCGGTCAACCGGCCGCGGAATGCTGATCTCTCAAGGAATCCTTTCCAGTCCTTGCAATCAGGCTACAATGTCGCAATTTATATCGTCAAAGAAGTCCTTGGTCTCGATCCAATCATAGTAGTGAACTTGTCTATCTTCCTGGCCGCGGCTTCAACTGTAGGGAGATATTTCACAGGCTACCTGTACTCGTATCTCAAGAGCACTTACATCTCGTCTGTTCGCATCCACGAGGACGATTCATTGTACACATATGTTATGAAATGGATGACGGATCACCACCTGCATACTAAACGCTTTCGCAGCGTCAAAGCAAAGCTAGTGCAGAAGACGACTATCGAGGATGAAGAAGAGGCATTTAAGCTCATATCCAAGGGCCAGCACTCTGTCCGCCTAGCCGGAGAAGCCGGGCAGGAGGGCAATCATTTGATAAGCTACCGTACAATGATGGGCCGGAATCCGATACAGTTTCAGCCATACCAAATGAGCCATATCTTCTTGCACAAACGTAATGTGTTCCTTTTCAAACACGCGCTGCGGAGTACGCCACAGCCGCGCGGGCTTTCCATGAGATTGACGGGCGAGTTGACGATCGAATGTTTGGGACGAAGTCTCGATCCCGTGAAGTCGCTGCTGGAAGAAGCGCAGACATATTTTTTGGAAAAGTCAATGAGCAGTACCGCAATATTCCGAGCAAACGGGCCCGGATGGGCCAGGATCACAAGTCGACCCTCCAGAGATATTGATACCGTCATTCTAGAGAAGACGAAGAAGCAGATGCTGCTGCAAGACGTCAACGAATATTTGCATCCACAGACAAGACGGTGGTATGCCAATCACGGTAGGATGCTTTGTTTTCACTTTTCTTAAAAGAAAATCATTCAGTGCTAATTCTGCCTAGGCATACCCTACAGACGGGGCTACCTATTCTCCGGTCCGCCAGGCACAGGCAAAACAAGTCTCACTGCAGCGCTTGCCGGGGTCTTTGGCTTAGACATCTATGTGCTTACTCTAGTTGACCCATATTTGACTGAGGAGATCCTCGTACGTCTGTTCTCAAGCGTGCCGTCACGCTGCATCGTGCTTCTCGAGGATATCGACGCTGCGGGTCTTAAGCGTGCTGATGAACTCAAGTTAAAAAAAGTCATCGGAGATGAATCCGCAGAGGACAAAGTGCAATCCGGCCTGCGGAAAAAGCCAACAGCAAGTGTCAGTCTAAGCGGGCTTTTAAACGCAATCGACGGCGTTGCCAGCAGTGAAGGAAGAATTCTCATAATGACGACGAATAAGCCGAAGGAATTGGATCAGGCTCTCATCAGGCCCGGCCGAGTCGATTTGCATATCCAATTCACATTGCCGCAGAGGCCCGAGATTGTTGAAATGTTTGAAAGCATGTACCGTGGAGCCGAGATGAGTGATACATTGCCAGTCGGTCATGGTTTGCGCGCGCTTGTTGGACAGCAGCCAGGATCAGATGATGGAAACCCCGTCGAGAAGGACAAATTCGAGGTTATAAACAGTCATCCTATCACCAAAGAAGAGCTGGTGAGGCTGGCAGGCGAGTTCGCGGACCAATTGCCGGAAAACAAGCTCAGCCTATCCGCAATCCAGGGCTTCCTTTTACGATTTAAGCACGATCCAAGAGCCGCGATAGCGAACGCTAAGCAGTGGAGTGATGAATCACTCAAGACGATGGAGGAGCTCGACCGCTAGATAGATATGTCAATACGAGATTCTCAGTTACACCGAGAAGACATACAATAAGAAATTTGTCGCAAGTTTACTGACGTATTTTCGACTTGCTTGCCGAGTATTTCAAGGCTTTACGTCGATTACCTCCGTCGTGACCTTCTTATCGATCCCATTCTCGATGCTAGTCTCTTCGAACCCTTCCCCTGAGGGGAATCATCAATCGTACTGACCTCATCTTCTTCGATGCCTTCTTCACTCTCTTCAATCTCTGCAGGAGTGCTTCTCATAGACCTTCCGCCTCTTGATCTCATGGCTCTTACGGCCGTTGCTTTCCTTCCCTTGCCTCGCAGACTATTCGTGTCCTCTTTGTCATACTCTTCCCTCTTTTCCCGAAGTTCGTCGTCACGTAGCACATTCCGTGTGCGATTCAAACCCTCGATTGCCTCTGGGGAAGACAATTTTTCTCCGCTGAAACGCCTTGCGAATGCCAAATCTCGGACGTCCTCTGGCAGGTCAAAGTCACGTCGCTTCCAGAAGTTTTCCTCCTCGTCTTCGTCCTCGTCCTCATCTTGCTCAGACTGTTCCGTGTCCGACGGGGTGGCAAGAATTCCCATGTGGTGATTCTCGCGCTCGTCTAAAATCTGCAGGTCGTACAATGATTCTAGCTTCGCCCATATGCCCGGGATACGCGTGTGTGGTTCATTGAAGCCGTGCGACGACATCTCGCGCGCAATGTGGATCATCTGGAAGTGTTTATTTATGCCTTTCTCACTCTGGTGAGCCATTGTCCTCTATTATTCACAATTGTTATTCCCTACCTGTTGGCTTGTATTTGATCACGCTTTTGAATAGTTGCGACTCCTCGTCATCCGTCCATGGGTCTGCAAGCACATTCGCCTTCTCCGTCTGCGATTCCGGCGACGACGCTTCCATCAACGGTTTTGGCTGCGGCGTCGACGCCTGGCTAACGCGTGCTCGTTTTTTTGGCGGCATTTTTGGATCGAGTACTGCTACGTCGTTGCACAATAGAGGCGTGACTCTGAATAGTTTGGAAGAGGTTCAAACGTAGCACGGTACGTTTCGCGGAAATGGAGCGCAGGTCAGATGTCAGCCCTGCGAGTACTCGTATAAATCTCGAACGTCAAGATTTGCGCCTCCATCTGCTACCTTTTTTTTTTGTCAGGCTTCAACATTCCGCAGTTCGGCTATCAAAGCAATTCGTTTCTCTTCAATTTTCGCCTTCAAAGTCCGTGAGACGTGGAAAACTCACAGGGCAACATGAAAGAAAGCCGATTGCAAGATGGAGATGAAAGTGCACACTTCGTCTCAAGGTAGCAAGCTGGAAGAGTCGTCGGCTTTGTCATCTCCGCTGAAGCGGAAATTTGACATCGATGATGAATCCATATCTTCCTCGCGAACGGCAGACAGAGAAACCGTGCTACCTGCTCCAAAGCGACCTCGAAAAAGCCAAAAGCCAATAATTGAGGACTCTGCTTTGCCTGTTCAATCAGAGCAGTCCGCGGGTGCGATACAGCAGCAGAGGATTGCACGCGCCAAAGCCCTTGATTCAGCTTATAGTCATGCCTATCACTTGATATACAACAAGGAGACCAAAAATGCATTCGATCCTCTTGAAGCCTGTACGCCGGCAGAAGAATCTGCTCTTGAGGATTCATACATTGGTGGCTCCCTGTGGACTGCAGGAGACAAGGAATCATTCTTTGATGCTATTACGCGATATGGAAGCGATTTGGATCGAATCGCCACCGCGGTAGGAAAAACGTCCGCTGAGGTTTCTCTTTATGTCAACCTTCTTGAACAAGGTGCGGCAGTTCAGCGAGGCTTCCGCCTTGGAATGGACGAAGTCGATATTGATGCTGCTTTGGAAATGACCTTAGACATTCAGGACCTGTTTGAGTCGGTTGCAGATGGCCTTGCTTGGGAACAGTTCAAGCACGAGATTGAACAGGAAATTAAACGACATGGCGATGACTGGCTAATTACCGATGATGGCTCTGAGGAAACACTTGTGGAAGCTATATGTTCTGCTGATGAGGAAACACTTGTGGAAGCTATAAGTTCTGCTGATCCCACAAATGCCATCGCGACAGGGCACAGCAGCAGTCAACAGACGAGTGCGCCTGTAAACTTTAGGTGTACCAATTGTCGACGTAAGAGATTGGCATGCGACTATGCAAGACCAACATGCTCACGCTGCCTCGTATCTGGTGAGTCCTGCGAGTATCCCTCAACACGTCTCGGGAAAACAAACCGATGCGCTTATTGCGTGCGGATGAAGTTCAAATGTGACCTCAAACGGCCTTGCTCGAGTTGCGTACAGAAGCAGAGAGCGGACACATGCTTCTACGAAAGCCATCCCCGTTTCTCCGAGATCTTAAATCTCCCCATCGACACATGGAAGAGATCTGATTCCAAGCGTCGAGTCCGTACTACATGCTCGAACTGTGCCAGATCAAAGGTGAGATGTGATCGCGCACGGCCAGTATGCTCACACTGCAAAGAGCGTAACATGGCAGAGACGTGCACCTATGAAACCACTTCCGAGAAGCAAATATCATCCGACACAGATCGCCAAACGAAGAGCCTCTTAGGGAACAGTAGCGTCACGAAGGACAATCTCGTCCCTCCCACAACATCTACGAGAGTTTCACGAACAAAGCAGAGCATAACTCAGTCCGCGGAAATGGCCAATTCTGCCGTCGTTGAGCCTGATTATACAGAAAATGCTGCTGCCATCAATGCATCTATTGATCCCAATCTCATCGATCCTGCTCTTTTGCATCCAATGGATCGTGCAAATACTGACCCCAATATGTTAAAACTTTCGGTTTTGACGGTTGCTGAAAATGATACCAAACAGTCTCATAAAAGAAGTCCTTTAGCAGCTCCAGCTCATGTGGTTGATCCATCGCCGCTGACGAGACTGCATGCTGTCGAGCAGAGGCGTCTGGTCGACGTACCAGATGTGGCTATGGATGTCGATTCACGGGCTTATAAGGTACAATCTCCAGCGTTGTCAGAGAGTACAAATTCCGGGAGAGGAATAAAAATTTCAGCAACTTCAGCTGCTGAACCTGAAGTGGCGTTCCATGTGCCGCAAGAAAAAGCTTCTGAGGATCTTTTTGACTTTGCGAAACTCTCAGATTCAGATTCCGCTGCTCCTCTTCTCAAGGCCAATACTCTTCTCCGACTGTCGAAATATATATTCATGAACTCGCGAAACACTGACTGGCGCTGGTCATCTCACCTCAACACATTTCCCATACCTCGAACAATAAAAAACGTATCCACCAATCTCACTTCTTATCCGCTTGACGGGCCCGCGATCTTTCGCAGCGCATATGACGACCTTTCTATCATTGCAGAACATGTCACACGACGCATCCTTGCCACTGCACAGTATCAGGCCCAGTCTCGGATGCGCGCCGATGACGACACTAAGGATTTTGCGCCAGAGTTCGTCACGATCATCAAGGAAGATGTACACACAGCGTGCAAAATTCTAGGATTGAATGTGAACACATTTGACTACTGGGCTCGGCTTCCCAATCGCCATGATGTAATTTGGGAGTATGTCATCGAGAATGATGAAGCGATCACGGAAGACGAGGAGGATCAAACGACTATAGAATTGCCCTCAGATGTTGCATCGGCGTGCTTGAAAACTGCGGGAATGGAGAAATTTAATCTGCTCGACCAAGGTAGACTAGAGGAGATAATAGACGAAGGAATAGACAAGGATGCGCCTGCTTCAATCGACGCCAACATTGGGGGCATCGATAGTGAGGTTGAAGATTCTGATTACATGAATTCCGATGTGGGCTCAGATATATATGATGAAGATGCCGAGCTTGAGGATTTCGATTTGAGGCAGAGCAGAGAAGAAGAGCAAATATTGTTGCAGCTGCTCGGCCAAAGTATGACTGACATTCACTCCTAGACACAAGGCAAAGGGACACGACAGATCCGATGTGAAATTCCTCTTTTTTGCGAGGAAATGATTGCCATATGTAGACATTCACCAGGAAAACAAAAAACCTTCATAAAGTATAAAACACGCGCAGACTGTTGGGAGATCATCTAAAGCCTCGATCCCCATATCCTAACGCATCATAAACTCCAGCGCCGTTGCCGTGCCATTTAAGCGACTCGATGCAGTTTTGATATGCTCAAATTTTCATACTCCTACAATCCAAGGTTAATAAAGCGAGCTAAGACCTGCCCACACGCTTAGAATCATCGTCTATTCCTCGTCGATCTCTTCGACCGTTGCCTGCCGCGGTGCCCTTTGTTGGACAGTGCCGTTACCGGTATCCGCGCCGGTACTTCCTTCTTTCGGGTCGATCGCTTTGCCGTTTTCGTTTGCGTGAGCCTGGCCGTGCGAATGAGCCTGGCCAGCAGCCTTGCGTCGCGCTCTCTCCGCCTTTGCGGCACGTTTTTCACGACGTTGCCTGCGCTTCTCCTTGGGATCCTACACGTCCTTCTCAGCCGCCTGGCGACGGCACAGAAACAGGGTGCGGAAAGACTTACCTCGTGCCACGCCCATACGGGTCTAAAGCTGTCGAAGAAACCCACATCTTCGAAAAGATTTGGATACAGCCACAGACCAGGAGGATGCGTGAACATTGTGATGGTAAAGAGAATTAACCGAAAGATTGCCATCACAAAGAACAAGCCTAGCAGTCCTAGCATGCCCATACTCAGATACCAGACGCCCTGCCTCATAACCAATGGCCACAGCGGGAACATGACAAGCGTCATTACCGCAGCCAGCGCGCCTACAGCATAGAGCTTCTTCTTCCATTGTGGACCTTCCCACAGCCACATGTAGTGCATGTCGTCCTGGGCATCCTGCTGCTGCACAATCGTTACGGTCCACAAGCCCTTCACACGTTTTTGCTTAGCGTGGCCGTGACCTTCGTGACCGGCTCCAGGATCGACTTTCTGAACACGCAGAGCGAGTAGGGAGAGAGGTAGCAGCTTGAAGACGTTTTCGGCCTCGGCGCGGTTTGTGACGGGGGGTAGGAGGGGATTCTTTGCGCGGGCCTTTTCGTAGGCGGGCGATTGGATAGCACGGATGGCTCGTTTGACTGTGCAAGTCCGTTCGTAAGCACGTGGCTCTTCGCGTTCGTCCTGAACAGATGCAAAGGAACAGTAAGAACGTACCTCTGAACATGTCTTTTCTGGCTCCGTTGAAAATACATGTCCTCATCTTCAGATCCTGCGACATGAGGAAGTGTGCCACTGCCAGGGCCTCTGGCTTAGGCGGACCAGGCTGGATAGGCTGCTGCTGTCCTTGAGCACCACCTTGCTGCTGACCTTGGGCTTGTGCTTGCGCCTGAGCCTGGGCTTGCATCTGCGCCTGATGCTGTGCAGCCGCTTGAGCCTTCAAGCGCTCGACATACTGCTCGTACGAGATTCCCATGCGGGCTGCGTCCTCGCGAAAGTGCTTCTGGATCGCCTGGATCTGTTCTGGCGTGGGCTGCTGGCCGGGCACCAAAGCGACCGGAGGTGGCGTCGGTTCCGTCTGCGTTGCCATTGTGCGGGAAAAGATGCGGCACACGTGTCCTAGTAGCGATGGGGGAGCACAGGGACGGCAACAGTCGTTGTGGTGAGACGGTCGCTGGGAACTCCACAAGCTGGGAGGCGGTGGTAGTATGGATCGAATATATAATTGAGGCCAACTCTCCGCAAGCAGCATAAGTGCCAAACGAGTCTAGCGCGGTGGCCGCCAGCGCTTAGTCACCACACAAAGAGACAGACGCCCTTGACGGCGATGCTAACCCTAACCCTAGGCCAAGGGCCGCCAGGTCTTGACGCCTCAGGCATCGTCGCACCCAGCTAGCCGTTGCCAAGATTTGCCAGTTGAATTTCGTTCGTGCGCACTTTTTCTACCGCCGCGACTCAACCTTCGTTCTCTCTTCACCCTCCTCGCCCTCTTCCTTGTTGTGCTTATATCCGCCAAGAGACGACGACCTCACGTCCTAGCCAGCCGTGAGTATCTCTCTTGCCGCGCTGAAAAGGCTTTTCAACTAATTGTAGCGGAGTTTCTCATACGTCCCGTCGTGATTTAGGACACAATGGGTGCGTGGTTCCTCTCACGCGCTCTCAATTGAAGCCAACACTGACCGTCAATTCAGCCCCAAAGTTCGATCCGAATGAGGTGAAGGTCATCCACCTCCGCGCCACCGGTGGTGAAATCGGCGCTTCCTCAGCGCTTGCCCCAAAGATCGGTCCCCTCGGTCTGTCGCCCAAGAAGTATGAACCCACCTCTAAGTCTAAATTTTCTGGCTCTGTGCTGATATACGTCCGGTAGGGTCGGTGAAGATATCGCCAAGGCCACCGGTGACTGGAAGGGCCTCCGCGTTACCGTCAAGCTCACCATCCAAAACCGTCAAGCCCAGGTCTCTGTCGTCCCATCGGCCTCCTCGCTCGTCATCAAGGCTCTCAAGGAGCCTCCCCGGGACCGCAAGAAGGAGAAGAACATCAAGCACACCAAGTCGATTCCTCTTGATGAGATTATCAACATTGCCCGAACCATGCGCTTCAAGTCCATGGCCAAGGATCTAAAGGGCACTGTCAAGGAGATCCTCGGAACCGCGTTTTCAGTTGGCTGCCAGGTTGATGGCAAGAGTCCCAAGGCTATCTCGGACGCCATTGATGAGGGCGAGATTGAGAGTATGTCGTTCTTCTTGTCCTCGTATTGTATTGCTCACATAGTGGCTAACACGGCACTTGCAGTTCCGGAAGAGTAAAAGATTTCAAAACTGAGCCTATGACACGGGACGGCGCTTTATGATTTTGATGAACTTTACACTACTGTGCATGCGGGGTGCTCTTCAAAAATATTACGGATCCGTGACCACTTGGCTGTGGTTGTCTCCTAGAGCCTTGATAAAGGTGATTCAAGCAAACAGCAGGGGAAAAGCAAAGATAATTTCATGCCTGTTGGCCCTTCCCAATCATGTGCCGCAGTTTCACCTACTTTGATTCCGCGCGCTATGCCACGCATGGTCCGCCTGAATCTTTTCCAAACTCTCTCTCTCTCTCTCTCTCTCTCTCTCGCCTCAATGCTTACCTACCTTGTGCTATTTCTCATGCATTTGCTTGAATGTAATCCAATTATCGCCTATAAAAGCACAAACAAAGTTTGTGATACATGCACCCGATTCCAACACTCTGGCCCGAACTGCTCGATTGAGCTCCATGGTCCTGGCCTATTTTGGTGAATCGAAGATGAAAATGCATATTGCGACCGCTTCTGTGGTTGCTATAGGCTTGGCCACCTACTCACCTTGACGTCCTGCATCTGTGGTCGTCTCGGTCCTTTTCCATGGTCTACATTTTTGATCAACTTTATCTTGTTGTCGTTCGCATGAGTTTGTACACGCTTGGCGCTGGGGATAACGTATACTTGAAGTATAGTATAGGGACAGAACTGATGCAAGATCTCAGTCAAATCGATCTATCCTATATCTCACGTTCTGCTCAGCAACGCGACTATTTTTCCACACACAGATTTGTCGACGTTTGATTTATTTCCAGTACTCTGCATGGAGACAATTTCTTTCGGCTCTGCACACTGTGTGAACCGGTGCCCCAGTGAATCCTATGTGATAGATCACAAATACACTGTGGAGATATGGCAAATGTATCTGGCTTGAAGTGTGACACATCGTATAAGTTCAGCGTCAAGACGTTATTCTTAGTCAAAGTACTTAATCAATCCACTCAACACGCACTCTCGTGCAGGATTCCATCGCTACGGCATTTGCGTAATCTATCATCTATCACCACAGCTCAGGCTTTTCTGCATACAGCCTACTAGTCATTAAAACATCAATGGCATAGCCGCTTACTGAGGATAACGCTTGGCAGCCGATCACAAGTAGTCCGAATATATGCGTACTTGACGGTAAATGTTTGTCAAGACGACCAGAAACAATGGACGCATCAGTCGTCTCTAGGCATTCGCTTCCGCCGCTAGGTGTTTTCTTAAGCATGGCATAACAGGCTGTTGTGTCCTACATGAAGAGCTTTGATGGTTGACACGTGAAGTTCAAAAGACGCGGCTTAAAAAGTCCATGAAACAATAGACTCAGTACGGATTCCGTCTTACCCTATTTAATGCCTGGAAAATATCTCCAGTTACTTTGCTCTGCAATATAAACATATTCTTGGGAGGTCACAGCCGAGATAATGTGGATATACTACAAAATCTACATTTTCTCCTGTCTTTTTTACGATCCCCAATACCTTGTAATTTCCTTGCCACCTCATTGTTCAGATGTCCATCCATGTTTCCCACGAAAAATGAGCCGAGAACCGCGGGAACGCTAAACGAGATGGTAATGAGGAACATGTAGCGAAAGCTCTGGGCCTTTGCCACCTTGGTGGCCTCGACTATTGCTGCTCTGATCGTTGGTATCAGGTCAGGAATTTTCGCAAACGCTGATGGCGTTCCAAGTTCAGCAGCTGCAACAGCAGAAGGGACATCCTTGGCAGCAAGGCCGGCGCGGATAACTGCAGAGGCGACTTCTTTCGGGATATTGACAGCATTGCGATTCGCTAGAACGGTGCTGTATATAGCGGTTGCAATGGTTCCCATATTTCCACGTACAGTAGATTGAAACCCTGAGGCCAAGCCAATGTCGCCTGGTGGTGCTGTAAACGGCACGAGAACTAGGGAGATTAGCTCGACATAGCCAACGCTGAACGAGGCCAAAGACATGAGCACGAGCGCCAAGTTCAGTCTCGATGCTGTCACCGAAGCCATGGACGCGACAAAGGCTGCCATGCCGATTGCGGCAAGTCGAATTTGCCAATGAACCTTCAGCGGCCGGCCGAACAATCGCATCGTGACACTTGCGAAAATCTGTCCAAGGGCGACTCCGCCTCCAAGAACACAGGAATACCATCCCACGAGGATGATGTCGGTTGTAAATAAGGCGGTGACCATCGTCGGCCAGAGCAGATTCATGCTATAGTATGTCATTGTGGCCACCGATCCCGTTCCACACAAGGCCAGGAAATCCTTGCTCCGGAATACTTTGACTGGTATCAATGGATGCACGTTCTTGAATGGCAAGAATGTCTCATAGATGCCGAAGAGAACGATTGAAACGAACCCGCCGACCAGGTTACCGATCACTTTGCCAGATGTCCACAGATGTACTGATCCACCCCAGGTGATTCCTAGGAGTAGCACGATCAAGCCGCCGCAGTAGAGGGTGAGACCTATGTAGTCTAACCTTCGTAGTTCCCGGCTGAGAGGCTGGCCTTTACGAAGAAGCCCGTAGTCTGGTGGATGATAGCAAATAACGAAAAGGACTACTGAAAGCGCACAAGTGACCAAGATAGTAGCACCAACGCCATCCAATTGCCGTATGTAAGACGAGGGACCGCGCCATTATCGGGCCGAAGCAAGCGAATGGGAAGGATAAGATAAACTGGATCCCGACCCAGAGGCCTCGATGCTTGTTGGGCACAAGCACTTGGACCACAACGAAAAATGTTAACTGGACTGCTCCCGCAATACCTTTGATAGATCAGTCATCATGCCTGTTTCTTATCTGGCGACTCGTGCGTACCAATGAAAGCTGTTGATCCAATTAATACGTTGATACTTTGCGCGGTGGCACCTATAGCGGCACCGATCACACCCAGAGTCTGGCCCCCGATTAAAAACCACCGACGGCCGAAGATGTCACCCAGACGTCCTACCAATAGGACACCAACACCACGACCGAGAGTCTTTGTGATTGGAATGAGCACGTACTTTGGATCCGGGCCGATGTCAGCATTTATGATAGACAAGAAATTCACCTGCATTTGTCAATAATGTAACCTTCTCTATCAGCGGAGATGCATAATGCATACTGGCATGACGTAGCTGACGTACAAGCTGATGTTCATGAGCGATACACCCAAGATCGTTCCGATAAACTTCCAGCTTGTGAAGTAGCCATCAGGAAGATTATCCGTTCCAATAGCTTCAGGTGCAATACAATCTTCCTCGACGGGCGCAGCCAAAGATTCGTGACGAACAGAGTTTGCCGTTTCCTTTTCATCGTAATCCTCGGGTTGGCCCATGGTTAGTTTGGAAATGCTATGTTGATAATGAAAGACTTGCAGACACCTATGTGACCAAAGCGAGATTCAACTTGGAGAATAGGACGTGATATAGAAGTGGACCAACCGATCATTATCTCAAGCCCAGAATCAGCTCTGGAATGACAAACTAATGATTCACTGCGCGAACAACTGAAAATCCGGAGGCAGAGTATCCTAACCAGAGGCGTTTGGCCTTTTTCCGAGTCTTTTACTTGCTGATTCCTCCTGCGCTTCGGCTTAATGGGAAAGGCGTCCTTTCTTCACCCCGGAAGGGTGTTGAGCGGTACGTTACTATTCAAACAGCGAAGTAACGAGGTACATGCGCTAGTACGACTACGCAGCTGATCACCACTCACGACAACGCTAGTCGGACCTTGCATATTCTGGTCCTTCGGACTTTTCTGCCAATCATATTTCGCCGACCGAGAGAACCACCCCAGATTTCCCATATTATTATGAATTCGCGGGTAATGTTAGGAGATCGAAGAGCCGGTGAGCTTTGGCGAGTAATTTCGGAGAGATAGTTTTCCTCACCTACGCTGGGAGATCAGGCGTAACGATTTATTCCTAGCACAGCTGCCATGTCTTATGCTTTTGTTCATTACAATCGCAGAGGATTAGAATGGCCCGCTCTAGAGATACCTACGTTGAGAGCGAAAGAACGCCTCTCGTACGCGAGCAGACCATCTCAGACCAAGATCTTCATGACGGTCTCCATCACGCAGAGGAAGAAGCAGGCTCGACTGTGACTAGTCTAGACGAAACGAAGCATTTGAGCACCGAAATCAGCTCCGTGATTGCACTTCTCCTGCTTGGTATCTTCGTACACTAGTCTCTCACGCGCCTCTATGCTAAAGGTTTACAGGTGTGTTTGTGGCCAATGCCGACACGTCCTTGGTTTTGGCTACGTACAGTTCGATTTCGTCAGAATTTCTGGAATTCGAGCAAGCGAGCTGGTTGTTGGCCAGTTACACTCTGGCGATGTGTGTATCACAGCCATTATATGGCAAACTCTGCAACATCTTCGGGCGAAAGTCATGTCTACTTGGCGTTTATGTTTTCTTTATGGTCGGTTGTCTTCAATGGTAGGAAGATCCCCAAGGCGCTAAGAATCGTGAGTCTAAATCTCCTACAGCGGCGTAGCATCATCTATGAGCGGAGTCATCATCGGTCGCGCAATCGGAGGGGTTGGTGGTGCAGGAATATCATCTATCGTCTCGTTTCTGATCGCCGACTTGGTGCCTTTAGCAGAAATTGCTACGTACAGAAGCTATGTGAACATTGTTCAGACAATGGGTAGAGCTAGCGGTGGGCCTCTTGGAGGCTGGCTAGCACAATCGCTGGGCTGGCGATGGTAATGAACTCGTCTTCGCTACAGAGCAAAAGAGGAAATGCTAAATGTCACATCTAGGTCGTTTCTGATCCAATGTCCACTTACACTTTCGGCATTTTTACTGGTGCAGTGGAAGCTGCGCCAACATCGTCCCGTCTTCCACATCGAAGGCAGTTTCATCCAGCAGCTTAAGCGTGTCGACATTCTCGGCTCACTTTTGATATCAGCTAGCAACGTGGCCGGTCTGCTCCCAATGAACCTAGGTGGCGATTACAGATGGAATCATCCGATAGTACTCGCATTGTTTGGGTCCTCGGCAGCTACGTTGATTCTCTTCATCGTGGTCGAGCTGCAAATGGTTAAGGAGCCGATTTTTCACCTGGAACTGCTTGTAAATCGCAATTTCACATTATCGTACCTGGTAATGCTCTTCCAAAACGTGGCGCAGACATTCGTAAGCTTCTCGTTTTGCACGGCTACATACTGTGAGCTTACAGCTCTAGATGATGTTTACTCTGCCCTTGTACTTTCAGATTACCCAATCTCACCATCGACGGCAGGCACATATCTGGTACCCGCCGTAGTGGGAAACACAATCGGAGGGTTGGCTTGCGGAGCATATATCCGCAGATTTGGCTCATACAAGGCACCCACCATATTTGCGACCATCGCTTCCGCCGCTTGCCACAGTCTACTTCTTCTACGCTGGAGAGGTTCAACAGGAGTTCTAGAATCTCTCTATATCGTTTTGGGGTGGATGGGTACAGGCGTGTCCCATTCAAGCATCTTTATAGCACTGGTAAGTGCGGTTACAGAGGAGGAAGTTGCAATCGCCGGATCTGGCCTATATCTTTTTAGCAGCTTGCGATCGGTACTCGGGTTCACACTTTCGAGCAACCTTCTTCGGCTTGCGACCCAGACATGGGCACAAAGGCAACTTGGGTCGAAACACCAGGTGATCATCAACCGAGCACTTTCCGACATTGTCTTTGCTCAGCGACTGAAAGGCGATCTGAAAACGGCCATCACGGACGCTTACTTGCATGGATTTCATGCTGTGTTCTGTACGTAGTGCACACAAATTCCGTCCATGTGTCTTCCACTAACCCATCCCAGTCGCAAGTATAATTTTCTGTACTTGCTCATTCCTCCTTGCACTTGGTTTGAGAAAGCGGCATGTACAGCGAGACTGATGAGAAGCTAATGCGACTGTGGTTCCACAAAGAAGTTGTTCCCTGAATGGCTCTCGAAGCAGACCTGTGCTTCAGAAGTCTATCCTCTCGTATTGACGGTCCCAGCAATCCAAGGAAAGCGATCAACAAGATCCTGACCAACTGTCCAATTCGTGGGGTCTCGCACGTGGGCAATAAATTTATGCGAAAGGACGTAGTTTTCTCTAGACTTTCTTTCCAGAATTCCTTATAGGCCGTATGGCCAATTGATAGAGAAACTCCTTGTGATCAAAGATGCCCAATCGGGGTATTCCGTGAAATCCATTTCTTCAATCAGCCGCTGGCGGGCTTTTGGCCTGCACGTCGCGTGGTTAGTTGATCGAAACTTGCGAAAGCTTGACTTCTTACCAGCCAATTGTGTCTATCCAGACTGGATGGGCAATAACTAGCTGAGCAGAGCCTGGTTGCATAAACCTTGGCATGGTTGCATAATTCTCCGCGCTGGGACAGATTTGCCACTGCTCCGGTCAGCGAGTTCTGCAACACAGAATAAGAGCAAATACCCTAATGAGCATGCATGTGATGTACAAAAGCTGGATCGATCAGTAAGGGATCAATATGCGGCGGAGTGATTACGTACGGCAATCTTCTCCGGAAGGGTGTTGACACGGATAACGCGAGCCATATGCCGCGCGATGGTTGAGGAGACGGGCTTGTCTGGCTCATCTATTATTGGATTCAGCAGCGAGTTGACGCTCGGAAAGTCGCTGTGTCCGAACTCGAGAGGTGTTTCAGTCATATGGTTTCTGTCTCGGTAGGTGCGTAGAAGATCCAGGATCATCTCATCAAACGGACCGGTGGGGTCGCAGTGCTTTGGCAAACAAGACCAAAGGGATTCTCTGTCACGGATCGCGTTGGCGCGAGCCTGGCCTTGAATGAAATCGCTCCCTCCTGCTCCCTCTGCAAGATCTGATGGCGTTCTTTGTGATGTCGATGTAATGAGCTCGCCCGGAGGAGCCTGGAAGCCATCGTAAAAAGCGGGGAAGTCAATTGAGACTTGTTGGGGTCAGTGAATTATTCATGATAGAGATACATGCTCGTTTAACTTACAGTTATACTGCCACTCAGCATTGGTATCACTCTCCACAGGAAAGTTGAGCCTACCCTCCAGTCCCCAAGCGTCTAGGGCGCTTATCAAGTTCGGAGGGCTGCTACTTATTTCTCCAGCGTCAGATCCCAGGGGAAAGATGTCATTACCGTCGGCTGCACTACGGAACTCGTTGTCCCGTATCATGGTCAATCCAGCGATCACAGAGTCCAGCCCTGATCGAGTCGCCAGGCTTCGACGCTCAAGATCGAACCTTGCTTTTTCAGAAGCCTCATACCTGGCCGTCAATGACCGAAGTTCTTCTTCAAGCTCTTCAATCCGATTTCGCTTCTTATGCCTTTGAGAATATCAGCATTAGGATCGACGTAGCAAGCAACGCCACGTGCCTCAATGCTCGTTGGTTTTCCCTGTCCACGGCGCGCTTCCGGTACAGCTCATGAAGCGTTAGATTAGCTGCAGCTCGCGAAGATCGAGGCGGCATAGTTATCAAGCCAAAGAATTGAAGTTCCAACTGAGAAGACTGGACTGCTCATCCAAGCATGTGCCTCGATAGATGCCGATCAAGTGAAGTCATAAAGCAGAGATATAAATTCATGCTACGAGAAACACGAAGTGCTCACTGTTTTGAACTATGCGATCAGCTCTAGGAAGAAGGCCTTATTACTAGCTGCAGGAAGCGAAAGAGGATGGAATGCATTGCCATCCCGTATTTCGCAAACCCGCCGGAATGCTCTTCCGTCCGAGTGTCGTCTTCCCCAGCCTAATTTAAGCACGTAGATTGCGGGGTCTGGAGAACGGGCACTAGGACGACATTGCATGCTGCTTTTCCTAGTAGAGGAAAGATGAGCGTTTGCGATCATCTTCTCGGACCCATAAAGCATTCACTTACGCGCAAGTGGTTTGTATCCCATAAGAAGCTCGTTACAGGAGTAAAGCATTGGTTCCGCAAAATCATCCTTTTCAACAATTCACCAGGTTTCTTCGGGTGAAGTGAAAGAATGGTTCGCTTATCCGTCTCAACTTTTGTTTCGGCCTTATGCCTTGCTGTTCATGTCAGTGCGAAGAGGCCAAACTTCGTCATCATATCGACAGACGATCAAGACACTCACATGGAGTCGCTTGAACACATGCCCCTGGTACAAAAGCACTTGATCCAGAAAGGTACAAACTTTGAGCGACACTATTGTACTGTCGCCATATGTTGTCCAAGCCGTGTAAACCTTTGGACTGGGATGCTTGCACACAACACGAATGTGACAGATGTGAATCCACCCTATGGTACGCATCAAGAGCATATTATCGACAGCTTGACTGATTATTCTAACAGGCGGCTACCCAAAATTCATTTCTCAAGGCTTCAATGATGATCATCTCGCGTACTGGATGCAACAGTCTGGATATCACACATACTATGCTGGGAAAATGTTCAATGCCCACACAGTCAACAATTACGACAAGCCGCACATACATGGATTCCGGCAATCTGGTTTCTCTTGGATCCTTACACATATCAGTACTGGAACTTCAGCACCACTCGGAACGGCGCAAAGCCCCAAAATTATCTGAAGAAATACTCGTCAGATCACACGGCTGAAACTGCCTACGAGTTTCTCAAAGATGCTCTGGAGACCCAAAACATCCCTTTCTTCGTCACAATCGCACCGATTGCGCCGCATGCTGACGTCTCTTTCTACCCGGAAATGAGGGCTGGTCCACCAGAGGTAGCAGAGAGACACAGGCATCTATTCACTATCATATTCCTCGAACGCCAAACTTCAATCCCGAACACCCCAGTGGTGTGAGCTGGATTTCACGGCTACCAAGGCTCAACAACACAGTGCTCGCGTACAATGACGAGTATCAGCGACAGCGTCTGAGATCGTTGCAAGCTGTAGACGAGATGGTGGAGAACATTGGTAAGGAGATTTCCAAAGGTGTTCGTGGAGCTACTACTTAAACATTGCAGTCAGCCAACTCTCCGACGCTGGCGCTCTGGAGAATACGTACATAATTTACACATCGGATAATGGCTACCACATCTCTCAACATCGCATGCACCCAGGCAAAGAATGTGGATACGAAACTGATATAAGAGTTCCAATGATTATCCGTGGCCCTGGCGTACCAGAGGGGGAAGTTTCGTATAGTGTTTCTTCTCATACGAATATCGCGCCTACGATCATGACGTTAGCAGGTAACGATCTACGATTCACCTTTGATGGGCAGCCCATGCACCTTCACAACCTGAGCGCATCGCGACCAGAACATTTGAACGTGGAATTCTGGGGCCTCGGTGTGCCGGAGGGCAAATATGGCTACGGCGGCAAGTATGGGTACGTGGATGGTCCAGGCAACGCGTACGTTAACAACACGTATAAATCCCTGAGGATTGAAAATTCAAAGTACGGGTTTTACTATTCGGTGTGGTGTACTGGAGAAAAAGAACTGTACGATATGAAGGTAAATTCCCCGCTACCACAGCATGCAGATGAAATTAATGTTTCCCATAGGCAGATCCAGCTCAGATGAACAATCTTTTGGGTTCTGCTTCAAGCTCAGGTCATACGTTATTGGGCAGGGCGGTGGTAGACGTTGTCGACAGGCTTGACGCGTTGCTGATGGTACTAAAGTCCTGCAAGGGAGAGTCCTGCGTTGCTCCATGGAAACACATTCATCCGCAAGGTGATGTCCACAGCCTAACTGACGCTCTACATCGACAATTCGATTCCTTCTACACGCAGCAGCCAAAGGTGGCATTCTCTAAATGTGAGTTGGGGTACATCAAATCGTCTGAAGGACCACAGGACGTCAACGTCTTTGAAAGTGTCGACCGCTGGAGCAAGATCCAGGATCAAAACCCAATGTTAGACGTTCACTGGAGCCTCCGGGCATGAGTACAACGCACATATAGATATTAAGGCAAGCATTCACTTTGCTCTCCTAGCCTGATCCGCACGCTCTTCATTACAATGGAAAGGTATTTGCGTAGAATAAAAGTTCAACGTTGTCAAATTTTCTAATCAGACATGTATACCAGCCTTAACAGCTTGGTTCATCGCGCTATCCAGATTGATGTGTTCCAAGAACTCTGAAAACTTTGTTAGCAGGAGGTGGTTATCTCTTTATTTCTTACTCAAGCTTCCCGACATCGTGGATAATAGTACGTAGGCGACCAACACGTCAGAGGTGACCGCGCCAAGAAACCTTGTGGGTGTTAAAATCAGAGGGGAACAGTTAAGGCGTGATCGAAAGGCAACAACTTTTCTTGAGAAAGATGAACTAATGTCTGTGATTTTTGAAGTTAAGAGGCCGGCCGTCGAACCAGAGGCTATATTGCGTATGTCACGGCCGGTTGAGCCGCAGTCGCGCGCTGGAGATTACTTCGTTTCGACAAGGCCCGTCTGCGCTGATGGTTCGGCAGCTCGCGTCGCGGCCGACACCAGCATCAAATCCTCGCACGATCGAATCCATTTGAACCTTTTCGAAGGACTGCAAATACGCAGCTGAACGAGAACTCGGTCTTCCACTCCGCAGTCGTAGACTCCACCAAAGCGGACCGGTGAGGTCTGCAGTGGACTGGTCATTGCCATCGGCCTAGGGCAAGAATTAAAGGGAGGCCATGATGCGTACACTTGCACCCGTTCCCAATCTGACCATGCAAACAAGTCCTACGTACATGTGTGCATTCTTTTTCCTGAGACGGCAAATGCGGACAAGTAGTCCAATTTCCTCCACTTGTTGCAGAGTTCCTAGTCTCTCTCATTCCGCGTCAAAGAGCGGCACGTTTGTCGATCGAGACCCGCACGCCCTTGACGAAGGGCTCCTCGAAGTAGCGAGTCAAATTAAGCCGTGTGGACTGAAAGCAATCAAGGCGTTAAATTTAGGTGTGCTGTTGGCACAGGGTATGTCCCTCCGCGGAGGCAAGGGCATCACGATTCGCGGCAGAGGTCGAGGCAAGACTGCTCTAAGATTCACGTCCTCCTTTGCAATCTGTCAGTCTGCTCGAGGTCCTCTACTATGGCTGTTGGAAGCAACCGGTTGAAATTTTTACACCGTCTCCGGCTGATAAGACTGATGGAGTTCCGGCACTAGTCGTAGAGTCTCTGAATACGAACTAGCGGATGTTGAACAGGTTGCTGGTATTTGTTTCAATCGCAACAAAGAAGCATCCAAGCATGTGGAAATTACATTACTTCAATGGAAAATGTTCAAGAAAATGTTGTGGATGGATATTATAGGCTCTGTGCAAGGCGTGAAGTTGATAGGACAAAAAAATTCTGCGAGAGGAAAACTGAACGAAACATTCAATAAGAGTGGATTCCCACGTAGTCCCCCCAACATAGTCCCAGCGCGCCTCTTCCACACGTATCTTAAGTGAGTGGGAGCGGACTTGATTGTGGAGATGTGATCAGATGCAGCATCCCAGATATGAATTGCACTGACATTTGTGTATATCGATTTTTTTTTCCCCTCTAGCACTCCAGGTACCGCTCTGTCCAATTTCCAACGAAGTACAAATCTCTGAATGTTCTTGCGGTCCGTAGCGTGAAAAGAGCGTTGAACAGAGTAACAACCAGCTTTTCTCCGTATGCGAAATCTTAGCCGCTCAGACTTCGTGTTATGCCATCTCCAGTGTCTTGTATCCATCGCCTCGCTACCAGCGTTGCCTACAGCCGACCGCTCAACCGCTTGCGACGGAATTCCGCTTCCAGTCTTCTTCGTTGAGAAACGCAAATGGAAAGCCATTTGTTCGACCATTCGGCCCTGCAACAGATAGCGTAGATGTTCCAGCGCAGAGCAGGGCAAGGTCCCGTTACCCATCTCTTTACGACTCGGACATTCTGATAGAGGAAAGACTCATAGGCCCCAGATTTCTGTTTCGAAAATGGAGAGAGCAGATTTGCCTTCACCTTCGTATCCTTTACTGTCGTTGAGGCCGAGCCTTCAGGCTATGTACCGCTCTAAGTCTGAGCGAAGTCTGTCCTGGCGAGACAACGTTGCCACATTTCAGAAAGATCTTGTGGCTTCTGCAGCTACGGGTTTGCGGGAATTGCATCCGCAAGTTAATTTGTGGACAACAACGGATGGAGACCTCCAGCTTCTCATCCCGTCCCTGATACTAAAAGACGGGAAGTTGTACATGGCACCCGTGGGCACTGCCGGCAGACCTCAACACCAAGTTATTAGTACCTCTCGTTCTGCATGAAAATTAAAGCGCACTGACAAGAGCTGCAGTCGAACGGAAGCATGTATCATGGGCATGGCATAGATCGCATAGGTCGAACGCCGTGCAAAGGTTTTGTTACACGGCACCAGAGCGAGACTCTTTACCACTGGCTAGCCTACAGGATGAGCTTTCGGTTCTCCCGATCTAATCCTCTTGAGGATGAAGGATCCTTCGTCTGTATGATGCAAAAAACGGATGATTCTACGAGAGCAGTAAAGCAAGATGCACAGTGTCAAAAGACATCGCTGGAGCTGTGTGTCACGGCCTGAGCATCTGGGCGACAAGTAGCACTCAATGCGTGGGTCTAAAAGTCGTAGGATTGTTTCAGCGATCACCCGCGCGGGGAAATGGAAAGGGTCGCATGCTTCTACGTCTGTTCTAGGCCGGCCGACCGAAATGCGCAAAAAACCTGCATCTTGCGTCTCTGCCGACAAGAATACGTGTCTCCCGCCGAAAAGAAAAAAAAGTTTTAAGGTGGGTTACCTCCCGGCTCTTTTTGATCGTCCTTGGGCAGCCCTCGTGACAAGGCTGGCTTGTGTGGGGAGAACAAGGCTGTTGCGGCAGGAAAATCAATCACGACAACGGTGGCATCTGACGGTGATAGATCGGCGCCGCTGCTTGTGCCTGCCTCCAAGCACCCGTGCCAAAGACCCAGGGTGGGCGTGTGAACAGAGTAGGCGGGACTTGCATAGACTGTCGACGGGAGTTGGAGTCGAAAAGAGCCACACCGATCGCTCTCAAGACGTCTTCTGACGCGGCGATGTGCGGGTGAGGTACGGTTCAGAACGGAAGGGTGGTGGACGATGTGGATGCTTGATCCCTGGGGGTGATCAAAGATTGCCAACCATCGTTCGCCTTTCATCATTTCATCAAAGGAGACGTTGGATCGTGGCGAGCAAGCGACATTGGAGCATCAGCAGGCGCCTCTCGTGCACACAGTACGCACATGGGCCGAATAGGATCCTCTCTTCGCTCCAGGCTGCAGCTCTCCCATCTCATGGTCAGCTATCCATCTGCCCTCAGATCTCTTCTTTCAGCTCGTGTGCATGACGGGCGCTCTGGCACAAAGTACTTGTCGGCCATTGAGCAGGGCAAATGGCGGACAGCGTCGACGTACCTGTCCGTTTCGCTACGCTGACTGGCCACGGCGTGCGGACAGAAACGTTTGAATGGAGCAGGGGTGGTACATGAGTGGCTTGAAGCCACACTGCCAATAAACGCGGCTCCAGTAACACCAGAACAGCAGCGGTGCAGGCCAGGGTGGTTTATGCTGAAGCGACATGATTCGGCACCGCCGGTTCGGCATTAAACCCACTCATCCTCCATCATTCCACGGCTGGCTGGTCCATGACGAAAGGGCCAATGCGGGTCAGATGCAGAGAGCAGAAGGCAGGTGGTTCCGGGTGGGAATGAGAAGGATGTATTCAAGATGAGACGGCCGTGGGCCAAACGGAGCCCATGGACAGGGCTCGAAAAGCGTTTGAGCTAAGTGATTGACACGAGGGGACGCAAAGAAAAAAAAGACGACGATGATCTGCAAAAGCCAACGACTAAGGCAAGCCAGACGAGGCCGCTTTGGCGAAGTGGAGCCAGGGTGAGGGTGCGGATGGTGGTACGGGTCAATTTGCGAGCATCGCGATGACGAGGATGAGGATGATGATGATGAAGGTGATGACGGGGAGGGGGAAAGCGATAGCTGTTGTGTGTCGACTCCTACCGACTTTCGTGTTCGAAATAGTAGTAGCGTGCAAAGAGACGGCCATGGGCAGTTCTCTGAGACGCCTGCTCCGGTCCCATGGCGCAAAACGGCCCTATTTTGAGGCGTGGATACGGTGGGCGATCATGCAAGCCTCGTGCTGCACCGCCTGATGTGCCTTTACTCGCGATGGAACGGCTTTTGCCAGCGGCTCGCATGCCCGTATGCTCTTCGAGCGAGACCTAGTGCGCGTGTGGGAGTGGAGCAGAGAGGGCTCTGTTCAGACGAGCAGGACGAGTCTCTGAGAGCTGGCGGACTGCTCAGCAAAGCACATCCCGTTCGACACGTCCGCTTTGCGTGCGTCCTGGGTGAGCCAGTCCGTCGTTGCGGTCGTACGTGCATACATGGCACGGGCAATTGTGGGTTCCGCGCCGCACCCCTTGCTCCGCTGTTACGCCAGCGCTGCGCCTTTTAGCTGATTTTCACGCCTGATCCATCCGAAGACGCCGCCCTGGGCGAGCGTTGGGCCCTCTCTAATAGATGGTCCTCATCGTGGCCGGCTGTGGGGTTGGAGATGGGACCAGAAACAACGCGAACTGGTGCTTCGAGACGCCGTTTTGCGACCTGGGAAGGTTTTTTTTTTGTTGGCTGCCTTGCCTTCTTCGATCTTTGCATTGTCCTCCCGTCGTCGTCGTCCTCCTCCTTCTCGTCTCTGCCGCTGTCGTCGGCGTCCTCGTCGTCGCCTTTGCTTGCGGAGAGGCACAAAAGAGCGACCCGCCGCTGAATTCCGTCGCACGCGCCTTGAGAAAGGCCTCCAGACGGCGCCGACCCACGCAGAACCGCCGGGCGGAGCATCATCTCGTACTTGTGCCTTGTGCTTTGGCGGTGCGTGTGCGTGTGCAGCGTGTGTGCTGGTGCTGGTGCTGGCGCTTCCGTGTTGATGCGTGCCCTCGCCTCAGCCCTGGCCCGACCTTCTGCGTCTGCAACTCGCGCATCCATCGCTTGTGTTTCTGGCGAGAGACACGACGTTTCGAAGATTCCACTCTAGTCTGTTGATTCCAGGCTGGCGCTTTGCCTGCCCTCGTTCGGTCTGCTCCGCCTGTCGACCCAAAAACAGGCTCACCAGTGCGTCCCTCTCCAAGGGAGCAGCTCGCATCCGTTTCACGTCGCTCGCACGACGGGTCGAGGTCAACGACGAGATTCGATGTGCTGGTTTGCTTCCATGCTTGCGTGAATGCGTGCTCTTTCGCCCCAAGCAGACGTACTGAGAAACACAGGCAAACGTCCGTTGCTTATCGACAGCTTTGTGCCTATTGTTGCACCTGCGTGCCATCGCTACTATACATCGTCATCGCCCTCGCAAAATCATCTCCAACGCCCGCATCACCATAACCAACCAACGCGCAAATCCAACGACAACAACAAGAACAACAGCCACCGGCGCTTTAACGATCCAAGGTGAGACTGCCCAGTGCAGCCTCTTCCAACGACCTCATCCCCTCTCCCACCTTGCAACGGCTGCGATCTTACACTCCACCACCTCAATCACCGCTCGCCTCCAGAATCATCGGCCACGCCGGCCACGTCCATTGCGCAAACACGCAACCACGAGGCGCCCCCAATCTTCTGGTGACAACTCCGGCCCTGTCGCCCACCGCAACTTATCCTCTTGATCTGACGCCACTTCCCCGTCAAGAGGAAGACTGACTGAAACCTCGCCTCGGTTGCAGCCGTCTCAAGCCGATCACGAAGCTGGAATTATGCCATGCAGAGAAGCCGGAAAAGAGATAAGTCGGCTTCGAAGAACAGGCATTGGCACCGCCGCCAGCAGTAGGTTCTGGTAGATAGCAGCAGCAACTCGTTTGCCTTTTGAATGGCGGCGTCTAGCATGATCCGTCAGCAGCACGCACTGCCCGTGTCTGTGATGCCGACGCATCCTCAGCAACCGCGTCCTTCGAATTACGTGAGATGGGCTGCGGCACCGCCCTCACTACCCAACCTAGACAACTCGGCCATGACCTCAAACTCATCAACTCCCCGAGCCATCGGGACCGAGCACAGAAGCCAGCAGCCACACGAGGAACACACTTCGCGCTCCTCAATGCAATATGCGCGACCTTTGCAGCGAAATCAGTCGTACCCACCGCACGGGTCGCCCAAGAACGAGAACGTACAGCCGACCACATCTTCGGAGCACATGCTCAGAAGGAAGACGCCCAACGGAATCCTAAACGCTGCCTACGACGGCACGGCCGTGGAGCAGATTGAGCGCCCTCATGCTATGAAGCATATCCTTCTCCCGGCGTCGGATCAGGTCACTGAAAACGTTCTCGGTGGGACGTTGAATGGCAGCATACCTCTGCGCCCTCATGCTCAAGCTTTCGACCCGACCTATGGCAGTCATAGTTCCGGCTCGGTCTGGCAGCATAAGCCGTCGTGGATACCCTCACAGCCACAGGTTCCCCAGATTGACTCAATGTTAAACCAAATGCCGCTGCAGAATCCCAGTCTGCAATACATGCAGACTGGCCACCATCCGTTTGCTTTCATGCCACCACCACCGCAACCGTCTTTTGGCCCAACTGCATCAAACGACATCGCCCCTTTTGGTCCTTACTGGCCAAATGGCACATATGTCCCATACCGACCTGCGGCAATGCGAGACATGAGGTACTACCCTCAGCACACCACGAATTGGGCCGGCCAGGCGAGCCCTCTTGGTCACACAGCTGTGAACAGCGCGTGGGCAAACACCGGCAACCAGTACCTGGACATGTCAAATTTGAATCTCAACAGCCCGCAGACCTTTCTCCCAAGATCTGGAAATTCTCATGGCGCACCTGCGCAAAGAGGCAGGTTCTACGGTGCTGAAAACCGCCCGTTTGACGGTCATGGTCTTGGCACCCACGAGCCCATGTTCCCCCCGTCGAGACCGCAGAGGACCAGCACAGGATACGAGTCGGGGCTGGAGTCAGGCCAGACGACGCCAACGCCGCACAACTATCGATCATCCAAACCCTTGGCTGAATACGGAGCGGACTCCTCGAACGCAGAGCTGCGTGAAAAGATCTTTTCGTGGGCTCATTCTATCTACATCGATTTACTAAAGCACCTGCACGAGGCTCGTAGACGAAGCCATCACCGACACGGTGGCCAGCACGGTTCATCTGGCCCTCACATTTACCCTCGACCGCCTCGGCAGCCGGGAGTCGACTTCTCTAGACCGAGCAGACACAGGAGCAATTCTGAGTACGGCTCGCGCGGCATTCGGCACGATAATAGCGTGGAGAATGGCTCGACACGTCCGAACGCACCGCCGCAACTTCTGTCTAGACCGTATGCTGGTCGACATGGAGACGTGCCCAGTGCGTGGCCCGCGCTTGGTGTTCACCCGTCGGATCCACGCTCCACCGAGCGGCATCCTTCACTCCGGCGTATGACGACGTCTCTGACACCTTCGTTCAACTCGATCGTACGTGTAGACGCGGGACCGGCAGGAGACGCTTCGGCCGCACTGGGAACGCTCACGGAAATGTGCCGAGATTCAGGATGGACATGGATAGATGGTCTGCTTCTAGGTGGCTGTTTGGCTTACGCTCTCGGTGACTACACTAAAGCCACGGAGTGGTACACCAAGATCCTAGAATTAGATTCAAACCACGTCGAGGCCATGTCCAACCTAGCTGCGACGATGTTGGCCACGCATCGTAAGAAAGAGGCGGAACGGTTTTGGAGCCAGGCCGTGAAGCTGCGTCCCAGCTACTTCGAGGCTGTTGAGCATCTGGTCGGTCTTTTGTGCGGAGAGCACAGGGGCAAGGATGCCATCGCCGTGATTGAACACGTGCAAAAGGCTCTGCAACTGTCACGCGTGGACAATGGAGTTCTGGCCGACCACCGGAGCGAGACAGGCAGCTCCGTGAGCGAGACTCCGTCGCTCAACGAGGTCATGGATCAACCCGTCTTCGACTTCGACAAGGACCCTGATCGTAGCTCGAAAGACTACTCTGAGCTGCCAGGCTCGAATCAGCCAGGCTTCGGATCAAGCGGCTATTCAATTGCAGGTGCAGACAACGGCCGCATATTGCAGCTGGTTCACGCCAAGGGCAACATGCTGTACGCGATGGGCGACAATGTCGGCGCCGCAAAGGCATTTGAAGAGGCCGTCATGATTGGCGTGGGTCGTCAATTTGGTACCATCGACGGTCTTATCAAACACATTCTGACAATGGTAAATCGAGCGTCGGGACTGAGCATGCGCCCGTCGCCAACGGTGGATCCCATCCTTCTCACTCCGACTCAAGCTTTGGAAACGTCCAAACTGTGCTTCCCCAACCACGGCGAGCTCCCCGGCTTGAAATACATTGTGCGAGAAGGGCAGGGTAGAAAGGCGGTCGTATCGACCACCAGCAATTCGTTGCTGTCTCTGGCGAAGATTTTTCAGGACGGCATTGCATCTAGCTCGTCGAAGTCGGCCGTTTTCAAGACAACGTTTGGCGTCAGAGAGATTTTAGCATTGTACTACTTGTCTCTGTCGCTGCAGCCAAGCCCTTCCACCGCAAACAACGTGGGCATTCTGCTCGCTGGTGTGCAGCAGGTGGCTCCGCATTCAGCAACCACGGCAGACAACAAGCATCTGTATCCCGGCGTGGCTCCGGGGAGCGGCGTCCATCTTGCTCTACTCTATTACCACTACGGTCTGCACCTAGATCAGAAACATGCGCATCTGTACACCAATTACGGCTCTTTGCTGAAGGACATTGGTCAGCTCAGTCTGGCAATCCAGATGTATGAGCAGGCTGTGAAGTGCGATCCAAACTTTGATATCGCTCTGGCCAACCTTGCAAACGCTGTCAAGGACACCGGTCGCATCGCGGACGCCATCTCCTATTACAAGCGCGCCGTGAAAGCGAACCCGGACTTTGCCGAAGCCGTGTGCGGGCTTGCCAATGCTCTGAACTCGGTGTGCGGCTGGCAGGGAAGAGGTGGCATCGTGAGCAAAGATGGCTCGTACGATCGATGGCACGTAAACGATGAGAACATGCCTGTTGACGCAAGCAGGCCAGGTGTGCAGAGCTCGGGCTGGATGAAACGCGTCGTAGATCTCGTCGACAAACAGCTGGCAGACGGTGAGGAGTGGGCCAAAGGCGTCATATCGCCCGACTTCATCGAGACTATGCTGAAGTTCGTGCCGATGGTAGAGAGGTCGCCGCAGGAGCTGGTTGACCGACAACAATCGCTCAAGAGAGCCTTGCAGAGCTGGTCGGGATTCAAGTGGGAGGGCGCAAGAGTGGTGCGGCTCGTGGAAAGAATCATCAAGCGACTGAGATGGCGGTGGTACCACGACAAGTACGTGGATGGTCGTGAACGCCCGTTGGAGTGTTACAAGCGACCGACGCTGCCCTCCGCCATCACCATTCCCGCTGCGCCGACCGTTCTTCCGTTCCACACATTCACTTGCCCAATGTCCGCGAAACAGGTCCGGCATATCTCACAACGCAATGGTCTCCGGATCTCTTCCTCGACGCTCAAGGCACCCTGGCTGCCGGACACAGTGTATCGGCCACCTCCGCCTCCCAATCCGGTTCTTAGGGTTGGTTATGTCTCATCAGATTTCAACAACCATCCGCTCGCTCATCTTATGCAATCCGTTTTTGGACTTCACGACAGGCGCAGAGTCGAAGCGTTTTGTTACGCCACCACCGCGAGCGACAACTCCGTGCATCGCAAGCAGATTGAACGGGAAGCACCCCACTTCTACGACGCAACCACTTGGTCGACGGAGAAGCTGGTCAGCAAGATCGTAGATGACGGCATCCACATCTTGGTCAACCTCAATGGCTACACCCGCGGCGCTCGCAACGAAGTCTTCGCTGCACGTCCGGCACCCGTGCAGATGTCTTTCATGGGATTTGCAGGCACGCTTGGGGCGGAATGGTGTGACTACCTTCTTGCGGATGAGACGGCCGTTCCGGTCAGCACGCTTCGACCCTGGCGTCGCAACGTTGACATCGAGGACCAGATCGAGGATGAGCAGAGCAGCGCTGAGAATGATGACTGGATATACGGCGAAAACATCGTGTACTGTCGGGACACGTTTTTCTGCTGTGATCACAGGCAAAGTGCCCCAGATGCCAAAGAGAGGCAGTTGAACTGGGATGAAGAGCAGGAGCGTCGATGGAAGATGCGGAAAGAGTTGTTCCCAACACTGGCTGATGATGCTATAATATTTGGTAATTTCAATCAGTTGTACAAGGCAAGTTCTATACCACCCTCGTCTCATCCGAAAGAAAGCTAACAAAGTCTCAGATTGAGCCGACGACTTTCCGCACCTGGCTCCGCATCCTTGCACGAGTGCCAAAGGCTGTCTTGTGGCTCCTACGATTTCCAGACCTGGGCGAAACGTACCTCAAGCAGACGGCTGAGAAGTGGGCAACACCCGAAGTGGCATCCCGAATCATCTTCACCGACGTCGCACCCAAGCACATGCACATCTCTCGAGCGCGCGTCTGCGATCTGTTCTTGGACACCCCCGAGTGCAACGCCCACACAACCGCGGCCGATGTTCTTTGGAGTGGTACACCGCTTCTCACACTCCCAAGATACCAATACAAGATGTGTAGCCGCATGGCTGCCAGTATTCTCAAGGGCGCCCTGCCGAAGAACGAAGAAGGAAACAAGGCGGCGCGTGACCTTATCGCAAACAATGAGGATGACTATGAGCGCAAAGCTATCCTGCTTGGTAATTCTTTGACATATAATGGACATCGCCCAATTGGTCGGCTGGGCGAGCTGAGAAAACTCCTTTATGAAGCACGCTGGACCAGCGGCTTGTTCGACACAACTAGATGGGTTCGGGATCTAGAGGAAGCATATGAGATCGCGTGGGACAGGTGGATCAAGGGTGAAGGTGGCGACATCTGGTTAAAGCCAGCGAAGACTCGTGTCTGAGGTGCTGTGAGAGATCATGACTGTATGGGACGCGACATTGCGGACCACAAAGAACCGCCACGATGAGATTACGACAAGCAAGACTTTGAACATTTATTCGATGACGAACAAAACCTAAGAAGATGGAAAGCAAGCATTGTGGGAGGCGTCTGTGGTGCTCTTTTGTCCTGTATATGGATATGCTATTAGTCGAGCGATCTTTTTTTTGTGTTGTTTTATTTTTGATCTTGTTTCTTTTTTCAGTGGTCTTAGGGAGCGGAGTCGACTTGGAACGGGAAACCCATCTCAACTTTGTATCTGACGGGCGTTCTAGCGCAGGCGTATATGTGGATTATAGATACCTCTCTTCGCGACTGTCTTTCTCGCATTGTGGACGAACCACGCGGATCACGAGGCATTGATCTTTTTGTACGGTGGACAGCCGGGCACGTTTCTTTCCCTTCCTACCCGATAGACCAGTAGAACGGACACGGTGGCCATGCTGCCGCTTGGAATGGACATTGTTCGGCGGCGACGGACGTTCGCCTACATGCTATCAAACTTGCACGTCCCCTCACTTGGCCCCCTCCCGCTTGTGAACTGTTGGATGACTTGCCGGGCACATGCATCGGTCGCGCCGTCTCGAGCCATCTTTCTTGTCCGGCAAATGAGACCAAAATTCGCCAGCGCCCCTTTGACCCCTTCCCCCACCCCCTACGGTCGTCCTCTGAGATCTTACTTCAGATCGCCTGGGTGGGTGATATTGCTCTCTCCTCGCTCAGAACGGCCGACCCTCCGTGCGTGCTGTCTCTGGCTGTGGAGGACACAAGTCGGTGCTACTGTCCGGCGTACGCGCGCGTGTGTGTACACAGTAACGATGACAGGAGTACATCCACGGCATACGCGGACTTGCTTGCTTGACTGTCCGCTCGGTGCTTGCAACGTCGGGCGGAGAGGCTCTGCGCGTTGGAGCACGTACGGAAGCATGGCAACTCCCTACTTCCACCCCCTTCGCTCTCTCTCTCGCCGTCTCCCTCGTTAGGCTCCCTCTCTTCTGGGGGAGGCGTATGGGCATGTAGCTCTCAGTGAGCGACATTACGGCAAGAAGAATGAAACATGTGGACGATTCATCCAACAAGGAACGATCAAGAAACGAGGTCAGATTCGACGGGCTACTCTACAAGTTCGTCTTGGATGCTGCCGTTGGTCCCCTGAAGCACGTACGATCCAAGCTCATTCTTTCCAAGAGGTTCTCTTTGTTCGCTTTGAGATTCGCGAACAAATACGCACAGAAAACAGGGTTCTAACGAACCTTGTGATCGACCGTGCATTGTCTTCATATTTTCCCCCTTCGACGTAGATGTAACTCCCTGAAATTGATCAGCGACCCTTTGTACCACAGAACACGATGGGTTTGTGCTACGATAGGTGTGCCGCGCTGATGAATTTGCCCATGTCTCCCCGCCTCTCCCGAAAGCTGTGATCATTGCCGTACCTGCTGATCACGACCAGGGCAGCAGAATGTTAACAGACGGCTAAGCCGCGATACGAGTAATACGCATTCACGCCGAAGAGCAGACCGCGTGTAATATTGATCGTCACGCTGAATGACATCAGTTCGGCTGGAAAGTGTGAGGCGGATGGACTAAGTACATGCTCTACGAGGACGCGCAAACAAATGAACGGGCGATGCTTGTCGCATCACCGCGTTTATTTACGGCATCTTGTCACATGTCTCATACCAGCGCACGTCATCAGCGAGCCGATCCTCTCTGCATCATATTCAACGAACTACAGCAGTGTGAACCGCTGAGACAGCGACCCCATGATGGCTCCGTGGTTTGGGGCAAGAAATAAAGCGGGCAACATCATGACGAGGCCAGACCGGTCCTGGGAGCAGTGGTGGCTGATTGTCGAAAAAAAAAAGAAAATCAAGCAATACGAGGTCGGCGATTACCTTGACTCTCCCGCATCCTCTCCTGCTGGCTCCCATGCATTGACGGATGTTGCTTGCTTCTGTCGATTAATTTCGCGAAGTCACCCATATTCGAAGGTCATCGCGCGCATGGCCACGGTGTACAAAGAAAGGCTCCTGAGCGTTGGTCAGGGGAATGTCTCAACAACCGTGAGGGATGTCACAGAAGTACATCGCTATGCGCAGCCGTTCTCGAGTCTCTATTCGAATGGTCGTTGACCGGGACAACCTTGGAGCCTTGATTTAGCTGCGGGATTGAAAGGCGTCTTCATCCATGTACATCGCGGTTGGAGCCCAGCACCAAATCTCAGTCCCGGCCCTGCTCCACCCAGGATTTTTCTTCTTTTCTTCAACCATACGACCACAGGTACTGCGCATCCCACTTCATGCCGGGGACCAATTCGATTTTCGCAAGGGCAAGGTTTCCAGATCGTTGGGAGCGACCCTGACGGTCTGGAATAATAAACCCAGAGGACAAGTAGCGCTTCTAGGGTGTGCATGGTTCAAACGGTCAAACCAGGCCTACCCAAGATCCTGTCATCCGGACTCTACCCGCCAATAATGTTTCGGATGGATGTGACAGCCAGGCATGGCGTCTTTTTATCATGAATGTGCGGACACATCGAATTGAATCATCAGATATCTGGCCGAAGGACAAAGATCATTTTCCCATGGCAATAGCAGGCGCAATTATTGGGCGTTCGAGTACGTGCTATTGGCGGCAATAAAAGTCTGCAAACATGCCTGCTGCAAAACACCGATTCGGCTTTCCGAAAACAAACTTTTGTTGAACCGGTGTCCTCAGCATGTCGTGCTGATGAAGTGGCGGACATGACAGAACGAAATTTTTGCACATTGAGCGAAATGCAAAGAGTCTTTTGGTGTGTATCTGGTGTGTACAGTTTCAAGAATAGGTCACAGCGGCTAAGGAACGAAGCTTGCGTGAAACCATATGCGGAGCGTGCAACTGGTCGGCGAACCTAGGGTATGCTCTGCAGCGAATGTGCAGACGTGTAAAACTGTTCCCATTGCAGAAGCTTTGGCAAGATCCCGCAGCGATGCGGCAGCTAGTTGGGCAAGGTCTTACGAGATCTCTTCACTCAGAGGGGTTGTTGTAGGACAGCGCGTTGAACCATCCCAGCGGTAATGCAGCGATGATCCCCTGTACGACCTACACTTGCATATCGAACCACGTCGTCGAGGGAAGACTTCAGCCGAAAGACATGCCTTATTCCTCGCGTTGGGCTCCTGAAAGATGTTCCACGATGAGACCGCTCCCATGCCACGGTTCGTCATTTTTTTTTTCGTCAAAACCTGTACTCGAACTCGACAGGGAACCTGGGCGGTGCCGAACTACGGCCATCCTTGCATCGTCACAACATGTCATTTCAACTCAGATTCGCCCCTTTGACAGTTCCCACAGATCTGTGTTGTGACCGGCAGGGCAGCGAACAAAGGCGTCGCGCGGATAGCAGAAGGCTTTCCACGGATGAAAATCCCCCGTTCTGCACGTCCGATACAGCCTTGTTCTGTCCGCGAGACTTCGGATTTGCTCCAATGGCGAGGGGAGAGACAAGCTTGGAGCGGACTTGCCAGAAACGTGGCCGGAAGACGAAATGTACTTTTTTCAGTACAGAAGAATATTGCTTGATCCCGCAGAGCGTTGCTGAATAGGATTTTGTCACGACACGACACTCCTCGGGGGGTTCATTTTCAATGGCTATTGGAGCAAGCCTTCTCGTCAAAGTTTTCCTAATCCGTGCTGGCCTCTTTGCCATTCCTGTCGTAGGTGCATGCGTTGGATCCTTCAAGCCGCGCCGTTTTCTGATGCCTGTGCCTTGTCAAAAAGACAGAATTCGCATCTGCACAAGACCACCCCTAAGCAGTAGTCCCGCAGTTCTCCGTCCCATCGGCGTCTCCGTACGTTCTTGTTCTAAGAGTGCTCAGCTATCCACATCGAGCCAACGCTCAGCTGATGGTGGGAAAGTCTGCAGGTTAAAGGGAGCCTTTCCAGGCGCGCGTGTCGTTGCAAAGGGCTGAACATGGTGAAGAGAAAGCGAAGCCACCGCCGTGGGCGCACGACCGCGCGGGGCTGTTCGGTGTTTTGCTGACTGCGGCCATGAGCGACATCCAACGACGGTGCAGGAGACGGAGGCAGCGAAGAAAGATCCTCCCCAGAACAAGGCTAGCACTCTCCAGAAAACGACGGGACATCTGATCATGCAGGATCGTTTGCCGCTTTGGCGCAGCGTCCTGCCAAAAGCATACGGCACAGCGTGGCCAGGGTGCTCGAAGAGGCAGTGGATCTGGGCCCTCAGCTCAGCTCCTCAGGAGCGTTTGGGCGTTGCAGATGGCGCTGCGCTAGCATCCAAGATCTCTCAGTATTTGTATTTCATCTTGCCACGGTGATTGGACAGCGGAGACAAGGACGCCGGCATCTTTTGCAACGTTGGCGCCCCTCAAAAACGCCCCATCAATGGCCCAAGAAGACGGAATCGTTTCCCCGGAGAGCAGCACGCAGGCCCGGTGCCGATGCTAAGAATAAGACGTGTGTCTGCGCAGCAATGGCGGCAGTCTAGTTCAACAGGCGAAACGCAACGGTTGACGGTCCAGCATCGCGTGGAGAGACGTTGAAAAGCGCTGCGTTACTCCTCTCAGCGCTTCTGTGCTGTACGTGTGCGCACGGTTTGACAGCTTCACCATACCTGTCAAAAGCGGATTCTCATGGCCGTGCAGCGACCGAGGAGGCCCACGCTGCCTCTTCTGCTCCGGTCTCTCGTCGGAGACCCTTGCTGGCCGTGATCAGGATCGCTCTCAGATCGATGAAACATCCTTGCTGTCTAAGATGGCGATCGTGGCCGAGCTCCACGCAGCCGCAGAAGCCTTGAATCGAATGGCCATGATCGCCTTACCGTTTCTCTCCCGCTACGTTTAGCGATTGCCAACTGTGACGCACGCCCCATCGGCCACAAAAATAAATAAAAATCATCGAGGAAGTTTTTCTTCCCGGTGGCTTTTCGCCTCCGAGCCTCAATCGATAAATTGCAATCGAGGGCAATTTCACCTAGCCGCAGCCGCGGACAAGGTGCAGGAGGCAGATGGGTGGTGTGTTGGGACGGAGTTCGATGGCCTTCAAAACACAAGCATGAGAAATCGTCATGCGAGGCAGCTGGGATTATTTGCTTTTGGTTTTGTATCTTCGCCTGTCGAACAATGCCCACCCCCCCCTTTCGCTCTCCGTGGCATCAGCGCTGCGGCCTTGTGTGGATAGATAGATGAGAGGATCGAATCTTTTCTGGCTGGTACCAACAAGTAGGCGTGCTCCCCTGTCCTTGCATCTGCTAAGCGGAAACTTGCAGAAGGTCACGGCAAGCACTCCGTCTAGCTGAATTCGTTCTCGACCTTTTCGTTTCTGGCCAGCTAGATGGAGTCTTTTGGCTCCTGTTTTGTAGTGCGCAAAAACCTCCGCATGCACGGCGTTCAGAGGTCTCGACAGTTTTCTCCTGACTCCGACATGCCACGCCAACGTGATATCCACGAGCGAGCGAACAAACGCAGCGGCGCACGTTTCTCTTGGGACAAGTTGAGCCTGGACGCCGGCTGCTACAAAGTCCGGCACGAGTCAAAAGCATTGATTAGCCCCTCCCGCTAGGCAGGCTGTCGCGCGTAGCGACTCTGTATGATGAGGTGTACGGAGTATGTCGCTCGACAATGCCTTTTCGACCATGGGTTGTGTGTTATTGTGTCGAGGCGCAGACAAGCACAGCGTCACCATTCGCTCTTCAGCGTCAACCCATGAACCCCAACTGGCAGCGGGGGCGAGGGGGCACACGAACACTCGTGTGGTACGTGGGTGACACTTGGGAGTGGAACATGGGTTGGCGATGTGCTCAGTGCGATCCTGGATTCCTGGCCCAAATCGCTGGAAATCCCAAAACGCCTGCTGCTGGCCCGCGCTCCCCTATGGCGGTTGGCTTGAACGATGGGCACTACGCTCGCCTACCCGTGCATGGTCGAAGCAGGGGACGGCATGGCATTTCCCTGGCTCATAGTAGTAGTCCCCTCCCCTCGTTCTTATGCTCCTCTCAAGTTGACCATCGAACCTTGGTCTCCTCCACCTGTATCGTCTGCCTCCTGTTCTGTGGGATTGCATGGTACCGGCGCGGCAACGTTGATATTAAGCCTCGCAGGTTCTGGTCCATTTATTCGTCATCATCCTCTCCTGCTTCATCTTTGACACGCCCACTCTCCCTCTGCTCTCTGCTTTGTGTCACCTGCTTCCCTCACGGCTGACCGTTCATACAAACGAACGCTTGACTGCAATTGCTGAGAACGCTGCGATACTCCTCTCAAAGACCGGAGCCGAAGCCCGACTGCTTATCAGTGTCTTGCCGGATAACCTTTATCAGCTTGCTCGCCTGGTACTTGGAGGCCACTATAGTACCGCTGGATTTCTTCCCGGGGTGAAAAAGCCGGTCCAGCTGTCATCATTATACATATACAACCACACAAAGCGTATGTCAGACAAAACCCTCACTTCTCACATGTCCAGTAGCCAGGGGTTGTTCCTAACGGCGAGGTTATTTAATATCTCGTTGCTCACCACGCACCTGTCATAGCTGTTGCTCACACTTTGCATATTCCTGCTCTTCGTTTCGCAGTATTCTAATTTTCGAATAGGCCAACCGCCCAATACTGCACTTCCACAGCGACCCGTTGCTAAACTATGCCCGCTCATAGACGCGGGCCGTGGTCACAGGCGGAGGATGCAGCCCTCATGATGCTCGTCGCGAGACAAGGAGCCTCAAATTGGGTGCGAATTTCACAGATGATTCAGACCCGATCCCCTAAGCAATGTCGGGAAAGGTATCACCAAAACTTGAAGCCGAATCTAAACCACGCCCCAATCAGTGCGGAGGAGGGCCGGCAAATCGAGGAGCTGGTCGCGACGATTGGAAAGAGATGGGCAGAGATCGCACGAAGATTACCTGGCCGCAGCGACAACGCTGTGAAGAACTGGTGGAATGGCGGTCAGAACCGGCGGAAAAGAGCCAATGAACGTGGACGAGATCTTGCTGTCTCTGATTCCACTACGATGTATGAACCATCGAACTCGACATTCGGTCGTGAGAGGTTCATCTTGCCTCCTCCCCTCTCATTACCAACAACGAGCGCAAACTTTGATAGGTCGCTGCCGTCCCCTGCATATCCTGCGGCGTCCGTGTACGGTCAACCCAAAGCACGACCGGAGCCCTTGGACCTGGGAATGCCGCATCAACACCCGGGACTTCGACAATTCGGTTACCCGACACCTCTGCCATCTCCCTCGGGATACAACACGTCGCCGGAGTCTTCAGTGTCTGCCATGGGCGACGGCTCTATGACCATCTCGCCGTTGACCCCGATCGGCTTACCCCCACTAATCGGTGGCCGCGACGAACGGCGACATTCGGAGGTTGCCTGGCTGCCCCCAAATACAACAGGCTTTGTTGGCAACGAGGGACATTTCGAAGCTTTTCCCAGACAGCCTTTCAACAACGCCCCCGTTTTCCGAGAACCGCAGTGGCAACCAGCTCGTCGAGAGTCTCCGGTTGATCGCTTGCCGAGGACGCAGTCTCATCCCGACTTTGGTATGATGAACCAGCAACCTCTGCCGGCATATGACAGTTTGCAGCTCAACATGCAACCATCGATGCATAACATTCTGCCGCCCCACACCTTGTCACCGCCATCTGCTTCCAAAGTCGGTATATCTTCCATCATCAATGGTAACGGGGTTCCGCCAAATGCTTCCCGTTCACATGTTTCGCCGAGCGAGCCATCTTCACCGAATTCCATGTCCATTCAAGGGTCATCGCCTCCTAGAAGCTCGAAAATGGACATAGCCTCTCTGGTCTAGAAACGTAATTAGCTGAGCACGAACAATGAGCGACGATTGGTCTATTTTTCTTTTTGTCTATGTGTTTGTTTATATCATCTTGTCCAAACATCTTCTGTACACATGAGCATGAATGCCTTTGATTTGGTTGGAAGGAAAAGCATGTCGGCGCACATGTTTTGTACTGGATTGTTATTTTTTTTCTGGGCTGGGTCTAATCGCACTATACCACGTTGTCGGGAATCATGAAGGAAATAATCTTACTACTTCATACCAAATCGTACCCAGCTGGTGCGAGCGGTGGCTGCTGTGATTTGCGCAGCAATATAAATGAAATACTGAGTGGAACGATCTAATATTTACTCCAGTTCACGTTCTTCGCTGCCTCTAGATTTCAAGCTCGCTGATTCACGTTGGCCCATCCTGCGCACAGGATCCGGTGCGTTGAAACTATGGCGAAGATGGTCGCAATTGGTACCGTGATGAAATGTGAGCGTCAAGAGCTGCTGAGATGCAGTTCTGCCTGATTCAACTCCGCTGTCGGGGCGCTGAGAGAGGGTGAAAGAGTTGTAACCCTATCTGGATCGCCGTACCGCAGTGGAGAAGCACAGGTTTCAAGCATACGCAAGTTGCATGTCTACGGCGGCGAGCAAAACGGTAGTGGCATTAGCCTACCAGTGCTGTGAACGCCGACTTCGCCGCAAGAACGGTGTCTTTCGCGATGGGCTGAAGTTTGGAACTTGGGTGCAGGTTTGCCAACGCTCTTCCCAGAATGCGAGCCATGTCCGCCTTAGAGCCCGAGGCATCAAACCCACTCGGCCCGAGCCTCAGCGTGGCTGCATCCCGCTTAGTCCTTCGTCGTCGTCAAACAAACAACTGTAGGTGCCACTTCCTTGACCTTCAAATTCATCGTGACGCCCGCGAGACTGGCCACTTTGTCAAGAGCAGCTGCGCGGTACTGTCAAGACCGACGACTCGTCTCGCTATGAGGTCTTACAGGCCCTAAACCAATGCCAGCAACTTACGAACCAGCTGAAGATGCCAGTCCTGTTCCACCCTGGTCGATTGCGATCCTCTCTGAGCGCGATCTGTCTCTGAGAGTTCCCATTAACTTTGTCACAAGACCGGGCGTATCTCTTCAACAGGCTTGTTTTGGTCACCGCGTTTTTGAGAGCGATGCTGCGATCACATGCTTCAGCAACCTTCTGGCGGCAGGCTTCCGCCGGTTCGAATGGGATTTATACTGGGATTCGGACAGGAGAGTTTGGAGCTTCTGTCCCATCCAGATCCCACTGTCCTATTCTAGCGGAACAACGAGCTCGACCCAGCTGTCCTTCAACGCATCCACAGTTTCTGTTTCGGACGCGGTAATATCGCCCAGGGCATTCACCCAATCTGTCTCCGGCCGTTTCGACGCCGAAACGTCGGCCACGCAAAACTCTAAACGCCAAGCGTCTTCTACAAAGCTGAATACAGATGGATCTACTGTTGGGCCTACATTGGGTGGCTCAACAACGACGCTCTCGTCCACATCTACAGCTCCTAACCCCGCCGCCACTGCGGGGGACTTGATCCCTCTTGGAACCTATTCGTGTTCGCCCTCAATAGACCTCCCTATTCTAGAAGCAGTTCTTGGCCAGTTCTTTGAAAGCACGTCCAACACGCTGGATGCATATATCATCTACCTGACTTTGAACTTGCACGTGGCCGCACCATCAGATTCAACTGTGCCTGGCACCCCAAACTCTACCTCGCTACCTGGACCGCAGGAGTATATCAGCACGTTGCTCCGTGTAAACTTGACATCATATCTGTACACCCCGGATGCCTTGGCGCGCGAGCGATCTGATGTCAATTCGTCATGGTTTAAGGCCGCTCCTGATGCTCAACCGTTGGAGGGATACTTCAACATTACACATCAAGGTAGTGATTATATCAGCGATAACGGCTGGCCAAATGGAATTGGCCTTGCCTTTGATGAGCAGCGCCGTCTCTTGGCCGAATATGGCCAAATCGTCCCACAGCTGGCATTGTACAACCGTACTGTCGATGAGGAGACCATCTTTCCGTCAGGATACCTTCGATCAGAGCAAACAAGTGTGCAGATAAGCTCTTCCGGTGAGGTCGATTCTGGCTGTTTGTACAACGCCAATGATCTCACAGTTGCGGGAAATAACAATTCGTGGGCAAGCTTTTCCTTGACCCAATTTCCTGCAACCGAGCAGCAGAACTTTACGAGTCTCCCGATAGAAGAAGTTATGAATCTTACCTCGTGTGGCATTGCGCCGTTCCTGAACGCAACTATATTCAACAAAACGGCTGATCAAGAACCAACGATCTATGGGGACTTTGTCCGAAGTACGACATGGTCATGGGCTTACGGTGAGCCGCGAAATGTCTCGTCAAGCGAAGAAAATGCCTCTAAAGTTCGCTGTGCAGCCATGGACATGGCGCTCAATGGCCGCTGGCGCGTCGTTGATTGTACTGAAAGGCACTATGCCGCTTGCCGTGTGAGTGGCGAGCCGTATGTATGGCGGATGTCTTTTTCAAAGACAACGTATTCGTTATCAGACGACAATTGCGATGAGGGACAGAGTTTTTCAGTGCCACGAACGCAACTGGAGAATGGGCACCTGCTGCGCCAAATGCAGAAGGAACTGTCGGACGATCATCTATTGTGGCTAAACTTCAACTCACTGGACGTTGAAAACTGCTGGGTGACGGGTGTCAATACAACTTGCCCTTACCGTGATAGGTCTCAGGATGACAAAGGGCGCACCATCATTGTGCCCACTGTTGCAGCTATTATTGTGTTGATAGTTACAGCGCTAACCTTGCTTGTCAAATGCGCCGCAAACAGGCAGACGAACAAGCGACGCAGGAGGCGTGGCCTATCTTACGACTTCCCGTATGAAGGCATCCCGCAGTGAGAATTGGGTCGCAATGTTCACTACTTCGCCTCCTGGGGTCTCTGCATACATTTCCTAGTCGGCAGCAAATGGCTGACTTATTTCTTACATCGCGCGCTACAGCCATAGTAATCGCTCTTAGCCAAGAGTTTAACATTGTATGCTGTAATCTAACCAAATGAAAACTACTTTATTGAAGTTGCCGACTTCGAACTTGTCCTGAGAAGCATGTTTCACATTCATGGCTTGGTTCTGAAAATACTGACAATCATGAGATCTAACTCGTGACTGGAATAGAGGCATCGCTTCCACGAAAACAGTATGAAGCAGAAAATATCCAGAGCTGCAGGCAGGAGACTGAATGTGGAATTGTGTTCCTGTATTCACGTGATCTCGCTCCTCTGGCTGATTATGTCATTGACATTATGTCCTTCGCGTTCGCGTTCGACCTCACAACTTCGCCTGCAAGCTCATGCTTTTCGCACAGCTTGGTGTGCGACTGAGTCGGACACGACTACATGCCAAATTCATTCAACTGCGTTGTTACACTTCAACATGTGCCCCAGCCGCAGCACTGGACACTCGTCCCGCAATTAAACTCCGGCCGTATCAAGAAGAGTCTATACAAGCAGTATTGTCACATATAGACCGAGGTCATAGGAGATTGGGTCTTTCGTTGGCGACTGGTAGTGGCAAGACCGTATGGAGAAGAGAATGCTCTGTCAAATTTGCAAGCTAATTGTACAGCAGGTAGTCTTCACTCAGCTAATCGAGCGGGTTCCTTCGCCAAATGCTAGAGCCACACAGACGCTGGTCTTAGCTCATCGACGCGAATTGGTCGAGCAAGCATACCGCCACAGTGCTCTCCTCTATCCTGACAAATGGATCGAGATCGAGTTGGGCAAGAGCCATGCAAGCGGAATGGCCGACATCACGGTGGCATCGCTCCAGAGCATTACGTCGAAGGATAGGCTGAAAAAATTCGATCCGTCCAGGTTTAAGTTGGTATTGGTGGATGAGGCTCATCATATTGTGGCGCCAAAGTACCTTGAAATACTAGAGTACTTTGGCCTGCGACGTGGGTCCTCAGATTCACCCGTTTTGGTGGGTGTGTCGGCCACCATGTCACGCTTCGACGGCTTGAAATTGGGTGCTGCTATAGACCACATCGTCTACCATAAGTATGTCGATCATTTGTCTCATTTCGGTCGCCGTACTTATACAAATTTTAGAGATTACATTGACATGATCAAGGAGAACTGGCTGTCAAACGTCTTGTTCACCACCGTCGCTATCAGGGCTGACTTGACAAAAGTCAAAAGCGGAGTTGGTGGTGATTTTCAGACTGCCTCACTGTCGAAGGCGGTCAGCACGCCTGAGAACAATGAAGCGACATATTTAGCCTGGCTTGAGCGAGCTGCTGGCCGACAGTCGACCCTGATCTTCTGCGTTGATGTCCGGCATATTCATGACCTGACTGCCACATTTCGCCGGCACGGAGTTGAAGCGAAATTCGTGACCGGAGAAACACCGGCGAAGACTAGGAGTGATATCCTAGAAGGCTTCAAGAACCGCGAGTATCCAGTTCTGCTCAACTGTGGAGTGTTCACTGAAGGCACCGATATTCCCAATGTAGACTGTGTCGTCCTCGCTCGACCGACCAAGTCTCGGAACCTGCTCGTTCAGATGATTGGCAGAGGAACGAGACTGTTCGAGGGAAAGGAGAACTGTCATGTCATCGACATGGTCTCTTCGTTAAAGACAGGTATCGTGACAACCCCGACATTGTTCGGGCTTGACCCGGACGAGATTGTCAAAGAAGCTTCAATTGCGGACATGAAAGAGCGCAAAGATCGCCTAGAAAAGGAGGCAAGCGCTCTAGCAGACCACGCAAACAACTCTCCGAACCAACTTGTGCCAATGAGTCTCGATGGCACGATGACTTTCACAGATTATGACTCCGTGGAAGATTTGATCGAAGACACATCTGGAGAGCAGCATATTCGCACCATCAGCCCTTATGCCTGGGTCCAGGTTGATGACCGCCGCTATATTCTAACCGCACGAAATGGCAGCTATATCACCATAGCGACCGACGACGATCCTAACTCAAAAGGCGGGGAAACCATGTATTTGATCGAATACACCGCCAAGTTACCTGTGCATGTCGTCAAGAAGTCGCCTTTTGCTCGTCCTCGCGTGATAGCGTCTGCGAAATCTTTTACAGATGCAGTACATGCAGCTGACAGCTTTGCGACAGAAACCTTCGAGTACGTTTTCATTGCAAAGAATCAGTCGTGGCGAAGAAAAGAGGCGTCAGAAGCACAGTTGAGCTTTCTAAACAAGTTTAGGGATGAAGGGAATCAGCTTCAACCTGGTGATGTAACGAAAGGGCAAGCAATGGACATGATTACGAAGATCAAGTTTGGTGCTAAAGGGCGGTACAAGAGGATGGTCGCTGGAAAGCAAAAGATAATCAGGGAACAGGAAACATTGCGCAGACAGTTGGACAGGATCCGCTTGAGAGAGCACGTCAAGGTCGGGCCAGTGAATGACGAGCCTGAATGATGGTAACAGACAACTTTAAACACAACCCATGAGACGAAACCGAAGCGAGTCTTGTCCGGGAATGTAATCCTCCCATCGCATACACTCTATTGTACTGCGATGATTCTTTAAAGCCTTTATCTGACGAGCTCACATGCACTCTGTTGTAAACATTCATGGCAGCTAACTTTTGACGATTGCGACTCGCCTGACAAGATTTACCCTGACGTTTGGTTCCAATCAGGCACCGATTGCTACTCTGGCCTTTATTCGCTCTTGCTGCTGAAATTAAGGGAAACGCATCTATGGAACTTAAAAGTGGTCCTCTGTCTTGACAGGTTGCTGGCTTGCTGTCCCAGTCCAACGCAAGGGCTACGTCTTGTCTACATTCCTCGTAGCCACAGAAGTTCAGAAACGCAGCCGCAGGGCATCAAGCTAATCATGGACTCCAAATACCACGGTTGCGCCTCTAGCTCGTCGTCCTGCTTACCTCCAACAAGCGCTCGCTGCGCGTGCAGTCTTACAGGACGAGACAGCGTGCATTCCATGGCGCTGTCTGCGGAAGATCGGATCGAAAAATAGCGCCGCGAAGAACTGGAGTTCCGAAAGAGCAAGGCACCCGGAGGCAGACGCGAGGCCTGAGTCAAGTGAGCGCTCAGCGCGACAAGACCGCTATTACCGCGATCAAGGCGAAGCCGGGGGATGAGCGCCGGCTTGAGAAAGACGGAAACGGTCTTTCTCCCCCACTCCGTCTTCGAAGACGATGAGCATGTGCACTTTCCTCGGCACCGTTTCGCAGGTTCTCTTTCTTTTCCCCTCCTTCCCCCCAAGCACGTGAAGAAAAAAAAAAAAAAAAAGAAAAGGATCTCGAGAAGGCCCGACGATGAGGGATCGAAGGTGGCTTGAGCGCATCCGTGACAACTCGCCCACGGCGGCTGGAAAGGTGTCACGGCGGCGAAGAAGCCTTCCCCTTGGACCATGTCCAGGTTAAGTTCTTGTCATCCAGAATCGATGGCAGATACAACGGAACGTCGAACAAGATCAAATTATTTTTTTTTTCTTTTCGGAAGGTGTCCAGAACGGGGAGGAGGTTCAAAATGATCCTACACGCACGCAAGCAGAAAAAAGCACCCTCCTCGCTCTCCTTTTTGTTATTAAAAAAAAGGTATTTACATGCTGCACCGTCTCACCGACCATTTTGTCATGCGTCTCTATGTAATTGTACAAATCATGGCTCCCTGCCTCCCTTAATATTTTCCCCTCACCGTCGTTGGGGCAGGCGTACTGTTGATTCGGCGTACACGCACAGTTGACGTGAAGAAAACCGGCTGAGCGTCAACCACCGACACAACAATGAAAGAAAGAAAACAAATAACGGCCTCTTCCCACCGCCTTCCCCTCCCGACATTGTTATCACCAAGACGCAAAGTTTCCATTCGCTCTCGGTACCCCTTCCACAGATTCAAGAAATATAAAAAAAACCAGACAGATAGAACGATATTAAGTGGGGTAGTTCCTTTTTTCGCTCTGTGTATATTTTTTGCCCGAGCACGTTTCCAGCTTCCGTACCACTTCGCGAGTGGTAAAAAGATGTTTGATGGCGACGATGATACTACAGCATTGTTGTACAACCTGTTTTTTTTTCAAGTTCTTCTCTTACACCCTCTCCTTCTCTCGCTTTCTACCAGCTCTATTTGGTAGCAGCGTTAAAGCCGTCGTGACAGACGGGCCGATGGGAGACGAGAGCCCCTCTTACCGCATGGGCCCACCCAGGCCGCCCATGGAGCGGAGATGCTGAGCGAGCTGAGGGTATTTCTCTGTGACCTGTGTTCTTTTGTTAGGACAAACCCACGTGGTGCAAGAAACGCAAAAGCTCTCACCTCAAGTTGTGTCCGAGTGGCCTCCGCGTAGCTGAGCGCGTTGACGATCTCGCCCTCGGTTCTTGACAACTCGGCCGCGCGCTCAAAGTAATGCAGCGCCTCCGTGACTTTACCCTGCTGCAGCAAGAGCTGAGCCATGGTCGCAACGGCAATGTCGCATTCGGGGTCAACTGGATTCGCTCATGTTAGCCATATGCCAATCTTGTTCAAAAGCGGCGATGACAGTGTTCGCCTGAGAAGGAGATTTGTGCCAAGACTCAGTTGTGACTTACAGATCAAAGCCTTCTTGCACAGATCCTCGGCCTCAGCATAGTCTTGCTTCCACTGGAACAATGCGAGAGCCTTGTTGATGAGCGGCAGGACGTTCATGCCTGCGGGTCGCTGGCTCTTCTCCATCTCGATCGCCGTCTCAAACTGGCGAATCGCGTCGTCGAACTTCTGCTGATCGAGCAGCAGCTCGCCGTAGTAGTTGTACACGTCGGGCACCCTGTCAAAGTTCTTGATGATGCGTCGGAACGTCGCCATTGACGAGGCCACAGAGCCCAGCTTGTACTGTGTGACGCCTAGCTGAATGTGCGAGAAAATGAAGTCCTTGTCCAGGTCGATGGATTTCTGGTAGTCCGCGGCCGCTTCCTTGAACTCGCCCTTGATGAAGTGCAACTGAGCGCGGTGGTAGTAGATGTCAGGGTCCTTGTCGTCACGGGCGAGAGCCTCGCGGAAATCTGCGTCGGTGGCGTCCTGCTCGCCCATCTCGAGATGCATGCTTGCTCGTTTAATATAGCTCTGCGTGTACGACGGGTCAAGCTGGATGCTCTTCGAGATGTCCTCGAGGGCCTCGGCGTTGTCGCCGCGCAGGTACGCGAACGTACCACGCATGTTGTACGCAAAGGCCTCATGCTTGCCCAAGTCGCCGAGCTCGAAGGCCTTTTCGAAAGCAGCCGCCGCCTCGGCGTAGCCCTCGCCCGTATGCAGAGCCATCGCTTTCAAACCCTTTCGCAGTTGTGCTCTGCCTGATTCCTCCGGCAGGTCGGCGGAGTCGTCCAGGCCCTCGGGACGTGGCTTCGGACGGAAGCTCTGCAAGTAGTTGGTGACGAACGTTGGGCTCGGCAGCTTCTTCTCTTTCTTGGCCAGAATCTCTTTGCCCTTTGCCTCAGCCACCTTCTTCAACAGGCGCTCGACGCTTGCCGTGTTGCTCTGATTTGCAAACTGGTCGATGATGCAGCTTGCTGTGTAGTCGAGCAGGGCTTCGCTGTTCTTCTCCACCTGCTCGTAGGCGTTTGCGCGGCGGTTAAGGGCCTTGACGTACGTTGGTTCGAGGGTGATGGCGGCGGTGGTGTCTTCGATGACCTTCTCCCAATCGCCGAGGGCGTTCCAGCACGCGGCGCGATTAGAATAGTACACGGGATCCTGCTTGCAGAGGAGCGCCTTGCCGTACAGGTCGATGGCCTTCATGTAGTCCTTTGAGCCGTAGGCCTTGTTGCCCAGAGCCTTGAGCTTGGCTGCGAGCTCCTTCTTTGCCTGTTCACACGATGAGGGTGAGCTACTGAACCAGTTTCGTTTCCGTCCTTCTCATTGTAGGTTGAGAGCAATCGGATGCGTGGACTGATGGACAACATCGAGCATGGATGCGTGGAGGAGCGGATGCAGACGTACCTCTTCTGACAATGTGGCGACGTATTCTTCCGTGACGTCGGGCAGTTCGTCCTCGGACTCAACCGTCGACACCGAGGCAACCTTTGGAGCTATCGATTCATCAGCCATCCCTGATGCCCATTGCCAATCGCGACATCTTCCTCAGACGTACCCGACTTTGCCTTTTCACTCTCCTTCTTCGCCTGCTCCTCGGCTTCCTTCTTTGCTTTCCGCTTCGCCTTCTTGTTCGCCTTTGCCCTCGATGCCGGCGACGACGACGATGCGTCCGCGGCAGGCTTCGACTCGCTGGTGTAGTACACGACTCCGGCGGCGGTGACGACCAAGGTGACGCCAGCGATGGTGTAGACGAGCGCCTTGTTCTCCGACACCCAGGTCCCTATCCGGTCCCATATCGAGGCCGACGACGAGTCTGGCAAGGCGGATGTGTCGAGCTGGATCGGGCGAGATGGAGGGATGACGGGCAGGGCGCCTTTGCCGTCCATGGTCGTGGTGGATGGTCGCAACGCAGATGGGAGATGGATGGCAACACAGGACGACGAAGGAGAGACTGGATGTTGCCAATGGGACGGGGCGTCGTCGGCTACGCAACGAAGGGGTCAGCCAGCAACGAGGGGGAGAACTGTTGGCTGATGGAGATGACGATGACGACGGCGGCGATGGGGCGGTGGTGGTGGATGTGCCGAATGGGTTCCCAGCTGTCTGCAGGCTCCTGGGGGAGGTGTCTGGTGGTATGGTCGTGTGTAATGCACAAAAAAGCTCTGCGAACCGCGTCGTTATTGGACGCCGGCTGGCGCTGGTCCTGCGCTAAGCCTAATCGGCATCCTCGCCGCCACCGCGCCCTCCCATTCGCCCGCGTTCTGTCCGACGCGTTCGCTGTGGTGGGCGCTCGTTGCAGTCGGACGCTGAACCTGACTCTCCGTGCGAAGCTGCTCTGTACCAAGCAAGCGCTGTGCTCTTGTGTTTGGCTGTCGTCGTCGTCGTAGTCGAAGTTGTTGTTGCTGTTGTTGCTGTTGTTGTTGTCTTCGTCGTCGTCGTCGTCGTAGCCATCGTCCTCGGCGTCGTCGACACCCAGTGCGCAGCGCTCAAACTCATGTGGACATCCATCCAGCTCAACCCCGAGCATTCGTACTAGCACACTCTCCCTCTCTCTCTCTCTCACTGTAGCACTCTGACATGTGTGCGTGTGCCTGCGGTGTCTGCGTGCTCTTCGCTCCCGCTCCCGCTCCCTCGCCTCTCCTCTCTCTTCTCTCTTCTCTCCTCTCTCTTCTCTCTTCTCTCCTCTCTCCTCTCTCCTCTCTCCTCGCTCTCCACACGACTCTTATCTGTTCTCTCTATGGCTACCCGGACTCTTGCATGCTGTCTGTCTGTTCCGCCCTTGCGCGACCTCGCCGTTTTGGCGGCCATCGCAAGCACCAAAGGGCCCACGGAGCGGCCACGCTACCCGCTGCTCCCGCTACCGTGGGTTCTAGAAGGCCCGCACGCGATAACGAAGCAAAAGTCGTACGATTCATTCGCCCGACCCGACCCAGCTGACGCTCGCCAATCTCAGTCCCCATTTCTGCCTGTCGTCTTCTCCTCGTCCCGTCTCCCGTCGCCAGCCCAGTCTGCTGCTGGCCCTCGCTCGTCCAGCCGTTGATTCCCATTCCCACCCCGCCCCGCTTTGCCTGTAGCCAGCGTTCCTCGTCTAGCACTCGGCCGCCTTCATGCACGTCCGTCAAGGCGACTTTCTTCTCGCTCCCCATTCGTGCTGTGACGGCTGCTGGAGACCCACAGCGAAACCACGTTGCGCGCAAAAGTGCGTCTGGCCTGTGACTTGAGGCTCACGCCAATGCATGCGGACGATCCGGTCGCCCTTCGCACGCGCAATCCCCTGAGCACGGAGCGAATGGAAGATCTCGTCGATCGAGGAACGGCAGCAAGGGAGATGGAACTAAAGTTGATTCTCTCCAACACAGATCTGAGGAATAAAGAGCCCGCGTTTGGCTCCCTTCCTTTGCGTCCGGCAAACTCTCTCGTGTCCTTCTTTCAACCTCTTCCGCCCTCGTTTCCCCCGCTCTGCGTCAACAGCGAGAGCCCCCCCAAAAAAATCTCCGCGCCACTGAATTTTCATCGTCGTCGTCTTCTTCTCCCAATCATCCTCGCTCCACAAAGCCATGGCCTCCCCGTCCGATCTGGCCGCTGCACAGTCGGAGAATTTATCCGGCCCAGCAGCGTCATCGCCCCCGTCCGATTTCACCATCTTCACCTCCATACGCTGTGATCCCATCCTGGAAACCAGCAGCGACAACGTCGGCTACTCCAGCCGCCGGAGATGCAAGCTGTACTTCCCGGAGCTGCACCGCCAGCGTCTGCTCGAGGCCGCCGCCGCTTTCTGGCCCAATGTCAAGTTCAAGGAGCTGGAAAGCACCGCCAGCTTCGAGACGGCCCTGCTCGACGAACTCGACGAGAAGGAGAGAATGCACGAGACGTACATTTGTCCAATGAAGGTACGTACATGCATGTATCGATCGATCGTCCATCGTCTCCCCACTCGGCCCCCCGTACGCCAGGGGTCGATTGCGATCAGGCTTGATCGTTCATCGGAATCTTTCCTCCCACACCACCCTTTCCCCTTTGCTCAGGCGGAAGAAACATACGAGAGAGGGAAGAAGAAAACTACAAAGACAGCAAGAACCTCAGCTCACCGTGGTTGATAATCGTGCAGGTCAAATACTCGTTTACATCGACAGGCCGTACCCACGTCGAGCTGGCCCCAGTACCCGCCCTTCCCCTTGAGGCTCTCTTCCCCACCACCTTTCGCCTGCCGTCTCTGCACTCAACCTCCTCGAAGAAATCCCGCTTCGGGGGGCCCTCCTTGTCCTCTCCATACACCCCGTACCCCTCTAATCCACCATGCTCGCTCTCGCGTCGCGGATCTGATGACTACTTCTCCATCCACTCCACCTCCACGTCGTCCACCGTGTCGTCTTCAGCGTCTTCCCGCTCCGGCTCCTCGTCGACTCACGGGCCCAGAACCACCCTTGCCTGCACGTATGAGATCTGGATCGACATCCAGCCCACCGAGCAGACTGCCCACACGCGCTTCAAGACCTCTTCGCGAGCTCAGTACGATGCTGCTCGTGCCCGCGCCCTGCCCAATCCGGAAGACGTCACCCAGGAGGTGCTGTTGTGGAACCCATCCGGCTTCATCACCGAAGGCTCCCTGCTGACGCCCTACTTCTACCGCAACAGGCGATGGGTGACGCCGCCGGTTGTGGACCCGCAGTACGGAGGCGGCCAGGCCGGAACGTCGAGGCGATGGGCACTCGAACAGGGCCTTTGCGAGGAGGCTGCCGTGGAGCGCAGGAGCATTCGTGTTGGCGAAAGGGTGTGGGTCAGCAACGGCGTCCGCGGCTTTGGATGGGGGAAGATCCAGGGTATGAAGCAGAGCGACGAGGAAAGCGAGAGGTCATTTTAGGTGCTTGAGAGGAGGACGACCCAGACGATGTTCGACGCGTTTACACACATGCGCTTGCGTGCGTGTGAACGATTTCACGACCGACCAAGACTTTTTGACGTACTTTGAAGTACCCAGCTGTTTCCGACTCAGCAAGGATGACAATCTTACGATCAGCATGACATTTGAGTGATTGGTAGTGCGACGTTTTGCTCCCTCGCCAACGCTGTTTCCTTCCTTCATCGACATAAACCGATACAATCGAGCTTTGGAGTCTCGCTGCGTGGTTAAAAAAAAGGCGAGTTTTGTGGTAGGTAAGCGTAGCACTCTTACATGATGCCGCACCATTCTGTTGCATTCTACCCAGAAACCATACTGGCCATGAAATCTGCATGGTTTGCTCGGAGTCCTACACAAGGGGGAAAAACTGCATTATATCCGCTTGTATGTATACGTTTATACTTTTTTTTTATACGCCCAGGGGGCCGAACTTTTGCACACAGATTCGAGCAACATCAATCAAAGATATTTACGCCGACAGAATTGGCTTTAAGCGACCTCACTCGAGCTCCTCTGTGTCTTTCTGCTACCGTCACATAACGCGTACGCACCGTGCTGTACTTCTTTTTTATTGCGCACTTGGATCTTCACGACGCACTGCTCTCCCGATGTCGTCTCTGCCCAAGTCCGTCCCGTCTCATTTCGCGACCACATAAGTGCCTTCTTCGTGTACTCTGCCGCTTTGCATTGTTCACCCTCCCAACCACACTCGTCACCCTTACTCGGGCCGGATTCGTCACCTGCCCGCACGAGCGCACACGACAACCCGTGCATCCTGTACGCATACACGTTCGCGTCCAATTCGAGAGTTAGCAACATTGGCTGGCATCAAGACGTCGCACGCTTCCGGCCAGGCAGCGCGCACAGCGCCCAGTGAGGACTGAGGCACGCTCCCGACAGCGCCCCCGGCCCCCTCTCCAGCTCCTTTCGAAGCGCTTCTCTGGTGACCACACCTGTTCAGGCGGCGCGCCGTGATACGCGGCGTGGAAGCGAGAAGCGCGAAAGCTACCGTCGTCCCCGCGACTGCGGCGCCCGTCGCCAGCCCGCGGCCGTTAGCCTTTAGAGCCGGCGAGACGTGCTCGCGCGCCACAAAACGGGCCTCGCCCGTCCTCGCAAGCCGATCTCAGCGCGTCCAGCGGAGCCGAGGACGCCGTCGTCCAGCCTCCCGCAACGGCCGCCGTGCGGTATCCATGGCCCGCTTGGCTGTGCGATGAGAAACGTAGCGCACTTTCTCCGGCGTGAGGCACGTCACATTGCACAGATCGCCTCGTTGCGCCGCATACATGCGCTTGCGTCTTGCAGCTGCCTCTGCAGCAGAAGCCGCTACCGCAGGATGCCGGCTCGGGTCTCGTTCGTGAGCGTCTGGTCAGTGAGCTAACCCGCCACTGTGATCTCCATAGCGTTTGGATGCACGGCCGTGCTTTGCTGTGGACCTTGACTGCTTACAAACATGAACACCGGAGCGTGGACAAAGGCTGCCGTAGCCTCTACGATGTTCGTGGGAGCCTTGAGGAGTACGTGCTCAACGTCACTTGTCGACAACTCAACGCTCAGGTCCATAATTTTCCATCCTACATTTGTTTCTTTTTCTTTTCTTTTCTTTTTGTGAACTCCAGACTTGAAATTCAACTGCGGTAGGAAGTGGGATGGTGTCTCTGACAGACAATGCAGAGGAGCATGAAATGGTGTTCCAAAATAGGAGGTAGGGCTTACGACACGGATGGAGGAAGCAGCCCAGTAAACAACATGATGGCGAACACCTGCAGCTACCTCTGGCCCCCCCCCTTAAAAAAAAATCCGTTACGGTCTACTGGTTCATGATCGGGAGGGAACTTCGGCCGGAGCAGTCAAAGATTTGCGGTCAGTAAGCTACGCCGGCCCCACGCAATGTTTGGTTTGTCCGGGACAGATCTTGCGGGCCCGACAAGAGATTGGGAAACTCAACATGGCTCAAGTGTGTCTACATCCCTCCGTACGACGTGCACGTACGTCAGGTAAGCTTTTGCGGCGAGCAACCTGACCTGGCGAGTGATCCGCGAGGCTGTGACTGTTTGCTAAACCGTGAAATGGATACCTGCGTGCAGCTCTCTCATCCGGGAGGGAAGAATAGGGACCACAGACTGTGTTTTGAAACCAGCGATCGAGTTCGCACGAGTCGGAGCAAACAGAAAGCTTTGCGCTCTCCGTCTTCCTTTCTCGCAAACCGTGCGGTTGCGCACGGGACGAATGTTTCGAAACGAAAGCGCAGTGATTGGATGGCATGCTGGCTTGTCATTGAGACGGCTGACGAAGACACTTTAGGAGAATGACAGGATCCGAAAGGGGAGACTGTAGAATTTCCTTCGGGCAGGACGATTGGCCCAGAAGGAATTCAGGAGCCAAATCGTGTGCACAGCTGCGTTGTGCTGATTTTTTTTCTTGTTTTCTGACAGAGCAGTTTGGCTCAGACGACGCGTATTACCACTTGGGACCGCCACGGTGTATCCACCGCAGCCAGGCTTTGCGTTTCCCGGCGGATGAAACAAAGGAGTCCGTGGCCTTGGTTGTCAGACGAGGCCCCTCGGATCACAAGGTCGAGCCAGAGGCAAGCGTTTCCGCAAAAGGGCGTTGCCAGCACACCACAGCGGGCGATGGCACCATGCATCTACATGCTCATATCTATGCAAACAAGAGCCCGTGTACGAACGGGGAGCACAGCGACGGCGTTTGTGCGTACATGACGTCGTCCAAACGGCGGGCCCTCCATCCGAATCGCTCTGCAAAGAGTGCGGAGCCGACGAGCTGATGGGAAGCATGAATTTCGCCTTGGCTGCTAGCGCGGGGGCCCACTTCCCCCTGTATAAAATAGATTGATGGACCGTTCCCTTCAACGTGGATGCATACACCAGGCCTGGATCGGCTAGATCTGTACTACGAACGGCTAGATTAAGGCGGGCGACCAGCCAAGATCTGGGTCTGGGCGGGCCGCGGTGGTGAGGGAAAAGGCGAGAGGGACAGCAGAAACGGTGGAAGTGAGCGGCAGTGCGTGTGGGCGAGGGCTTGGGCGAGACGACGAGACCAGACGGACAAGCGATGCGCTTCGGAGCCCCGTCGTCGCTGCTGTCGTCGTCCAGCCTGATCGACACACATGTGCCCGTCTCCCTCACGTCGTTTCGCCGGGCCACATCGCTCCTCATCCTTTCCATCGCTCCTTGCCTCGCCCCCGTCCTCTTCTTCAGCACAACAAACACGCTACACGAGCCTCGCACGCCCTCAGCTCTGCCTCCAGGAAGGGATCGGCAGCCAAATTAAATTGCACCGCGCTGGTCCTGGGGCCAATAGGATCGGCCCTGCGCAAACGGCTTGCGTGTGTCTCCACCACTCGCCCTGTCCTGACTGCTCCCACTTGCCGGGCCTGTCTGCTGCGCCGACCTCCTGTCGAAGCAGCGTCTCAGCAGCCTGTCTCTCTCTCTCTCAGTGTGTGTGTGTGTCTTCTCTCTTTCTGAAATTGCCCATCGAACCGCCCAATAATCTCGCCCTCCTACCACACAAACACAACAACAACACCACGCTCTCTTTCTCGCCCTGACCATCGCTTTCTCTGCCCACTCTGCCGCGAATTCGGACGTTTCTTTCGTTCGCCATCGCGTCTGTCACTCATTGATCGAATTCGTTTCGCTTCTCCACATAGGGCTTGCGCAGCCCTTTCTTTTTCGCCTGGGCCGTAATTCACTCCTTTGGTTCGACGCTTCTTTCGCCTGCTGAGCGCGCTGGCTTCCCCCAAGCACATGCCATTCGGACCACGTCTTTCCCCTCGATATTGTCTACCGACGGCCAGACGACGGTGCTGAACTGATTTCTGCGGCCATTCGTTTGTCGAACGGCACACTGCAGGCAGACAGCCAGAGCGGGACGGACTGCAACTGCGTTTCGCCAACAACAACTGACGACCATTTCTTTGTTCTTTTCGCCTTCGCTTTAACCCGCTGTTCTTACGGTCCAGCAACCCATTTTTTGTTTGTCGCGCCACGATTACGCCGATACAGGTGCCGCGGCCTCCGTTCAAACCGATCCGACGCTCGTTATTCTTCTATTGATACAAGCCATGGCGTCATTACCGTACTGTATGTTTCTTGCTTGGGTCGAGATTGGATGCAATGTGCCCGACTAACTTTCGTCAAAGCCGATGCCTTCTCGCCCGCAAACTCTTTCTTCAAGCGCTGCGTAACATGTCCCAACACGGCGCCTACGTGCCCCTCCTGTAAGTCGGACGAAATATGTTCTCAAACCCTCGGCGACTGCGAAACCTGCCCCACGGCATCGTGTGTTAAAGCAGCTACATCTGGCTCTCTTGTTGGCACAAGTTCCAAGTCGAGCGGACCCAACATTGGCGCCATCGTCGGCGGCGTGATTGGTGGTGTGGCCCTGATCACTCTCATCGTGTTCTGCATCTGGAAGTACTGGCTCAAGGGACGGCGGCACGAAGTGGAAATCGAGGAATGGGAGGACGACGAGGAGATGGAGAAGTCAAATGCTTCAGTATTCACTCGTGAGGCACGGTCGCGGGCTTCGACGCACACCGTCGCCTCGTTGGCATCCACCGTCCTGACGAGGGCGTCGAACATCATTCAAATCGCGTACATACCCGGTGTCACGAACCGCTCTGGAAACACTGGCCCCGATCTGCTTGTTCCGCCCGTTCCGCCCATTCCAGCACAGACACCCCCTACTCTTCACTCAAGATTTGCAGACGACCAGCTGTTGTTCATGCCCGGCGACCTGCGAGACTCGACGTACTCGGACGTATCTTCCGTAAGCGGCGAGCGTAGGCCCGGCAGCATCGCACCCAGTCTGGCACGTACAAGTATGGCTTCGACTATCTTCATGGATAGTGCCGTTGTGAACCCTATGCCGGCGACCCAGATCATTGGCGGCAAGGCGGCTATCGTCAGTGTCGGTAGCAAAGGATCCACGCCGGGCTCGACACCACCCGTTCCTTCTGTCGACTTTGCCAAGCATGGAGGTAAGGCCGTCAAGCCGGTCATCATCAAGATGCCTTCGTCGACGGACGGTTCTGGATCTGCTACCTCCTCGCTCAAGACCATGAAGCCTGTCGCTCTGAACATCATACGAAAGGACAAGAAGGCACCTTCAGACGTTGCATCAGTCGACTCGTCCGCACTCGAGTCGCGAGACTCCAAGCGCATGACCAAGTCCTCGCTCGCACCTTCTGAGATGAGCGTCGAGACACACAGGCGCGCTCGCCAGAGCGGCTTGACGCACAGGTCCAGCAGGCACACGACGTATTCGGATCTCAGCGACGACGATGACGAGCACGAGAGGTCGAGACAGTCTCTGATGGACCGGAGAAACGAGTCGCCATTCACGGATGCTGCAGAGATCAAGACGCCCACAACACCTTCCGTACCGGGCGGCTCGCCGCTGAAGATTTCAACGCCAAGTTCGTCAAAGGAGGCTGCTGAGCGAGGCAAGAGCCCATTCGAGGACCCTGAGAGTCCAACGAAGTAGCCCCTCTCGCGTCTTTGATCCTGATGTTCACTTTTGTTTGTTTGAGGAATTCTATTCTCCACACGCGGTTCACAGGCGCTACGTGGAGAGATGATGTCTCTACCTCCATGCTCAACCGTTTTGCACGCCATCCTCTTACGCGTCTCTCACGATTCGGACTAGGGCGGGAAGGAGTTATCTTATTCGACTCCCTGTTTCTTTCACGGACCAGTTTCTGGGAGGCGGGTATGAACACAACACAGGCAGCCGAGCGCGATTTCCATTTCATACATTTTTTTTTCTTTTCTCAATTTAGAGGGGAGCGCAGGAACGTCCACCTTTTGCGGGGATCACGCTACGAATGAACAAAGACCCGAAACAGCAGACACAAGCGGAATCTGGAGAAGCAAGGCGGAGGAGAGACCGTCAAGAGATGAAATGAGCGACCTCGTTCTCCTGACGGAGGGATCCAACGAGGTGAAGAAAAAAGGACCCAAGAGCTTTGTACCGAGAGAGAAGAGAAAAAAAGAATTTTTTTTCTCTCTCGAGATGACGACAAGAGAGCAAGCACAGTCTTCTTTTTCTTCTTTCTGAGCTTTCGAATGTATATATTGGCTCCTTTGCTGGGAGAACGCGGTCGAAATGCGACGCAAAGATCTTTTTTTTTCTGTTATATAATGAAAGAAAGCGAAGCCTTATTGATCGAATGTGTTCTCCCACTCGTGCTCGTTTTGAACCTCCTTTGGCTTTGCCTTCCGCGCCTCAAGTCACGAACGTCTGTTCCTTTGCGCCCTGGAGGGGGGGGGAAGAAGAAAGGGGTTATTTGGCAAGATGGTGATCACACAAAGCCCGACCAGCGGCGTGAAGCTTTGAATCGTGAGATTGGACGATGCCACGGTAAGCACAGAGCTTCGAACGTTCACATACACACGTGGTGAGGATCCGTCGTCGCGAGCAAAATCTTAGCAAGTCACCGGATGATTCCGTAGATTACAAAGGTTACTACAGTGGACAAAAACAGAGGGTGATGCTCACCCTCGTTAACAGCGTCAAAAGACCTTTAACCGACCAGCTTTTTGCCCAAGCACGCCCAGCAGCAACCCTTTCGACCCAAAACGCCTTGCGGAAAATGATGGGTAAACTAAAATTAAAGAATAACGCCAGGATATTTGCCCATTGAAGAAGCGGTCAAAAGGGGAAGAAAAAGACAATAGGAGGGCAGAAAATCGTTCAAAGTGCAACCTCCAGAGCAGTCATTGACAACAGTGACATCAACTCGGCCGATACCGCCTTGACCAAGTTTGCGGATTCCATCTCTGATTTCGCAGCCTACAAGCTCGTCTTAGGCTCAAGCGGCTGGCTTTCCCCGTCGGCTCTTTGCGATGTAGTATGTGATCAGGTTCACGCTCCCTTCCTTGACGCCCGTGCTTCTCAGAACCTTCCAGAATTCGTCTTCTCCGCCCGCATGCATGACCAGACAGAAATCCAGATCCGCTTTGCGAACGTCCGAGTCCGGGTCCTGGAGGTACTTCACGGCACATGCACCGAGCCGTTGGACGAGCTGCGAGGAGAGAGGGACAGAGCGGGAGCGAGCTTGGGTGAGAAGGGAGGAGAGCGTCTGCAAAGCAAAGCAGGAGGTGCGGTGAAGATATTGTGACGATGGAAGGGTTGGGGACAGGGCGCTTGAGGTTGATGATGGCGAAGAGCTCGCAGGAGATATGGGTTGATTGGTCAAGCCCTCCAGAAGATCGAGAACCGCGGAGAGCCCGTCAAGAGGGTTGCAGTTCTTGACAATCTCGTCTGCAGCCTTCTCAAAGTCCGCCGTGATATGCATAGTGTCGTCCCACTGGCGTCTCGAGATGAGCACTGAACGTAGAGCCTTCGCGTAATACGGCGCTGCCTCTCTGCGGTGCAGCGTGAGCATTGCACGTATAGTAGCTAAAGCCTGTCCCTTGAGACTCTGCGCCTTGGTCGCCGCAGATTCTGTACCAGTAGCAGCTTTCAGGCTCTCGTTAGGCGTCTCCAAATATTCTAACAGAACGAGTAGGAGCTCGCCAAATTTCTGGCCCTCGTCTCCCCAAACATCCAGACCACTCTTTACAATATCCTGCACACGCCTGAATCCATGAGCATCCAGGCTCTTGGCCTTGATGCGCTCGATGCCACTCATAAGCAAGCGCCTCGACCTTAGGGTCTCGGCGCTATTGTCGTTGAGATTCGCCGCAACAACGCTGCCTGTACTAGTGGTCTTATGATGCCTCGGTGTACGCTGCATATCGATGTTCTGCTCATTGCTCCTCGTGCTGTGAGCCAGCGTGCTCTCCTCGGTAGGCTGACGTTCATTCGCCCGTTCGATCGGTAACTCTTCAAGAACGGGTTTCTCGTCATTCGCGTCAGTATGATCCATTGCGTCATGCGACGTCAACGGATCTTCGTACACTTGGACTGGTTCCGCTTCCGTCTGCATTGTGCTTGGCAATGGACTTCTCAGTCGCTCAGGCGATCTGCCAACAGGGCTTCTGAGCCGGTTAATGCTAAGTGAGGACGGCGACTGCGTCTTCGCCGGTGAAAATTTGCTGGGCGTTGTAGGTTTTGGAATCCCGCTGCTTGAACCAGGCCGCTCAAAGCTACGCGGCAAAACCATCGTGAAACCTTCTGCATCGTCAACCATCGAATTTTCATGACTAGCTGACGCTGTGGTAGCAGGAGCTCTAGCATTGGGCGCACCGAAGGCATCGTCGCTGTCGGGTGGCTTCGTAAACGGAACTACCAATGTGAGATCGTCACCTCTGGACGGGCTTGACAGGGGGCTGTCCGTCGTGCCTGTGGTACTTCGTCTCGGTGTCTTTTTCGGTACTACGTTAATTTCAGACCTCGACTTCGTGCGTATAGTTGAAGTTGCCGTCGTCGCTGGCGCAGCTGCCCTGGCAGGGGTTCTTGCGGGAGCCTTTGCGGTAGACTTGACTGATTTTTGTGGGCTGGCTTGCGGGCTCATATTTGGCGTGCTGCCATGGACACCAGCACGTCTGCTAGCCGCGTACGGATCCGCTGTGGCAGGACGTGCAATCTCCGGTCTTCGAGGTCGTCGTACTGGAGCAGCCATCAACGAGCTGCCAGCCGACGCCTGCGATGCCTGTGTACTTGCTGATGCCTCTCTCGACAAAGACGAGGGTGGTCTCCCTGTCGCTGCTCTCATCGCTGTGGTTCTGGAACTCAGCCCAGAGGGCCCCGCTGCCGGCGTTTTTACGGGCGAGAAGTGAGACTGTGCTGAGCTTGGTCGGTCCGGCATATTTCTTGCCGCTAGAGCTGCTTTACGTTGAGCAGCGATCGCATCTCTGACAGACGGACGAGCTGCAGCAGCAGGTTTAGCCTTGGACGCGGCGGGGGCGCCACCTAAGCTGGACGCTGACGATGCGAGAGATGCAGCGTTAGGGTTATGTGGATCTTTCTCCAGCTGCTGGCGTGACTTCGGATCCAAGCTGTCCATAATCCTCTCCGCATGGTCGCGCCACACCTGTGAGAAGGCCCAGTATGCGGCTCTCGTGCCTTCCCGGACCTTGGGATTTGCATCGCCCAAGCCCTTCTTGATGCACTTCTCAGCCAGCTCTAGGCCGCCAGAGTGCTCGATCTGGGCCTTGTGTGAGGGGCCATGCTTCTTGAAGATGGTTCGCAGCCAGACAGTCGCAAAGGTGCGCGTCTGCACATTCTTATCCTGATACGAGAACCACATGTGCTCCATGAGACGCTTGTGGTACGACACATGCGAGAGCAGAGTCTCGACGGTGGCGCTACCGTTGTTAGCGGCAATCTGCTTCGTGTTTGCACTCATCTTGATGAAGTTGGAGATCATCATCTCTACAACCGGGTCAAGAGCGGGACCAAGGACACGCGCTAGCTCCTGCGCAAGTTGGCATGCGTTTGTGGAGACGGTCGTGCGTAGGGAGTTGGAAATTCGGGTCACACCGTCCATAACAGAACGGATGCCTGCCACAAATGTGTTGTGGAAATCGGTTGGCGCGTTGCCCTTGAGCAATCTCCGCAACTTCGTGATGCTCTTGTCGCGGGCCATCCAGTTGTGCTCTGTCTCCTTGCCCTCGAACAGAGTTCTCATTTCGCTGAAGATCTCTTCCAGCTCACGGTTCGTTGTCACGTAGAGCGGGTCCATTGGCACGACCTCTTGTGGGGGAGGGTGCTCGGACATCATGCTGTCGGCAAACGTGGTATCGTTGCGGGAGAGATCTGGCATGGTCTGCACGGACATCGTTGACGCAGCCATGTCAAGGTCGGCTGTAGGCCGCATGTCCAACTGAGATACTATTTGGGAGACGATTGTGTGGCGTACGTCTTGCATCTTCATGCGTTTCCTGAGATCGGCCTTTGCATGTTCCGGCGCGCTCCTGCCCCTCTCCGTCAGTAAACGCATTAAGGTTGACAGGAAAGATGACAACAAGCCATACCTAAAGAGCTCGACAATGCAGCTCTTTGCAGTCTCTCGCACCATACCGTCTGCATCTTCCAGGCAATTCACTAGCTGGGGCACGTATGTCTTGAAAGGTAGGGACTCGGCCTTGTGCATCTGCAAGCAAAGCTTCACTCAGCACGCCGATTTTTTTTTCTACATTCGCACTTGATTGTTGGAGACAGAAAACGTACCTTAACCACCCACATCATAGCTGCCTCTTTCGCCCTCGGGCTGTGCCCTGATAAGGCACCCTCCTTGATTACATTTTCGACCTGCTCGCTGACAAACGGGTAGAAATCGGCCAGGTTGGCACTCGCGGCATTCCTGTGGCTCTCTCTCGAGTCGCCGAGCCTCTCCAGCAGGATCGGGAGCAGCCTCTTGGCCTGGGAGGCAATGACGTTGTTCTGCTGCTGCAGGCTCAGGCGCTTGATTAGGTGGCCCAGCGTGGAGAAGGCGGTGGCAGACAGCGTCGGCGACTGCGAGCTCGATATGGCGATGCGTATACACTCGAAAATGATGGGCTGGGCAGCATCCGGGACGCGGAGATGCTTGATATTGGACTTAACAGAATTGAAGGCGGCAACTTTGGCGTCGATGGCTACTGAGGAGCGCTTTAGCATCCCCAGCAGATTCTGGGCCTCTTGCTCCATGGCTGACTGAATATGGAGGGTCAAGAGGGATTCGGGCTGTGCGGATGTTATTGGAGCATGAGGCGAGGAGTTTGTTGTTGTCGTTGTGGGAGCCGTCTGTGGATTGTGTATATCGCGGGTGGTTCGTGTATGTTAGTTTTGGTTTGAGGCCCAAAACAGCGGGTGGAGCGCGACACCAACGCACGGGGCAACCACATGCAGGGAGCGCCCCTCAATGACCTCAAGTTGCAGCCAACAACGGCGACGCGATTTGTTTACCCCAAATCATCCATCAACACTGCGCCATGCCTCTCTTCATGTAGTTTCTGTCTTCGACCCCTCCCGCCGTGCGATGTGCGCTGGCTGCGTTTGTACGTCTGGAATAGCTGGCCATCTCTACGCATTTGGACGATGCCAAGGAAGCCGGCTATCGTATGTCGACCACTCCTCATCTGACGGCGGAGAATAACTCCCATAGCTCATTACCTTTGCTTGCGTATGCGCTGTCCAAAGATCCCTCCCTTTGCTTCTTCCCCACATCTGCGTTGGCCTGATGACGAAGCGACGGCTGAGCCGCAACCTTGAAGATGCGCTGTATACCTCAAACACGTCTGCTCCACCCTGTTTCTCTTTGTGAATTCCAAGGATCAGTCCTGTGACATGTGGATCTGTACACTTCGCTTCTTCTCCAGCTGATGGCGTCGGCTTTCCCTTGTCAAAAGGTTCACCATTGCCCTTCTCTGGCGTGAGGTATTACACGAGAAGCTTGACGACTTGGAGTCGAAATGCAGCAAATCGCGCTGAACCGTCAAGGCTCAAGTTCGTCAATGAGAGGGAAATAAATTTCGAGCTTAGATTTTCTGGCTCTATTGCTTTCTACTGTACAAATCTCGCCAACGCTAAAGGGCAGTGACACACTGCAAGCAGCAGGGCCGAGTGCTGAAGAGAAAGACATGGAGGGTACGAATTAGGATTACATGATGCAGTAAACAATGGTGAAGTCACCGGTCCAACGCCTGCGCCTGACACATCTGCCAGTACGCACCGCGCAGCCTCATTAGCTCTGCATGGCTGCCCCGTTCAAGTATCCTCGCACCCGTACCGACTTCACTCTCGCCGAAGACGAAGATCGTATCTGCTTTCTGGATCGTAGCGAGCCGATGGGCCACGGCAATTACGGTCATATTGCGTTGTCCCGCCAGTCGCTCGATGGCCTGTTGAACGAGCTTCTCCGACTGAGAATCGAGTGATGAAGTGGCTTCGTCCAGGAGCAGCAGTTTTGGCTGACGCAGCAATGCACGGGCAAGGCAGAGGCGTTGTTTTTGGCCTCCAGACAACGCCGTGGCAGTGTTCGAGCCAAGTTCGGTCTGGTAGCCTTCTGGCAAAGACGTGATGAACTCGTGGATCTCGGCATCGCGGCAAGCCTGATGGATCCGCTCGTCCGTTGCTTCGTCTGGGTCGGTCATGCCGAGAGTCAAATTATCGCGGATCGTTCCACTAAATAGTCGCGGCTCTTGTGCGACAAGCGAAACGGTCTGCCGATAGGACGCAAGTGGTATTTTCCTGATATCGACTTCGTTAACGAGTACCTGTCCAGAGGATGGTTCGTAAAATCGCTCCAGAAGTGAAATAACACTAGTTTTTCCGCACCCGGATGGACCGACGAATGCCGCAAATGATCCTGCGGGTATGTCGAGAGAAAGATTTCTGAACGTTGGGTCGTCGCGCGAGGCGTACTTCAGAGTCACACGTTCAAGCCTGACATGAGCACCGTCCTTGCTTTCCTTTGGTATGAGCCTATCCGGGCTATTTTCATCTGTTCTGTTAAGCAATCGTAGGCCCAAAATCCGATTCGCGCTCGCAGTTGCCACTGCAATGCTTGGAGCGGCCGAGAAAAACTGACCCGCTGCGATAGAGCCCACGATGATCGCAGTGTAGATGACATAGAATTGTGTTGGCTCGTACTCGCGAGAGGCCAGCAACTGCCCGCCATACCAAAATGTCAAAGCCATTGCAGCGAGTTCCACGCTATCACAAAAGGCGTTGATAAGCATGGCGTAAGTTGCTCTTTTGGTGGACGCTTTCACTTGGTCTGACAACATTGTGGTATATTTGCTGAGAATTTGCTCTTCCATCGTTAGCGAAGACACCGTCCGAAACGCCCCTATGGCCTCCGTCGCGAAGGCAGAGCTGCTTGCAAAAACCTGAGCGTTCATGTCGTTAAATTGGAACTCATTACGCAATTTGATGAATTGGCAGATCAAGAGAACTGGCATAGCGGTGAGAAAGATAACCAAAGTGAGCTTCCAGCCAAAGTAGAAAGAGATTACAATGCAGGAAATCATGTTGAAGATGGAGATCAGAGGGAAGGCTCCATTCAAGCCGAGTAACTCTCCCAAGTTCTTAGGGTCGCTCGACAGTCGTGCGACCACTGACCCAGAAGCATTTTCTTGAAGGTCAAAGTAAGTTATAGGCTGACGGATAGTGTTGAGAAAGTAATCCCGACGCGTCGATGAGCTCGTAGCGGCCGAGATCATGCCCGCAGAATACCCTAGCGTGCCATAGAAGACCGTGTTCGCGAGAGCCAGGATGAAGAACATCAAACTCCAATGATCGCGAGATTTGGCAAGTTTCTGGCCTGTGAAAGTGAAGACTTGTACGAGTTTCGCAAAGAACCAGGCCTGAAGTGCATAAGAACCGCCCGCGCCCATGGCTGCCAGGAGTGTAAAGATGAACAAAATCCACTTTGTGCGCTGCTCATAGAGCAAAATGCCAACAGACCCGAAGAAGCCTTGCTTAAAGTTGATGGTACGCTCGACATCGTCGGCCACTTGGGCGGACGGGTGGACGCCCGTGGATTTCCTCCGTAATAGCTCGTTTGGATGCTCCTCTTCTGCCTCACCTTCGAGTTCCCGAACTTCCGCTTGGATCTTTTGGGCACGAACAAGACCAGAATAAAGACCAAGTTCGTCTGAAAGGAGTTCTTCGTGCGTTCCTTCCTCTACCTTTAAGCCGTCGCGCATGACAATGATATGGTCCGCCTTCTGGATGGTAGCTAATCTATGCGCAATCACGATCGTCGTTCTTGACTTGCTCACTTCATCAAGAGCTTTCTGGACAATCGCCTCACTTCTGACATCAATGGCGCTTGTTGCTTCGTCGAGAATCAGTATGACCGGCCGGCGGATGATGCTGCGGGCTATGGCAAGTCTTTGCCTCTGCCCACCTGAAAGTTTTATGCCTGACTCGCCGACGAGAGTGTCGTACCCTGATAGTGATCGTTAGGAACGACTTACTAAGGCAAGAGTGATGGGGTGAACTTACCTTGTGGTAGCTTTTCGATGAATTCATCCGCGAAAGCTTCCCTACATGCTTCTTTAACGCGCTGAAGCTTTTCTTCATCAGTGACATCTTCCCATTGGGTCCCTAGAAGTCCAAAAGAGACATTATTCTTTATCGTGTCGTTGAATAAGAACGGCTCCTGCTGCACAAAACCGATCTGAGACCTCCACCACTTCAGATCAAACGTATCTATGTTACGTCCGCCGCACTTGATCATACCGCTGTTGTGTACCTTCTCAAGCAATTCTGGCTGACCGCTCTCCTCTTCTTCCCCATTGTTGATACTAGAAGAAGGGCCAGAAGCAGAAGAATCTTGGTCTCCTAACGAGTACCATCGCTCAAGGAGTGCGACGATTGTAGATTTGCCTGATCCCGACGGACCTACCAACGCCGTTATCTGACCCTTCCGAAACACAGCATCAAAATTGTTCAGTACTTGGACGCCTTTTCGGGAAGGATACGCGAAAGAAACCCCTGAAAGCTCGATGTCTTCATGGGCAGATACCTCGGGTGCTTTAAGGCCATCGGCAGGTATTCGCTTTGAATCGATCATCTCGAAGAATGAGGTAGAAGCGCTGATAGCCTTTACAATGGTCATTATAGGTGATACAATGCCGCCTGAACGTCTGTTAGCTTTGCATTACTAAATGCAACTACTACAGACCCACCCAAGACAGATATGATAACCAAGACAGAGAAAAAGGCAACAATGACTTGGTTTACGGTAGATATGGTCCCATCGGCATAAAACTTCAAGCCAGTCCAAAACGTCAAAGCGAAGGAGCTGAAAGTGGCAAAATACATCGGTGACAGTTGGACACCGAGTAGGGGTGCGACGCGTTTGCCCCAGCGGCCAGACTCATCCACTAATCTGGTGTATCTATCAGACAGTACGCGTTCTGCGCCGAGAGAAAAGACTGTTCGAATTGAGGAAAATATTTCAAAAGCAACCGTCGCGTGCTTTGTGTCTGTTTTGTCGACTCGCTGTTGTGCCTTGAGAGTAGCTGGAGTCGTTACGCCAAAAACAAGTAACAGAAACACCAGCTGAGCACTCGAAATCAGCGTCATCTGCCATGACCAAGCGAAAGACACAGCGTATGCGCTGATAATTACAGCTATTGCCTGAAAGAAATATGCGAGCCTGTCTGAAATGCTGGTCTGAATGGAGTTTGCCGAAGTCGTAATCGTTTCCGACACAGAGCCCACGGAGACGAGATCAAGCTTTGCCACAGACTGTGCAAATAGAGAGTGCATATAAGACAGTCGCATCGCAGCAGATATGCGTAAGCCCGCTACTCTGAAGCAGAACTGGTGAGCATTAGCGGGTGCAAGAGCTTGCTACGCGGACTTGCGCATTTACCATGGAGATGTACGTCAAAACAAACTTGCCGAGGAACAATCCGAAGATAATGAGCGAAAAATGGTTGACCGAGCTTTTGAATTCGGTCTCGGTCGTACCTGAACCTGGGATAAAAAACTTATTGAAGTTACCGACTAAGTTCCCCAGGACAATGTTCATCAATGGCATCGCCACGCCAGAGCCCGCTGAGGCGGCGAACGCCAACAACATAAGTGCATGATCTGTCCTCGAGCCATAGGACATTATGCGCCAGTAGTTGCTGAACGGAGCTTTTGGCACATCCGAACTCTTGTCTCGCACCTCCGTAGCGTCGCTGGGCTGCAATTCGCCCACGGGAGCCTTTTCTGCCCCTTGAGCCGTGACGATATTCTTCTCACTCATCCTGAGAAGTGGAAGACAAGTACATCAGCCCAGAAGGCACCAGAACGAATGGGTTGCGTTGGGCAGCATTACATCTCGTTGGAACTTCGACCATTTTAATGTATCAACAGCCAAGATGCCTGTGGGTCCTCCCTTGTATACGAGTACGGGGTTGACAGGGATATCAGCGCCAGAATTAGGCAGCCGTGTCGAGAAACGGACTAGCAACAACGCGTGCTCTGAATTTGCATCAAGTGCGGTTGCACGGAAATAAGAAATGACATTTTCATTACTTTAAAGCCATGGGTTCCAGAGAGCCGACGGAGTTCGTCAAGTCCAGAAAGCTGGAACACAAAGCCTTGGGGTTTGATGCGCCGATGCAACCTGACTCTTTCAAGGTCTGCATTGCTCGAATGTAAAGCGTCTGGACAACACATAGTCTTGATCGATGAGGCCTATGGTCTCGCTAGGCTGAGACATTGTAGATGTGTGGTTGAGGTTAGCAAATGACAAGAGGCTGTTCGAATTCCTCATCATAATTTTCCTCTGACTCTTGGGTTTGTCTTCTCTGGATCAGAACCTTCCATCCGTCATCTTTGATTTGGCATGTTCTTGGATAGTGAAGGTTATTTCTATTGGTTTCTTTTTCTGTCAATTTGGATATAACAAATGGGGTTGTATTTTGAATTGTATTTTGAATAATATTTTGTAGCAAGTATGACAACTCTTGAGAGTTGGGAAAAATATTGTGACCGAAATTAAGCATCCCGCTTCTAGCTGCTGACTCCCCTGTATGGATAACCAAACTGCAATGCTCATTTAAGGCAGCTAGGTACAAACTGGATTTAAAGGAAGGCTGCGGAAGTTTCACGGAAAAGGTTGGCTGTGAGGCAACATTGCGAAAACCTACTAAAATTCACAATGTGAACATGTAAGGCATATCCCGTACACAATATATGTCTTCCTGGCTGCTCAGTGCCTTCAGCCTCGCATGCTTTATCACAACTTAGGAATTCACAGTCTAGACATCCGTTATGGCCTTTGTCCTCTATTGACAGGTCATCGCTTTGCATTCCTTCCTCGCATTTGTGAGCATATTTTGGCAGTTTCCCATCGGATTTCGTAGTTATTCAATTTCGTTCTGCCGATCGAATTTGAGAGCTGCGAATATCCACCATCCTGGGGTTCTCTTGGATCTAGTGAACCAGTAGACTCGACGCTTCTTCCGACGGAAAAAATATTGCCCTTACAGATGCAGACCTTCAAGTACGATAAAGTACAATAAAGCGAAGGGTATGTCGAGGTCAATTTCTAGAGGGGAATGATATTGGGCATCAAATGTTAACGATATCGAGCTATAGTTCTAGATTATCCCAGGTGTATATAGATGATCAGTAGCAGAGCTTGAAGTGTTGGAGTTGACAAACTGGCAGAAATGTCGAGTTGACATGGCACACGTAAGACCCGATATTTGGACATCCATAGTATATTCCATAAAGGGATTGATCAAAGGTTTTCCAATGTCGTCGGTTTGGTTTGGATCCTCTAGCAGAAGATATACACGTGCTCCAGGGTCGTTACCTTCTTTTGCTCAGCTGAACACGACGGACTCCTGCTCTGTCACCTGGTTTTGCCAAGCTCAAGCTCAGTTCCCATACGGATGGTTTCGTCCCTGCATTGTGCTTCGGCTCCTTTGTTGGGCTGATCAAACGTACACGGCGAAGCGGTAAAACGCATGCCAAAACAACGACTATCCTTGACTGCACTCCTAAAGTCAGGCCTCTTGGAGACCGTCCATATTGTACATACATAGCCCTCATGTCAGACACAGTGAAAAGTATCTCAGAGAAGGAGTAAGTTCGAGGGACGGCGAACTGTTTATATCAGATCGCCATGGGAAGGGGGTAGTATGCGGTTTGCGCGTTGTCGAAATGTTGAAAATAATCGAACCTCCAACATTTTTCTTGAAATTCCTGGGCAGGTTTCCTGGATGGGGTGTCTGAACAGATCAAAATCTGCATCCGACCGGGGACTTGCACCTGGTTTCCTGCAAAAATCGCAGGTGGAATTAATAGGTGATGCGAGTCGCTGATCAAGCAGTAAGTTACCATTAGTACAAATCACGTGCCACGAGTCGGTTGGTAAAAAGGCATTGTTGAAGCAGCAATAGCAGCAGCAGCTGCGGCAAAGCCCGTAGAATCCTTATTTTGCAATAAGACATGTGGCTGGAACTATCACTGTAAGTATTTGCTCAGAGCATAACGATTCGCCCTCGTCAGCCTCAGGAAGCTGTATGCGAACTTCACGTTGGGCGCTCCACCAACCAAATGTAGCCCTGGACGTGTATTTGAAAATAAAGAATTGACCTGAACACGCAGGAAGGAAAGCAGCAAGAGAAGTCATGAAGAGCTTGGAATCAATGAATAGCGTGCTCGGTCGCTTCAGCACGAAAATACGGCATTCTCCGCCTTTTGAAGCACGGCTGGTCCGCAGGAATGTTCAGCCTCAGCGAGGACTCGATTTTTGCCACCTGATCCGTTTTCAAGTCAGATTCCACGGACGAGATCTACGAAACGAACGCCCTGCCCGTGGGTCTAGTAGACATGACGAACGCTCTTTGTTCGTGAGGGGATACTGAAAGATCTTGGTCTTGGCCCATAACGTTAGGCTTGGTCGCGAAGTCATATCAGACCTGTGTGACTTTGCTTTTATTCCAAGTCAACGGTCCAATTAAAATCTTTCTGGCATCTTAGCTCAAACGGTCTCACAGCTCTGGATTATATTTAATGTCTGAAGGCCGACGAAACATGTCTTCCTCTGATCCAAACCCATTCAAATTGACAATAGGAGGCGATGTCATCCACTCCTACCAAGTTGACATTCTTGTCGCTTCCACGTGAGCTCAGAGATGAGATTTACGACCAATTCATTGTCGCTTCTGCATTGCCTTGTTCACCCAACGGTAAATCTCGCTACGATATAAATGCCTTCAGAGGGATCAAAGCAATCGGCGCAGCGGTTCCTGATTGCATCGACGAAATAATTCAGCGTGTCTACGCCGCGAGAGGCGGTCTTGAGTTTCACTTCGAAAGCCTTTCACAGACGCGTGCCTTTCTCGCCGATAAAATCTGGTGCCCACGATCGGCAATCCAGATGATGCGCGGCGACGTCTCCGCACTGCTTGACGATGATGAATCGTGGACGAAGATGATCCAGCTCGCCCTCTTCTGCAATCAAGCCGGGCGGCTCTATTTTAGGGGGGGGCGGTGGTGGGGCCCAGGTGGCAAGGGCAGTGAATGCGATGTTTTGGTGCCGGTGAATGTTATCAATGTCGTTGGGGTTGCAGACATGCTAGAAAACCCATGTGAAGACGTGTTGGGCCTTAGGTTCAAAGTCATAGGGATTGACTGGGAGGTTAAATTGAATGTCCGCTTACTCGAACCACGCGTACGAATAGAAGGCAGTATCGGGATGCTCGGCCTGTTGCATGATAAGCCATAAGCACTTCTAAGATCGGGTAATGACAGCAAGTTGGAAGTAAGAGACGATAGAGAGCTGAACTTATAACCGAGTGTTCTGATGATTGAAAATCAGATTTGCAGCGCCAACCTCTGACGCACGTCGACTATGATAACAATGAGTACTCTTTTGAACTGCCTGATTTGGAACGATCGCCAAAATATTTAACAGAGTACAGATGCTGCAGGCTTGGATTATGCATAAACAAGGGTACAGAAACGAAATGGAGTAAGAGGCGAACTGTGCTCTGTTCATGATAAGCTGACACCGTTTGACTATTCTTCTTCCGGCTCTTCATCATCGTCGTCCTCACTGTCGTCCGGAGCAACCCTTTCACCTTCGTCATCTAGAAGAGGCACAAACCGAAAATCCACGAAGCTGACCCCACCACCTTCCAAATTCTCAATCATAAACTGCAGACTGAGGACGCCTTGGTGATCCGCACGAACACTGACCTTGATGGCCGATTGCAATGCTTTTCTAATGGCGGCGACGTGAGCGAATTTATAGGATTGAGAAAAGGCCCCATCTGTCGAAGGCGCAAGTAAAAAAGTCTCCAAGAGACCTGTTGTGGCGCTGTCACTTTCGGTCTGACCTCGTCCATCGTCATCATGTGAACGAGGTGTGGGGTTCTTATGCCTGGAGGCTTTTGCATCGCGGTGAAATTCGACAACTGCACTTCCGAGAGGACTAGATGCAGAAACGGTGAAAGCTCTCTTCTGGGCCGCAAGTGTGATGACTTGTGGATTACTCGTCCCTAGCTCGTCAATCGCATCCAAGAGGTACGAGGCCCGCATGATGACTTTCATTACAATGTCCTCGCGTGAGAACGGTATATCTGAGAGAAAAACAGGTTCGTACGTATTCAACTCGCATACCGTCTTAATACCATGCTCTTCGAGAATAACCGTGAACGGTGCGCCGGGTGCTTCATAACCGAGACGGCAGAGGCCCGAGACTCCTAGGACCTGATTGGAGAAGGCATGGGTGTAGGAATCGCGCGAGAACGGACTCGTCTTGCTGCTATTGTCTGCAGTAAGACCGAATAGTTGGAGGGTTTCCAAAAGGGATAGTAGCGAGATGGTGAACATTGGTGCAGCAGACCCTACGTGCTCGGAAGAATCGGTGTTTGGCGAGGACGTGGTGGGTCCGTTGAACTGATAAGACGTAAAGAGAGTCTTCTCAAGGAAGACCATACCTTCCATAACCCCTGACTCTTCCACCGAGAACCGCAAGCCTTCATCTGAAATCTGCACTTGAGCGCTTGGAGCGAAGCTCACGCATCGGAGCAAAAGAAACAACTGACGCGCTGAGCTCGACACGGCGCTAAAGATAGGTCTCTCTTCGTCCGCCATGATCGAAAAGTGTATAGCCTCCAGGTCTTGAAAAGGAAAGAAGTGGAAAATTTGAGTCTTCAAATAGTAGTCCTCATCAATTCATGCCGACTATCTTTACAAGGTCTTTCACGGAATGACGTGGGTATCAATCTTGTTCTGTTTTTCGAAGGTAGAGGGTACAAAGCTAGACGTAGACACCCACGGCGCAGATCATGTATACAGTCCCGAATCTGTGAAGCAATGTTAGCGGTGAGATAACATGATACCAGAGACATAGACGGGAGATACCCAAATGCAAGTGACGCTGGAATGCCCAAGAGTGGAAGGGTAATCAGTGATCGATTGAGAGCAAAGGCACCGCAGAAGAGGAAGGCTAGAGGCATCATGTTAGTCGTATGGTCTATTACACAACATGGCACATATTTCTGGACAGCGTACAGAAGAGGAGGAGAACGAAACCGACGGCGAATTGCGTGTCCTTCCCAACGGCAGGGTAAAATGGGTTAGCTTTAGCAGCCTCCCAGACTTGCAGGAGATCAGGCGAAGACATTGAGCGGTATAAAAAGGAAGAGACGGTCGTAGTTGTTTGGATTCTGAGTCGGTGCTAGGGCGACGTCGCGGATTACGTTGCAGTAAGGCTTGAGGCCTTGTGGCCTTAGCCATCGTGTTTGAATTCACCAACATTGAGCCTCATGGCACCGGTGAAACTGCACAAGATTGCAGAAATAGACGTTATACGATTTAGCCAGGAAAGGGGACGGGCGAGGACCTTCGAATGGTCATACTTCCTTGCATATTAGGATGTATACGATTATGTTCTTGGTTGTGCTAGTCCCGACATAGGCTGAGCGAAAAGCGAGGGCGACGGTCGATATAGTCTAATGATCTATACTTAGACCTCTATGATGCCTTCCATGTGGAGAGCCTGACGAATTTATAAATCACTCTATATGCGTAGCCGCAGAGTTCAAAGTCGATGCTGAAACCTACTGCTCCTTTCCAAATTAGGTTTAGCTCTGAGACGCGGGTTGGGGGTGTGCAGTTTTGCCATGAGGCCGCCTAACACGCCGCGTCTCTCGATGGCAATTCGCCTGCGCACATCCTCTTCTTTCCGACCACAACTCCGTCCTCAGCCTGTCCACTGTCGCTCGCCAGCACGAAGCAACGAGAGATCTGCGCTCACACACCGCTGCTTTGCTGCCTGGAGATTGAGGAACCGTCACGGAACGTCGCACATATCACTGTCGATTCCGGGGTCCTAACGCTGCCCGCCATGACCTCCGCCATGGACACCGAGAGTCCTGCGAAGAGGCTAAAATCAGAAGGCCCTTCTGAAGTTGCCCCTGCCGCCCACACTGTGCGGTATCCTGAAAAGCCAGCCGCCATCGAAGAGCGTAACGGCATCATCGAATTCCGCGTTGTCAACAACGACGGCAAGCCGGAAAGCACCATCATCCTGACCGGTCTAAAATGCATATTTCAGAAGCAACTGCCAAAGATGCCAAAGGACTACATAGCGCGATTAGTTTATGACCGAACGCACCTTTCCATAGCCATTGTCAAGAAGCCGATGGAGGTTGTGGGAGGCATAACATATCGACCGTTCAAGGGAAGGCAATTTGCCGAGATCGTGTTCTGTGCCGTGTCATCAGATCAGCAGGTCAAAGGATATGGCGCACATCTAATGAATCATTTGAAAGACTACGTAAAGGCAACGTCGGACGTAATGCACTTTCTCACCTATGCAGACAACTACGCGATTGGTTATTTTAAGAAGCAGGGTTTCACCAAGGAAATCACTCTCGACAAGCGCAAATGGATGGGGTACATCAAAGATTACGAAGGCGGCACTATAATGCAGTGCACTATGATCCCTCGCGTTCGCTACCTCGAAGCCGGCCGCATGTTGGTAAAGCAAAAAGAGGCCGTGATGGCCAAAATCCGCTCTGTCTCCAAGTCGCACATCGTTCACCAACCTCCCGCAGAATGGAGAAACGGAAACATAAAACCAATCGACCCCATGTCCATACCCGCCATCAAAGAGTCTGGCTGGTCTCCAGACATGGACATGCTGTCTCGCGCACCTAAGCATGGCCCCAACTACAACGCGCTCCTTCACCTCCTGAACGACATGCAGAATAATACGAATGCATGGCCGTTCCAGCAGCCTGTCAACAAGGACGAGGTGCCCGACTACTATGATGTCATCAAGAACCCGATGGATCTTGGTACCATGGAGGAAAAGCACGAGCAGGATCAGTATCCTAACCCAGAAGATTTCATCAAGGACGCGCTGCTCATTTTCAACAACTGCAAAAAGTACAATAACGAGACAACGCCGTACGCGAAGGCTGCAAATCGTCTCGAAAAGTTTATGTGGAGCAAAATCAAAGAGGTTCCAGAGTGGAGCCACCTGGAGCCGGATCAATTTAAGGAATGATTGGATAGGAGTGACCATTTTCTTGATTCTGCATGTCTGCTGCACGGACTTATTTCCCTGGTAGAGACTCTGAATGAAACTGTTCGATGCCGGTTGACATTCTGGAAAAATAAGTACAACCAACGAACACTGGGTCCTTGTAGGGCTGGATTTATGGACAGAATTTTCAAGCCAATATCAGCGAATCTCGTGATCGACCATGTCGAATTTGTAGATTCCTGAACCCTGCTACTCTCGCATGGAACAAGAAATTACAGACTGCCTTAAGAGCTGGCTTCTTGTTACAAGAACGCATGGATTTGCAAGACGTTAGTCTGCAATCCGTGCCGCTTGTACTCGAAGGATGAAAAAGGCCGAAGAACGGGTGAAATGAGCTATGAATGATGATCCGTAAACGTGCCACACGACAAAGGTTTCAAGCAGCAACAGACCATCGTGACCTGAGGAGAATAGCTGATACCTATTTTGCGTGTTTGATTCCCATAACGGACAAGTGGGCCGTGTCGGATCATCAGAGAGCAATGGGTGAAACACAATAACTATGATCTGTAAGGGATATGACCAATATATAGACTCCTAGTTAGAGAGAGGATACGATGCTGATTCCACTCAAATGACGATTTTTGCCCGATAACATCGGCAGGAGATATCGATCAAGAATAGGACTTAGCACATCGTGATGACTATGTCATTCCTTGCAAGAACATTGGACAAAACAACAATGAATGCAACTGATCAGTATATGTGTAAATCGCGGTTATGTATGAAGTTTGTGAAAATGACTTTGTTAAGTCCCACTATTGTCACATTATAACGTTCAAAGATTTCGTGTTAAATGAGCTCAGTGCTGGTCAAATCTATTGAGTTGCAAGATTCCGTAATATGCACAGTCAGTTTATTCAATGAGATAACGATTTATTGTGAGAGTCAAATGCTTTGGCATTTACATCGCCAAGCTAGTACATACTCAGAAATGCCTTGGGTTCGCATCGGGTTTAGATTTGACCGAAAACGGCAAATGCATCATCAAACTGCGGAGCTCGCAGCGCATAACCTGGTGCTTCTCCGCAGTCTCCCAACACAGTTGACGAGCTCATCACGGAATCACGAAGCGATCTTGTGTTCGGGCCATGAACCGTTAGGAGAATTGGCTTACAAGTCCTGGAACAATGAGCGGTCTGCGACCGAAGTGCACCCAATGGAGCGCTAATGCTCGAAGCATTTCCCGTCTGAAAGCGTCGCAAGCTACAGCACGATGCGAATCGCTTTACAGTCGTCGCAGATGGGCCAGCACGGGCTCGGGATACAAAGATCAGCCTGAAGACTTTCGGGCGCAGCTCTATGCAAGCACGTTTGCCCGCGTGCAGAAAGAGAAGGAACAGCAGCAGAAGTTTTCCGAGATGAGAGAAGCTCAGCGGCGACCCAGCGGCGGCACGGTACTTGCGGCCATCATTTTTGGTGAGTCCTTTTTTCCGCCGCCGTTGAGGAGTCTATCAGATAGGAAGCTGACCACGCAGCCAAGGCGCCGTTCTGGCGGGTATCACGGGCTACAAATGGGGCTCGATGCTTCATCCTAACACGGAGACGACGTCGAGCACGCTGCCGCTATCGCAATCGCGTCCCCCAAAACACAAAACCGACGAACCGAACTTGCAGGCGGCGTGGGCAGACTTTGTGGCTATCGTGGGCGAGGAAAACGTATCAACGGCAGCTTCGGACCTGGATTCACACAGCGGCTCGTCATGGTCAACGCACCCTTCGCTACCAACCGATCGCCCCTTTATGGTCGTAAAGCCGCTCACCACGGAGGACGTGAGCGCCATCATGAAGATCTGCCACGAGCGACGTATACCTGTAACCCCATATAGCGGAGGCACGAGCTTGGAGGGTCACTACGCAGCGACTCGAGGCGGCATATGCATTGATTTTAGCAGGATGGATAAGATCATCAAGCTCCATAAGGAAGATCTCGATGTGATTGTGCAGCCTGCTGTCGGGTGGGAGGTGCTAAACCAGGAGCTGGAGAAGGTTGGCTTGTTCTTCCCCCCCGACCCAGGCCCAGGTGCGCAGATAGGTGGGATGGTGGGAACCGGTTGCTCGGGCACGAACTCGTATCGCTACGGGACAATGAAGGACTGGGTGATCAGTCTGACGGTTGTCCTCGCCGACGGCACGATAATCAAGACCAGGCAGCGACCGCGGAAGAGCAGTGCCGGTTATGATCTGACTCGTTTATTTGTCGGCTCCGAGGGTACTCTCGGTTTGGTCACGGAAGCTACCTTGAAAGTCACGCCTCTCCCACAGCAAACTTCTGTCGCAGTGTGCTCCTTCCCGACAATTCGTGCGGCAGCAGAATGTGTCTATGATGTCGTAGGCGCGGGCATCCCCATCGCCGGCATAGAGATCCTCGACGACGTACAAATGCGCTGCGTCAACCTTGCAGGCATGACATCTCGCACCTGGGCCGAAGCTCCAACCCTGTTTTTCAAGTTCGCTGGCACGCCCAACAGCGTCAAGGAGCACATCAAGATGGTGCAAGGCCTCGCCAAAAAGGCCGGCAGTAAAACGTTCGAATTCGCCAAGGACAAGGCTGAAGCGGACGAGCTGTGGAGCGCCCGCAAGGAGGCGCTCTGGGCAACGATGGCCCAGAAGAAATCAGATCATGAGCGCGTGTGGACGACCGACGTGGCCGTCCCGATATCTGCTTTGCCCACCATCATCGAGGAGACAAAGGCCGACATCTCTGCCTCTGGCCTCACTGGTAGTATAGTTGGCCACGTAGGAGACGGCAACTTCCATACAATTCTCCTGTACGATCCTGATACGGAGAGGGAGAAATGCGCGAAATTGGTGCACAAGATGGTCGATCGGGCAATCGAGCTGGAGGGCACAGCGACAGGCGAGCATGGCGTTGGGTTGGTCAAGAGAGATCACTTGCCCCACGAAGTTGGCGAAGAGACTGTGGATCTGATGAGGCGGTTGAAGCTCGCCTTGGACCCGCTATGTTTGCTAAATTGTGACAAGGTGGTTCGGGTGCAGAAACCTAAGCCAGGCGAACCCCAGAACTAGAATCGCCGCTCTAGAATAGCTATAGCGTCCTGATCAAGCTGATTTTCAATGTATTAACATGCTCAATGTATTCTCTTCTGGCCCGCCAACAACTTCACATCTTTCTGTATTCGAAACTCATCTGGCGCGTCCCTGACGTGCGAGAAGCCCTTCGGTAGGACTATGCAGAACTCTTCTGCGGTATAGAACCCCACCTTGCGCCAGTAAGCGCCTGATATCTCGTCCACGGTGTATACCATGAGTTGCGAGGGCCCGTAATTACGCAGAACGTACTGCTCGAGCGTGCTTACCAGTTCGCGCGCGATGCCATTTTCTCGATACGCTGGTGCCGTCGTTACCAGATTTATCTCCCATCTTCGTTCTACTGCATTTGGCGTGGCTTCAGTCTTTGAAGCTCCCTCATCGACGCTCGGTACCATCCACATCGCCTTGTCGGATGATCTTTGAACCTCTGCACAACCGCGCACCCATACCGGAGCCTCGGCCAGAAGAGCAACAGCGATCGTGGATTGGGAGTCTACTTCTTCGCATAGCTCACGGCCTGCCCTGGCGGCGTCTGGTCCAAGGCGTTGGAAGCCTCCCGGCAACGGCCAGGCTTGACGGGTTAGTTTGGACGCTTGGAGAATGATTGCGTGGAGCTGCTGCCACCAGGGCCGTTCAACGAGAGCCTTTGGATTGAAAGGCCGAACTTCTGGCGCAGACATCATCTCAACAGCAAGTCGGTGCTCGCACGTCCGAGGAAGACGCGCACAGAAGAGAAGCAGAAGTCGCAGGAGACTTGCCACTTTAGGAAAGAGCACGCCGTTCCTGGAAAGTGACCGTGAGTTTCGCTCTTTCCGCGCCGTCACGCTTCTTCGAACGACAATTCAGGTCAGCATAGTCAGTCACCAGCGATTCCGCACGCTTCTGTACGCGCGATCGAGCGGTCTCGAGAAGAATCATGAAGAGCACACGTGCGGCTGCCGCTTCGCATGCACCTGCTCCAGCGTCCTGCGATCAATGCCGGAGCAAGATGTTGCGCCGTCGGCAACGGCAGCATCGTGCCGACGCGCCAAGGGCGGACGCCAATTTGCGGGTCTGACACTCGAAGATCCTAGCATGAGACCACTCTTTTGCTGCCATCTCAGGATTAAAGATGCAGATAAGGAATGGAGCCAAGATCCCGGCTTTCCGTAGACCAATCAGGTAAGCACCGAGAGGCATAGTAGATATATCGGTCCAGTATGTGCCAAATGGCTCTTGCGATTCGTGTAGCCTTCACGCCTCTTCTCGGGGCTCTTGGTACAGACAAGCTGAAGCCACCTTTGCGGCGTCGACATAGCTGGTGAGCAAGTATGTCTGTCGTCTTTGCCCACGAGGGTGAGCCCACAGGTAAGATCCCGCGTCTTTCTTCCCCAGCAACAAATTCCGGCTAACGAACAGCAGTTGCGGCAGAGGAGCTGAAAGCTATTGCAAGTGATCACAGTATCTCACTCTCAGAGTCTGATGCGGCCGATTATCTCTTTCTCCTGAACTCTTTGGATGCTACCATCCAGCAGATAGCAGATTTACCACCATATGTTGACCCTCGTCTGCTGCCCGAGGAGAGCACCCTTCCGCGAACATGGTCAAAGCCGACAGAGAATCCGCAGAATGCATGGAGCCACCTGACCAACATCACGTCTTCGAGGCCACTGGACACGCGGTTAGCTGGGAAGACGGTAGCCCTGAAAGACAACATTTCAATCGCTCAAGTGCCGCTGACGGGTGGAACGTTCCCTGAAATATTCCACGACAAGCCACAGGTATATGTCCCACAAATAGATGCAATTGTTGTGAAAAGACTTTTGCAATCTGGAGCCACAGTCGCTGGCTCAGCTACTTGCGAGAACTTCTCAATGTCTCCACTTTCCTTCACCTCAGCGACGGGCCCCGTACACAATGTCTGGCTGCGAGGTTACACCACGGGCGGGAGCAGCAGCGGTTCCGCCACGCTTGTATCCATAAATGTCATCAATGCCTGGCGGAAGCGTCACAACCTGCCCTCCATTGAACATGAGCTTGGCCCTGGTGTTGACATGGCTGTCGGCGGTGATCAGGGAGGCTCGATCCGCATCCCAGCTGCGTACTGCGGAATATATGGCCTCAAGCCAACACATGGACTCGTTCCATACACCGGTATTTTGGGATTGCATCCCATGATAGACCACACTGGTCCGCTCGCAGCAAGCTTGGAGGATATAGCAACCATGCTGAGCGTCATGGCAGGATACGACGGAATCGACCCCCGCATGACGCCCGAGTCTCCACTGCGAGCAAATGTTAAAGACTACAAAGCTCTACTAGACTCATGGGTCAAATCCAAAGAAGAAGCCGGTGAATGGACGCCCACAGCATCAGGAAAAGGTCTTCGAATTGGTTTGATCAAGGAATCGCTCGAGGTAATGGGACTCTCTCCTACCGTCAAATCCGCTGTTATCGAAGCCGTTGCCCGCTTCAAAGCTATCGGCGCTGAGGTGAAAGAATTATCCATCCCGCTGCACCTCATTGGGCCCAGCATCTGGACGATCGCCACGCGCATGGGCCTCAGCTACTACGGCTTTCAGAACAATCCACAGCCGATGCTCAACTACCCCATACCAGACCTGTCACCGCCAACTTTTGGCCAGAAGGCATTCGACCTGCTCACCAAGCATAATCCAGCGGTTGTCAACATTTTCTTCTCACACCAGCTGCGTGCGAAGGACCCTGCACGCCTTCGAAGCGTCACGGCCAAGGCTATGATGCACGTGCATGAGCTACGTGCTGCGTACGATGCTGCACTGGCGGATGTGGATGTTCTTGTCACGCCCGTGAATCCAAGAGTAGGGAGCAAGCATCCTGACCTAGCAAGCAGTGTTAAAGAGAAGATGGAGCCTGGCATCGGAGGTACGCTCAACACGTGTGGCTTCAACGTTACGGGACATCCGGGATTGAGCATCCCAATCGGATTTGGGGAAGTCGATGGTGCTAACGGAGGCAAGATGCCGATCGGCATGCAAATTGTGGGAAAGCGGTGGGACGAGGAGACGGTCCTGAAGGCCGCAAAGGCGTGGGAAGTGCCTGGCTTGGGCCTCGACACGTGGGATGGGCGATAATACTGTAGATGCTCACTAATCGAGAGGCGATTGAAGACTAGAGGATTGAGATAATTTTATTTGTTTCTTCATTTTTTTTTCCTCTCTCTATCCACTTGGCCTCGATCCTGCGGATTGCGTGTGTACTTTTTCTAGAGGGTATCATAACAAATGAAACAAGAGTCCGACGACAAGACAGGTCCGTAAGCATAGGCGAATGTATGTCGGCCGTGTCAATACAAAACACAAGGCTATGCAAATGCTCCCCATTAAAAAAAAGTTCGATGAAATGATTTTTTTTCCCTCCGTGCAACGCCAGCGCTAGGAACAATCAAAAATAAGACACAGAACGATGACGAAACGTCAAGTCGAAAGATGGGAATGTGAAGCGCGTTCACTTGTCTCACCTGTCGTTGTCCATCATGTAGACCATTCTGAACAAGCTGAGCAGGAAGGTGCCGATCCAGGCGGTCAGGGTGATGAGCACGACGACGATGAGACCCCACTGCTCGCTGCACTTTCGGTGCGGGGCTCTCAACTCTCTGTCGGTGTTTGTGCCGGCGTCGAAGGCTAGGCTTATGTTGGCCGACTCGAAGATGATGAAGGCCAGATCGAGCAGCATGAGTCTGAGCTTGGAGCGGGCACGCCGCAGGCCGATCGGTTTGGAGAAGAACTCGTCCCAGGTGATGTAGAGCGTGTAGGGGAGGGAGAGGGAGTTGACGACGATGGCGAGCGTGTGGGTGGAGTGGTCTTTGCAGGGGCGGTTGTGGCGGAAGATGTCGGCGGCGAGCGCGAGCGAGACGACGGTGGTGAGAAGGATGAAGATGCGGAAGAAGAGCGGCGCAAAGGGCGAGCGCATGAGGCTGCGCTGGACGCGGCGGAGGAAGGCGTGGCGGCGCTGATTCTCGGCGCTGTTCTTACGCTCGCTCGCGAGCAGCGCCTCCTCGTCGTGCTCGCGCTTCTCGTCGTAGGCGGCCCAGATCCGGTCCGCCTGCTCTTCCTCCTCCCGTGAGAGCTTGCGCTGCGGGGCGCCCGAGGCCCGCATGTACGATACCCATCGCGAGACGGGCACGGCGTCCGGTGGTCTTCTGACGGCTGTGTGCGGAAAGGAGCAGTCGACGCTGCGGACAAAGGGTGGGATCGTTCGATTGGGTATTGGCTGGGACATCAAGCTATGTTTTCGCGATCGACTGACGGGGTGGTCCGGTGAGGGCGGATGACGAGGAGCAGTAAACGGTGCGCGAGGCACCGGTATACTTTGACGGCCTCCTCGGCCGCGACGAGTGTAGTCTTCTCAGGCTGATGGCCGCGTACTCAGTCTCCGCGCCGTTTCTTGCTGTCTCTTGGGCGTTGAATGGTTGCTGAGGACTGCCAGCGGCAACGCCGTGGCTGTGTTGCGGTGGTGTTGGGGGTTGGAGAGCTGGTGATTGGATCCGTCTCTGCGCCAGAGTGGGCAGAAAAGGCAGGCGACGTCAACGCCGAACGACGGCCACGGCAGACTGGAATCGAAGAAGCCGGGCCTGGGCCTCTGCAGCACGCGGACTGATGGTATGTATACTGGCGGGGACGGACTTCATGGGGTGAGGATGCAGAGTCGAACGAGGTTCCCGTCGGGGGATGTTCCTTGGGACTGCGTTGTGGCGACGAGCAGCGGCTGCGATGTGGAAATTACGCCCAGCCATCCACAACCCGAGCCGGCACCGGACACAAGGCTGACGAACGCAGGACGATCTGACGGATGCGACTGTTCGTGTGCTCGTCTGGCCTCGTTCACGACGCAAGCCGCCTTCGCCTCGACGCAAGCGCGGGAGCCAATGGGTGTCGTGTGCTGCCTTTCAAGACCGTCAACAAACATGCGTTATCTGCTGGATCAGCATGGCAGCACTGTCGATCTGTTTCTCCAGATCTGCCGCGGTCCCACCTCGTTTAAGTAAACGTCATACGTTAACTTATCTAATAATCTTCCGCTCCGCGCGCTTGGCCCAAAGCTCTCTTGAACCGGCGAGCCACATACAGGCGAGATAGTCAACCAAGGCTTGTCTTTCGTGGTCCTTGCCGGATCTCAATCGCGGCCGTGTGCTTTCTTGGACTTTGTACCACGGTGTCTAGCGTTTCGTTTCTTCTTTGGATACCCCGACATGTCTGTTTTTTCTGTTCCTTGGTCCGCGTGTGGTACAGCTCTTTTTTCAAGTTCGGGTCGGGTCCTGCGCCCCAGCGTTTCATGCGGACGGCTGTTTTCTACCACGGTTTCAAGGCCTGCCGACTTCACGCATGCCATTGTAGGCGGAGGCGTCGTCGGATTAGCCGTCGCCCGCCAATTGCAAGCACGTGACGGCGTGTCCGCAGTCATCATCGAAAAGCACGGACAGGTGGGACAGGAGACGAGTAGTCGAAACTCGGAAGTACGAACAAGCCCAGTTGACTGTGCATCGCTCGGAAGTGCTTATGTTGCTGTCAGGTCATCCATGCTGGCTTCTACTACGGCCTCGACTCGCTGAAGTCGAGACTGTGCATCCGTGGCAAGCATCTGCTGTACGATCTGTGCGAAAGGAACGCAATTCCCCACAAGAACTGCGGGAAGTGGCTGGTCGCCCAAGATGAACAGCAAATGGACGCTCTAGGGAAGGTTCACGATGCTGCCAAAGCTTTGGATGTGCCTGTTCATTGGCTTTCTTCTGGAGAAGCCAAGCGGCGCGAGCCTGACGTGCGCTGTGAAGCCGGAGTCCTGGAAAGCCCGTCAACGGGCATCATAGACAGCCATTCGTACATGCAGTTCCTCCAAGGCGCGTTCGAGGAAAACGGGGGAACGATTGCCTTCCAGTCGACTGTGACGCGCGTCGTGCCCCTCGACGCAGGCCGTCACGGCTGGGAGATCTACACGCGCTTCGGCGACGATGTGGAAGAAACCTGCGTCACCGCCGAGACGCTGATCAACTCCGCGGGCCTCTACGCCATCCCGCTCTCCAACACGATCTTGCCCCCGGAACGGCAACGCATTCCTTTCTACGCCAAGGGAAGCTACTTCTCCTACTCAGCTTCGCGCCCCAGACCAAAGACGCTGATATATCCAGCACCGGTTCCCGGCCACGGCGGCTTGGGCACGCACCTCACGCTCGACATGGGCGGCCGCGTCCGCTTTGGCCCAGACGTCGAGTGGGTTGACGACCCTTCGGACTACACCGTCAACGCCTCGCGACTGCAAGAGGCGCTCGACGACATCCAGTCGTATCTTCCCGGCATCGATCGCTCTGCCATTGGTCTGGACTACGCGGGCATAAGACCCAAACTTGGAAAGGCAGGTGCTGTGGCGGGCAAAGGAGAGTTTTTGGACTTTTACATCAAACTGGAGGACGGCTTTCACGGATTCGTGAATCTGTTGGGAATCGAGAGTCCCGGGCTCACAAGTTCGTTGGCCATAGCAGAGGAAGTGGAGAGGCTGCTATACGGGGGCCCCTCCACACATGTCTGAGGATTTTTTGGCCGATCGCGTAGTCGCGGACGATGGATAAACAACGATAGAGCTGGATTGAGCGATGCTACGATTGCAATTGTAAGTTGCACATATCAAACAACAAGTAAAGTCACTGAAGGATAAGATGGAAAATCGGAAGATGACGTTTTTTGACCCGTGGGACTGCGATTCAAATTCACAAGTCGCTCAGTTGTATGATGTGCCATGGGCAAAGCAATCTGTCCACCTTTGTCAAGCATAGCGATGCAAAAACTTTTTATGGGAATGACTCGGTGGCGACAATAGTTTGAAGTTAACAATCGCGAGATGACATCCGGCTTGTATGATTTGCGATCGCAGTATCCACGCCAAGGATGAAGGGCGCTGCTCCTGCATTGGTTCCTCGGGTGTTAAATCTTCGAGAGGATTAGGGCCACCTTTTACCACGCATTGAGGATATGCTCTTGAAATATTAGCAAGCTCATCATCGTCCGTTTAAGTGCGTTAACAACTACGAAAATAGAGCGGAAACTTATGTCTTCTATTAAGGTGTTTCTCTATCGCGATAGATTATCCGCATCCCAAATGATGAGTAGGTGTGTGGGTACGGACTTGAGTTGATAGACTGTGTTCCATCCAATACCAGTGCAAAATATATATTTATTAAACGAATATAGTTCCGGATTATGTTTGTGGAAAGGCCATACCATTTTCAAAGCTGTTAACGCAGCGTCATCCTGTCGTAGCTTTCTTTTGGTCCCGTCGGGGATTTCGTCGCTACAGTCTGCTCTCACTTCCCCTCCATTTCCCTCTTACGTTCCACAGCTTGCGAGGAGGCTTGCCTATGTTTTCGCACAAAACCACTGGACCCGGGCATCAATTCATTTGCGGCTCCAGTTAGATTCTGGTTACTGTTTTTTGAGCCGTCCATACGCCCTAATGATCTGACGCACGCAGCTATGTCTTGTCTCGATTTGGTCAGATTTAAAGTGAAAAAAGTCTTGCTTCATTCCCATGATGAAATTGTAACGGCGTAATGACTTTAGATGTTGTGGATAACAGTCGGGGCCGTCTTCGCTAGTTTCTGAAGACAAACCGTACTATTGACTACATTTTCTTCATCCTGCTCCGAGGCCGGGTTATCGAGGAGAACAATCCCTAATGGAAAAATTAAGCGCTGTCATTATTAGGGCAAGTGGGGGGAGATTCGGAGGAGCAAAACGCGCATTGCGTCGCGTCATCGAGCATGTCCCTTGGGACAAATTCGTTGATATCGATCAATGAGCTATCCTGGAAGAAGACGTCTTCGAAATCCGGCTCGAAATGGCTATGTTCGAAGGCCCCCATAATATTCAACACCTTTAACCCGTGCAGGATCGCCATCGCCATCGAGAAAGAGTGTGTTGGAACTCTGTTCTTGTGTGTGATCATGAACTCCGTGGTCCCAAACGTCTACGACATTGGAGTTATCCAATATTTAGTAGTGGATTTCGCGTACGAAGCAAAACTATTTCTGAAGGCTCTTTAAACTACAAATATGAGGATATCCAGATAGAATTGGTGGAAAATTGTCGTAGATATCGGTTTTGTAGACAAGTGCAGAGTGAAGCTATGCGCAGTTGCGCGTAAGAGGATGCGGGTTAAAGACAATGCCTAGCTAGAAACACGTTGGTCTCTCGTAGCCAATGAAAGAAGGCAGCAGCCGTCAAACAGAGAGTGATGTAACTCTCGGAATTTAATCAGCCTTGTCAATTGTGCTATAACACTTTCGTCAACAGCAGTAGAAATTCATGACGGTCAGAAACAATGAATAGAGTCCACGATAAAGGAAAAAGTGTGAGAAGTGATCATTCAGCCGCGCACTTCTGTCACAAGGAGTGACCTTTCCTCGCCCTCAATGCACATCAGCTGGACGACTGGCGCTTGTTTTGAACCAGAAAGCGAACATGCGCCCTCTTCCCGGTATGGTCAAATGTTCGCCAGGGAAAACGTGAGTTTATGGATCCATGACAAGTTGCGTTTCGAACCCATTTACCGCTTTCTCTAGAAAAGCATTTTGAATCTTGTCACATATGGTAGCATCTCTCTAGATGGTTCGCTGCGCTGGTATCTGCCTGGTCAAAGACAATCCCCAGACTCCGAGAGCTTCAAATCCGGTCGAAAATGCTATGCATCCTTGCTGACGTAGGATCAACAGATGCGGTACAAAGAACTTCCGCTCCGGCAGGAAGGAGATCCAAAGCCAATAATCAGCAAGGTTTATCATGGGCTACGGGTTCCGGAAGATGCAACGAAGAACATTTTGAATTCAAACATGGATCGATACTCCCCAGACACTGGGCAGGGAAGCGTGACTATCTTCCTTTGCATATACCCTCCTATAGAAGCCTGCGAAGTTGATGTAGTCACGATTTCCGAAAATCGACAAGGATTGCAGTTATAACTTCGGCTCGCAGCTATCCGAATCGAATAATGAGGCTGAGATCGACGGGTATGCAACGAGTCTATTCTAGGATCTGGACTTTGCGACCAGAACACGGTATGCGCCTCATTTTTTTTATGCCGATCTTTCCAGGGAAGACGAACCGACCTAGTTAGGCCCCTCAGCGTAATGTTTAGTCGGCTGATTTCAGCTCTTGACGAAAGAGTTTGATCGAAATCGCGTATTGAAAGTAAGATGGCACTGTGCTTGAGGGTCAAGAGCACATTCTATCTGAGAGAGCGCAGAGTCAAGAACCACTGTCAGCTATCATGTTGCTTGCGCATTGAAAAAGCTTTGGGAGCTAACAACTCCGCCGCAAATCATTGTCTTGCCTATTGGATAAGTACCTTGCTTCGACAGAAAGGTCTGGAAAGGAGGAAGGGGGGTTTCGAAATGGCTAGCAATTTATACAAGTGAGGCGTTTGGAGCACCCCCTTCTCTAGCTTTTGGCATGATAGAAGCCCCAAGGCTTCAATTCCGCAAAGGGGAAACTGGAGAGACCTCGTTTCCACGCCTTCTATTTCTTGTGATAGTTATTCTTGATGGACCATCAACTTGCTGTTTGGCGAAGCTCTGCCTTGTGGTCACAAAACCATTGTGTCTTATTTCGGGATTATCATCAATTACGCTGTTCATCGTGCGCAACAATTATCTACGAATGGTTGAAGGAAAGCGGAAGATGCAATTTCTTGTGCTACACTGGGTGCTGTCTGGCGCAGACGCAAATTTTCCCATATGCATATAGCAAGTCTAACCAACGAATGAACTTTTGTTAGGCAGGCTCACAGACCCATACTCTGCTAACACGCACATTAGCGGTGCAAAGTATGACAGGGCTAATCTAAAATTCGTTCAGCCTATAGCAGTAGGTTATAGTGGATTGTAACGATTCCCCAAAAAGAGTTTATCGCTTCTCACATCGGAAGAGCTGAGCGGCGTCTGCAGAAGACCCTGAAGCTCTCGAATAATGGAAGACATGCAAAGAATAGAGTTGTCCTCCCCACACCCGATGGTCGAAATCTGGACCCTCCCGTGCTTGTGAATGAGGAATTGTCTCCAACTCTCATCTTGGGACGAAGAACTTTCGTAGAGTTGTGGGGAGAAAAATTGTATCACGTTGAGCTAACTCCTGCCGAATGGCTTGGAAGCTTCATAGCCCGTCTCCATCTTTATCTCTTCTTTCCAGTCATCAATCTCCTGTACATGAGTCCGATTGCAAATATCCCGTCGCCGAAGCTGCCAGTGTTGACGTTCTGGTACGAGTTCTATTACGACGTGATCAAAAGGGGGAAATACACATACAAGATAGCTGAACTCCACGATGGAAACGGTATGTCACGTTTAAAGGTCTTTCAGATGGACGTCGTCACATGTTCAAGGTTCAGCTGATTAGCGGTGCCGCAAGAAGGACCCATCGTTCGTATCAGCCCCTACGATGTGCACGTCAACGAACTAGAATTTCACGACAAACTCTACGTAGACAGCGCTCGCCGAAGAGATCGATGGTCCCGGGCAGCCAAAGCATTCGGCCACCTGGGATCCACGTTCGCTACCACCAGCGAGGATCAGCATTGGACCCGCTGCAAGCCGATCAACAAAGTATTTCTCGCGGCAGGCGGTCGCCCAGCCGGCGTTGCACCTTCAGTCTTGCCTCGCCGATTTTTGCGCGCGCCCTGGAGCGTTTTCGAGGGGCCAGACAGAGCGCCGAACTCGAATCCGCGTTTCTACAGATACATGATCGACGTCGTCTCTACCTTTGCCTTCGGCAAAGCGTTTGGCAGCACAAAGAGCCACAACTTCGGACTGGAGTGGCAGAGGCTCTTCATGAGCTGGAGCGAGATGGCCTATCTGAGCAAACAGTTTGGGTCGCTGGGGGCCGTGATAGAGTCACTGCCGGACGGGCTCCTTCAGAAGATAAGCTCCGCCATGAGTCTTGTCATTCGATAACGCCGGTGGCTCGCAGAGGTTCTAAAGGCTGTCGTCAAGGAGCATGAGGACCGGACGGCGAGAGAGGGAGAACCGAAGAGTCTTCGTAGCCATCGGACAATCTTTCCACGAGTTCCTCGTTTCGCGCGAGCTACTTCCCCCGGAAGAACAAACAGACGAATCGTTTGATCGACGAAGGGCATGAAAGTAATCGCCGATGAGGCTTCCCTCTCTGCTACACGAGGAAGATTCTAAGCTCCACTCTAGCAGGATCAAACACTTTGTCGTGGCATTTCAAGACCGTCTTTTTCCACATACTCGACAACGGTCCAGCCCTGGCCTGGCTGAAGTCGGCGCTGGCCATTGCCGTTCCAGACCTGACGGAATTGCCACCTCTCGCACAGCTGGAGCGGCTTCCCTACCTGGACGCCGTGATCAGGGAAGGCTTTTCGTCCTTCCTTTGACGCGACCTGCCGACTTAAGCGGATCGCACCCGAAGAAAGGAGGTCCTCCAGTACAGCCGGTACTCGATCCCGCCCGGCACGCTAGTTAGTATGACGCCTCCGCTCCTCCACATGAACGCCAACACGTTTTTGGGGCCGACGGCGTTCGATCCGGAGCGCGGGCGTGAAGGCGCGGGAGAAACATCTAGTCAGTTCTGCCCGCGAAGATCTTCGTGGTCGTATGGCGAATATGACAAGATGGTTTTGACTTTGAGCCGTTCGGAACGGCGCGGACCAACGTGGACGCGTGCCACGGCTTTTTGAACCCGTGCTCCCGCATGGAGTCGAAAGGTTGCAGGGTGATTTTCAAGTGAGCGCGGTATTTCTTTGTGACGCTGGATATGCAGGTCGCTGGCAGTTCCAACTAAATGATTAAGCAGCTCCGAGCATTCATAGGACTCCAGCCCGCGAAATTTTCTCAAGTTACCTTGGGACAAGGCGAAGTGTGTATAGCGTCAAGTCGTAGCGGGGCTAAATGGCCTATGATGAACGCATGTGACTTGCAAGTAAATGAAATCATAAACACGACCGTGCTACTGTTCGTGATGAGGACTACTTTTTCGAATGCGAATTTACTATCGAAGTACGTAACAGACCGTTGTCATAGCATTGACATCTTTCGCCAAAAAACGTATGTTTCGCGCACCTTGCCCGCTCAGCATCACCGCAACCGAGTGCGTTCGAGCCTGATGCCAAACAACCAGTGTGGCTTCCGTCGCTCACTCAGCACTATGCTCGGTGTACAGTGATTTGTCGCGGCCAAGATGATCAGTTTTTATTAAGAACGTATAATCATAATTTGATAGTGATGCATAGTTAATAATTCAGTGGAAAAATAGGCTACGCATACGTGATGATGGAACGAACCAAAATCTCAAGTCAACTTTTGCTTAGGTGCTTTCCGCTGAAGCGAAAATCTCGTACGCCTCGTCAATACTTGTGCGCACAGCATCGACAATTTTAGCGTCTAGTTCCGCATTTAGCGTCAAGTCTGATGGCGTAGCTGCGATCTCTCGGCTCATGGCTGCCCTGAAGTAAGCAGGCAACGCTCTGGTCAGCAAGCTACGGAAGCGCTCGAGACTGGCGACTTCGATGCCGTCCTGCGAGCCGCAGTCTTGGAAATCAGTAAGGAAGTATGCTTTAGAGTGAAGCGAGAGCTTACAAGGCGGTAAAGGCTCACCGGGGAACAAAAGCCGATGCATTTCCCTCCATCGGTCAAGCTCTGCACGTTCGTAGTATTTGTCTTTGGCAAGCACAGACTGCTGTTCTTCTCCAAAGATTCCAAGAGAGCTAATCGAAAATACTTGGGAGCAAGGCGCACCGCTCTCGTGATCTACAAGCTCATAGTCGTCTCCGAAAACGCGGAAACAGTTGCAGCACTGGTAGGTGGAAGAATGCTCATCCTGCAAGTGTTGTCTGCGTCGATTTCAAGTTAGCTATGAGAAGCCAGCAATGTGTGAAAACTAAGCGGAAAAGACAAATTCTGTTTACCTGACCATGTACGTTGTCCGACAGCGAGATCCCAAGCATTCACGACAGTAGCTGCACGTTTCCGTGTCGTGTTTGTCATAAGGGCAAGCCAAATGACGAGTGGCTCCACTGTCCCGTGATGGGAGCACGCAAAAGCGTTTTTGATAATGATGAGTGTCGGATGTGTTATCAGCGCCGGCATCTTCGTACGCATTTTCATATCCTGCATTGTCGTGGAAGCGTTTGCGACGACGATGGCTTCCGGCTGAGCCATCCTGTGTGACGTGAGTGCTTTCAGAGAAACAATACGGCCCTCGAGATTCTTTCATTTGGGTGAAGATTTTATCAATCTTTGTGTGAGCTTTCGCGATCGCCAGAGATGCGAAGTCGTCTTGCATGTTTTTTGTCAACTTAGTTTCCGACTTAAACTTCCACCCGGACCTGCTCTCGTGAAAAGATGAATCATGTACGTCCAGTTCTTGGATAAGGTTGCAGAGGCGGGACGGAGGACTTGCCGGTGCTGGCGATAATGAGGGCTTTCCGCTAGTTTCGCGGGTATCGTTTCTAGCGTTGCCCTCGTCCACTGACTCGACCCTCAAGAATGTCGGGTCTTCCACAATTTCCCACTCTCCATCGGATGAGTTACGTGAGATCAATTCGATATCGGGAGAGGATGGTTCGGAATAGGCCCGCTGATCGTAGTCACTATGTACAACAACCGATGGTGAACGATCTCCGTTACGGGCATCAATGTCTGTGTAACCTCTCTGCTGTTTGACAGATCGACCAGACGGGGCCGAGTGTCGAGCATTGCCTGTGAAAGGCACACAGTCTATGACGTCCATCTGGGGAGACGTGGGATATGCGCTCTCGTTTTGCGTCGAACGGTCTACATCGATGTCCCTTGTTGAAAGGAAACGCATGGAATGCAGAGGTGAAACTGCACGCGGCACAAAGGCAGTGGAGCCGAAAGCGCGACGTTGATGTTGCTCGCCGCGTAGTGTGCGTGTGATCTGCGACCTTGACTTTAGCGAGGAATAGAGGCTGTTGCGACGCGAGTAGGCGCCTAGTTCTGGATCCGGACTGTCTGCCTGGTGTCGCCACGCGGGCGCGGAGAGTGACGCAGCAGAATCAATATATGGGCGGGATGTTTCCAGCTCAGCGTGACGGGAGCCGTGTGTGCGACCGTATCTTGCTGGGACATCACGGAAAACTAGACGTTCGGCTTCGGAATTCTGCAGAGAATCAAATTTGACCGGTGCAGAGTCGCATGAGTAGTTAGTCGTATCCTGATATGACCTTGATCTATGCAAGCGCGGCGAGTAACAAGCCGGGTGAGAAAAGGTCTCCCAGTGCCTCCTCGTGCGATGAACAGCAGAGTCTTGATAGGGGCCGGCTGTGCAAACAATCAGCGAATGCCGGACGCTGAGAGCACAGATGACTGCGTAGCGACGGACCTTGACTACCCAGGAGCTCAAAGTTGGCAGAGTCCTCTTTCAAGTTTCGAATCATTTCCTACTCAGCTGATCAGGATGTGCTCATGTCGATGTGCCGCCGAGTGCCTACAGGAGTTGGGCTGCTGTCCGCGGCGATCCAGTATCCAGAAAGTCCCTGTGAGAGTATGAGCACCTGACCGGAAGCGGGAGAGTGATCGGAGGCGGACGTCGTTTTCATCCTTCCCCATTCCAGGCTTGACGACAGCGTTTGGGCCAAGATAGTGCTGAATGTCGGCTTGGATCACGTCTCTTCGAATACCCTCTGCCGGGATCCACCAGCGGTATGTCGGACTACCTTCCTTTGAAAGCGGCGGTAAGGGAGTCGATCGCACATTGCCTTCTGACCACTCGTCGAGGACCAGAGGAGGCGAGTCTGCGGAGCTTTGAGAAGCTGGCATGGCAGTGAACAGCAACGAATACACCACAAAGATCGGAACAAGCTCAGAGCGAAGTAGGGCAGACGCAGTCGTGTAGAGTGGTGCTCATTGTGCTCGATCAAGGTAGAATGCAAGAACCCAAGACAACAGATATAGAAGCCGGATGAAGTCCAGCCGTTTGAAGATTATTTCCGTACAGAGCGCGTCCACGAGAGGTCCAGGACTACCTGAGAATGTTTTGGAAAAGTGAGGCGAGCCTCACGAAGGCGGCGCCAAACTTCAACCAAAGCGGAGCCTTTGTCCAATGACGGCCTACATGTTACGTGTGGACCTGGGAGACTGGATTCACAGCGATCTGCCCGAGTACGCGAATTAGACAAGTCTTTCCAAGCTCCTGAGGCCGGGACAGGCGTACAAGAATGACGATGTCGACGTTTGACCGCTTGAGACAGCGCAGGTCAGGACAGGCTGGCCGGGGATGGGAAATATTTGGGAACGCTCATGCGTAGCTTCCAGCATGCGGCCCCTCCAACCGATCACGCAGCAGATCCGCGTCGCACCGACACGCCGAGTAAACACAAGGCAAGAAAAAGCCTAGGCAAACGATTCAATCCTCCGCCAGGAGACCGGATAGACAACCATGGCAGCGATGGAGCCCGAACCAGCCGCCTCGGCCGCGTCGCCGCCGCCGTCGCCGCTGCCCGCTCCGCCAGAGGACTCCACGCCGGGAGCGCGCGCGACGGCGCTCCAGAACGCTTTCACCAAGGCGCTCGAGGCGACGCTGAGCAAGTGCTCGTACGCCAACTTCGCTGCGTGTTTTCCGACGCCGGCCAAGTACCGGCCGCAGACGCTGGAGATGTTCCACAAAGACTTTACCGGCCGCCTGAGCGAGGTGTGCACCGTACGTGTTACATTTTTTTTTGGTTTCTTCTTTGTTGCCCGCGCCTCGTCTGCGTACTCCACTTCACCGGACAGCTGTGCAGCCCGGCTGGAGCGCGCAACGCGAGGCTCAGAGCGAGAGCGAGGCCCCGAACGAAGCGAAGAAAGATTTAAAAAACAAAAGGACGATAAAGGTAACGAGGCTGACTGGTTGCTTCGCAGGCTGAGTTCGCGACCATCCTGAAAGAGCGCAACGTCGTCCCGCTGCTCAATTCGCTGGACCGGCTGATCAGCGAGGCGAAGGCGCGCAAGCAGAGCGCCGAAGCGGCTGCAGCCACGTCAGCAGGCCCGGACAGCGTCGTGGAGACGCCTATCCCGCCGCATACGCTGCCGCCGGCCGAGCTGGTGAACGCGCACCTGGCCGCGTATCTTGAAGAGAAGCGGGCGGCCGTGGCGGCGGAGACGGCGGAGGTGTCGGCGCGCAACGAGCAGCTGGCGGCGACGATTCGCCAGCAGCGGGAGGAGATGGACGCATTCGTGCGCGGGCTCGAAGCCGTGGTCGCGGACCTCGAGCGCAGCGCCGCGCTCGTCCAGGCGGACGACGTGACGAGCCTCACCGCCGAGGTCAAAGCGGTCGAAGACGAGCTAAGGACGTGACCCCTCCCGGCGAACCATGCTGCCTACCGCTGCGACCTGCGCTCCGCGTCCCGGACGCCGAACTGCGGACGCGCACGCCGCGTCGCAGCTGCGCGCGCGTGTACGTGACGCAGCTGGGCAGCTCCGGCGCGGGGCCTGACCGGTTCCAGGACGGCACGGAGGACGACGTGCGATAGGACAACCAGAAAAAGGAAGAAAAAAGAAGAAGAAGAAGAAGAAGTAAAGACGGCAGAACTACTGGAAGAAGAGGGCGGCACGTTGCGCAAGCTCAGCCTGAACGGTTCTCGCGCTGCGCGGCCGCGCCCCGCGTCGCGACTTTGGATGCGAACGGTGAGGACGCAGAACGGACATGCGCGGGGACAGCCCGGGCTCGGCGTGCACATAAGTCACAAAGAGGAAAGACGCGCCGTCATGGCCAGGACGTGCGCCAAGCTTGCATTTCACGTACGCTCTGTTCAGACGCGGAGCAGGGGCAAAGACCAGCGCGTTGCTGAGAAGATGCGGCGGCGAGGAGCGGTGGAGGAAAGAGGGTTGGACAGAGGGAGAGAGGGAGAGAGAGAGAGGGGGGGGAGAGAGATAGGATTGTGGGTATCTAAAACATAAAATGAGCGCGGGCATGATGGTGTTTGCCCGCCCGCACAAAAAAAAAAAAAAGAAAAAAAAGAAAGAATCATATGCATTACACGTGCAGCCGCACCCCGCAAGTTCACCTCGTCTCATCTCTTCGTTTGTTCCCCTTGCAATTCGTCAAAGTTCCCCAAGAGGCTCCCGCGTGAAAGAAACCGAAGAAAGAACTGCCTTGCAAGACGCCGATGCGGTCGAGCGCGTGCCGCGTCGCCGCCGACAAGCTTTGTCCAAATCCCTACCGTTCCTCCTCTCGAATCCTCACGCTCCCTGATTATTTTTTTTTTTTAAGAAAAAAGAAAGACCCAAACAAAGTCGTAGTGAACTTGTTCGTTGCGGACGTCCGCCGACAGCGGTACAAACCGGCGCGCGCGCGCGCGAGAGAGAGAGAGAGAGAGAGAGAGAGAGGACGACATAGAAAGAAAAAAAAATACAGATTTGGGTATTTGATGCGACGGGTCGAAGCAATCCGTGATGACGATGATGACGACGATGGACGATGGATGACGCTAGCGCAGAAAACAAGAAAGAACCCCCCGATCAATGAGAACCAAACAAGAAAGATTTAGGGTATGAGGGGTTGGTAAAAAAAGAAATTTCTTCAGAGGAGCGTGATTGACGCGACCTTGCCCCTTACCGACCACGGCCTCTGTCCCTTGCCAGTGCAAGCCGCCTAGACAAGCACAGGGGCGATTGCGATGATGTCGCCGTCGAGACCGCGGGGGAGGGGGCGCAGCGGCGTGACGGACATCTTTGCGGTGAGGAAGGCCCTGGCCTTGGCCATGGAGGCGAGCTTCTGGCCGACGGCTGACGCGGCGGTGTCGACGCGGCGCAGCTCGTCGTGGGCGCTGTTGGTCGAGTGGACGCTGGACGCCTCTGCGGCGTAGTCGGGTTCGACGTCGGCGCTGCGGCTGCTCCAGTGGCTGGAGGCGGTGACGCCGCGCTCGAGCACAGGACGAGGCGTTTGACCGGCGGCAGGAGCAGCATGGGCGTCGTAGCGCGGCGGACGCATGACGAACGGCACCAGTTGGCAGCGGCGCGCGTCAATCTGGTAGCGGCCGCCGTTGACAAAGAGAATGTGCGAGGCGCGCGGCGACGATGCCAACAGGATAGGAGCGCAGCGCCGGCGGAAGCGGCACAGGGCCCCCTGCGACATGGGCGGTCGTGGCGGTGCCGTCTTGGGGTCGTATCCGCCGGTTTCGTCCTCGCCGTCGTCGCCGTCCGAGCGTGCGCGGGAGTCCGCTTGGCCGGAGCTCGCCCCGTCAGCGGGCTCTCCCAGCGCGTCCTCACGGTCAAACTCGTTGTTGTCCGGCTCTGGGCCGCCGGCATCACGCTCCGTCTCGGCACGGTCGCTCGCGGTGACGGCAGTAGTGGTTCTGGTCATTGGCGCGTCGTCATCCACACGCACGTGCTCGTCGGACCGCGAAGCCGCCAGGTTCGGGTACATGCGGCGGAAGATCGACTCCTGCTCGGCGATGAAGCGGCGCTCGAGCTCGTCGCGACTGGGCCCGTCCGGACCGGCCTGGGCGGCGGACTCGATCTGGCGCTGGCGGCGCGTGCGGCGGGGCAAGCTGCGGTAGCGCGGCTCGTGACGGTCGTCGAGCGGCGGGGCAATGTCGATGGCGATGCATAGCTGCTCGACCCAGTCAAGCATGGCGACATGGGTCGAGGCGCAGAAGAGCAGCTGCTGCTCCTCGACGCGCAGTCGGAAGACAAACTCGCGCACAGGCTCGAACAGGTCCGGGTCGGTTTCGTACAGGCGGTGCTGCGCGTGCCTGGGCAGCATTCGGGCGAACGTCGCCTTCGGCACCAGGTCGCCTTTGACCCAGTCGACGGCGATGCCCACTTCGGCGTGTTGCAGCGAATATGTGCGCAGGAGGCGGCCGGGCTTGTCGGCACGTGATCTGAACATGGCTCGCTTGATTCGATGCACGTGCAGCTGCGTACCGCGCAGCTCGACGTGGACGCGGTGCCAGTCGTTGTCGAGAGAGATCAGAAATGGGCTGGACAGCTCGGTGCGCATGTCCAGAAAGCCTTCGAAGTGGACGCCGCACGAGTAGGCGGGCAGCGTCTCGGAGCCGTCGGCGCAGGCGGCGGCGACGGGCGATCGCGCCACGGCCGCCTCATAGCAAGGAGGACTCGCATCCGGCGCAGGCGTGGCATGAGTCGAGAAAGCGTTGTGGTAGCCCCAGGTCTGCGCTTTGCCGGACGCTGAGATGGAGGTGTCGCCAGGCTGCGTGGGCCGGCGATCGGCCATGGCGGCCATGATTGGGGAAAAACAAAACGGAAACAGATTTGCGACTGTGCAGACGGCGGCGGGGAGGAGCGTCGGTCCGCCCGAGGATACGGGCTCGGCTGCGGGTTTTTTTTGTGCGCGCTCTCAACAGCTCCCGCTCACGCGCGCACGCACGCCTCCACAATGTGCCCGAGAATGAGCGTACGTCCGTGTGGGTTCTGAACGTAGCCGCTGCCGTGCAGCGAGACCTCTTTTCTCCGGCGAATGGGACGTACCCGGTGGGACGCGCAGTATCAGGATGGTGGAACCGTCGAGGCGGTGGCCACTGTGCACCTGAAGGAAGAGCGGACAGAGAGATAGAGAAAGAGAAAGCAAGTAGAGTCCGGTGCGGATGCGGCGAGGCTGAGAGGAGTATGCAAAATCCAGCAAGCAGCAGAAGCGAGACGCAGAATCGGCGTGCTCAGAGCATGGCGAGCTGGATCGCTGCGTCCATCTGTTCCGAGGCCCGGGTGACGCTTGTGCGGCTCCGATGGCCAACCGAGAGGAGGCCGAGCGTCTATGGATGGTCGTCGCAGTACGAGGAGCAGAAGAAGCAGCGCAGCCGGTGGGCAAAGAGGCCGAACGGGGCTGGAGGGAGTGCGGAGTCTATGTATGCGCGCGAAGGTGGACATGCACACACATAGAGACGAATGCACACACGTATGTATGTATGTAAATACGTGTACGTGCAACTTTCCGGGAAGGAGAACGGGCAGACAAAAAAACGCAGAGCGAAGCAGAGAGCGAAAACGCCCGTGTATGAGGGGAAAAGCCGTGGAGTGATGGCGGCGGCAGCAGCAGAAGCAGCAGACTACTGCGCGTGTCCAGGCGTCCTAGGACGGGCCCCGGCGTGCATGGCACACGCACGCAGATGGAGCCGGAGCTGGTGCTGGAGCAGCTCACGTTGTCTTTTGTCGACTCCAGCCCTCAGCCGCGTTATCGGTTTAGCGAAAGACCTGCATTAGGTCACGACGGGCCGGCCGCGGTCTGCGGGCGGAGAAGGGCGAGACAGGTGGCGACTCGCGCCGTGACTTTGCTGCGGCAGCGTGACCGCCTGTGCTGCTGAGACTACGGGGGGGGCCAAGGATACGTGCAACAAACAAGAACGCCAGCAACATCAACAACAACAACAACAACAACAGAAACAGCCCTGACAGGCCGATGCGCAGTCGTTCCGTTACTGCGCCGCCACCGTGTAGCTCTCGACTGATCATCCCCAGCAGCAGGACCGTGGTTCCTGTCTGTGACGCCGCAGCTCAGCACCGGATTCCATCTCCACGACCGCCATTCCCTCGCCTGCTGGCCCACGGCTGCACAAAGGGAAAAAGCGTGCAGCGTGACGAGGCAAGACGAGAATCATCGTCCATCATCCAGCGTTGTCATCGTCATCGACATCGTCTTCGGGCCCCATGCAAGACCCCCCAGGTGCTCGCGCTGCTCGTGCATTTCGAATTGCCCCACAAGCAGGAGTTCGCCATGTCCGCGGCGCCACTTTTTTGGCCGCTGCGGCCCAAGCACTAGTAATATTTTTTTTCTTTTTTTTCTCTTTTCTCAGCGCTCGCAGGAATGGCTTTTGAAGGAGCTGTTGCAGGCGCAGAAAGCAAGAAGCGGAGGACTTGCCGTCTCAGCCAGGTGAATTGATTGCACGTGAAAACTCGACACGATATGTGTGGGTGGGCTTTGTAAGTGGGGATCGAGTTTCCGGGGGCGTCCCTTGCGAGCTTTGGGGGGCTCGTGGGCGGTGGTTGGGGGGTGACGGGGGCGATTCGTCGGGGGGGGGCCCTCAGGAGGGGGGGCCTGGTGGGGCGTGAAGGGGGGAGGGCAGAACAACCCCACAAGAGCAGATCGCCACCAAACCACGCATGCTGCGTTGGTGCGAGTTCCGGTCCAGAGGAATGCTGGCCAGAACTGAACCGAGTTACACGCAATAGACTACGAGACGCACTACAACTACGGCTGCTGCTGCTCCTTCTGCTGTTCGACAAGCCAGAACCGCAGGGAGCTTACGACTCGGCTTCTGCGACCTCTCGAGTACGAAACCACGGCTGTGACTTTTCTCGACCGCTGCTCGTTGTTCAGCGGACGGACGCTGAACCAAAGCACGGCACGATCTGGATCTTCGCTGCCCCCCGCACGAACGGGTTTTGCCCTCTGGGCGGTCCAGACGCTCGACCTGATTCAGTGGCGCCCGGCATTTGCTGGGCAGCTTGCGACTCGTGCGTTACCACCGCAGACTGCTAGAGATGCTCGAATGGTATTGCGATCGAGCAAATTCGTTCCATACGGATGTGAGGAGAACGAGAGATGGTGGTTGAACTCGTCGTCGTCGTTGTCGGACATCATCGCGGTCGTAGCACGTGCCCACGCGTGTTGGTGTGCTCTCTTGTACGCTTGCACACATCGATTGTGATGTGTGTGAAACGTGCTTGTGTTTGCGATTCTCATACGTGGCATTGCTCGTGCTTGGACGTGCCTCTTGTCGTCGATCAGGACAAGCGAGTGTCTCTATGAGTGCTCGCGCCGACCGTGAAGCGTATCGTCCTCGCCGCCCCCCGCTGGTTGATACCACTCCGGTCAGGCCGGCTTTACTTTGAGAACGCGAGTGTGAGCGCAACAATGCCTCCGCCTGGCGAAGAAATTCGCAAAGTCGCTTCACTTTTCTGTACCTTTCTTGTCATTCTACGCAGAAAAGGACCGAACAGGCCCGGCTAGGCACCACATGTTCCTTTCGGCCACAGTCAGCCAGAACGGCGATGTCCTCCGCCACGCGTGTGTTTGGCGCTCGATCTCTCCCAGCCGCGATGGGCCCACGTGAGGTCGAGATAGATCATCACACCACCCTTCGCCCAACGAAGACGCCCGCTCGCTGAACCGGATCCTGGCGTGACCGCTGACAGAACCGCAAGCAAACATCACCCCATAGAGGAGAAAAAAGTCCTCACAGCGGCGAAAGCATCTCCGGACGCAAAAGGGTAGGGAACGCGACCGCCCAACGACGAGGTCGAGCGCGGTCTCGAATCTGTGGACACGTCCCGGCACCTGTGTCCATGGCACCGGTATCGCTGCACTGGCCGGGTCCACTCCGCTACTTGAGGACAAGTCTTAAACAGTGCTCCAGCATGACCCGCAGAACGCTAACGAGCCCTGCATGCAGCCTCCAATACAGGCCCGTGATTCCGGCGCACTCACGCTCACAAGTCGCGGATCCATGCTTCCAGCAAAAAGCTGGGGCGCGCGATAGGAACGAACGCACACGATCAACAGCACGACGCTTGCTGCCGCTTCGCTTTCCGCCGCCGCACAACAGCAGTTCCACGCGCGATCTCTCGCTCGACGATGCCAGCGTTCGACGACGACGGCGGCGGCGGCGGCGACGGCGGCGGCGGTGGGGCGATGCGTCTTCGGTGCTGTGCTTTGGCTGGAAAAAGTGCTGCGGAAGCAGTACTGCGGGCCTGTGTGAGATCAGACCGCTGCTCCTCTTTCACCTGTGGAGAGCTGGTGACATCGCTACAGGGCTTCAGCGTCAACCTCTGCGTCGCGACGGTCCCCTGCGCCGGGCGCGGTGGGCAGCGACCGCATCCCTCCGCCGGGGCGGTTCCGCTCGACGCTCGAAAGCCATTCGAGCACGAACGAGCGTGCCCGCCGCGCCCGTGCGAAAAGGCTTCCGTCTCTGTCGGAGCCTCCTTGAGGACCTGTACTTGTCGACGTGCGCTGTCGGCGCCCAGGATCATCCTGTTCCTCCGATGGGCGAACTTTGCACGAGCTTGAATGAGGCCTGACGCGTTGGTCCGCTTTCTGAGCAGACAGCGCGGCTCAGGTTCAGGACCGCAAAGCCTGTCCTCGTCAACACCGGGCAAAAAAAAAGTTCTCATCCGCGAGAGTAAGCAATGTGCGTCGTGATCTGGGAAACCTGCACCAATAAAGAAACACAATTCAAATTTAAAATAAGAAAGAAAAAATTTTTTTGGCCGGGCTGCAATTGGAGACTGTTCTCGATCTGTTTCATACCACGTACAGGGCAAAGGAAAAGACGTGGTGAAATGGCATTGCGCAAGGAGGAAACACGCTGGCATCTGCAAAGAAATGAAGGCTGGAGGAAGGGGAAAAGAAAATTGTCGCCAATCTTCGTCGCCAACGGGCTTCGTCTTACAGTTTTGCTGCTCGTATCTAGAGTTAGAGTTCAGGTATGGAAAAAATTGCTCCAATCGGTATTTCTGGCTTCTCCTGAGAGCTCGACGAAGCCGCCATGGTCATCGTGCTCGTCGCTCGTGGTACCCGTTGAAATCCAGTGCCACAACCAGGCGCTCGATTGTGTTCTCCTCGCTCGCGACGCCGTCGCCTCCGAAGCCTCTCCTGCCGTCGCCGCTCGACTTGCCGTACCCTTTCTTTCCAACCAAGCCTCTGCACACCTCCAAAAACAATGCAACTTTGGCGTCAAACTTCGCGTACAGCTCGTCGACACGCGTGTCGTCGATACGCGCACCGCCGGCGCCGTCGCCGTCGCCGTCACGGCACAGCTTCGCAAACTCCAGCACGGATCCGAAGATCTCTTCGAGCAAGGCCATGACCTTCTGCTGCCTGTTGCGAAGCAGGAGCGCGAACGCGATGCGGTCCAGACACAAGTCGTGCTGGCGGCGCACGTCTTCAATGCCCTCGCGCACTCGACTGCCTAGCTGCCCGGCCTCGTCCTCGTCTCGCAGCTGCCGCTCAAGATCATCCAGGTACCGCACGAACGCAGCCCACGTCTCGCGCACTCCCGTGTCGAAGAAGTACCTGCAGCACGCTGACACGAAGGTCTCGGCCCGCCAGCGAAAAAAGCGCGCGCGCGACGACGACGACGAGGCCGCGGTTGCCGGCGCCTTGGCGAGCCTTGACACTACGAAAAGCATGCGCACGAGTCGCAGCAGGAATCGGAACACGGAGTCGTACCGCTCGAGTGCCGCGGGCGTGAGCACCGCCCCAAGCGGCGACGGGGCCGCGTACTGCAATCGCAAGAAGTCGAGCGCGTGCAGCGAGTCCGGGTCCAGGATGCAGTCCGCCTCCTCTTCAGACAGTTGGCGGATGGCAAAGCTTAGAGCGCCCGGTAGCTCGGAGCTCGTGGACGCACGGCGTGGGAACGCGGCGCGAAAGCAGTCGGACAGAATACCCATGAGAGCGAGACGTAGCTCAGAGCTGGCAGGCGGCCAGGCACGTCGGCTCCCAAGCCGCAGGCCCATGCTGGTGCCGGATCGCATCACGCCGCGTTGCCGCTCCGTGGACGACTGGTCCGGGTCGAACAGGGCAGCTGCCAGACGCGCGGCAAAGACGCCGTCGCCGAGCAGGTGGAAGCTGCGCTGTAAGTCAAGGTGCAGGCGAAGGTCGTGTGTGCGGAAGAAAAGGCGCAGCATTACCGCGTTGAGGATGCGCTGCTGCGCTGCCAGCAGTGGGCTGAATGACAGCACCGGCGTGATGGCTATCGGAGGGGAGAAGTCAACCAGCGCGTCGTCGCTCTGAGTTTGCTCTCCACGTAGGTTTTTGCCGATCAAATCGGATAAAGCGTCTGGCTGCCGCACGCTCATCACGCTCCTTTCGTATCCATAGTCAACGTCTCGCAATACAAATGGGTCAAAGCATTCCTCTTCGTTCCTACGTGTTTCGTCAACGGCAGTGGCCCGGCTTTCGACTTTGCTCGAGGTTGGCTCGCTTTGCTCGAAGTGTTGTACAGCCTCGGCGAGCGCAGCTTCGAACTCCTTGGCCTTGGCCGCAACCTGCTCAACATGCTGCCAATCAAATTGCCACTGCAACGTGATGTCGCTCCTTTCGGCGACGCGGGTCTGCGCTAGAGGATGCTTGGGCTGATGTGCCCGTAAGATGCGCACGTCACGTCCAATGTCGAACATAATCTGGCCATCCTCTGGCGTGACGAAGAGCGGCAGTCTCTTCGCATTGAACGAGTACCGCAGCTCCTGAGCCACGTTTTTTTCTTTATCACTTTCGAAGTTTGCCTCCTGTGTGATGAAGGTGTCATCCTCGACTCCATTCCTCAGTCCAAGATCGCCCATAAAGCCTACCCATCGTTCCACGAGCTCCAGCCACGGTCGCGAGACCCGCGCGAGCACTTCAAGCATCATTGCCCGCAGCCAGTCAGGCTCTTGATCGCAGTGCTGACACCTTTTGAACACCATACTCGCAAGCTCCTCGTTCGATCTCGCGTTCCCGACTCCGCGCGCCAGATCGTACACCTCGGTGAGCATTCGGTGTGGCCGATCGAACTTGTCGAGCAGCTGCAGCACAGACGCAATATTTCGCGACTCGCTGGCCAATTGCGATTCCAGTGCGTCGACGACTGTGGCGATCGTGTTCGCCAATGCGACTTTGGCGGGGTACGCTTTGCTAGAAGCATACGTTCGATCCACGAAGCTTCGAAGATGCCGGACCAGCCGTCCACAATGGCCCATTTTTGCCACCGCACTGGATGTCAGTTCCTTGCTCATCCCGGAGACGTTGTGGTGGCTATCTGTAAGCTCGAACTGCTTCGACTTTGGATTGTAACGGAAGAGAGCAGAGGACCTGCCTAGCCCGAGGCTGAACATCGATTGCAGGAATACATCGTTCCTGATAACGATAATTTCCTTATCCGGCTGACAACCTTTCTCCCGTACGAAAAGGGCGGCATCGAATGCCCTAGCTCCAGCCTCCGAAAGGTATGCCGATGCTGGCTCTTGAATCCCGGGACTTTGAAACGCTTCCCAGCTGAGCAGTCTTGTCTCGTTGGTAACTTGGTTCTCTACTATAGGCTCCCACAATGAATCAATATCATGTCGTTTATCATCCTCAGGCTCTAAGAAGTCTTCGCGTTTGCATTCGTCGTCCGTTGCCAGACTTTCTTCGAGAGGCGGAAGGTCATCAAGCACTCCATATTCGAAATGTCGGAGCTCTGGAAGCTTCAGCTCTTCTGGCGCGACTGCATTCGAAATGAATGGATTATCTTCGCTATCGACGTCAACTGCCGCTGGGTTAGTATGCTCTAAAATTATATCATACGCGTCTGCAAACGACGCGACGTGAGCTCACCGTTGAAATTCACACCAACTGGCTGCGATGGCGGCCCTTCAAACTGGCCCAGATATAGGCGCCATGGGTTGCGAGGCTGGAATGCCCCTTCATGAAGATCAAAGTCCATGCCACCAGACTACCATGTTTCGCGCAAACAGACCATGACATCTGATGTAGTTCGCGTGTGCGTCACCACTTTGCGAAGTTTACATACCGCCAAGCGTAGCGTTAAGCACTGTGGTTCGGGCATTTTTTGTCCTCGCAGCGCACCAATTGGCACAAGTTTCGTCTCAGCGTTCTTCCTCTTCGGTCTTCATAATCGAGATTAGAGAGACTAGTGACTCTTTTTTGTCCCAACTGCGCCCGTCCCAGACTGCCCAAGCTTCCCGGCATCGAAGCAGGTGTGCCCTTGCTCACCCTCCCGTCTACGGAGTGACATTCACTATCAAATTCACTATCAAGCTGTGACCTGCGGAGAATATCATATGACCAATGCATTACACAAAGGGAGTTCCGTCCGCAAGTATGTATGGATTGTAAACATATATTGAATTCAGTCGGATTTTTTAGGGTTCTCTTTGCCTCGCCGGCGGTCACGCCTGAAGTTCCCCCCTGTGACCTCAGATCAGGCAGCTTGAGCGCGGCACGATGTAAATGGCTGGATGTGTCGTTTTCTCTTCCTCTTCTTTTAAGCTCGCGTCTGGTGATATCGCGACGCCGAAGTAAGGCGGGTTGCCAGATTCAAAGAGTGCCAGTGCGATCATGAGCAAACTTTCGAAAGATATTCAACAAAGACGGACGGATATCACGGTGAAGAATTATGCTCACTTCATGGGGTCTGAAAGAGCATGGACTGGTGGGTTGTACAGAGATTATTGAGGCACATCTGTCGTGGCTGTCCATGAACGAGGTATCGTATCTGGCTATCAACAATGCCTGCTCAGATCATGTACTTCATGTCTCTAAGAATTATGCACGTCATCGCCATCGTCTACTTCAAAATCTTTGCAAATTATCATATTTTTACCCTATCATCCATATCTATGGAATTGGGCAGATACTCTGCGCTAAATCCTAGACCGTGCATATTAAGCACAGACATGTCCCGCATGCTTATGAGGACTCATGTATTGGATCTCTTGGGCATTAATTTCTTTTGAAGCTGTACCTTGCAACTTTAACATCAAGAGGGAGACGCTACACTTGCTGGCAACGACCAAGATCCGAATCATCCATGAACGAACAGTAACGTGAAGAGGTAAATGTGCACTCATATTCCATGTGCGATGAATAACCCGGGATAAGCCTTACTCAACTTCACTGGAATTGATCATTTTCAAGCAAGCATTCTCTGATCCGCATTATCGCAGTTGAGCAAGCATTCTCCTATCCAAATTGCCGCAGTCGACTAGCTGGGAGGACTGCGCCACAGCATCAGGATAGTGGGGGCCAATGTTGTGAATTCCCTTCGTATTTGTACAGGGGCTCCTCTTCCAATCATCAACTCCATTACCATCTGCTGGGTTAGGCAGCAGAATAATCAAAAGACGGGTGGCTGTGCAATACGCGCACGACGTCAATTGCAAGCTTCACTTATTTGCACCAAACTAAAAGGTTTAAAAGTGCTTGAATTCAGGAGGGCATTTTTTCCTCCCTCTGTATCTTAGTATGCAAGCACGCACGTTGCCAATGGCTACATTCTCAAAGTACGACCCTGTCCCGCCGTACGACGTAGACGACATCGAGTCTACCGTGCCGTCAATGTCAAACGACCGATTGTCTTTCGATACCACTATTGCCAATACCGAACGTCCGGAGCACCCGAATGAAGGAAATCAAAACAACAATCGCATTCGCAGCCCATTCGAGGAGCAACAGCCACTGAATGATCGACCAAGCGACGGCAGATCAAATGTCTATTGCAGCCATTGCAACCGCCATTACGGCCGATTGACGGAGCGCGAAAGGTGCAACTATGCGCTGCTCTTTGTCTTGATGAGTCTGGTCTCAGTTTGCATCTGCGTTTCAATTATTGTCTCCATGGTGAAGAGGTCGAATTAGACAGACACTTTCTCTGGGCTTTGGAATCTCGATGCAGCGCTTTCGCAGTTCTGTTTGTTGACTTGTGTATACAAATCGGTTTCTAGAAGATTCCCACTTGCTATCGGCTACTACTTGGTGCTTAAATGTAAATGAGACAAGACCATACGATGTATTGGTTTATGCAATCAGTTGATATTGTTCGTTGGAAAAGTAGAGGGTTTAAGTCTCAACTAAAGCACATTTCACCTCCTATATGTGGACTAAATCGTCCCCTTTGCCTGGTTCGTAAATGGTTAATTCAGCGGGAGAATCTTATTGTGGCTCTCTGGCGCTTGCTCTCGCAAGGAGCATTGCAAATACAGGTTAAAGGCGCATCGGGTTGCAGAGAAACGATGTACAAATCCCAAGCACTTCTGCAGAGTTGCATACAAGCCCGTAGACAAATTATAACTCAAGATTTAAATCATTGTGCGAAGAATGACAGCAGAAAAAGGCAACCGAAGATCCTCTGTGGAAGAACTTAACAGTGGTCTCCGTGACGTAGACGCATGACTTATGTCATCAACATGGTCTTTGCCGAAATCTTTAACGGCTAGAATTATTTATGCGATGTGCAAGTACTGCATATTTAGCATCTTGATACAAAGAAATTTGCGCCTCGCAAGAGTACCCAGCCGAGCGTCCTTGTTACTTTACTGCATTGCCGAAAAGACATTCATCGTTAGAACTACACAGGGCGGGTGATCGTTCTCCCAAAGAGCCTCGCTCTGAACGGGATTATTTGATTAGCCCTGATTGACAAAGTCAATGGTAAAAGGTTTTGTTCCTCATGAGGTTCTTATCTGGCAATTGAAGGAATGAAGTGGGAAAATGATGGAATCTTTAAGGTTATTTAAAGGTAGAAATACAGAGAAGAGCATTGTTAGATTGGTTTTACGAGGGGGCTCAGTCGATTACCGCATCCAATCCACATTGCATCATCGACGTCTGGCAGCTTTCTTCCTAGTTCCGCCTTCGTTGATCGTGACAGAAACCCCTTGTCTAGCAGCCCAATCGACAGCATCGCGTCCAATCGCGTCACAAGCGTTTAAGGTCAGGTACTTTAACGTTCCCTTTAAAGAAGTGATGAGTTCTTTGATACCAATTCCAGTGATCGGTGCAGAGTCAAGTGAGAGACTACGAAGGCATCTTAGGTGGGCTAGAACTACGCGTCAGTCTCCGCATTGAATTTGAAAATCGCACATGGTTTATGATGTGCAAAGATCACAGAGTGAGTGTGCACGTGTGTCTTGACTTACTGATAGATTCGATATTGACATCAAACAATCCCGCAGCTGCCAAGCCCTCCAAAGACAGTTCCGTAAGCTCTCGAGCACGAGCGTGGAACAAGAGTGCCTCGATATCTGCCCATTCTGCCTCAGATACGCATCCAATTGACAGGTACTTGAGCATAGCCGACTGCTCTGAAAGATCAGCTCCTTCGTTCCCATGCCTAGGGTCGAGCAGAGGAAGCAGGCTACATTGCATGTCGCCAATTCTTAATTTCTCCAAGTTTGGAAAGCCATTCGGAATCTCGGTTGCAGGTGCGATGTGACGATTCGCACAGTCGTAGTATAGTTCTCTAAGTTTTATGGAGGCACGAGGCAGTCCCACTACACTTGCAGAGTTGATACGAAGAACTTCAAGTTTACTCAAGGATTTAAACATGCTCCTGCCCAAAATGAATGCTGTAGGGCGCGCTTGTTGCTCGAAAACAAGTTCCCGGAGATTCGTCGCCTTCTTTAGGACGCTGGCCTACGGAAATTCCGTGTTAGAAAGACAGTAGTTGCGCTGTGGTCGGACGTAGAGCATACAAACTGGCCTTGAATAAAAGCTGGACAGACTCCCCTGAGATCTAGAACCTGCAAGCGTGGCAGCTCGAAATCATACATGTGATTTGGGGATGCGCCTTCGGTAACATTGTATACCCTGAACTCCTCGAGCGTTTGTCGATGCTTAAGGATTTTCAACATCACGTCGCCGTTCATCTCGATGTCTGCATGTATGGTGAGGCTCTTTAAAGACCTTGCCGGTATAACTATTTCGAGTATACTTTTCGCCTCAAGAGAACTGAGGACAAATTCTAACTTCTCAAGTGTTGGGCAACTTGTTGTCAATGACCTCAGTATGCTACGATGACTGAGATTGGCTATCCTCGCGTAAGTGATCTTGTTTTGCGCCATTCGCATACATGTATTTATGAAGGACGGCTTCACCACACGCCTTGTACCCACTCGAAGGAGGTCCATCGAGGTCCAAAGACTAGGAAAGGACGCAAGAAATAAGTTCCACTGTTTGGACACGCGTAGACAGGAGACACGTTCGTAGAAGCGCAGATATGACATGATTATTTCGATAATCTCCGGAGGTAGCTGTGTGAATGGATCCACAGCTTTTGGTGGACGAAGCTCACGGTTGAGTTTGTCATGCGCACCTCTGAGCAGCTGTACTCAGTAAGTTTGGAGGATCATTGCGTTAGGGAATGAAAAATTTACGTTAAGCTGTGGATTTGATAAGGGAACGAAGCGGAGACCACGGGCGTATATCTGTAGCGCTTGCTCCTTTTTGCCCATCTTCAGCAAAAGCTGACCAGCGCGCAAATAGCCCTTTGATAATTAGCATCTGATTTATCCCACTATTCTCTATGCAAATATTGGAGTCGAATGCAGGAGAAGAGCAATAAATCATTCTGTACGACCGTTTGATAATTGCACGGTATTTCGCGATTCATGTCATGGAGGTCTCTCGCTCACCCTTGGATCATTCTCAAACGTTTTGATCATATACCGAGCATCTGAAAGAGCAGCAATCACATTCTCAAGTTTGTCATAAACCGCAGCACGGTAATCGTAAAGCTGTACGTCTCTTCCCACGGACGCGTTGATACCATCAGTGAACGCGCCTAAAGCCCGGTCAAAGTCTTTACGGATATAATACGTTTTTCCAAGCTCTTTATACTCTTCGACAGATAAGGTCCGCGGCATTGGAGTTCTGAGAAATATAAAAAAAAATTAACAAATTTCGTTAATCATGAAGTGTAGCAATCGGCAACAAAGATCAAGCCTCAGATATGGTGGGACGCGCGCTTCGCTTAGACTTGCCGCGTTTGACGACCTCCACCAAAAACAGCGCGTCCGAAACTAAGAGGTGAGCGCAAACGCCATCGCAATTGCAAATAACAAAAGCTTGAAAAGAAGTCCATGTACAATGACAAGTGTGGACGAGCTTTTCAAGAAATCAGGCGCTTCTTCATCGACGAAACGCAAGCTCGAAGTGTCTCACGATCCGAGTCAATACTACAAATCTGCCAAACATAGCGCAAACGGTGATGCGACCAGCAGTCGTGGTCACGAAGCTACGGTAGAAGATGGTGAAGAGGATGATGATGTAGAAGCCGGTCCTTCGTTACCTCCTGAAGGGGATGATGGTGGGGATTATGGGCCTGTGGAAGAAGATGACGAAGAGGGTCGGTTTTTTGGCGGCGGCGTCGACTCATCTGCCGCGGCAGCGCTCGACTACCTTGACGAAAGGGAGAAGGAGGACAAGTTTGTCGAAGAAGTATACGACGTAAAGTGGATACGACAACTGGGTATCAAGCTTGAGCGCACCATAAACAAGAACCAAGAGCTGCGGTCCAAGTTCGAGAACGACCCAGCTAAATTCATGGCTTCCGAGGCAGACCTAGACGATCAAATCAAGGGGCTAAGTATTCTGTCTGAGCATCCAGAGCTATACGCTGAGTTTGCGGAGCAAGGCTGCGTGGCGAGTTTGGTGGGATTGCTGTCGCATGAGAATGCAGACATTGCCATCGACGCTATTGAGGCCATATCTGAGCTCATAGACGAGGACGTTCAAGCAACAGAGGAGCAATGGAACGCATTTGTAGAGGCAGCGCTAGAGGCCGATTTACTCGATTTACTCTCCTCGAACTTCAGTCGGCTTGATGAAGGCCAGGAGGCGGATCGCACTGGCATCTACAACGCACTCAGCATACTGGAGTCCTTGGCAAGCAATGTTACAACAGCAGAGAAGGTGGGAAAGGAGACTCAAATAACGAGCTGGCTGCTTCAGCGGATACAAAGAGCGGAGGCGCGCATCGGACAGAATAAATTATATGCTGCCGAAGTGCTCTCTATACTTCTTCAATCTTCCCCGGCCAATTGCATCAAACTCATAGAAGCAGATGCAGTGAATACTATTCTGGAACTACTCGCACCGTACAGGCGACGCGACCCCGACAATGATACTGAAGAGGAGGAATTTATCGAGAATCTCTTTGATGCGTTGATCTGTCTCGTTGACACTGCAGAAGGCAAGGCTAAATTCATCGCTGCTGAGGGCGTGGAGTTGATCCTGATCATGCTGCGGGAAGGCAAAATGACGAAGTCACGCGCTCTTCGCGTCCTTGATCATGTAACAGGTGGTGCGAGCGGAGGAGAGGTATGCGTGAGGCTGGTCGAAAAACAGGGGCTGAAAACATTATTTGGCATGTTCATGAAGAATCCCGACAATGCAACTACAGAGCATCTGCTCGGTATCTTTGCGTCCATGCTTCGCACCCTCCCGGGTGACTCAGCAGAACGAATTCGCCTGCTCGCTAAGTTCATGGAGAAAGACTACGAAAAGATCAGCAAACTTGTCAACATTCGACGCCGCTATTCCGAAAAGCTGCGCAGAGTCGAAGAGCATATTAAGAAGGAACAGGAGGCATTGCCTAAAGAGGATCAAGAATACATGGTTGGCGAGTGGTTCTCTAGGCGTCTGGATGCTGGTCTATTTATAATGCAAACGGTGGATACGATCCTGGCATGGCTCATCGCTGAGGATGGCGGAGCGAAAAAGCGCATAATCCAGCTGCTGAAGGAAGCAGATGGATCATTAACAGACGTCAAGAATACTTTGCAAGACCAGATTGACGGTGTAACGGACGAGGGGGAGGAGGCTCAGGCATTTAAAGAAATGCTCAGCACATTGGTGGAATTTGTACAGGAATAGGACTCTCAGAGCACGTAGATGCAATTCGTTATCTCAAGCATATCTGTTACCAGCTTTTGCTTCTGAATCGATGATTATCCCGCGGTGCATTTGGCAACTGATGAACCTCATCAGTATACGAGTTGTGAACAGAAGAAAGCGTCAGACTAGCTTAAGTTATCACGTGATGGTTACATAAGCGCTCGTCAAAGCGAACAAGCTCCGGTCCGAAAACTTCCTCGCAACACCTTCAACCCACGCCCAGCCATTGATCCAATCCAAACCAACCACTCCACCACCGCCATCCTCATCACCCACACATCTCGGAGCTGGCATCGCAAATGTCCGTTCCAGTATCGCGCGTCCTTGCCCGGCGCCAATGGCAGCAGCTGGCCGCCCGACGATACGCCTCCTCGACTTCGACGGCAGCCAGCACGGCGGCAAAGGAGACGGCATCTAAGGCGAAGGAGGGTCTGTCGAGAGTGACAAGCTCGGCAGGGAGCGTGCTCAACAAAGCAGGCTCCGCTTTGGGAAGCATTGGTGGGAGGACCGGCAGATTGATTGGCTTTGTGAGCTGTATGTGATATTTACTGGAAGCTGTGGTGCCATTGGTACTGGTTGCTCGCTTGAAATAAACGGGAGCGGTGGCGCCATCGGATCATCGCGCAATGCGGAATAGATACTGATGAATTTGACAGCGTTGATCCCGCCTACCATCTACTATTCCAAAGTCGCGCTTGAACTCGCCAAGATTGTGGCTCGGGAACAAAAAATTGCAGTTCCGTATGCTATAATCCCATCATCACTATCTTCTAAACCGTATGCGCTGACATGGATAACCAGATCCTCTGAGGCTTTTGTACAAGCGTATAAATCGGCATGGAACTCGATACGATCTGGTGGCATCAGCAAATCCCTCAGCTCCGTCCGCAGCATGGGCACTGCCCAGATGGTCGGTGCCGGTATCCTCGGAGCAGAGCTGATCGGCTTCTTCTCCGTCGGTGAAATCATCGGACGTCTCAAGCTTGTCGGATACAGGGGCGGGAAGGACCATGACGAGCACTAGTCGGTTATGAGTGCCTGGAAGGTCGCGTTATTTGGCGTGGTTGAAGAGCCGTTTAGAGCGAAGACAATGACAGCAACGACTGCAGCTGACGAGTCCCAGATGCAGTTCGAATCAGCTGGGTAATCTCCTTTTCTTTGTTTCCCAGAAACCTGCACATAAGAACCCAAGTATTCGTCATTAGAGAAAGGCTTTTCTTTTGCCCAAACGATTGTACTGTGTTTCGCGAGGGGGAGACAAAAAGGACCTGTACAACAGTAAAATGGCATTTTGCACTCGATTTGTAGAGATGGTATGAACTCTCAGTCGCAATTCCTCGTCTCCGTCTTTAATTTCAACGTCTCTCTATTCCTTACATCGCCAGTGCGACTGGATTTCTTAAGGCCTGGGAACGACTCTCCTTGAGATCGCCTTATCCAGGGTCATCATCGCTCCCGTTTGCAAAGCAACACGGAGACGCTAATTTGCCAACTCACGAACTTTATCCTCAATCTTTCGTCTCCTCAGGACGAGCGCTTTCTTCTGCCATCGGAGCTGGAGATCTGCGCAGCAATCATACCACGCCTGTGGTTTGTTCCGCTCGACATTCCGTAGTCTTCATTTGAGCTCAGCAGACTTCTACGTACATGTTGCTCAAGCTTTCCCCATAACATGCTTTTGTTGGTGCAAAACTACAACGTAAGATCTGCGGGACTCGACAAAGACCGATTGAATTTTCCATTCTGACGAATGGAAAATTCACAGTGGCTGAGTATAGCGTGTAGAAGCGCTGAGGCAACGGCATCAAAGATGAACGCAATATTCGATTGGCTTAACACTATGGTTAACATTAACAATCTCGTAGAAGACAATATGAAAAAGAGTAAGGATCACAGCTCGGGTATATCATAATTCAGGAGGCTCAGAGGGTTTGTGTGAAGATCGAAAATTTAACAATCCATTTGCTTTTTCATGTTCCCTTGTGCAACCTTCCGCCCTTGTTTACTATGCCCTGTATCCTGTCGGGTTTTGCGAGCTCACCGCCACTGTGGTGCCGCAGTCTTCTCAGGTGGATACCCACCTTTCACTCGGCTTCCTGCGATGTTCTCACCAATCGAGCTGGTGCTGCCGGCCGTATAAGACGGTGGTGCTGCGTTACCGAACCCAACGACAGAGGGTGCACCACTGTCCGGTCCAAAATTGCCGTTGTTGCCGACGACTCCCTTTGCGTCCCCTTTGTGCATGTCGTTGACTGGAATCTCTCCGCCGTCACCGCCACCAACAACGATATCTGCCGTCTGGCCTCCTTTGGTCTTGACCTTTCCGACAATCATGCCCTTGGCCACCGACTTGATGATCGCGCGACGGGACACACCTGTAACGTCCTAAGAATCAAACGTCAGCATCAACTGTGATACTGGAGGAGGGGGTGTTGGGAGGACTCACGATATATACCAATCCAACGTTCTTTATGCCGCCGGCCAACTCAGCCGCCAATTGCCCAGCTTCAGGGCCCCATTTGTGTCCAACAACGGTGCTCGCCGCGGCACCACCACTTGTAAGCAGGTGCTTGCCACTCGTCGCTATGCCATCCATGACCGTGGAGAACGCAATCATGCTCTTGTTCAGCACGCCTGGCTTGGGCTCCTTGCCATTCTTCCTTCGCTCAGAATCTTTTCCGACCATTTTCGCGCTCATATTCTGCGCGTAATCTGTGACCTTGCCTACGGTCTTTGCGCTGAGCCCGGCGATGCTTGTCGTAGCCGAGCTGATCTTGCGCACGCGCGCGTGAGTGGTCTCGGTGAAGGTTATCGGTTTAGTGGCGGGCTTTGTGCGTGCAGTGAAGCCTTCCGCGCCGGAGGTCATGAGATTGGATAGGTACGAGGAGCCTGTGACTATGAGGCGGGATGCGGCGGCGGCGTTTTGCACAATGGACGAGTTCTTATAGGCGGGGTGGTTTGCCAAGCGCAGATATTCCTCTGAGATGGGGGCGACGACAATCTTCTTGCCGTCAGGCGAAATCTGAATCTCAACTGGGTCTACGATTGTCTTTAGTCAGTTTCAAGAGCGTGTCCATTGGACTACAGTGGGCATGATTCTGTACCTTTCTTGCCAGGTTGGACTTTTGAGTCGTCGATGTATTGCGGCTCTTGACTCATCTCGCCCATAACACTGCCATTCTCCTCGTCGATAAGCACAATGTGGCCATGGGATGACGATCCAGTGCCGTGAGCATATCCTTCTCCTGGCTTGTAGTCTGCGGGGTTGTAACTCTTTGTCGGGGTATCATAACCGCTCTTTTCCGAAGGATATGCACCCTCGGCAGACGGCGGCTGTGCCCTCTCCAAGAAGGCGGTACACTGCGCAAGTATCGTCTCGAATGTGTCTACATCCTCCTGGGTACAACGACCGGGTCCCGTTCCGATGGGCGGGAATTCAATTCTCGTAAATGCGCCACTATCGGGTCCCAAGTCCCATCTCGGAATGAGGTACGAGCGCGGCGGCTGGTGATAAATCTGAGTCGTCGCTGGAAGGGGCAGATCGAGCTCGGGAGGTAGATTCAGGTGCAAGTAGAAGTCTTCTTCAGGAGCAGCAGTATCGGTGCCCTGCGTGGAGCTCAGGTCGGCGAAAGGCGAGTTGGTTGGCACCATGAGGAGGGACAGTGTTTGAGGGCCGGAGGGAGTGAGGGGCTGCTCTTCGCCATTTTGCAGGAAATAGGCATGAATGCCGGAGATGCTGTAAAGGAGACGAGGATCGTGACGTCCAGACATTGTCGACGCACCAACTACTCGTCTGTGGTTCGTTCTGCTCAGCGCGGTGGAAGGTTCAGCCTGCGGGAGAGTATAGGTGAACGCAACGAGAGCACGACAGGGTAGAAAGCGGATCTCAAAGCGTCAGAGAGTCAGCCAAGCATGGCGAGTTTTATATCTAACCGCCGCCTGGATCTCCCCTAAACATCGGCCGTCTTGGCCTTCGACGTGCCACACTGCAACACACCCAGCGCTAAGCGTTTACCCTCGCCAATGCCGTGACGTATATCGCTTCAACTCAGCCACAGGTGATCCGCTGTCGTTCACACGTTAAACGTGCCACAATCAGTTAGCCTGAGGCTAGTGCAGCACAATGTTTCCATATCAGGTTAGACCATTGCGGCATGGTGTCACTGCACCGCCACCTGCTGATCTCCGCGCTTAGTCGCTGGTCTCGATTTCTGCCGTGCCAAAACGACACCACCTATCGTCGACAGACTGTTCGACGGCAATGCTTTGAGACGGCAGTGCCTTCGTCGGTAGCCGGTTCTTTGATGCGATCGCATATGCAAGTTCTCGATTCTTGGATCAAATGCGTGCCTACAGGTACTTCCCAAAATGCCGCAGGAACCCCTCTCAGATGAACATAGTGCGCTTTCAATGAAAGATCTTGTCCAAAATGAGCTGTCATTCATATTTTGTGAGTTTCGCAGTGACTTTATTTCTCTGGACACTAGAAAGTCTCATCTAAGGCTGTGCCTTTGCTCCATTTTGTATTCCGAACAAGTCAAGTTGCTATACTCCCGACGTAGCCATCTTGTGGTTCATGCATTTCCCGCGTGGTCTCGGTCGGTTTGTTGGATCTGCAAGATATTTAAGGGGAGAGGAAGCGGCCATCCAAACGGTCGGGCAGGTAAGCCTGCCATGGTTTCAGACACCCACCTTGTCGCCAGCCGCTTAAACTCACTGGCTCAATATCCTGCCAGGCAATGTAACCTTGATATTTCATGTCGCATTTATGATGACAATAGATGATATTAGGAAGATTCCATGTGGCCGGTGTAAATGGCTTTCCTGGGGGAATTTCCTCGGCCTCACTACCTGTGACACAATCGGAGAGCAAGGCGTGCGTCGATATGGCGGCTAATACATTTATGGAAACACACTCATTTAGGGGATAAATTTGAATAAGAGATATTTACTTGGTGGAAGACCGTGGACAAAGCGGGTAACTAAGGTCCTCATTGGAACATTTCCTGCAGTTGAAACAGTTTTTTCTCAGAACCTCTTATTTTTCCCTCTTTTTCCACTACTCTCCCATAAGCCGGAACATTACATTCACCCTTAGAAAGAGAAGGTAGGATCCACTCCAGGCCGGCAATCGAACAATTGCCCTAGCTTATTCCTGAGCCAGCATCTTTCGCCACGACACCACCCATCATTGCCGATTCGTTCGAAGTACGTGACCATGGACGTGCGAGGCAGCACAGTAGACAAAATCTGGCATAACTTAAACATAGTGTACCCGGGCTCGCTAATGGCCGATACCATGGCGGCAAATAAACGTGACTTGTCGGTGAATTTGCAGTCACCCTGCCCGTCCAAAGCTTCCGTCATGAAGGTTGCATAAGCTCTACGGTAACGCTGAAAGTCTTCGATAGTTTCCTTTATGTCACCATTCCACGTAGAGTCGTGCGAGTTATATTCGCGACTAAGCCAAAGAGGAGTAGCTGCCCAGCCAAGGTATCGTGGAACTGTGCATGCTTTGTCCCAATCCAGGAAGCCCGTAACATTATTCTCGTCGTCGATGAGAATATTTTGCCAGTCAAAGACAGGTGGCGCTAGGACAAATGTTTCGTGCTCGAATTCCTCATTCTTCTCTCCACTTGTGTTGCTGTACTTCTCATCCTTGTCATCTTCATCAGCCGTTACGCTTGCTTCAACAAGACTCTCGGCACTCTCTTCGTACATGCTCTGAAGATATTCGTAATCATCATGTAAGAATTGAGGCCCCTCATTTTGTTGCAGGTATTCGTCAGCTTCAACTTCTTCGCTTCCGAAGAGAATTGTTGACTTATGAAATGGTAAACAGTCCAGGAGAACTTGGAGAACCTCATGCTGACCTTGAACAATTGGTGAGACTTGCTGTCCGTATTTGCGGCATGGATGTTCTTTCCACCACCTCGATAAGCACTCCTGATAGTGAGAGTATGAATCCCTATATGGTGGTAGTAATTCCACCCGATGCTGGAATGAGCCAGTGCACTCGTGCGCCACATACAACGGTCCTATCTTTGGCTCGCAGTCATCTGATTCTTCAAAGTAAAGACACCCACCAGCATCGAAGGACAATGCAGACAGCTTGGTCATGGCATACGCAATCGATTTGAGGATAGCCATTCGCTGAGCCTCGCGGTCAGGAGATTCGGAAATTTCATGCCACACTCTGCATACCGGGCGTCCTTCTAAGAAAGTAGTCAACATGTATGGGTGACCCAGCATATTATCACAAGTCCCGCTGTACAATAGAACCTCTGGAATGGGAAGCCCTGTTTTGCGCCGGACGTAATTCATCGTGCAAGCCTGCGAGCGGAGGGCTGTTGCGTCGACGTCAAGCCAGTGACCTTTGATTCCCCGTGCCGGTACACGTACGATGTACTTAGCGCCATCAACAAACTGCACAACGTGCACCTGATTGTGAGAACCTTCGTGAATATTGACAATCTCGCACATGTTTCCGTGCTGATTGCCCAGATGTGAGATCGCCAACTCCTTCAACTTGTCGTGAGGAATCTGGAGCCTTTCACCGAGCCGCCGAGCTTCAACGCCTTCGGAGGTCCTCATGTTTAGATCATGGCTTTCGTCATCTGGTAATACAATTGCCGTAGGTCTAGTGCTGTTTACATTGTTGTGATAGACGTCGTCGTCAATAAAATCTTCGATGATCCCGAGAGACTGTATTAACGTGTCGCACAATCGCGAGATAGAGCGCAAAAGGTGTTCTGCTGGAACGTGGTCCATGACCCCTGGAAAGCAACTTGGCTCTAAACGATGAACTCTAGCAGTCTAGTAGAAAAAAATGTATCAATATTTAAAGGCTGATATTCTTTGTTTTTGGCACTCAGCGAAGATCTTCCATGCTTCGCTAGTCACATCTTTTGACTATTCCAAGTTCTTTCAACTGTCTTTGAAAGAGGCGTTGCAACAGGTCCAAAAGGGTTTTTACAATCTTTTCGTTTTCTTTCTCAGTTAAAGTAATAAGCGTCTGCATGTGAATCGAAACGCAAACTCTATTCGTTGCAATCGTTGTCATGTACCAGTACAAGTAATCTATTCGCTTTATCGCCTAACATGATGAACAGAGGTCCCATGACTGGATTTGAAACTAAAGACATCCTGTGGAGGCAATCAAATCGATGGTGTTGCAGGATAATCTCACAAACATATCCAAGTTAAAGAAAGAAGACAGAAGAAGGGAGCATGCATACTGTGAGTACACAGCAGGGGTTTTCCCCGATAAATTCGTCTATATTGTCCAATATTGTAATATCTTTAGGGAAATGAATGGGCACTAGACTCAAAAACCTCAACTGGTGTAAGAACAGCATAGGTACTTTACAGAATTTTGGACATGAATGCAAAATCCTATGTATTTGGGGACAATGGCAACCACTGCGCATTATATCTTTGACAATGTGGAATTCGATAAGCTCATTTCCTCCATTTAAAGCTGAAAACAACCTTGTAAGGAGACCATGGTAATTCAATCAGAGAAGAATGAACTGGCGCGAAAATTATTGTAATGACTCTCACATCTCTTTAGATGTGGGAGCTACTGAAACTTTTTTTATTTTTTCGAAAAAAATGTAGGAAGATGGTTTCATACACAGTGGTTTCGAGACCATCTCGTACATTGCCATAAATGATCCATGCACGTGGCTCTTAGTGCTTACCATTTAGAAACAGGCTGCCTAATTGTTTACATCAGCATAACTGATTTTCGACAATTCCTTCGTTCTCCTGAATATATCTTCTCTATGCCTATGTCGTTTTGCCTCGCCCGATTCTTGGACGAATAGTCCTGCACCAAGCCTTACTCCATCTTATTCTATCTGAGAGCATGAACGCTGTATCACGCTTAGTTCAGAAAAGAACACGGGAAAGCACATCAAAAGTACGGACTGGTTGTAGCACATGCAAGGCCCGTCACATTAAATGTGATGAGGAAAAACCAGTCTGTCGCCGATGCACTGTTGGTGGACGGCGATGCCAATACAACGCCGTTCGACGGTCGCAGCCAGCTCGGAATGTAGTCACGATCTATCTCCCACCAACTCAGAGCCAGCCAACGTTCTTTATGAGCTCCGATGGGCTTGAATTTTTCCACAAGAATCTCGCTGTCAAGTTCGATGGACAATTTGACTCTGAATTCTGGAGCAAACTTGTAATGCAGCTGTCGCACTCAGAACCATCGATACGACACGCCGTGTCCGCAATCAGTTTGATTCATCGAGATGTTGAATCTTCTATGAGGAGCCCGTCAGGCTATGTTAACGCAGATCCCAAAATCCAAAGAGAGTGGCGTGCGGCGACACAATACCTGGCAGCCCGAATTTCATCACGCCCTGACTCGAACCTAGTGCCACTTGTCTGCTGTCTCTTATTTACCTGTATGGAATTCCTCAAAGGAAACGTCAATTTGGCTCTGCTGCACATCAAAAGTGGCTTTAGGATCCTAGAAAACATTCGCGAAGCCAACGAATCCATACAAGTAACGCAAGGAAGGCCTTCTCGAACTGAAGAAGACGACATTCAAAAGCATGTCATACCAATGTTCTCGAGACTCAACTCTCTGTGTACGCTTTTTGGCCTGGTAACCCCACCTATGTACTCTCTAGAAAGCAAAGACGAAATTCCTCACAGAGATATTAGAGATTCGAGAGAGCATCTGTTCGAAATCTTGGACCCTGCTATTCGATTTGTCCGTTTAATTGCCCAGAAGGCAGCAATGCTTGAAGTTCAAATGGATGACTGCGTGGAGCAAATTAAGCTGCAAAAAAGGTTAGACAGGTGGCGTAACCAGCTGGATGATCTACAATTTAGAATGAAGGAAGCAGGCCAGCCCATCAAAGAGTGTGCGGTCAATGTGCTTCTCGTTCAGTATAAAGTTATATATATTTGGCTCAGAGTCTGCATTACAATCGAAGAATCAGCTACGGATGCATACATTGCGGAATTCGAAGAAATTGTGCATCTCGCAAGCGAGATTGCCTCATATGGCATGGAGGAGCAAGGTCCGCAAGCGCTGTCCTTTGATATGCAGCTCATTGGTCCTCTATACTATGTGGCTGTCAAATGCAGACATTCGGGACTGAGAAGAAAGGCGCTAGAACTGTTGCGACTGGCGCCTCGGAGAGAGGGACTTTGGAATGCTCATCATGCCTACGTAACGGCGAGGCGAATAATTGAGCTTGAGGAAGCTCAGCTGGATACAAAAGGGCTGCCATACGAATCCGTGCGCCTATATGGTGTCCATCTGCCGGCTGAAAACTCGAGAATATATGATGTCGGAGAGCTTCCAGCAGACTTCAGAACATTTGATATCGACATCGTGCCCAGCCCCGCATGTCCTGGTGCCATTCAGGTTGAATTTCGAACAAAGCCATGGGGTCCCTTGGGACAATGGCATACATTCAAGGAGAGTCTCAACCTCTAAAAGTAACGATTATCTGCTCTGTGTTTTCCTGGACGCTGGGCAAGCTAAAATCCGCTCAGCAATCACTCGTCACTGCGAGGATTGCATTGAGCAAAGCCGCTGTCTATGTGGATGTCCATGAGTATACTTTCCCGATGGCTTTTGGAAGCACGATAAAGAGAACAATCATGTCTATTCTCTAGAGATTTATTTGAAATCTTGTGTCAATTCTTTTTCCTTTAGACATAAGGACCAAAGAAGCTTTGCCGCCGGGCCTTCCATAACAAGGGATGAGGAGACCTTGCCCTCTTATCACATTTTCCTTTGGTCACAAGGCAGTCAATCGCGATCAACCGACAAAAGGTATTCAAATTGATTACATAGCAAAGAAGATTCTAGGCTTATTGGTATACGAATTATCTAGTACCGCTTTACTAGATCAGAAACGCTAAGAACAAATCGTTCAGTATTTATGTTATGAGTATGATGAGAGAGACTTTATGCACATTATCATGAGAAACTATTTGTGTTGATGGAACCGATGCTGTTAGACATGTCTTTTCAGTCTACCCCATTCACTTCTGGCTTAGCATTTCCGTTTCATCCACGCTGGGAGTAGAACCTGCAGATTTTGGGCGTCCCCTCAAAGACCATACCGCGTCAGTCCACTTTCCATCGAAGGAAATTCCAGGATGGAAGATCGTTAGGACGCCCACGGCTATGATGATCATTGGACCTTCGAAAACCATGAACAATGGTTCGTCGTTGGCAATTGAGCCGCTGAAACCTTGTTGCAATTCAGCAACACGATATACGGAGCGCATGAAAATGAGTACAACTGCCAGCCACAAGGCGCATTGAAACCAGAGGAATCTCTTAGATGCCCTCAAATCGATGAACCGCATGTCCTTGTGATGGTTGTCGGTCTTACTCAGCCGGAAAATGAATTCAAGCCACAACCCCATGAAAACTAGGAGAGAAAACACCTGGAAGACAAGACCGGCAAGCATAATGTTTCGGCCCGCATTACTACCGGCTACGCCATTTGCTGTTGCGGCAATGCCACCACCGGTACCCTGGAGGACAAGCGAGAAGAAATCGCAAGACATGAAGACAATGCTGTACGTTCGCGGGCTGAAGCGAGAAATGTGTTGACCGTAGACGATGACGATGCGAGAGAGACAAAGGTAGATGGAGCCAGCTAAGAATGCGGGACCGATCGTCAGGGGCACCAGATAGCTGTCCCAATGGTTTAGATTTGGCTGCAGGAGTTCACGATGGATTCGAGCCTTACATGATGAAGTTGTTGAAGTCGAACGGATTGTTGTGTAGCATTATTCTGCCCGCGTATCCGACAACTTCGAGAACTAGGCCACATATCATGCCGACCATGAATCCCCAAGTTTTGAATCGGATTCCCAGCCCGGTCTGTACAATAAGGAGCAAGCCCAAAACCGCAGCATAGACAGCATTTCCAGGAATGGTAGGCAAATACTGTATATGGGCACAGGTCATAGGACATGTCGATATGGTGCAATTGGTCGTGTCAAGAAGAGGGCAATCTCGAGGCATTCTGAATCTTGTAGCGGATTAAGAAAGGCGAGAAGAAATGGAAGGAATTGAATGAATTGAAATTGTGCAAAGCTCAGCAGCAGATGCAGTTGTCTGATATGATACAAGAAGCACAGAATCCGTACTTATATATCAGTTCGGTATCGGGTTCTTCAAATTTGATGAACATCTTGGCCCGTAAGGAGCTGTTGTCGTAATTCGCAGCCACGCACGGCAGAACAGGGCAGGACAGATACGGACGGGGCTGACACCGAAAAGCCGTGTGTTCTGCATAGAGATATGGTATGTAAAAGCCGGGACCTGTGGGGTCTGGTAGGCCAACAAGGCTGCAGTGTTCTGAAATTCCTTTCTCAACGCAGTAGTAAGCAGCGCAGGGCCAGCGAAACAACAACGGCCTTCAGGTGGCTTATCAAATGATCGACGACCTCGTTCAAATCTAACCGTGCTCAGTTTGGCCCCCGCTGCGGACAGTTGATGATTGGTGCGCATTGCTACCTCGTAGCTGTCTAACCAGAAGCAGGAGTGGAACCAAAACCCACCTGGCGAGGCGAAGCAAAACGGACCGTCCACTGCTAGCAATTGCCCGTTCCCGATGCTTGATGCTATTTGCGAACCTGATACCTTCAATCGAACGCCACGCAGACGTGGTTACAAGCTTTGCCCGAGCTTGCTGCCGCGTGCTGGATCCTTCAGCACGGCCAGGGTCTAGCTCTGGAGTTTAGTTCCGCCGTGCCCGACCAAGACACCACATATCGCCTAACGATTCCCAAAGGCACAGCTGTTCGACGAATACGAGATGACGCGGCCACATCTTGACAGGTCTTTGGCGTGTTCATACTCACTCCGTGGCTCAATGCTCAGATGGGATTCCTGTACGGTCTTGGATGAACCGTGCTGCCGTTGGCACTCACACATGTGGCTTAATCTCCAGATTCTCAGAGCCCGGATACATTAGACAGGGATGAGGGTGCAGAGAGCATCATCCTTAGCGATGTAGGAAAACACGAGGAACCACGCAATGGATCCGACGATAATTGATGCAGGATTTGAGACCGCGATTTCAAGTGCATTATTCTAGCCGATCTAGCCGTGTCATAAGCCCATCAGTGACATCTATTGGTACTTATTCTGCTGCCTAAAAAGGGGGCTTTTTCCATCCAAAATTCCACGACGACTTTTTCCTCTCATAGCCAGAGCGTTTGCTGTATACCGGAGATGGACAGAGTTACGTTGTGGGGCCATCAACGGTCCTCTTGTTTTTCAGCAGCTTGGCGATTAGTTGAGCTAGTCGGTAGATCACCACGAGATTCAATCTATCTATCCGAAATGGATTCTCAACAACAGTTCAGAAGCGTAGTCGAAAGCCTTGCTCGAGGGAGCTTTTCCATTAATGTCTATCCGAATATTCAAGCGGCTCTAAAAAACCCTCTCAGCTTCTCCTGAATACTACACTTCTTCCCCCCCTATCTCCAGCTTCTCATTCGATTCCACCACTAGATTATGAGCGTTTAGCGGTGAAACATTTCCAACATGGATTATTTCAGTTGTAATACGAGGGCAGTAACGAGAGCTTCAATGTCCCCCCAGCGGTAATTTGAACAAGCACTCGAGCCCTCATACTGTGTTTACAACCACAAGTCGGCCGATTCCAGTCCTAGGTGTCCGCTCTATGCTTCCCCTCTCTCATAGCTCCGTCTACAAGATGTACAGAAGACGCTGCCTGTACAGGTGAGGAGACACGTGGTGGTTCGAATTCATGACGTCTTCGACTTCGCTACACTTGAATTTCTAAGATATGAATACGTATTATCGTCTACAATAGACAGTGGTTCATGCCTGGAGCCCTTGTCCGAAACTGACCATTCTTCGCAGACATACTTGATGTCGACGGAGTCCCTAACCGAGGTAAGTATACCTCTAAAAACGATATGTTAAATCGTGTTCTGAAAACTGTAAGGTCATTAGTTGATGTCGAGTTTTTGATTCACGACAAGTTTCTTCTTACAGTAGCCTCAATGAGTTCATGAATACATGAATGGCCTATATTCTGCAGCGAGGCTTGCTATGGGAAGCTACCTTGGGGAGGAGAAATCTATAACAATTTGGCGTCAGATATTGGTGCTATCAATGTTAATTAGGATTTCACTAATGTCTTTCAGTGCGACATTTTCAGTCCTTGTTTTGCCTCATATAGCACTCCTCGAGAACTGTCACAAACTACGACGGCCAACCGAGTTAAGTCTACGGCCGACAAAACATTTTTAGGAGATACAATGTGTATACGCGATTCAGAAAGAACGTCAAACACAATCGAAAACCGGGCCGTCAGATTTACACAAAGAAGCGGAAAGCCTCGCAATTTGCGAAAGGGGCAGAGGTTCGTAGGCTAGCTACGGAATTTCTTAATTCTCCAAGGAAATGAACTCCACCCAATAGATTTTCCCGGACTACGATCAGCGTAGTCTCATGTTGGGCTGCAAGTGTGACTGATCCTTTTGTGAAATGGAACATCCATATCAAGGGATTTTCGATTTGAAAATTCGGGCCAAAGGCATAGTGTTTTCTTTTTGCCTATTTCCCCAATTCACGCATGAGAGCAAATTTGTGAAAACTTTGCAAATTTCCGTACGCATCTGAGTTTTGCGCGAAACAATTCTACTGTGGTTAATGATCGAGATGATATGGACATATCCAATTCATTCGACCATTTAGATAGGTTGATATCATGGCCAGGTTACAAGTCAAGGATGTTCAACAAGAGATGCCTCACAGCTTCTTACCCAGAATTTTCAAATACAGCGGGATTGGCATGCGTTGCAGAATGACTAGCATGATTGACACGAAGATTGAATCTCCAGACCGGATAGATCGCAGAGTCTCGGGCGTTATGAAATATCGCCGCCCGCGTTCTTTGTGATCAGATGTAGACAATGGGAGGTCTGCTGTTACTGGTGGCTATATGGCTTTAATCTTCAGCCTAGTTTTGCGTCACTGAATGCGTATGTGAAGGATCACCTCGCGAAACACAATACATGGCGCGAAAGCGGTTGCATTTCTCACCATCGAGACTATCGCATAAAGATGAAGAAATCAAGTACTATGAAGGTGATGATGCGTATGTTGTATGCAGATTTGACGCACAGACCGGTTCCGTGCGGCGAGTTCCCAATGCGGAGCGGAGACTGTGGAAGTGAGCGAGGGCGACACGAACATGTGGCTTGTATGACGGACGCCCGTCTTAGATATTCCTCAGCACCACCACTCTTTCTCTGTCGGCACACTGAACCATGATTCTGAGATTATCGTCATTGTCACACAGGCCTTGAAGCCTTTACGGATATCAATTCGACATAATTTAGTTGCAGCATGGCGTCGTTACGCAAGCTGCTTCTGCTTCCGCTCCTACTACGTATGATCCCTTGTGTAGTCCGTTTAGATTTGACAAATGCTAACAGATTTGCCTTGCAGTATCATGTGTGGTACATGCTGAGCTCCCAGCTCCGCAAGATGACGTGCAAGAAGCTACCGAGATCTTACGAAGCATCGTGCCGTCACCTCGAAGCCAGGTCACAACGAAGCAGACAGGCATCACATATTACGCGAAAGAGCTCTTCTCACAGCTCTTTCTCCTCCGGCCTCCTACAACTTCTGCATCACCAGATGATGCTCGAACTCAAAACGAGCCCCTCAATCACGCGCTACAACTGTTGGAACGCGCGGCAAAACAGGACAACGCAGATGCACTCCTCCTTCTAGCCGAGCTCAATTTTCATGGCAACTACACTCATCCGCGCAACTTCTCTGCCGCTTTCACGTACTACGAGCGCCTTGCCTCTCTTACGGGCAATGCGTCTGCGCAGCACATGCTTGGCTTCATGTACGCCACAGGCATCGGTGGGGCTGTCGAACCTGACCAGGCGAAAGCGTTGCTTTATTACACCTTTGCTGCCGAAGGCGGGGACATACGTGCCGAGATGGCTGTTGCATACCGACACCATGCCGGGATCTCCACGCCGCGTAACTGCGACGAAGCCGTGCATTACTACAAGTCCGTTGCGGATAAGGCCATTGCATACCTCCGCACGGGACCTCCTGGCAACCATATGGTGATCAAGGATTCATATCGGCTGGCAGATGATCACGGCGGTGTATATGGTGAGGGTGCGTCTGTCTCTAGCGCTGGTGTGAACGCAAAGTATGGGCCGGCCCACTCGGATGCTCACGCAAGCTTTGAGGATGTGCTTGAGTACATGGACTTCATGTCGCGCAAGGGCGACCTCAAGGCAACTTTCACAATTGGTAAACTCCACTACGATGGTTCCAGGGGAATGAAGCGCGATCTGCGATTGGCGAGGCACTATTTCCTCGAAGTCGCGCGTGCAGTCTGGCCGAAGAAAGGCCCGCGCAAACAGGACGTGTCCGCGTCAACAGAGAAGTTGGCTGCCAAGGCTGCTGGCTTCTTGGGACGCATGTTTCTCCGTGGCGAAGGGGTGAAGCAAGACTTCGCGCTTGCACAAGTCTGGTTCACTCGCGGTCTGTCAGCCGGCGACGCGCTTTCTCAGTATTCTATGGGCATCATGTATCTGTACGGGTATGGCGTCCCACAGGACACGTATCGCGCAGCTGAGTATTTCCTCCCCGCCGCAGATCAGGATCTCGCCTCGGCGCAAGTGCGGTTGGGCGTGCTATTTCTAGACCAGGGCGACACGCTTACTGCTCTGCAATACTTCGACCATGCGCAGCGCAATGGTCATGTCGAGGCGTACTACTATCTGGCCGAGCTATCGTATGCGGGCATCGGCCGCGACCAGTCGTGCCCCGTCGCCGCGGCATATTACAAGATCGCCGCGGAGAAAGTGGAGATGATTCTAGCGCCTTTTAGGGAAGCCAACGAAGCCTACGCTGCAGGAGATCTGGAGACGGCACTGGTAGACTACCTCCTCGCGGCAGAGCAGGGCTTTGAAGCTGCACAGCAAAATGTGGCGTGGATCCTTGACCGCGCGCTCCCGCGACGATTCGCGCTGGGAAGCGCTCCCTCATCCTCTTCATCAGCTTCTGCCTTGTCAACTCACTTCGGTGCCGTGAAGCCCTCTCCCTTTTTGGCACTTTTGCACTGGTCTCGCTCCGCTGCGCAGCGCAACATAGACTCGCTACTCAAGACAGGGGACTACTACCTTTACGGTCTTGGAACAAATCCATCACCCGAACATGCTGCTTCGTGTTATCAGGCTGCTGCGGAGACGATGATGTCTGCGCAGGCATACTGGAACCTGGGCTGGATGCACGAAAATGGCGTGGGCATGGGACAGGACTTCCACCTAGCGAAGAGGTTTTACGATCTGGCACTTGAGACGAACAAGGAAGCATATCTGCCCGTTAAACTTGCACTCGGGAAGTTGAGGATACGAAGTGGATGGAACAGATGGTTTGGTGGGGATGGTGGAATACGAAGCATCGAAGATGAAAAGCGTAAGTAGTTTTATTTCTTTCCATGTTTTGACTTTGTTCGGGTATCCATCCACAATATGGATACTAGCACCAAACACGAGTGTTCTTTGGCCGAAGCAAAGCCAGACTAACGAACTTAACAGTTCCTAAGAAGACATGGTCGGAGTGGCTGCACGCTTTCCTAGAGGCGGACGCGGCACTTGCACGTGATTATGACTACGAAGCCACCGATCCGACTGGTCTGCTTGATGATCGGGACGACTGGTACGGATCTGGCGGTCACGCTGGCGGCGACCCCGGCGGTGACTATGATGACTTGGACTTCGAGGATGGGCTCCTAGAGTCACTTCTCATCGTCGGAGCTGCAGCACTGCTGATGATGCTGATAGTCTACAGACGAAGGAGGCAAGAGGAAAGAGAGAGGGCGCAGCTGGGCTTACCACCTAGGGACGGACAACAGCTGGACGGTGATGGAGCGAGGGGGCTGTTCCCTGCACCAGGAGAGCCAGAGTTCGCGGGATGGGTTGCAGGCGGGGTTGGACATTGACATGAAGGAGATGAGAAAGGGAATTTATGTATATATTTGTCAACGACAGGATGGGATGATGTAAATCAAAGCACGTTTGTCACCGAAGATTCGACTGTTTTTGACGATGAAAGTCAGCCGACCGGGACAGTCACGTGCATCTATAGTTGAATGACTGAAGGAGTAGCATAGGAAAGCGGATTTCTGAATCATGATTCGAATTTTTCTCTATCAAATTGCGGACATTTCTTCCAGTCCTCAGCCGGGTGGACGTCGATGAACGCGTGAACTTACAAAGACCGACAAATCAAGGAGTAGGACTGGAAAAATGCCATCTATGAAACAAGCTCCTAACCCAGCAGCCACCAATCTACCGTATTACAAGCTACGATATAATGTCCAGCTTATATAGGCGGCACGTCAAAATCAAGAGTTCATTGGCCTGGGGAGAGCATTGCGACGATCCCTAGCGGGCACATAACATCATCGCCCGCCATGATTGCATCACCCGCCACACGGCTGCCCTTCTCGACATTTGAACCTACTCCCTGAGATCGGAATCATGGCGCTGGCCCCCATCGCCTTCATCGTGGGCATCGCCCTTATCAAGAGCATTACGCTCATGCTGCTCGGCCTGTACCTTCTCCGTACGTGAAAGGAAAAGCCGGTACGAGGACGAAGCGAAGCGTCCGATTCGTCGAGTGGGGGCCCTGTGTTGCTCCTCCACATCCACATAACCCCCGCAGACAAAAAGCACGCAAGACGGATCACGCCAACACGGTTGAGGGAGGGCCCGCCTGCCTCGAGCCTGGAGAACCCGCGTCCACAAAAAGGGATCGAGGAGCGAGAGAAGCAGAACGAAACCAAGGGGACTTTTGTCTTTCTTTTCTTTGCTTTAAAAAGAGACCAAAAAAAAAAAGAGAGGGGAGGAACGAATGAAGAGCTCTTCCCCCCGCGAGCGTTCACAAAGGAACAAGAAAACCGTGTCGGAAAAGGCCTGACCCGGAACGGATCGTTTTCTATTACTCTTCCTACGCACCCTCCTCCGTACCCGTCTTTTCCCACAGCGACCATGGCGTCCTCCTCCTCCTCCTCGTCGTCGTCGTCGTTCACCTCCATACCGATCCTGTCGCTGGCGGCGGCCAGGGAGCCGACGACCAAGGCGCGGTTTCTGGACGAGCTCCGCGCGGCGCTGTTGCACGTCGGCTTTTGCTACCTGAAGGACACCGGGCTGCCCGAGGACCTGATACGGAGCGTGCGCGAGCAGACGCTGGCGTTCTTCGACGAGGACGTGCTGCCGCTTGTTGAAAAGGAGAAGATCGAGATGAAGAATGAGAAGAGCTTCCTCGGCTGGAGCAGGGTGAGTCGTCTTTCACTTCTTTGCTTGCCATCTGCCCGCAATCTTTGCTTTGCGTCTGATTCGCACGAGTGGCCCGGAAGTTCGTACCTTGGCCTGGCTATGATTCCCGCATTTTTTTTTTCAAGAGTGAACGAGACTTTGTGAGGAGAACTCCCTTTTTTGTTTTCTCTCCTCGAGGAAAGAGACTGGATGCTTTTTTCACGAAGGATTGATTACAAGACATAATATGACATTTTTTTTTTCACCAAAGACTAGAGACAATTCTTCAAAGCTATGCGTTACATCAGTGTCGGGCTAAAAAAAAAACATCATGCAGAGGCTTATGCAAAGTAATAAGGAGGAAGAAAAGGTTCATTATGTACAGCATAAATGAGAGGCTCCTGCGAGCCAACGTGTAGGGATATCAAGAGCCAAAAAAAAGACCTCCCAAGCAAACATTAAGCAAACATGAAAAAGAAAACTCCTGCCGATGTCCCGCTCCTCAGCTATGCATTTCGAATGGGGGAGGTTTGGGATAATAATAAAAGACAAAACGAGCGAGAGCGCTAACGATGGGGATGCAATAGTTGAATAACGAAACAACAGCAGGACACAGCGATTACCGTGAACAGCTCGACCTGTCAACGCCTCAGCCGCTGCCGAAGCCCACGGACCCCTTGTATTGGAACTTGAAGGCACCAAACCAATGGCCCTCGCCCGCTCACCTGCCCAACTTCCGCCCGGTTTTCGAGGAGTATATGGCGCGCATGTCGGAGATCAGCATGTTCTTCACTTCGCTAATTGCCGAGGCGCTGGGCATGCCCCCGACGGCGTTCGATCGCTTCTTCGACGAGAACCAGCAGCACAAGCTCAAGATCGTCAAGTACCCGGAAGCCCCTACGGACTCGGACGACCCTGTCGAGCGGCAGGGAGTGGGCCCCCACAAGGACAGTATGTTGACGTCCTATCTGTTGCAGGTCTCCAATCAGCCCGGCCTTCAGGCGCAAAACACGGACGGCGAGTGGATCGATGCGACTCCGATCGAGGGAACGCTCGTCGTCGCGATGGGCCAAGGCCTGGAGGCTCTCACGGCGGGCGTCTGCGCGAGCACCACGCATCGGGTGCTGAGCCCAAAGCGAGGCCAGGGAGCGCGGTACAGCGTGCCGTTTTTCCAGGGCGTGAGCTACGACGCCAAGTTCGAGGAGATGGACGTGCCGGACGACGTGCGAGCGCTCCGAAGAGACGTGCTTGCTCGCAACGGCGGCCGCAAAGACGACGTCGAGTTCACCTTCAGGAAAGGACGATGGGGCCACCTGGGCGAGGCTACGCTGTCGAACCGCGTCAAGAGCCACCCTGACGTGGGAGAAAGATGGGTGCGTTCCGTCGATAGACACTGAGCCACGTTTCAAGATGTACTGACGACTGGTAGTATCCCGAGCTGCTTGCCAAAATTCGTGAGGATCAGGCTGCCGAAGCGCGTCGGAAAGAAGCGAAAGCATCATGACCCCCGCGCTGCACCGTGCATGGAATGCCCCCGAGTTTGGTCCCAAAGGCGTACTGTCTGACGACGGTGTATCTTGAGACATGTCGGTTGGATTGCTTTTTTCTTTTTGCGCAGACGCAGGGACTGGGTGAGGAGGGGGCTGTAGAGAGGAGTCACAGAAAGGTGATGTGTGCCCTAAAGTCTTTAGAAGCCCAATAGAACGTGTCGCGAAATCCAAGAGTTCCGAAAAGCTCGAATAAATTAGTGCGGCCAGTTTCTGGCGAGAATAAGGGGGCCCAAGGGGAGTCCGGACTTTTCCGGGTCACTCTGGGCATTAAAACGTCCACGCTCGGCAGCCAGCAGCTAAAGAAATGAAAAAAAAAAAAAAAAAGACAAAAAGTGCCGTTTCTCGGGTCAAGACGTGTAGCAGCATGCAGATGCGGTACCGAGCTGTGGTCAGGCGAGGAAACTAAGATGCGATTCCATGGAACTGGCATCAGGGTCCCCCCTCCCCCCCTTTTTCGGGCCGATTCGATCGGTGGGCCCCTTCTCGTCTCAAAAATCAACCTCAGATCGCTCTATAATCCATATGGACTCCAGTCAACGGAACGCCGAATTCGCCTTGCTGTTGTGGGAATGAGTTTGCTTGCAAAGAACGGTGCGGAGGGAAGGTGGGTAGGTAGGGAACGGCCATGCACGGCAGTCGACGATCGAACACCGGAGTCAAGCGAGTGACAGGTTCCACAAGGGCGAGCATGTACGTTCGGGAGGAGGGAGGAAGAAGAGAGAATTCAAAAAAAGAAAAGACAAAAACAAGGCAAACGGGATCGTCAGATCCGGTCCGGGTCGGGTTTGCTTCATTGCTCGGCCTTCATGTTTGGCGGCATGCTGTACATGATCTGCTGCTGGGAGTCTAACGACTGGCGGTGCATCATCTGCAAGTGTGGATCGGACTCGTGCGGAGAGTGAGGAATGAAGCCCTGGGCGGCCGGGTACTGCGCGTAGGCGGGTGTCTGCGCGGCTGGAATCTGCTGTCCCGGATGGCGGCCGTGATAGTCGGCAGGACTCGCCGGCTGCGTGTACGCGGGCATCATGGGCGCCTCTGAATGATACGCGACCGGCTGCACGGGCTGGACGGGTCTCCCGCTGGAGTCGATTGCGTAGTTGTAGTTCATGGACTGCTGGATGGTTGGGTCGACCGGGTGCATCGGCCGCTCCGGCTCGTGGATCGGGGCGCTCACCTGGGGCGAATTCTGACCCCACCGCATGGTTCCTGCTACGGGCGACACGTCCGCAATAGACGGTGATCGGTCGATGCTGGATGTTGCTGGGCTGTACGTAGCACCCCACTGCTCTTGAGGACCGACGGATGGCACCGACGGAGTCGGTATCGATCGAGGAACTGGAGTGGCTGAATTGCGTAATTGGGTTGCCAGTTTTATGCGACGTGTTGGTGAATTTGGGCTGCCCGTGAGCATGATATGGTCGCTATTTAGGCCTGCAGGTGGTCTCAAGTCAATCAATGCTGTGGCGGACCTTTTTCTCCGGGTCTGGCGATTTTGCGTGCTTGTACTTTATTTTTTCTTCTTCCTCTTCATCATCATCATCATCACCTTCTTCTTCTTCTTTTTTCTTTCTTTTTTTTTTGAAAAAAAAAGCAAAATTTTTTTATTGCAGGTTGCAAGCATGTGGGTGGTGAGGAGATCAAGATACGTACCATGTTCCGACATTGTGGTAACGGCGTGATTTAAGCGCGATCGAAGCAGAGCGTTTTCCTGCTCGAGCTCCTGATTGCGTTGGATGGTCTGCATCAACTTCGCGTTGGTATCGCTCGAGGCCGTAAGCTCTCGGATCTGGCGTTCCAGATTGTCGATGTGATCCTTTGTTCGCTGGCGGATGGCCCTCTGCGCCTCCCTGTCATTTGCGCGCTTCCGCTCCAGCTGGGCGGCCGTCAGAGTGGTGACGCTGCGGGTTCCGGCGCGCGAGGGCCTCTTCTTGGTGGTCGTGTTGGTGGTTGTCTGTTTTGCTTTTGAATCTGCGGCTAGGCCAAACGGTGGCTGCGCAGAAGCAGCTTTGGACAAAGTTGGGAGCGCCGAGTGCAGCGCAGATTCCGCCATCAGACCGAATGGGTGTCCCGAAAAGCTTGGGTATTGCACAGAAATCATGAGGCAGAAGGTGATGCTTCGTGCAACGTCGAAGCCGTGGGCGCGGGGGATTGAGGGCCTTGGTCAAGGAAGCTCCGGGAAAACCTAGAGCGATGATGGAGGACAAAGCAGCGGCTATTAGAATCTCGGGGGCCTTCAGCCTCAGCAGAGTGGTGGGTCCGCGTGAACGAGCGATATGCTAGGCTTTAAATCGCTTGGTGGCCTTTGGGGTCGTGGTATCGAGGATCTGCACGAGAGGCTGCCGAACACATGTACTCCGCAAGGACAGCAGAGGCCTGACACCCTGCGGCAATCAATGTACTTATTTAAAATCGAGGGCGGGAATTTTTGCTTCGACCTGACGGTGAACGAGCTGCAGATCGACTTCTGGAAGGATGCAGTTAGCCGGGTGGTCTGGGAGAGGCCGTCAGGTGAGATTATTGGCCTTCTCTTTATTTACGGCGCGCATGAAGGCAATACGCCTGGCAGAGCAGCCGCCACTTGGGGAAACGGTTGTCCCTAGCAGCTGTAGCGAAATCTCGTTGGCCCACACACGATGCCGAGCCAAGCACGCCTGTGGGTCGCAGTACCGGACGCTAGACAGAATGCACGAGACGCGGGGATTGGTTTCAGAAAGCAGAGCTCCGTCCACGAAACCAGGCTAGGCACGAGGCGTGCGAGGCTTGACGAGCTTTGACGTCGATAGCATCTCCGACGAATTAATACGACGACTAGGGGCCGGCATCAAGCGAAGGGGTGTCCTGCATGGCAGAATCTTCTGTCATTGTTCCAGAAGAGGCGGCATGACTTCTACTCATGGCTGGCCGCCGCCAATCTCCCTTGGATCATGGCCAGAGCGCTGGTCGGGCCATGGCGCACACCACGACGCAGCATGGTGGGTAGGCAGGTAGATTCGGCAGGTGGGTAACAGGGACAGAGTGCGGATATGACTTCATGCGCCCTGAATTCCTCGAGCGGGCTAGCAGTCGTCGTTGGGGCCGGCGTTGGGTCTCAAGATCTGCTTTGGTGGTGCTACTTCTGCAACTGCTGCAGATGCCCCGAGGCGTTCGAAACGCTCGGTGGAAGGAGTGCTTGCCCAGCGCAGAGGGAGGCGGGACGGGTGGGGGGAGGGGGGGGATTTCGATAGGGCATGATCCAACAGATGCTGGGCAGAGATTTGCACCTCGGAATGTGGGCAGGACCGGTGCTGACGATGACGCTGGTGATGGACGAGCACTGGGGGGGGGGGGTGAGGGGAGTTAGGATCCAGAGTTTCACGAAGGAGCCCACGCATCGCCGAGCGCAGGAGCAAGTAACAGGTTCTGCGGTGTGGAAACGCAGGCCACACCTTTTCGGCACGTACGGAGGAGCCTTTTCGTCGATGGCGAACTGTTCACGATGGTCCAATGGGTTCCTGAGCAATGAAGGCAAGCGTGTCGGAATGTCGGGACGCATTTTGCGGCGACGGCGCCGACAGCGCTAGCATTCGCTGGGTGCACAGGCACAGCCAGCGTGTCTGCGAAAGCGGACTGGACGCTAGGTTTGCGTGATGCAAGCCCCCAACCGCCACGAATTGGCCGTTTCCAAATATGCGCCAATCCGAACCGCAAAGGTCCATGGCAATCGCGATTTCGAGGCCAGCAGCTGGGCCGGGGTGCCAAGGGCGTGCGGGTATGCCTGTGTGCGCATGTGTGCGTACGTATATGGGAGCGCCGCGCGATTGAGGAGGCGAGAGAGCGAGAGAGGCAAAGACGAGAGCAACACGAGGAACTGGGGCCCGCCTCGGACAGCTGGACTTGCGTCTGGAGCATACGGCCGAGCCATCGGCCACTTCGTCTTACGTTGTCTGGCCGCGGCGGGACGTCGTTGGATGCCGTGCTGCGGTATGGGCCCCGGGAATCGTCGAGGAGAACATCGGCATCCGCAGGCACAACGGCACTCGCCTTGTCGCCCTCGCTTGCTCGCCAGCCCGCCCTGCTGCCCGGCGGCAGCGTGCGAGACATCCGGGCCAGCACGCAGGCAACGGCGAGCGGTCGGCGTGGATGCTTGGGGGACGGCTGCGGTGCAGGGCGACGATCGGATCTCATCATTCCACGTGTGCAGGTGGGTGTCGACAAGGGGCCGCTCGCTCGGCATCGTCGCTGGCTGCAGGTGCGGAGACGGCTCCAGTCGCCCTCGTCCTCAGCATTTGCACCTCGCGTCTCGCGCGCCAGGTCGGAGACATCCTTGGGCGCGGTCGGCCTCCACATGGGCGGCAAGGTAGGCATGGGCCGCCAGCAGGCACGCCGGCCATGCACGAAACCATGCGCGCATGGAGGAGAGGCCAGAGGCGTGTCCAGCCGGCGGTTCTGCGCCGCGTCGTCGTTTCTTTTTTCCTCTTCCGCCCGCCGCCGGGGGCAGCGGAGAGCGCTGGGACTTGCCTTGGGCGCCGTTCTCGCAGTGCGGCCACGCGACGCTATGGAACGAGCCTGCTGCTGCATGTGCAACGCCCGGCTCCACGCACCGTTTGCGCGCTGCACGCGCCCTCGCAGCGCTCGGCATCCCGCCACGGCCCTGCCTGCCTGTGCTCGTCGTCCTCGTCGTCCTCGTCGTCCGTTCGTCGCTGCGCTGGTCGTCGAGTCCTGCTCCGGTCCGCTGTGCGAGTGCCCCAGCTGACCCGCACAGCTCGCTGCCGCCGCGCCGCCGCCGCCCCCCTTTGCCGGTGGCGCAACGCTTCTGGCGCCTGCTCAGCAACACCAGCGACGCTTGGCCGCCTCGTCACAATTGCGCCAGCGCCGCGCGCTAGAACTCGTCCAGCGCAGTCTTCGGGCCACTTCTGCGCTGCCCAGAGGCCTTTCGACTCGCGGCGATCTCGTCGTGCTGGACCCTGCGCTCGTCGCTCGTCCAGCATGTTTCAGGATATGTGGCCTGACATGGCTCTCTCTCTCGACCGGCCCTCCGCTCCACCACCCCCCATCATCCGTCTGTTCTAGCACCGGCGGATGACGCCACTAGCCTTCAGCCTTTCCTACCGGCGCCTGTGCTGTGCTGTGCTGTGCTGTGCTGTGCTGCGCTGTCTGCACGCTGCGAAGATGGGCTGCGACGCCTCCCCTTCTCCGTGGCCCACCTGCTCCTACACCACCACTTACCACCACCACCACCGCCGCCGCCGCCATTGCTGCGTACTACTGCCCTCGCGCTGGTAAAACACGGCCGCTGGTGCATGGGCCGTCTCGAACACGACGATGGGCTTGCAGCACAGTGCCTCCGCCTTTCACGCACGCCGCCCTCGACGACGGCCAGGATCAGGTGCAGACCAGCATGGATCTTGGCTGTACGTCGTGAACTTCGACAAGCCCCAGCCCTTCTTCTCGCCTCCGCGCGACGCATCTTGCTGCTCTGTCCCCGTGGACGTGTGACCATCCACGACCAGGTGCCTGTTTCGAGCCAAAACTAGGTACCCGCACAACGTGGCTCCCTTGACCCGTCATTCGCCATGCCCTCTTGCGCCCCCGCCTTTCACGTTTTTGCGTTCTCCAACACCAGTCAGCGGTGCTGTGGATCTCCCTCTCTCGTCTCAGACAGACAGACAGACAGACACACACTCTTGCAGCGGACCGTTGAAGCGCTGGTGTACCCCCCGCCCATCCTCCATCGCCGCAACTTGACTCGTCCGCCTCGATATCATGCTGCACGTCAGAGCTGTCTGATCGGGTCGCCGCTCCAGGAATCCGCCACTGTCGGTCGAGCAGAAACCCCCCCCCCCTTCTTCCCATCACCCGTCGCCATCGAGCCCACGGAACCAAGCATGTACCTTTGCTCCCTCTGAGCTGAGCTGACATAGCTGGGTACGACCGAGACCCGGCGCCCTCACGCCGGGTTTGCACAGGCCCAAATTTCAGCGCAAAATCTCCGACTGGATCTCTGCCTGGCCATGCATGCGGCGGGGGCCCCCCTCTCGATAACAAATTGAAAACCGCATGTGCTCTGGACCCGGCCAGTGCTAAACTTTGTCCCGGCGGTGGAATCAATTGTCAGCCGTGGCCAGGCATGCCAGGCATTCCTGGCTGCCGTTGTTCTGCGGGCGATTAGCCGCCGCCATTCCCTCTACGGCTGCGTCTCCCAGTGCTTTTACCCTGAAAGAGAGACGTGGGTGATTTTATCAGTAAGCGGGCCAATTCGCAGAGCAAGGCAATGAGATGTGCCCTATTTTGGCTCTTGCAGCAGCACCTTTTCTCGACGCCGGACTGGAGTACGTCTCCACGGTGCTTCGCCAATCACGGCTCCGGCCTCTTCCGTGACAAAATGGTGCTGCCTGCCAGCCAAAAGGGCATTCCTGTGGTACATGCATGTTTCTTGTGGACCAGCACGTTTCACGGCATCTCAAATCTGACGTTCGCCATTTGCTCTCTCTCTCTATCGCTCGCTCGCTCGCTTCACCTGGCACACGAAACGGCGTTCGCCAGTCACGATCCTGCACAACACGGCAGGTTTCCCCATCATCTCAATCGGGATATCCGAGCACGGAACACGGCGTAACGTACGTACATGGCAGTGTTTGACACCCTGCCATTCAACTCGTTTTTTTTTTTTTTTATTTTTTCAATTTTTCGCTCACACAAGCTCCATCATTGAACTACCCCCCCAGTTGGTACTTTCAAGAAATCACAGTGTCGATCCACGGTTTTGCCCAGTGCAATCTTACTAGCTCCAAAGTCAATCGAGCTGACTCGACTTCAACATTCCACCATCGCAAGAAGCCAAATAAACCAAAGGTGTTTGATCCAAAGGAAATCATGGTGGGCATTGCCATGCAGCAAGCAGGCAAGCACACACACGTTCGAGTGACCATGGTTTTGCGCAAGCGCGCCAGAAGAACAGCCCTTGAATATCCCATCTGCATTGTTTTAATTTTCTCTAAGCTGTTCTGGTAGGTGATCCTCGTGGGACAGCAATTTGGCTCGACCCCCCCTCAACGGTAGATCGCTGCTGGCACTGCACAGCACTCACGCCTCCCTTTGGGGCATGCTGATGGCGTTCTGTTTCGGTCAGAGCCATCGCTGTCGCTGGCACCCCCGTCCCCCGGCACGCGACCGATCCTTGCGGGTACGAGCGAGGCCACGTGCTGTTTGCCCTTGCGTAACCTCCCCAGCCTTGGCCCACTGTGGTTCTTCTCCCCCCCCCCCCCTCTCGCCCTCTCGCATCATCATCATTATCGACTTCATCTCCGAAGCTGTGCCATCCTTTGCCTCTTTCAGCTGCTTTGCTGCTTGCTACTGCCGAACAGCACAGGAATTAGTCTAGCTCGACCTTTGCGTCGCCAAAAGGCCTTCGCATCGTGGGTCTTGACCTGCCTCCCCTGCGCTCAGCTTATGGCGATCGAGATATTGGGGCTTGGGCGGAGATCGCAAGAGCTCCGCGCGTGGCATAATGTGTGGTCGGTGTAGTCTTGTGTTTGGTGCAGCACAGTCGCCTTTGCGTCCTTGTCCAGACCTTGAGCTCGCCCCGCGACGTCCAACCCTTTTTTTTTTTTTTTGGCGGGCGTATCGAGCACTGGGTTGGATGACGGTCTATCATCCCGTTCGAGTCAACCCATTTTCTTCTCCCAAAGAAGATCCTCCGTCACACATCTGACGCTGCACGTTGCATCGAGATTTCATCGCGCGTAGATCTCAATGAATTCAAAAAATCCTTCATCAAACTGCTTCTTTTTCTTTCCGTCCCGTGTCCCTGGTCAGAGCGGCGGTTGCACATCCTCGAGCTCTGACTGCTCCAGCGGGTCACCACACAGCCGTGTTTTCTTTTGATTCTTCACGTTCCGTCTTGATTGCCCTGGCCCGCAGCGAACAAGGCGTGGTTCATCATTGCGGTGTTCTGCCCGCTAGGGTTACTGAAGCACGGATAGATGATTGAGTGGCAAACATTTTGAGGTAGCAATAGTTGGCTGCATTTTTCTTTTCTTTTTTTTTCTTTTTTTTTTTTTTTTTGACAGGTCTGACTATACAAAGACCAACCACAGCGATGTAACAACCACCACAGAGCTGCGCCGCCACGTTACAAAGCAGAATAAAAAAAAAGACCAGGGAGGATTATCTGGATAGGACGAGGACTTTACACCTACCGAATAGGATTCCGTCCGCTGCGAGTACCTCCCTCTCATCAAGTGCGGGATTTGCCTAGCTACATGACGCCATGGACAGATACGACATCTTGACCGTGAAAAAGCACACCGCGGCAAAAACACCACGAGGACACCTTGCCCTTGCCGTGGGCTTTCAGGCTCTTTGCAAAGGCCAGCATTCAGCATTCACTAGTTCTTCGGTGTCATAGTCGAACGAGGCAATAGGCGGCACGCATTGATGCCCTTTGGTCGACGGCAAAAGGCACGGACAGAAGGGATGAAGGCATTTGCCATCGACTATAGACGTAAACGTGCTACACACACACACACATCCCGTCCGCTGCAGAAGGACACGCGCTCACCAAGGAAGAAAAAATCGCTCTCTCCCTTTTCTCTCTCGCTCTCTCTCCCTCTCTGCCTCTCCCCTTCTCTCTCTCTTTTGCCTCTATCTGCCTGTCTCCCTCGTGGCGTTGGCTGCAAGGGACCTCGGAGGACGTCTCCATCGCTAGCGCTAGAAGCACAGAATGTTCTTTTCAGGTCCGCGACGCCCGAACGAAGGTTGTTAGTGCATCCAACCAAAATCGTGGCGCCGTGTCTGTGAGGTGCCGGCGTGATTTTCGTGCCCAATCACGACCTCTGGCTCTCGGCAACGAGCTTGGACGATGGACGAGCGAAGGGAGTGACAAATCGTCTAGATTAACTTAATCTGCGAGCAAAGACACACCAAGACAAAAGGGCCGTGTTGCTTCAAGGAGCAGTCGTTTACGTCTCTGTGACCAGTGTCGTAATTTCTCTCCCGTTCCTCTTTTTCTTTTTAACAAGGAAGGAAAAAAAAGCTTTTTTTTTTTTAATTCTTCCTTCTCACTACTCGGCCTTTTTCCGCGTGCGGGATCGCATATAGTCTGGGATGTCTGCATTATGGAGCGATCTGCTAGGACGGGTCGTCTACAGCACTACTGCACGCTCTGGAGCAATCGTGAAATTGGAACCTAACGCATCCACGCGTTCTATGGGCGACGATTCTTTGAACCCAACAGTCTTGTTTCTTTTTCCTTTTCCAAACGAGGTCTGCCCAGTGCGCTCTTTCATGTGGTGCGTGCAGGGTCGCTGGCGTAATTGCTCTCAAACGTCCCGTCCCCACCCACACAAAACGTACGAGGCCAGCGCCTTTAGAGCCAGCGGGCCTGCGATCCGACACTCATTTGACGAAGAGCGTCATTTCAGCAGGTCGCTTGACAGCGTAGATGCTGCCGGTTAAACCGCCCCACTCTGCCGGCAGTTGGCTCTGGACGGGAAAGAAGGGCGCGCATCTGCAAGACGCAAATGCAGCACAAGCAGTTTCGTGGAACGCTTAAGTACGTTTCACGTCGTTGCGCAGAGCGACGTGCATAAACAGCCAGTAGGCTGCCAAAATCGCTTGATGCGGTACGTTAAGCTGCAGGGAAAGAAGGAAAGGAAGGGTGGGATCGTCAGAGATCCCGCCCAGGAATTTCTCTCAAAAGCCTTTGTGTGGTGCATGAGGGAAAAAAGCATCCGCCAACGGCATGTGTATAGCGGAAGCCGCTTTGCTTCACCATACACGCAAGTCATGTCCCACCATCGAATAATCCGTCGCTCGACAGCCTTGTCCCCTGATGACCGTTTTTTTTTTTTTTGTTTTTTTTTTTATTTGGCTTCTCGAAGGATCGTCGAATATGTCTGCCTCAGCGCTCAGCGCTATCAGATTCCAGCCAAGTGACAACGCGAGATTAACTTTTGCGCGAAACTATCCGCACACTCGAGGCCTTTTGCGGAATAGCACCCGCCCGTCTCGAGGCATGTACTCATTTATCTTGCGACGCTGTACGTTGACACGGTCTATCAACTTGAGGATGGGCGTTGCACGTGCAGTCTACACTCGAACCATCTTTCATTCTACTCAAACGCATCGTAGCGATAAACCCATACTCGGGGCTCCTGCCATGCTCCACCAAGGAACACTGGTTCACCGTCCCACTCGTTCAGACCGACTTGTTTCATGCCTGCCTTCTGAACGACCTTCCTTGAGGCTGCATTTGCATCGCCCACCACGGCCTCGATAACTAGCCTGGTGAACGGAGCAAAGGCGAGCCTTGACGTCGTGCACGCGCGCAGCAACGCAGCACAGGCTTCGGTGGCATAGCCGTGGCCCCATGCAGTAGGGAGAAAGAGATATCCAATTTCGAGCCGCAGCACGCCAGACGCCGGGTCTGTCCTCGTGGTGAACTCGTCGCGAAGCGGAACCGTCTGTCCTGGCTTGAGGCTGATCAATCCAATCACCTCAGTTTCCTCCTCGTCCGTCCTGATCTCCGCAGCCGTGCCCTCAGCACCGTCTACTCCCTCCTTTCTGCGCCGCAGATGCACCGCGTACGGCGCCTTGTACCGGTTCCATTCTCCGGCGTCGGAAGGCAGCATGTCCTTTAGGATCTTCGCTGAATCTTCGACCGTCTTCGACGCGCCGAGCACGCTGCGCTGTTTCCTCAGCATATGTCTTCAGGTCAATGTGTTTTCAGAGCCTGGTAGCAGCTTGCCTCCACTGTGTTGCCAGTTCATTGCTCCTCACCGCGTGCACGAGTCTCACGTCGTCCGATCCGTCCTCGTGCGACTCGAGCAAGGTCAGCTTGAGACGCGGTGTCAGTATCACCTTCTCCATCGCTCTGTCGTCCCGCGAAAAGACGCTGTCCAACTGGGCAGATGCGTGATGTTATGTCGCTGGGTACAACGACGGTACGTACCTCTCGCCTGACCTTGCTTCGCTGTCTCGCCGATCGCGGAGCTCGCGAATACGGTGAAAGGGTTACATCCGGTCGAGCACTTTATGCGATCGATGCCATCGTTCAGGATAGCGAGCACACGTAGGCGGTCAAAGACGTGTTCGCAGTTGCCTATACCGGTCTGCGTCTGTCTGGTAATCCTGGGGCGGCCTTGCCACATAGCATGCAAATCTCGACGTGCTTGCTCAGGGCGAAACGGACAATCTTGTGAGAGCTTGACGCACTGGGTTCTTCGTCGAAGTCCGACGGAGGCTGTCCTCTATGGCTTCTATCACACAGCCTCACCTGTAGTACGCTTGTGCTTGCCTCTCTTTCCTTGCCTTTCTCTTTGCTCGCGTACTGTGCTCATGTGCTGAGAGGCCATAAGATCAGAGTACAGAATGGCAGGGGGCTTGACGGTTGCTTTGGATATCTTTCACCCATACGTAGATGGCGAGTTCTAGTTCGTTGCATGGCGCCCCCATTCGTTTGTGTTCGTCCGAACACGTATCATCAGGAGTGAATAAGTCGACACCGTCGCGGCATATCCTTGAAGGCCACCCGGGCGAGGGGGATTCCTGATGAGCAGCGACCGACACTGCCCTCATGCTCTGTTTTACAGTATGTAGCATGCAATCACGCGACGGTCGCTTTACTTCTGCTATTGCGTCCGTGTAACACAGCATGGGCAGGCATTCATCCGAATCAAGCTCGGAACGTACGTAGAAGTCGAATGCAGTGTCTGTCTCGAAGCCGCTACGTCTAGCCTTCCACACCGTGTGCATAATCGTCCGCCACTCTTGCGCAGATAACGTCACAATTTGTCCTGCTACTGATTCAATACGTATCACCGCGACTGGCAGAAGTGGGCGATTGTCTGTAAGGTTTGGCGGCCAGCAGCAGGATTTACCATGCTTCAGACTCTCCCCATGGGCTGGCTGTCTTGACGTCAGGCATTTGACGAGAGGTCAAATGGACACAACTCTCGGGTATAAATATCTTGTTAGCTACTCGAACGCATCGTCCACTCGCTCACTTGCTTGTTGGTCCTTGGTGGATCTCAGTCGGTCTCTCAGCTACCACAAGTCGTTTCCCGACGCCCCTGTTCTATTTTGACGTAGGTTTGCAGCCTCGAAGAAGCTCCGTTTTGTCGTCTCTCACAGATCCTTCGTTCGGCTTACGACACAGGGTAGAAAACGCGCCGTGGGCAAAAAGCGACCGATCCTAGAACGCGATTCAGCGACGGGCTCTTGCCAGCATGGCATTGCGAGGTAGAAAGGCTCGCAAAGGTGTCGTCAAGTTCTCGCTAAAATTCCCTGCCCCTTGGAAGCTGTTGCGGCAGAATCCAACCTTCTGGGCATCGCATTTGAGAGTGGCCTGAAGCGATGTGTGTTCATTCCAGGAGGTATTGAGACAAAGAGCACCAAAGTCTTGATCACGCTGAGACCAATTAAGCCTGGAGCACACAATGCTCCTGTAAAATCTCGAAGAAATATCCTTGCACTCGTGTTCAATATATCTGTGGAAAAAAAAGAGCGTTCCGAGGATTGGTTCCACCCATCCTAACATTTTGCTTTAATTACATGAAACACTAGCGGTCTTGGTGTAAGCAAACCTAGATATCGTGGTAATGGCTAGATGGGCGAACTATAGGAGCTTCCTTTCTACTTCATTCAGTCAGTTGATTTACGAATAATTTGACAATGCTTTTCCTTGGAGTAGTTCTAATGTGTCGAGTGTTCATGGTGGAATGCATTCAAGGCAAAATTCGAACCACGAATTGAGGTAATTCGAGCGAGGAATCAAACGTGTGCTTAACTGGCACGAATTGGGAACCCAATCGGTTGATTGTCTCGTTTTCTGGACTTTGCATTGTTGGATCACGATATCTCAGCCTTGTACAGCCTCGTGGGAGCTTGGACCACGTACGACCTTCTCCACGCAAGAAGCTTGTCCTTTCCACGAAATGTGGGCACTTGGCTGACCTGGACAACTCTCTTCGGTTGCAGCCTTGCGCAGTTATCTTCCCTGTCTGTCCACTTTACTCTGTCAAAATTCGCACCATTTGATGCTCCATTTCTTCCACAGATTTCCTCCTCGTAAACTTAACCATCGGCTAAGACCTTCTCTCAAGCGCACGATGACGACGCTAATACCCCTCAGCGAGATACCAACGCTCCCGCTTCTGTATAAGCTTCAACGTCTGAGGCCACATGCCTTACCTGCTCATCCCGTGAACGAACGGCACAATGCAAAGATCGCCTTGATACGGAATGACATCACTAAGCTGCAAGTCGACTCCATTGTCAACGCTGCGAACGAGTCCTTGCTGGGAGGCGGCGGCGTAGACGGCGTACGTTTCTCGACGCATACGTCACTCAATCACATCACCGCTGTGCGTGGCAAGGAACTTTGCTGAGCTAAAAAAACCAACAGGCCATCCACCGTGCCGCAGGCCCTGCGCTCCTACGTGAATGCCGCACTCTCAACGGGTGCCCTACCGGTTCCGCGAAGATAACAGATGCCTACTCACTTCCTTGCAAGAAGGTCATACATGCCGTTGGTCCCGTATACTACATCACCAAGCGAGACGGGACAAACGAGACTTTGCTTCGAGGGTGCTACAGACGCTCGCTCGAGCTCGCCGAGGAGCATGGGCTTAAGAGCATTGCGTTTTCAGCGCTGAGCACTGGCGTGTACGGATATCCATCCCATGAAGCGGCAGAAGCAGCCGTGAGCGAGGTGAGGAACTTTTTGGACGAGAGGGAAGATTCGGCGCTGGAAAGAATTGTGTTTTGCAATTTCCTCGAAAAGGATGAGAAGGCTTATGAGGAGATTTTGCCAAAGTACTTTCCGAGTGAGGAGGCCGTGGTCGAAGCAGCTGGCTCGAATGAGCTGGAGGACAAGCTGCCAGAGGCGCCAAAGGATAAGCCTGCGCCTGAGGGTGCGATGGTACAGCCGCAGACGAAGAAGTTAATGGCAAGCCATGACGACGACGAATCTGACGAGGAGTGGGAAAAGATCGAGAAAACAGATGTGCCACACAAAGCCACCGTGGAGGACGCAGTGGATGATGAGGTTGGAGGAAAGTCAAAGGTTTGAGTCACGTCCGTGGAGACAGTAAGAAATGCGGGCTGAATAGGCTACCTCTTACGCGCGGACTTGCAAGAGACATCATTCGAAGAAAGGACATGGACGCGACCATCCGGTTACTGCCCATTAGGTTTGGCGATTTGTAGTCCTACTGTGCGTCTAAGGCCCGCCCTTTCGGTCAAAGTCGTGGATTTGCTCACAACAAATGACCTGAAGCAGGTGAACTGCTTTGTACGGCGTAATGGAAAAGCTTTGTAATGAAAGTATGCGTCAGTACCTTTGCTCAGCACATTTAGTTCTACAATAGTAAGTCTTCGCCTCCGCGAGGCTCTCCGTGACTTGGCCCTTCCACTAGCCTTACCCCGCTCTTTTCTTATTCTATGATGCTATGTCGTGAGTTCTGCCTCCTTTATGGATCTTCCGTGGCAATATAACCTGTTTTATTATACTGGAGAAGCCAAATCGTTGACCATTGCAAAGTATCCATGGCGGAATCGATAGTCCATTCGAACGTTTTAATGCAATATTGAGCGCTTTGCTCCATCTGCTGAGGCCAGATGATGTGTCCACTTTCATAGAGGATAATACTATTGTTCGACCTTCTAAGACACATGTTTTCGTCACTTAAATGGTCTATTTCGTGGCCGGCACGGCAACGAATGGTACGAATGCGGTCGGTGGACCAAGCAGACTGGGCTTCATTCATCATAAGACTGAATAGGTGAGCAATGACGCTAATGATTTGTCACTAAGCAACAGGATACAGCAAAGAACTTGGACAATAAACTCCTACCCTCACAGGCAAGTTCCGCGGGTATACCTCCAGATCTAGTGGCTGGGCTTTCCCACGATGTACGCGATCAAATGCACGCCTATCGTTTGATGAGGGCACGCAGACACCCAGCCCTGTTGATGATACATAACCAACGGATACCGTTTAGCAAACCCTGTGGTGTCAGCCGATTATCCGGCGCGAGAGCAGTATATCTTTGCGCAGGCCCTTCGATGCAACTTCCTACAGCCTTGTTGCGTTGCTTCTGCGGGGTATCCTTGCCATAGGCAGTGATTAACGAGCGAAACCAGGAGGCACTTGCTATGTTTATATCAAATCAAACTGGTTCAGAGAGTTCGTCAAGTATCGCAATGAAACTTTTAGCTGATGGTATTTTTACAATATCCTTCAACAGAAGCACTGAGGGCCTTGTCCCCGCCTTTAGGGCGACACAGCACATCGGATTCCATTTAGTCATAATGATTTCTCCGATCAGCGGCCACATAGGCGGCGAAGGCTTCAGGCTTAACATTATTGTTCAGGTGACGGCTTCAGCAAGAATATGTTTTAAGTTCCACTGCTACACCGAGGTACCGGGGCTTAAATCCTGAATTTCTTGCAGCGTCAGTGACACGGTAACCAATTCTACGGAGGGACTCAATGCACGGTTAAGAGTTCGAGATTGAACCGGAACAGAGACGTTTATTCGCGATGCGGGACGGTAGGCGTTGCCAGTGAGAGGGAAATCAAGGTCACTTCGTCATCTGTTTTGGCCGTTTCCTAGCTTTTGGGAGGATCGTCTGCTGCGATCTCGATCAGCCTGGATATACCTCAGGACGACAAATTTGCACTGGAATTGAGCATTGCTATAGGTCGGCAGCCATCATGCAGAGCACGTTTAAGTTGTTTTTGGAGCGAACATTAAGTCTTGGATGCATTGATCCGGCCAAGTCAGAACGCAGATGGTAAAACAAGAGCAAATCCATTCTGGATATCAGTATCAGATATTACGAACAGAATTAGTGCAGCTGTTATCTTCCCCCAAGAACTTCCAGTCAAAAAACTGAAAAAAAAAGAAGACGAAGAAGAGAGAGAGAGAGAGAGAGAGAGAGAGAGAGAGAGAGAGAGAGAAGGAAGACCTCGCAAAACGAAGACGTGGCAATGGAGGTGAACAAAAGAAAGAAGGTGGGAGTGGCCGAGGGAAAGCCTGAGTATCTGATCAGATGTACCTTGGTTTCGATCGTGCGGTTTACTGTGGATTTTTGTTCGTCAGCCGTTCATCATGATCGGTTACTGCCGTCGCCCGGACCGATGGTACCAAGTCAGCCCGAAGTTGATTCCACACTCAGCGTCTGCTGACTGCTTACTGACTGCACGCCACAACATGATCTCGGTACGTATCGTGAAGAAAATTTTGCTTCGGCAATTTCCCTGAGCAGAAGGTATCCCGTCAGGTGAGACGTTATCCGGCTAAGAGCAAGGTCACGACTACAGCATGGTTCGGGGGATGAATGTCAAGCTTGGAGCGAATATGATTACGCCATTACCAATCTCAGGACTACGCTCTGGCCGGGGAAAAATTGCAAGGGTGAAATACATGTGTTCTCGAAACAGCAAGTCAAGTCGAGTCGAGTCGATGACCACTTGACGCATGATTCTAAGCCGCGCTCCGACCGAACGGATCCGAAGAGCCGCTCGACGCGATGATATTTCCTTCGTTCTGGACCCGTCTTCAAATTTAACTTCATTGATTGGATATCGATTAATGCCTTGCTATTTATCAGTGCATCAGTCATGAGGTGCTCTCGCTCGCGCACTGAAACATTACTACATGAAGCCGGTCCGCGCCTACGGCGCCGAAAGCTGATTTCCCCCTTCCCTTCCTGAACATCCCGGAAACGTCAATACAAGATGGAAAAATTTTTTTTTTCCTTCTTTCGGGTATCTATGTGGTTGGAGTAAAGACGCTTGACAACAGGCCCAGGAACCCTGTAATACCATTTCCTTGAATCAGGTCTACAAGGTCTCCCAGAGTCGCGGAACTCGAGTTCAACAGTCCACCCACTGTACCGACTATGAACTGAGTGACGGGAACTTCGGTTCCAAGAGTCATGTTGTTTAGAATATTCTCATAGTACATGATGTGAGTTCCGTCGTAGACTGTCGAGTTACCTCTAGCATTCAAAGCAAGATTTCCTCTGGCCAACGCATCAGCTTCAGCGTTTATGATCGATTGAATGTTGGAGAACAAGGTATTGTAGTCGACAATTCCGGAGAAATCGACCGTGTTATTTCCAGGAGCGATGGTTGCATTTATAATTGTGCCTTGGCCAACAACAAGACCGTTTGGAATCATGAGATCCAGGACCTCGTTTCCCTGTTCATCTATTAACTATTGTTCTCAATCATATAGATAGAAGGCCTACAAGTTCAAATCCAACAAGAGATGGGTTGGGCAAATTTGCTGTTCCCTTGAAGTTGGTACCGTCTGCTTCTGGAGTGACTAGAGCCTGCGCAGCGAGGATGCTGAAGCCCTTCAACTGGTTGAGACCTGAAAGAATATTAGTCTTGAGGTGAAATTATGGGACAAGTCACCAATACCTTTCAGCTTTATGCCTTTATCTAGAGTTAGAGGCACTTTTAACGCACCCAAGTGCGCCGTTGTCGAGCCTCGCGCAGACAAAATGAATTCTTCCGCATAGACGGCGGTGGTCAGGAACGCTTGGAACTCTGTTAAATTCTGGATCTGAACCGTCTGGTTCTCTAGAGTGATTGTTGTATTGCCATGCAACTTCTGGGCCGGTAAACGAACTGTCACGTACGGGGTGAATGGGTGAGTTTCTGGTCTGTACAGATGCAAATCCGTCGGATCGAGGTGTACTGTCAGTCCGAGCGGTACCTTCAACGAGGCTACTAAAGACACGGTGATTGTGTCTGGTGTTGGCTTCATGAGCTTGGAAGACGAGATTGGTAAACTGGCCGAGTCGACCAATCTTTGCGCAATGGCTGGTAGAATTACGAGGAAGCTAATACCATTAGTTCCTGCGAATCCATCAGGCCATAGATGGGCTGCTAGAATGAAGCCGTAACCTACAAAATTGGAAGTCCCACTGCCAGGGCGACAATACCCAGAAGGACATAACAGATCCAGTATCTCCTGAGGTGCTTTACCGTCTTTTGCTTCCGAGTGAGTGGAACTTCTGGTGGATATTCTACAATTGAACTCTGTCTCGTGTTAACGTCCTCGATATGGTCCGTTCTCGAAGTCTCCGGTTTATATGTGTCTGGAGGCAGCTCGTTGGGCCATCCTGCAGCGACGTGTTGTGAGAAGTGCTTGGGCTTTTCGTATCCATAGTCCTTCTCTGAAAGGTCCACAACGGGCAGCGAAGGCTGCTTCTCGATCTTGTCGTAGTCCATATCGTTTCAAGAAAGTTGTGAGCAAAGAGATGGACTCGATCTATGTTTCAAGAATACCGTAATTTCCGGCTTACAGGGCGTCACATCGTTCATCTAAAAGTCAGCCAGTCCCCACTGCTCGCTTGTATACGCATGGGACGCAAGATTGATCGCCATTCAGTTACCAGGAACAGCATTGACATGCCCACGCGATTTGATGTGGAGTCCCCGCCCGTGCACCTCCGCATTATCGCTAATTCGGCACGAGAGTATCTCATCTCATTTTCATGTGTGCCTGATGAAGCACACGTGCACGTTCCCTTCAGTTATGCCGCTTCGTGTCAGGTAAAGAGCCTCGACAAGGGTTCTCGGTTAACCACCCAAAAATGACGAAACTGGAACACTAAGCGAAAACACCGAGAGAGGATCAGAAGTGTCTGTTACCAGATTCTCGGCCACAGCCGAGATGCACATTCGGCGTGGTAGAATGTGGCGAGATACACAGAGCATGAACTTGCGGAACTTCTCGTGCTTGAAGTTATATATTCTAGATAGATCAATACTCGTTCTTATAACGTGCAGCTCTTCTGATCTGTCCCAGAATTTTCCAACGAAACAATAGCAAGGAGCTATCCATTTCCTCGAGTGTCTTTTCTGATAGGCTTGGCTCAAAATGACAAACGTTGCCGCGACGGGGACCAGTACCGGAGTTATGTCCGAGAAACGACTCCCTTATGCCGTTACTCAGGACGAGCTTTTTTCTTCAGACTTTGATCCAAAGTCGATGAAGAAGATTGCTTCGGAATTGATTTTACTTGCAGGGGGTGCCTATGCGGTGCTTTTGCAAATGGCGTACCCAGGCGTTGCCAAGGGTGTTGACGAGCACTCCAACTTCGCTTACAGACCAACGGATCGCCTGCGAACCACGATGACATTTGTATACTGCATGATGTACGGGACGCCCGAAGAAAAGAAGACGATTGTCGATTGGGTTCACAAGGCACATTCCGTCGTGAAAGGCCCGGACTATTCCGCTGACGACCCAGACCTCCAGCTGTGGGTTGCGGCAACGTTGTACGGCGCCGCCACCGAGATCCACGAGAAATTCTTCGGCAAGCAAAGCGAGAAGGAGGCAGACAAGATCTACCGCGAATACTCCATCATCGCGACGTCTCTTCGCGTTCCTGCCGACAAGTGGCCGAAGAGCCGGGCAGCGTTCTGGGAGTACTGGAACCACATGCTTGAGACGCTTGAGATCAACCAAAATGCGAAGAACGTCTGCAACGATCTCTGCTACAACAAGCACGGCCCCCTGTGGGTTCGAACAACTCTTCCGATTATTCGCGTCTTCACTGCAGAATGGCTCACGCCTCGTATGAGGCAGGAGTACGGCCTGAAGCGAAGTCCCAAGGCTTACAAGACGCTCATGATGAGCAGCAAGGCTGTCTACCCAGCATTACCAAAGTTTATCCGACATTATCCCGTGCGATTCTACCTCAAGGATATGAGGAAGCGGATGAAGAAGACACAGGGCGGCAAGTGGCAATGAAACGCTATGCATGACATGAGAGACGGCCGTGAGTTGATGACTCAGAATGCACTTTTGTACTATTGCCGATAGATTCCCTCATCATCTCTGCAGATACCATATAGTCACTTCATATGTACAGCATATCACATGCATTGACGCCTTGAGTTTGCTCAAATATGATCAATATTGATACCTGAGTGTCCCCAGAAGAACTACTTACCAGCGTAATCGTATAATTTTACATTATTTATTTTTCAGAGACTACTCTACCGCATGTACAGACTTCTCATTACATGCCCAACTGCGAAACTTTGGACAACACCTCACCAGCCCCCATTCTTCGACGCACGACCGAATCAAGAACGGGCGCTATCCTCTAAGCAATGCGCAGCTGCCAGATGAATGCATCCCGCTTGAGATTTTACAGCAAGATAATGGTAAAAAGTGCCATCCCAACCAAGGCCGCAGTAAGGGACACGGAGATGGTCGACCCTGAGCCTTTGACGGTGTGACTCGATTCGGATCCAGTCGCGGTGCCAGTCTGCGTGGCAGACGCTCCAGTTCCCGTGATCTTTGCTGTGTTCAAGGCAAGGCTGATGGATGACAGGGCTCCCGTATTGATCGACATTGTTGCGAGCTGCGTCTGGACGGCCTGTATGTAGCTCTTGGCATCAGGCGGCAGGCTAGAGTACCAGGCTGGCGTGTGACCAGCCTTGAACTCGGACTGAAGACTCGAGCGTGAGGTAGGATTTGCGAGATCTGCGTAGACGGAAGCAGGCACACCGGTCAAAAGCTCTTGGAGAACTCCGGAAGGCGCAGATGGGAGACCGAGCTGAGTAAATGGATTCACGACCGAGCCGGTTGGCAAAGGGAGAGACCCCGTAAGCCCCAAAGCTGCCGTGAGAGAGTTGCTAAGACAGTAACTGTCAGATATGTGTATACGAGCGTGAAATCGTGCTTACAGCTGACCAACTAGACCCGCGAGGTCAGTTGCGAGCGGTGTTGTTGTTTGCGCAACAACTACGCCAGAGCCGCCAAGCAGCGAGGCTAGAATCAAGAAAGCGGAGAATTTCATAGTGGTTTGTCTCAATTTCCGGGAACGAGCGAAGTGCTAAGTGAGTAATAGTCTTCCAGCGTGAAAGAGCGAGCGTCCAAGACCTGTACGTGCCCTCATCTTCTTCACGAAAGATTGCCATCATTTTATGACCTCTGCTTGATTTCCTCTCTTCGCTCGCCTTCGGTTGAGCTTAGCAAAGAGCCCTTCCTAATTATTTCCTCAAAGGGCTCAACCGACTGCTCTGGCAATATCCGTTCTGCCCTCCCAAGGATGTTGGGGTTTATGGTCATGCACGACAACAGAGACGAATACCCATTACATCATGGCTGACTTAAGGTTTGGCACTAATGTAGCTCACCACGTGAGCTGCACTCCCTGGTGAATTGCAGGACTGCCTGTTGACAGGCCACTAGCCGGACGAAGAGGTCGATTCCCGAGCTTAAATTTCCCAATCTGGACTGCCCTGCAAGGTGCATGCCGAGCTGGTTCGGTAAGGATTGCCGACACGACGGATCCTCGACGGGGAACTTTGGGATCGTGGCTTTTCGGGGAATTGCCAAGCTTAAGCCCTTTGCCCAAACTTGGAGAATCCCAGACTCTGATCTCGACGCAGCAACCAACATGCTCTCGCTATACACTCGCTTTGTGCTCACACCTAGCTATGCCCTCGAAAAGCGAGACTGGACTTCCAATTGACTCCGTGGACACTTGAGGGCATCATCTTAGGTACGGTGAGCCTACGGCAAAGGGCTGGAAGAGCTGATCAACAGAGTTCTAATGAAAGGCACTTACTTTGTGAACTTATCCGTAGCCGAGCCATGATTCGTCCAAGACCAACGGCTTGTAAGATTCGTCTAGATGTTGTGAAGAAGAGTATAAAGCTCCTAATACCATCACGGGTGAATCTGATTCCTCAGAAGCTTCAGGAACCGCTTTGCGAACGCATCTTCTCTGGACGCCAGGATCAGTCATTCGTTGCAGCACACACTATCGTGCCTTTCGCCTCAGCTATCATGCGTTTCTCATTCTTCGCTACAGCTCTGCTGTCCGCAACTGCATTCGCAGCACCTTCCGCAAAGGCGGAAGCGGCGGATCTTGCGGTTCGCTCACCAAATGCCCTACCAGTTCCAGCCCCAGCTCCTGAGGCACTTCCCATCGCCAACGCGGCTGCAGCTCCATCTGTTGATGACCTGGCGCCTTTGCTCAATAACTTGATGTCACGATCACTGGAGGAGCGACAGGATATCCTGAGCAGCATCACCGGTCTCATCTCCGATTTGGGTCCGATTATCCAAGCCGTCCTATCACTCTTAAACGCGGAAACGATCAACGATATCCACAGCATTGTCACTCACGCTGCCGACCTTTTGGATGACCAAGCTGAGCCCGCTGCAAAGAACTTGATCCTCCAGGCCAATAGATTGTTGACGCCAAACAACACCGACATTCTCGTCAACCTTCTGAACGACGTTGCACCAGTAAGTAGACTCGAAATGTCTTTTCTCTCTAATGCATCCATTTGCTAACCGTTTCCAGCTCCTGAACCAACTTGGTCCCCTGATTAGTGGAATCTCATCATTGCTCTCTTCTCTACTCGGTATCTTCTTGCCACATTCTTAAGTAATATGTAACAGTGATACAAAAGTACAACCCAATTGAAGACGTGGATAGTGGCTGTGAGCGAGAGGTGGGAGGGAAGGGGGAAAGACAAGAAGAAAGCCAGATTGACGCATGCTCTTATAGCTTTTAATGTGCCGCAGAAGCAGCAGCAGTAGTAGTAGTAGCGAAGACTCCAACTAGTTACACTCCCTTTGATTAGTCCCGAAGAATGTGAATAATAGTGCATATCGAAGACCATAACCAACGTGCATTTCTTCACATTTCCCAAATCGGAAGAGCAGTATCGTTTGGATCTCTTCAGATCTTGAAACGATCGTATTTGTGCGTGGATCTCTTTCATCTTCTAATCTTTCCAGTAAAATGGCTTCATTTTGCAGTACGTATCTGGAAATTCTGCCACCTCCCGAGGTAGAACCCGAAAGGGAGATGTCATGTGCCAGGGCAGGGCAGTGTATATAATGCAAAGGTGGGCATTTCATCCACGCGGCGAAGTGCTTATTCCACAGTCTTTCGTTGGACATTCCCCAAGCCAGAGGATACAAAGCTTGTTTTTGGCGGGATTTCAAGGGTCCGACCTTACTGTCACCAGACGCCAGACTTCCGCGCAATTCGCGTAGCCACGCAACGGCATTCGTCAATGGTGGAAGGGGCTGACACTCGACTGATCACGCCGGGAGAGGTGGGCGAGCACAACACGGAGGACGACCTGTGGATCATCGTCAACGGCCAGGTTTTCGACATTACGGTGTACCAGCACGAGCATCCCGGAGGCGAGAAGGTGTTCAGGAAGGTCGCGGGCGGCGACGCGACCAAGCAGTTTCTGAAGAACCACAAGTTCAGCACGATCGACAGATTTAGGGACGAGATCTTCATCGGCACGCTGCAGAAAGGCGAGGAGAAGGACAAGACCGGGGAGCATTCAGGAGGAGGCTTCTTTGGCCGTCTGAAGTCGAAGCTGCTGCACTGATTGATGGATGGGGCTTGGCGGCCGGGCGCCTGAGGCCGCAGCGGCCGCCCCGCGTGGCGCTGCCCAGGCCGCCACTGGTTTGCTCAGGCGTAGCGTGCATCGATGTTCTGTGGCGTTTCCTCACTCTCGACTCCAACACAACATCCTCCCGCTCGCAACCCCGTTTCCTTCCTGCGCTCTGCTCCACCACGTCCCCGACGTCGTCCCAGCCAGCCGACTCGGGCCTCGCGACCAGTGCGTGGCCGTGCGTTGGCCGTCGAAACTGAGCAGGCGCGGACGGCGCCGCTCGTCGTGCGGATACATGCAACCTGTCCCGAAGGGACTCTGCAAGGCGATGAGAATATCACTTTGTTTCAGTGCACAGCTTCGACTTGCATGTCGCAGTGCCAGTAGATCTAGACGCTATTGTTTCATCAGTCGAATGCAACTCCGTTCTCTAGCCCTCACGTAATTTGGATCTGCTGCACGCGAGAGATACGTACCCCGTCGTCGTTGACTCGACCTGGCTGACATCTCGTCCCCCCATGCCTCATGCCGGGGGCATGCCGAGGCGGCGCAACATGGATCTCAATGTGCATTATTCCTTGCGCGTGGCAGCCCGCCAGCTACCCTGATTCACGTCTACGGCGAAGGATGCCTTCTCCCCGACCGTTCGCTCCACGTCAAGGCCTTCACCCCGCAATTACCGCACTGCTCCAGCCAACGTTCGCATGGAATCATCTCCACAGCGCTCGGTCCTGGATGTGTGGGCCTGGCGACGAACGACCAGGTATGCATGTGACGCCTGTGCTTTATGCGCCGTACACACACGTCCGTTGGCTTTTGGTCGGATCAGCCAGCCTTGCTTCTCCTGCTACCTTGCTCTGCCCTCATAACAACCGACGTCCCCTCCATTGGCTGCGAATCCAGACCGTCACTCCAACCAACCCTCTTCTCTTGACCGTTCGCCGTCTTCTACCCCAAGAGCAGTGTTTGTCTTCCCCGACTTGTACCTCTTGACCACCCTGCCAAATGCCTGGTGTCAGTCCACCAGCCGACAAGATGACTAACAAAAAGCGTACTTCAACGCAAGCTGCGGGAGAGGATGGCCAGGAGAAGCCGATCAAAAGAAGAGCGTCGACAGCGTGCCAGGCCTGCCGCGCGAGGAAGGTTCGATGCAATGTGCTGGAAAATGGGCCTCCATGCACAAATTGCCGCTTAGACGACGTCCAGTGCACGATTTCCATCGGCAAAAGACGACTGTATGTTAGCTCCAGGCCTTTTGCAACCAATTCTCTGACATGGGCACAAACACAGAGGAGTTTCGCGCGGTAACGCCGAAGCCATTCTGCTTTTTTCTGATCATGGACCCTCAGACGGCGTCGAGGGCACGTATTTCTCTGGCTTCCACAGCAACCACAACCATGGCCACACCCACAATCATGGCCACAACCTTGGCCAAATGCAGAAAAGAAACCTCAATGGATCACCACAGCATGTTCCGCCGATGATGCATCGAGCCGCATTTCCCGCATACAATCGCACCTCCAACGTCAGTATCGAGTCTTTCCCGGAGCAGCAGTACCAGTTCATGGAGACCGCGTTCGGGCGGGCGGCACATACTGCCTCTCCCCCAATAAGTCATGGGTCGGCTGATGCCCAAATGTCACTGGCGGCCGGACTTCCTGAGCTGCGATCAAGTCCAGCCAACTTGCTTCCTCCGGTACTACCTCAATGGGTCAAGCCCCTCCCAGAGCGTATCAATCCAGACGACGCCGAGTTCTTGGCCAGGAAGGGAGCTCTGTCTGTGCATGACAGTGCCTTTAGAAACGAGTTGCTCAAGTGTTTCATACGCTGGGTGTATCCCTGGTCGCCCGTCATAAGTTTGGACAACGTCGTGCGGACGATGTCGGGCGGCAACGGGGCCACAGACAAGATCAGTCTGCTGCTGTTTCAAGCCATGATGTTCGCTGGTGCAGGCTTCGCTGACCTCGCCATCTTACGGAGTGCTGGTTTCAACAGCCGCAAAGACGCCCGAAAGCATTTTTTCAACCGCTGCAAGGTGAGACAGAGGCAACCATAGGTTAGGACTTTTCAACGCTAACACTTGGCTAGCTCCTTTACGACTTTGAGTATGAAGATGATCGGCTTGTCCTGATCCAAGCTCTAGTCTTGATGACGTATTGGCACGATAGTGCTGACGACCAGAAGGACATCTGGCACTGGATTACTGTTGCTGTCGCCCTGGCGCAGACGATCGGCCTCAATCAAGACCCTGATACGCTCGAGATGTCGACCTCGGAGAAGCATCTTCGCAAGAGAGTCTGGTGGTCGTTGTTCATGCGTGATCGACTAGTTGCGTTAGCCATGCGACGGGCAGCGAAGATCCAGTTGAACGAGTCTCACGTTCCGCCACTTTCCATTGCTGATTTCGATGTGTATGAAGGTAGTGCTTCAGCTAACACAGACTTCTTGAAGATGGACGTTGCTCAGCGCGAACGCATAGCTATGGTATCTGTGGAATGCTGCAAACTTTGCACCATCATCGGCCGTATTCTCGAAACTCAATACTCAACGACGTGCATACGGCGACGAAGATCTGGGAGTCAAGAAAGACCCAACACCACTACTACAATGGTCCTCGTTCCTCGAAAGGCGCAGGACGACAAGATCCAGGTTCTGGCTCTCGATGCGATGCTGTCAGGTTGGGCTGAGGATCTTCCGCCCGAGATTTCCTATGAGAACATCAAGAGACAGGGAAATCAGACGGATAACTTCGACATGAAGCTGCATTGCGCCCAGCTCTCGATGCTATACCACACTGCAATCATCATGCTCTTCCGGCCGGCGCATCTTTCGCACAGCGCAAACGGCACGCGATTAGAGACAACGCAGGAATCCAAATCGGCACTGGACAAGACTCGGGACTCGGGCGTCCAGATCACACGCATCTCCACGGAGCTGGAATCAATGAACAGTGTGCGATACCTGCTCACGGTCGGCGTCACAATCGTGGTGCACGCGGCGATGGTTCAGCTCATCGAGGCGGGCTCACCCAACCCGACGCATCGCCAACAGAGCATCGAAAATCTGGCCAAAAGTATGCGCGTTCTCGAGCAGCTCTGCGATGTGTACATTGCAGCGGATCTTGCAGTCCAGCTTCTGCATGCAGGGATTGCAAAGGCCGGAATACGACTCACCACGTCTGGCCAGCAGCAACGGACCAGCATCAGTCCGCTGAGCGTTATCGACGAGGAGCCCTCCCGCGAAAGGTTCATGAGCCAGGCGATCCTGCAGGACAAGCCTGCGAGCGATATGAGCCTCAGCGAGGATCCACCAATGGTCAGCGCGACTGACGAATTCGCGCCCAACCTCTGGCCAGGCCTCACGCCATCTGGGCAAACCCCGGGCGTGGACAACTTGTTCGGATTTCATGACACGACGTTTTCCCTGGACGAGAACATGGGGGAGTTTGGTAATTTTGGTTATGGTACGGTTTCCGGCGGCAAAGACGGCTTCTTCTCCGAATCTGACGCAGCGCTCCTGGAGCCTCATTTGCAATGGATAACGACGTAAGAAGGAAAATTGGAAGTACTCTCTCGTAGTTTGTATAGATACGTATCGTGACGATAATACTAATCCAATGAGACTATTTTTTTGGTATTTCTCGTTATTTTTTTGCAACGCCTGCCGCATCTGCTCGTGGTACGCAGGGTATGGTTAGACCGCTCACTGCATGTAATTTTTTTTTTTTTGATATCGTCATCGCAGCTGAAGCTTTTACAGGCGGATGACAAACTTGACGCCCGCGTGACATCGTACCGTCCCCAGCAACGAGAGGAGCGTGATTGCCACCATCGTACAATCTTTTACTCCTATTTCCTCCTATTTCCCCACGATGTAGTTGCGTGATCACCACGATTCACTCGATCACCGGGTGCAAATGATTACCGCAAACGTTCTGGCAGCCCGAATTATGCACTCGTGCACATTTGATCGACCTGATGCAATGAAAATTTGCATATCACCCTGGGACGTGTACGCCGCCCAAAGCGCGCGACATCGCCGTGAAGACATCTCCCCTGTGCTCTCACCCCCCCCTCTCCCCAGCGCAAACTGCGCATCCTAGCCGTGGCTGCATCGCCATCCATGTCAGCATACATGTGCAAATCCGCAGGGGTACGGGCTCCGTGGCTTTCTTCTGACAGCTGCCAGAGTCATGACTTTGCAGACGTTGAATTTTATGCGCCAGAGGGCGGCCCCAGAACGAGATCAAACACGCGTCAGAAATGACATCTTTCCCCGTCGTGGGTCGTGGCGGACCGAACAGGTGGTCACCTGAAGGATCCCACAAAACGAGGGCGGCGGAGATGAAACGTCCGGATATGAATATTTTCTTGGGAAGGGGGCTATGCGTCGATGATCCTGCAGACGCCCTTCTCGTCTAGAAGCTCAGAAGGATGGCAGAATAGTATATCAAGCGCGCTGCCAGGGGGGAAACAGTGTTCTTGCGCAATGACCCTTTTCTTTTTCCCCTTTTCGTACGAGCGAAGAACGACCGTCTGCTCGTGCGAGGGCTCGCATGAACTTGCTGGGAGCGCAAAGACAGCTGCTGCGGCCTGAGGGTTGAGCGCGCAAACGTGCAGCCCTCAAGCGAGCTGTATGTCGAGATTGAAAGTGCCGGTCCGCTCGTTTTCCATCACGAGTCGCGCCCCGTCGTTTGCGCTCCAGAAGTCATCTCGTCTGCGAGCTTGGACGACTCGTGGATGGAACGCGCTCGTACCCTCTCGTTTGGCAGCTGCGTAGCACCGTCAGCGACGTCTGACGACCTGCCCACGGCCGTGATTGTAAGCGATGATGGAGGATGGATGGATCGAAGTGGAGTCGCTGCGTTACGGAACGTCTGGCCGTTTCCCGGCAAGTCGCTGCTCGCAGAGAGAATTGTGAGACCCAAGATGCGCCGTCGCCATGCCTTCGCCCTGTGCTGATTCTACCCGCCCATTTTTTTTTCTCTTATTCATTCTGTCTTGCGTGCAGAAACTGCTCACGTCGAAGAGCCTCGAGAGTTTCTCTGTTCGCTGCAGCTCCTTTTCAGCTGAAGTGCATTTGCAGTTCTTGACTCTCAACGGTGATGGAATTCAGTGGCGAGATGTTGTGCATTCTCTAATATCGACCTCTTTGTCAAATCTTGCTGCCGAGAAATGTCCCTGATACTCTCTTTGGGACGTACGGACAAGTCCCAGCTGCGTTTTCGGGGCTCTCGCAGAAACAAAATTGAGTACAGTGAATCCATCACAATGAGTCTTTAAGCCTGATTTCAATGCCATGGCGTGATTCGCAGATGTGACCGCCATCGTCCGGTTTAGCTTTGACTCCATACACGCATTGGATCTACATTTGGAATATGAGATCGCTGACAAAGAAGATAGAGTGGAATTTTCTCCGAGAAACTATTAGATGACAACATGTCGTGAACACAAGGCCGATTAAATTGAGATCGGTCACGTCTCCGGGCAGCAACGCATCTCAACTATTCGGAACAACGAACATAACTTTGGGGATACAGCAGGGCTTTTGCTGTGGCGCAACGTTCTGTCGCACGTCCTCCAGATCGATGACAGAAACGTGGTGCCCGACAAGGCTGAACCAAGGAACAGCATAACGAAGCATAGTGCACTCTGCTCATTGGACGGCAAGGAGAAACCCCTCTGCGATCTCTCTCCCGGTTCAACACCAAGAACTCGCTCTTCCCTTACTGTGGAAGATCCACGGCATGGATCCCGATGGCCACCATCTCCACATGAGTCTCCAGCCGAGGTAGATCTATCTTATGGGTTGGAGATGTTCAGTGAACAAATCGTTGAAGTATAGATGCACGTGCCTACAAGAAAGAAAGTCGCTAAGCTTAAAAGAAAACTCGACGGCTGAAATGCGGGGATGTCCTTGTAAGGTTGACAGCAAACGTGCACCTCATATGCGGAGCAAAAGTATTGTCACTCGAGAATCAAGGCACCCAAGGATACAAAGACTGAGACACAACTCGCTCATACGTGCATGGTTGGCAGGCAGCTCGACCCGAGGCATACGGTGATGGCACGCGTCGCTCAAATGGAAGCACAGTGGCTAGCAGTGATGCAATTTTGTTGATGATTGCTAAGATAACATGAAGATCTTATCCGTCTAGAACCCTGAGCATATCCTCCACACTGGTAATCTTTTCCCTCTCTTTCCCCAGCCGTGCGCCTCGTTCGCGTTCGACCTTATCGATTTGCCGCCAATCGTTCCAATCCGTTCGTCTGACACTCAAACATTGACTCTGTAGCTCTCGGAGAACCCCATGCCAGCCATCTCGTACACATTCGCTGACGAGGTCACCATTGAGAAACTGCCGGCCCGCGTCAATGTCTTGCATGATACAATCTGCCGTAGCGAAAGCATCTTCCATCGTGCTCGCAATGACGCCCGTTGGTCCTCGCTTCACCCAGCCAGCAACGTACAGGCCTGGCAAAACTTGGGACAACTCCACCCCCGGTTGGCCAGTGGCTTCCTGTACAACGCGACCACCTCGGTTTGGAATCACTCCCCTGCGCTTGTCAAAATGAATACCAAGATCAGAAAGACCAGGAAGCTCTATTGACTTGTAGCCTATCGAGCGAAAAGCTAAAGATGCCGAGAATGCCCTTGGTTGTTCCGAAACGGCCTGGACAGTAGCTGAGGGGTCGTAAGGATCAGCGTCGACAGCAAAAGCTTGCTTCTGGAGTGAGATCGATGCCAAAACTTCGCGCGCTTCTGGCCGATCCACGAATTTGATCGGAGACCATAGAAATTCAAGAGCGAAAGATTTAGATTTTGACTCGGCAGACGACGCAGACCCTGCGGAAGCTTTAAGCAACAGCTCTGCAATCCGTCTTCTAGCGCGCGGGAGTGATTTGAGGTCAGACGGGAAAAAAGACGGATCGACATGCTCGAACCGAACGTCTGGAATGACGGTTAATTCACGAATCTCCTTTATTGTAAATGCGGCCTAGACCACCGATTAGTGCTGGCATGTCGCTTCCGTTTGCTGGCAGCATACCTGCAGTGGCCCTCTTCGCCCAATAGCCGCAACTTTTCGGACATTGCTTTCGCTCAGTTCCTGCAGTACTGGCTCTGGAATGTCCGTTCGTCGTAGCGAGTCTACCGGCGTGAGTAGAATGCGTGCGACATCAAGCGACACATTGCCTTGGCCGATGATGGCTGCATTGGTCGCGTTCTTTAGGTCGAAACCCAAGTTGGAGTATCCGGGTAAGCCGTTGTACCAGGCGACAAAACTCCTCGCACTCCATACATTTCTAAAGTGTTCGCCTTCAACGCCAAGCTTCCGGTCTTCGCTTGCGCCGTAAGTGAACAATATCGCGTCGTAGTGACGTCTTAACATTTCAAACGGGACCTGGCGGCCAACCTCTACATTGCCTATGAAATCAAAACCAGGTGTTTGCGCAATTTCTTCGAACCTGTCCTGACAGTTCTTTACCTCAGGATGATCAGGTGCGACGCCGTAGCGAACCAGGCCAAATGGCACAGGCAATCGCTCATACATGTCAATCTTGGCCCCATGATGCTGCTTTAGCAGTCGCGATGCGGTATAGAAGCCAGCAGGCCCCGCTCCGATGATTGCTAGACGAAACGGACGGTGAGAGCCCGATGGAGTGCTATACCGACGGCTTATCCCGACGAGACTGAGGCGAGCAAGCTTAGATCCTGAAGTTGAACTTTGATGTAAACGTAGCTGATGGCGCGAAACGACTGATGTCAGAACACTTGTTTGCTCCGTTGAAACCGCTGCTGTTGAGAAATCTCTCTTTCCCGCGGCTCTCGTCGATGACCTGTTCGAAACCAGCAGTCGGGTCGCGCAGCGGTGGCAAAGAAACATTGTCAATATAAGTGCACCTCTAAACGTGTTTAAACATAGCCAGGATCGAATCCGTACGATATCTAGGTCGACGCGTACAGCCTCTAAAGTATAATTTTACTTTTTTCTGATGACTGGACTGACGAATCGATGGATTTGCCGACGTTCTCTTGGTTCTGCACAGCGGGATGCTCCGCTGCAACGGGCTGAATCACGTGATCGTTGCCATGGCGACGAGTGTCAACAGCCCACCATGATGCGGAGGCCATTATCTCATAGGCACTTCGCCCATTTCTACACCAACGTATGTAAGAGGCACTCTTTACGCCGTCAAGATGGGTGGACGACAGCCATACATGTACCAGCCGGTCACGCATGCACCGTTCAACCCAAAAGCATACTCGCAATCGCTCGCAAACCCATCGCCACCACGCCCGAAGCCTGATGGGCCTCTGATCCAGTTCAATCGACACCCAGACAGCTATAACAATCTGCCGTACGGAAAGCATGTCAACGCGAAGCTGATGAGTCCTGGAAGCAAGAAGAGGATCTTAGTTGCGAGGAAGATTCAGCTGGGATGGCGGACACTACAATGGTTTGCAGCATTGGCAGTCTTAGCATGTGTCGTGATCATCAAGGGCGCGCCAGATACTCAAGGCTGGATCCTGAGACTGCCGGTACGTATCAATCTGTCTGGCGACTCAACAGTCGACATTTTCTGACTCCAGACTTCAGCCTGCTCTTGACCTTGCAGTCTCTACCTACGCGGTCTGGCACCTGTGCAGAGCCCCAACTCACCACCCACCAGCAAGTGCAGCCAGCTACCATGCGTTCTCTTTGGTGATGGATATTGGCTTGATTCCATTTTATGCATTTACCAGCATACTTCTGAAGAACCAATTCGAGACACCCGCAGACACAGAAGGTAGATGGCGAACCATGCTCAACACAACACAGGCGACCAATACGGTCTTTCAGGTCACTTGGTTGACGGCGATCGTGGCAGCCGGGCTGCATGCAGTATCCCTCTTCATCAGCGCGTACCTGATCGTCATGTTCCGAAAAATAGCAAATCTGCCGCCGGATATGAACCCTCTGGAGGATAATCTGACCAGCCGCAGCAAATCGAAGCACAAATACAAAAATTCCGACCTCTCAGCCCTAATGGGCGAAGAGAAGAGGTTCAGCGACATTACAGCCCGCAAATCAAACACTAGCCTCTCGGACGAGGATAATTTGACTTTGCGAATGTCGCAGACGAGTGAGAAGCTTACGGGGGTGGACAAGCACCGCTCGTCCGGAGTCTCGTTCTTCGCATCTCGAAATGGGCAGGCTAACACATACTCTCCTCACAACCCGGAAACCGCAGCAGCAAATCAACTGTGGTACATTCCTGATCCGAACATCTACAAGGAACCAGGAGTGGTGTACCAGCAGACCGGCTCGGCACGGCACTCACGAGCGGATTCTGACTCCGAATATGGCCACAGCCGAACGTATTCCCCCATGCCAAATGCACCCCGCATTGCCAAACGCCATTCCGCAGCGCCTGCATCGCCCATCGCGATCTATGATGAAAATCACCAAGCCGAGGAGCCGAACTGGGAGATACTCGATCATGACGAGGAAGGAAATATTTCCGACGATTTCGATCCGTACCGACAGGCGCAGTCCAGAACTGTGGGTAAGTCGACAGGGGGGGTGGTTACCCGAGGCTCAAGCCGGTATCAACAAGTCGCCCAGAGTGACTCGGAAACCGGCAATCTTGCTCATCTGGATCCAAGCCGGGCTCTCCGCATGAATCCTCCCACCCCAGATCCAGTCCTTCACGTCGAGCAGCAGCCAACTTCACCGCTTGCCCGCCTGTCACGGGGGTACCATGACGACAAGGAAAACACCGGGGCCGAATGCGACGAGCGTACGCACACGATCACCTCTCAAAGCAGCTTTCATTATTCCGAGTCTGAGCCGACAACATCCCAAGTAGGCCAACAGGAGCAGGCGCCGCCTAAGTCGCGCTTCTACACAGATTTGGCTGCGGCCATGCGAGGCGTTAGACACCACAACCCTTCAATCAAGGTTCCAAAGAGCGTCGCCGGCAGCGTGCACACCCACCTCTCGTCCTCGACTGCAACTTCTGGGAGCAAGGCAGTGCCAGCCACCCTGGGCGATCGACGGATCAAGCCGTCGGGCACTGTGATCCGCAAGCCGTTAAAGTCCTATGACGACGGTCAACAGACAGGCTACACAGTCGCTAAATCAAGCCCGTCCCGTGTTGTTAGCAGGTCAGGCGTCGACGTAGATGTGATGGAATTTGCTGCAAACGGCGACCTTGGACTGGGCAGCGTGGGAAAGACCAGGAGGGAAGTGAGTGGCAAGGTTGCCGAGGAGGGTAGAGGAGGCGGTCTGTGGCGGCGCATCAGTGGCCGTGTCCCTTCGAGGTAAACTACGATGAATGTGCTCGTAACGCGATATAGCATCGACATGGCGTTTAACGTAAGTATCGGGTCTGTGGCGTTTAATGAAACCGATGGGAACATGATGGAGAGTGTGTTGGCGTTGGCTTTTGGACACCGAACATGTATGAGATGTGGGTATTATGTAGTCTGACAATGCGAACGTGTGTGGCGTGCGATTGTTGGCTGCCTCAATGTCCCTGTTGTGATCTATGTCGTTGCTCTTGATCCTGGTGGATGGTGCTGCAACATAATTTGTGTCACGGGATTGTTCCGAGACGGCTCTCAGTTAAAAGCACGCGAGTCTTTGCTCCTTCGATCCATCACATCTTTTGTCCTTTGTGGTTGAAGCGACTGTCCTTCGTCACGGTCGTGTCTTCTGCCTGATGAAGATGCAATACTGTGAAATAACAATTGCTGGTGACCGCTGAATCGCCTCTTTGCGGTTCTGTGCGGACATGTTAGGAGCTCGAAACTCCAGGATCTGTACCACAGAGTCAAGACATCCCTTGCCATCAGTCCACCGGCTGCACATTGCGTCAAGTGCCTCATTCTATGTTGCGCGTAGTAACACAAAGGGCTTCGTTCTACAACATTCTTTCTTATCCTCCTGTCGACAAGCGCGTTCGGTGGCCCTACGGCCTATTCTTTTGCCTCAATGGTTTTTATATTTCTCTGTCTGTCAACTCTGTGTATCCCTAAAGCAAAAGCATCTCAATCATTTTCCTCAGTCACTTGTCGTTCAACAGTAGACTACAACAAGGGTTAGACAACATCAAACCGAGCAAATTCCGTGCGCTTTCACTCCAGATGGCAGGACTCTTGACATCACAAGCCGAGCAGTGAATTTGGACGGAATGGAAATGGTTGTATGATATTCTTTCCTGGCTGTACTGAGCTAACTCAAGTGCAGGAACAGGCTCGGCTTGCACGTTAGATCAACAACATCTTTACAAGTATTATTGACGTGATGAGCGTGCTAGGCATACACCGCTCCCGATCATCACAGAAACCTCCTTCGCGGCTTCTCCAATTTGTTTGCATGCTTGATTCGACATCATGCTGGGGCAGCTGCAAACCACACAGCGATCTGCCTCCATCTCGGATCCATGGCCTGTGAAAGACGTACGCTCAATCAGCTCATAGCACTCGTACTTAAAGATGCTTACTCGCCCACAGATTGTGTACGTAGCCATCGTCGGCACTGTAATGTTGATGGCATTGCTCGAGTGGTTTCTATGGCTGGCGGCATTTTTGTATTGTCTCTGGAAAGTGTACCAAAAGGCAGACATGTGGAGCATCAAGCTCCTGGCTGTTATCAACGCCGTCTTTTTCATTGCCATGAGGTGAGCCGTTCTTCTTCTTTCAGGATACTTCATTGACATTTTGAACAGATTCACCTTCCTTCCCATCATGGTTGTTACCCTTCCCTTACCTGCTCAGGTCACGCAGTACTTTCCCCTGCAAATGGTCTCTTTCCTGCAGTGGTTTGCCTTTTGGACGTTTGCGGGTCTGCTCACCGTGCCGTGGCTGTTCTGCGTCTATCAAATCGTCACGCACAACATCGGCCGCCAGAAAAGAATCAAGCATGTCCTGGACGAGCTCACAGCGCCGAAGGTAGTAATAGTGATGCCATGCTATAAGGAGTTGCCGGAGATACTGCTCCGAACGATAGACTCGATCGTCGATTGCGACTATCCCCCCTCGTGTCTCCATTTGTTCTTGTCGTTTGATGGCGAACAAGAGGATGAACTGTATCTCAACACAATTGAGAAATTGGGCGTACCGTTGACCCTTGACTCTTATCCGAAAAGCATTGACGTTGTGTACCGCAGTACACGGATCACGGTATCACGATTTCCCCACGGCGGCAAGCGCAGTTGCCAGAAGCGAACGTTCAAGCTCATAGATCGCGTTTACACAGAATATCTGAAACGAAATGATAACCTCTTCATCCTCTTCATCGACTCCGATTGCATTCTCGACCGAGTTTGCATACAAAACTTTATGTACGAGATGGAACTTAAGCCTGGAAGTAAACATAATATGCTGGCCATGACTGGGGTTATCACGTCCACAACCGAGAAGAACAGCCTGATCACCATACTGCAGGACATGGAATACATTCACGGTCAGCTTTTTGAGCGCTCCGTCGAATCAGGCTGCGGAGCTGTCACCTGTCTACCCGGTGCTCTAACCATCCTCCGCTTCTCAGCCTTCAGGAAGATGTCGAAGTACTACTTCGCTGACAAAGCGGAGCAATGCGACGACCTTTTTGACTACGGCAAGTGCCATTTGGGCGAGGACAGATGGCTGACACACCTCTTCATGATCGGCGCAAAGGAGCGCTATCAAATTCAGATGAACACAGGCGCGTTCTGCAAGACGGAAGCGGTGCAGAATTTCCCGGCTTTGCTCAAGCAGCGACGAAGATGGTTTCTCGGCTTCATCACAAACGAAGTCTGCATGCTCACAGACATCCGTCTTTGGAAGCGCTACACCATTCTCTGCGTGCTTCGACTCGCACAAAATACGATTCGGACCACGGCATTGTTGTTTTTCATCATGGTCATCTCTCTGATCACAACTTCGCAGAAGATTCAACAACTGCCCGTCGGCTTCATCGCCATCTCGCTTGGCCTCAATTGGCTGCTCATGTTCTACTTCGGTGCCAAGCTCGGCAGATATAAAATCTGGCTCTACCCTGTCATGTTCGTCATCAACCCCTTTTTTAACTGGATGTACATGGTATACGGTATCTTCACGGCCGGACAGCGGACATGGGGTGGGCCACGCGCCGACGCAGGAAAAGCTGACGAGAACACCACAGCTCAGGAAGCAATTGAGTTTGCCGAGGGGGTCGGAGATGATCTCAACGTTGTGCCAGAGTCCTTCAAACCAGCTGCAGAGATCAGGCGTAGACGCAGCGGTAAGGAGAAGAGATCACCGCCAATACCTCTCATACCATCAGACAATCTCTCGGGCCGCTTTGCACCGGCTGAACGGACACCCAGTGGATGGTATCGCCACATCAACGAGTCTGGAGTTACTATTTCAGAGTCCAGGAGACCTCGTCAACACTATTCACAGTCTAACGCATACGCGCGTGACTCGGTCGATTCGGTGGCTACGGTAGGATCAGAAGGCCAATCAATATACATGCCACGACGTGTCGAGAGCTTTTTACCATCTGAAGATGCGGCCACGTATCATTTCAATCAGCAAGCTCAACGTCCGGCCGGTGGCTCGCATTTTGAAAACCAACGACGGCCGCGTCACGGACAAGAGCGCAAGTTCCGAACTTTGCGAAATGACGAAGATGTTGAGAAAGCCATAGACCAGTCGGCCGAGCTGTCAGAATCCGAGAGGATATCTTCAGTCAGCTCGGATGGAGAGCTAAATCCATCCACTAACCCGCACGACTCCGTCGACTCTCTCGATCTACATCCCGGTTACAACGGTCGCACTACACGACCGGATTCTCGTCGGAGCACAGACAGCTACACACACTCGCGTGTTCGACCTCCGTCTAATAGCCGGAAGCCATCTGAGAATCACCAGCTCCCGCGTTCACCTTCACTGCCTGAACTGAATCCAAACAGTCTCCTGGCCCAGGGACCAACACACTACCGTCCACGCGGCAGACTCCCTGTCCCTCGCCAAAATCAACCGCGCAGCCCTCTTTCACGACGCAGTTTCGTGCGCACGTCTGACACTTCGTTTGATCTTGGGTTAGAAGCAGAGCCTCAATCTGATGAGCCTGGCGCGCAGAGATCTAGATCTGCTAGTGCTTTGCAAAGGCTTTCTATGTTCTCTCAACCAAACGGGATGTTTTTTACCCGTCCGAGCACGACGGAAAACGTTGGTTCGAGGGACCCCAGCAGTGAAAGGGAGGGCAGGAGAAGAAGGAGGTTGAGTAGAGAGAAGTGGCGTTAGATTATGGATGGTAACCTCCTACAAGGGTGTATCAGCATTTTAGAGTTTGGTCAAGACGGCGGGTATGGTCTATAAACTCAGACGCATCTAAAACAGCTTACGGCAATATCCTGCGTGTCCTTCAACAGCAAGCAGTAACATGGAACGTGGATAAGCTAAAAGCTTGTTACAACATAATCGATAATTGCAAAACCACCTGTACTTGGTTCGGGCCGAATGCCCAGGCTTTACCGTCCGAAATAGTGGAATTCAGTAGAAATATTGTAATCCGCGCCCTTGGGTTGTTGTCAGCGTCTGTGGGACATCAACTGATTGCCATCTTACCTACGAGTAACAGGAGTTCGGTTTGCCTTAGCTATACCCTGCAAGACAAAGTTTTCCGCGCTTCTAGTCTTGGACACGCCTCCCGGATATGGAAGAAAGATCATTGAAAATGTATAACATGTGAAGATGCGTTGAATGAGGCCATGCTGAGGGCCTCGTATTAAAACGAGGCAAGCCCTCCTTCCTCCCCCAAAAAAAAGAAACCAGTCATGCACCAGCATTACTGCAATATAAACCATTTAATTTCACAATATTCATAGTGTACAGCTGCGTAGATAGCATATGTCTCTCCACATTATCGTTGGACAGTCTGTTTACACGCTTCAGCAAGATAGAATCCTCGACGAAACATGTAAGAGCTTCGTCATGTCGAAGAAATGACCAGAGAACGGTTGAAATCCTTGTATCTCAACGTTTTGAAACTGCATTCTTGAGCAACTATTTGAAATGAAAGTTGATCCGAGGTGGCATGTCGAATGGAACCTAAAACGCAGTTACGAAAAGCCGCACAAGTCCGTCGAACATGTATCTACATCTGACTAAACTCAGAATACGTAGACATGGTTTTGGCCTGAATCGTGAAAGCCAACACCTCGGATTGGGGTTGGAATAGGAAGAATCGAAAATTATAACTCAGATCGTAGCCTTGTACGAAAATCGAGATGTTCAGATTGGCACGGAACGGACCTGACCCAAGCTATTCATATATATGGTCCGGCCTTCTGAGCACACGTAAGCTATGTTGTTAAAGTTCTGCGTCAGGTCGACGCCTCCTTTCAGCTCCCAAGCATTCTCCATGTCCAAGCGATGTTGAGACTTGGGACGACCGTTAGCGATGCGCTCTTTCTCGAAGTACACGTAAGCAGCATAGTATATCCCACTCATGTTTCCTGTCAACGGGCCTCCGTAATTGCGGAACTTGTTCAGCTGCGTGGCCTGAAGAGACTTTGGCTTCTGAGGGCCGTGGAACTGGGCATGGAGGTCGCGCAGGAACGAAGCCTGCGTAACGTTGGGCTTGCGCAGGTGCGCTTCAATCTTCCTGCGGATCTCGTCGCACGAATCGTAAACCTCGACCTCGTCCTCTTCCTCCCCCTCGAGCTGGATCGATGGAAACGGAATCGGGGTCGGGATGGACGGATCTTTCTTGCCCTTGCCAACTTTGGCATTGGTGGAGGTCTCCGACAGCGGCTTGCTTACCTTCTGCTTCTTCGGCATGGGGATGCCCAGCTCCTCTCGATGTTTGAAGTAGTGGAACGCGTTGACGTATGTTTCGCTCATCATTCCCTTCTCCTTTCCGTACTGCTTCATGAACTTATGGTAGCTCGGGCCTGAGACGTCGATCGCCTCGATGAAGTCCTTGACCTTCATGCCGCTGTTCTCGAGGAACTTCCTGATTTTGCTACGGACCTGATTGCAGTCCTCTGTCACAACAAATCTTTGGCTTTTCAGAGATGATCTTGCACTGTAAGCGTCGTCATCATAGGCATGACTGATAAGATTGGCGACGTCGTAGTTGCGTTTGAGACTGGAGACACCAATGTTCTCCTTGTTGGTCGAATAATTCTCCATTTAGGGAGTATTAGGAACGTATTTGTCGTATCTTTTCTGTTAAGTAGTGGAATCAAAGGGTAAATGGTGTCGGAATGCAGAACTGCTTGACATGGGCTATGTTTTTGGATGTTTTGTCCAAACGCATCACGATGAATGCAATGCCCGGCTGCTTAGAACGGAGTGTCGGCTTTAAGTGAAGGTCTGATTTTGTTAAGAAAGAAAATGCAGCCGAATACCATGAAGTCTTGTCTTCAGCGCTGTCCAGCACGCGTGTGCAACTACATGACCGCAAACATCCACGCGGGACAGACTCGCGCCAACCTTGTCACGATGCGCCTGGTCACGTGATAAAGCAGCACTTCAACGCACGTGAATTTGTCATGGCCGGATTCTCCGATACGACATACGACGGGATAATATCAAATGCGGCCCAGAGACTTAAGCTTTGCTGTCGGCACCAGGAGCTTTTTGAAGAGCAGTGTTTAATTCCGCAGCGCTTTCCGCTCCCAGTCCGGTCTTGTAAGTTACCGTACTGCGCAAGGCGTTGCTTCATCAGCACAGCGCAGGAAAACTAGCCTGGTCGAGACAGCCTAGATGAGAGCCGCTCCCAGACCCACTAAAATTTTCCAACATCGAGGACGACATTTGGCCTTCACAGCACTCTCGGCTCTCAACGCATGATGCCTTCCTTTTCCCAGGCTTCAAAGCCTGAATCGCAATATCCAGCGCGAATAGGCGACCTCACCGTCTTGCCCATCACGTTTGCGCCCACGTCCGCATACCCGCATGCTTCAACGCATTACCTCTACATAAGACCTGACGCGCCCAAAGACGCAGAAGAGATATCTACCGACAACCAGCGCAGTCTCTTCGTATCCAATGTTCCCGTGACGGCTTCTGAATCATCTTTTCGGCAGCTCTTCAAAACGCTGCATCCCCAAGCTATCATACATCGTGCTGAGTTTGCCTCGGCGGAGAAAAAGTCTGCACGGCTGGCGGTGACTGGTGAAGTTGTGGTGCAGGGGACAAAGGTCGGGGTTCCTATTGGACTCCTGAGGGGAAAGAAGAGGAAGCGGGGCGGAGTGGATGAAGATGCCCTTGTGAAACGCAAATTGGCGGAAATGGAGTTGCCTCCGGTTTGGGGACGCGGGGTGTGGGAAGGTGGAAGTAGTGCAGTGCTCGTCTTTGTGGATCGTGACGCGATGAGTATTGCATGGAGAGCGGTGCAGAGAGTTGCAAAGGAACATGGAAAAGTCTCGTGGCCAGGAGCAGAATCCGGTTTAGGCCTGGACAGTGAGTTGCTCTATTGCAGCGTCGAAGCGCTGACCGTAGGCATTGCTAACAGCCGTTGCTGCGAAGGATACATAACGCATCATACTTTGACATATCCCTCTCCAACATTGCTCCAGCAAAAGGTCAACGCATACCTGACCCACTTCAGCACTCTCGAATCAATCCGGAACAAGCAACTCCACCAGCAACGAAACGTGCCCGATGAAGAAGGATTCATCACAGTCACACGCGGCGGTAGAACAGGTGCTGGTCGCATAGAAGATGCGCAGGAAGCGCAGAAACGGTTGAAGGAACGTGCGGAGAAGAGAGTCGGCGCCGACTTCTATAGATTCCAGACACGCGAGGAGAAGAAAAAGCGAGAGATTGCGCTGAAAAAGAAGTTTGAAGAAGATAGACGGAGAGTGGAGGAAATGAGAAAGAAGAGAGGAAGGACGGTACCAGAATAAACTGCTCTGCCTCGGTGGTTTTGTCAAAGAGATGGAGATGACTCAACGGTTTGCTTCGCTGTCTACCTATTCCTTCTGGGCCAGATCCTCTTGGAGTTCAAAATTGAGATTCGCCACGTCTAAAGTTGGGCGTCCCGGATCACAACGCTCGAGAATACTGGTTAGACTTTTGTCCAAGGCACGTCAACGACCAAACCCCTCTCTTTCTCTCCCTCTCGCTGCCCGGCCGCCTATTACGTTCACAGCGAATTCGGCGCGAAAGTAAGTAATCCCAGCCACTCAGGAGTGGCTTCAGATGCAGGCTTTACGACTCTAAGTCACTCGAAGCAAGTCTAACATGCGAGAAAGCACGAAACATCTATCGCCGCGTTATCTTTTCCAGAGCCAGGGGATGACCATTCCTTGGTGGCCCGTCCACAAACGCTCGTCTGTGGATTGGGTGTATTCACACGTCATCCAGCGGCCGCAGGCCTCCGTTCACGAGGGCCATTAAATCTCAGTAAAGGGGCCTCAAAGCATTCGAATCCAATCTGTACTGAAGACGATGGGGCTCTGCGCAGTTATGAGACTTGGTGTCTGCTATCTTTCAAGTTGTGCCTCTTGATTTCACCTGAAGTTGGCAGTGAGACATTTGAGTAGTGCTCTTGATGGATTCGACAAGCTAGTCAAGCTTTTGGGCCTAAGACAGCTTTGACGGGATATTGCGAGGTTTCATTGTGCTTTCTCAGGACTAACGAATAACAATGGCTGATGCCGACTGCGGAACAATGACACATATTCCCGTCCATTTTCACCGTGCAGACCTGAGCTTGTGAGGCTTAAATCCATGATTGAAAGTACAAGACATGCATGGCCCTTTCTCATTGCTCGTAGCATCTGCTAGAATACCTGATAAAGATGTGAGCGGGTCCGGCATGGCTCTGGGCCTTGGTCGCTCTTCTGCCACTGTAGTGAGCGCAACAGGGCACATTCAAAGATAAAGGCGAAGAAACTCTCGTCGTTTCGTGGGATAAGCTATAGCGGTTCGGGTACGTAGGTCCTTAGCTACGCTGTATCCGCGGCCAGAGTTCCTGGCCTTGCTGCCTGGACGGAGAATCCATCTCAGAAGAGATTCAGCCTTGTCAAACGTTATAAAACGACCAGATTCGAGTCGCAGGCCAGCACACAATCTGTTGTCCGTCGCCGAAAGCTTCCATATGGTCTTGACAGCATAAGGTCTCTTAATCAGTTCTCCCCTGTCTGCTTCCAACACCCCCCTACCTAGAATGAGATGGTGGTCGCGTTTTCTCGGACTTCGTGATCGGGATCGCTCCAGTGATCCAAGCTCAGTTGCCGTAGAGTCACGGCTCAAAAACTCCTCTTTGTTACGGATTGGAAGAAAAGTAGCAATGAATTCTAGACCTAAGAGGCCGAAAGGTGGGGAGCATCACTGGGACGAGCAGAGCTCTCATGGTACTTTCACCTTGCATGGGCGGTGTAGGAATTGTGTCGGCTCGATGATCTAACTCGTTCTCTTCTCTAGACGCTCGTCCTAAGACGCATCTTCTGTGTCTACCGGGTGGTAAGCTTTTGTCGTCCCGAGAATTTGCACTCTTTACTAAAGAATCTGCAGAAATCCGCAACGAGATCTACAGGCAGCTCGTCTGCAAGCCCTTCGTGGCGAGGGATCTTAGATTTCTCCTTACGTGCCGGCAGATCTATCACGAGGCTGGCTTGCTAGCGTTTTCCTCCGCACACTTCTCGGTCCCGATGAACAGGCGGGCCGAGAACATACGCGTGGTTGCACTGTCAGACACCCTCAAGTCTGCTGTTAACTACATCACGCTGTCACGCCCCGGTGTTGGAGGCCTGTTTGAAACGCTAGAGTGGCTACGAAAGTCAAATATTTATCCAATTTACGTCGAGTACCCGGTTGGCCCACAGCTTATAGCAGAGAGTCTGATGAGCTTTCTCCTGCGAATACTAGAGACCGGTGCTTACGGGCCTCAGGGAGATGACTGTTTTGCTCTCCAGGTCTTTGGAGAGTTCATCAGTAACCCGCGTCTCAACGAGTTGACCTGGACAGGATTGCTACAGCACAACAACGGCGCAAAAGATGGCCCACGGTTTGCGGTTCGAGTCTTGCGGGAGAGCCAACAGCCGAATGGATCAACCTTCTCGAAAGCGCAAAGCATGCGTTGGACTGAATTGTGGAGAGATATCACGGAAGTGGTGCTTGTGGAGGATCTGAGAGCGGAGGAAAAACTTGTCATGGTGAAACACGGATCTGCTGGCTTTCTTAAGTTGCGTTTGCGTTCGGAGCCAATGGACCGCAGTTGAAACTACAAGAGCACAATTGATAAAGTGAAGTGTTATGCTTGTCATCCTTGCATCACGAGCTCAGCACCGTTTGGAGTCGCTGCGGGAGCCCTTAGCGTCACGTTCCAAGCAGGAAGCTGTAGCGTTTTCTTCTCATGCCAGAATATTATTTTGTTGATCGGCTCCCCGCCATAACTAACCGTGTCCATGTCTGCGACACAATCGTCGTCCCACACATTTCTCTTCGACACGCCATCCTTCGGACGCTCGTGCACGACGCTAATGCGCCATATCTCACCGCGCTTACGCTCTTCGTCTTCGAAGAGAAGCGTCGGCGTGAGTTGAGGATACCACGCTTGAGACGTATCCCGCACAAATATGGGAAACAGCGTAGCAAACACGTCGGTTCCGTTGGATATGAATGACTTGAGATGCAACCCCTTCGACGCTGAAGAGTCGAGCGTTAATGAAGAGTTTACGCTCGAGTCCGCCGCAGTGAACGACCCGGCGTAAGTTGACGCGATACGTCGCCAGACCGCGTCCTCGGCTGCGCGAACCAAGTCGACCGTGACGATCTCTACAATTTCCAGCAGCAACGCGGCCTCGCCGCCGACCAACACCGTGATGCCGAGACCGTATTCTTCCATGATCACGATGCGGGACGGGTAGCCAGGCAGCCCGCCCGACTTCGTGGCAAACGTCACCGGCCTCTTGCTGCTGGGCAGGATTCGGTCGGTGCGGAAAATCTCGAAAGGCATTCCGTAGAAGCTGTGAAGTCCGCCAGACCAGCCGGAGGGCCCGAGCCAGTTCACGCCCGTGGCGAGCGCGTTGTAGTGGGTCAGGATGTACCGGACGAATTTGGACATGTCCGCAGAAGAGCTGTAGATTCCGCCGGAAGGGCTCTGGATGCCCTCTTCGAAATCCCAGTAGTTGTTTCCGTTCCTCAGCAGGGGAAGAACGGCGCGGTCGTCCGGAGGTTTGTCGAAGCTCGAGCTCGTCATGTTGAGCGGCTCGAAGATGGCGGTTTTGACGTACTGCTCGTACGTCATGTTTGTGACGTCTGCGAGTACGAGGCCTAGTACCTCAAAGTTCAGGTTGCTGTAGGTCGATCTTTGGTTAGGAGCAAAAACGGGTCCTCGATGCTTCAAGCCGTCGAGGAGCTGGGTTCTATTGCATGGTCTGTACTCATCGTTCTCGTCACAATTGGGAGCCGTCTTTCCCGAAGCGGGCGGCAGACCAAGGGATGTAGGATCTATGTCGGAATTGATGATATCAGCCTGGGCAAACTCTCGAGGAAGACCAGATGCCTGTGAGGCGAGGATGCGCAGCGTGATGTCCTTCCACGGCAATTCGTACTCGTCCGACCTTAACTCTTCCACATAGTTGAGGACGGGGTCATCCAAATTTACGTTTCCAAGTCTTTGCTGGAACAGAATGCCCAGGGCCGTGAAAACTTTCGTGATCGAAGCGATTCTGTACTGGCTCGACGAGTCGACGTGTTTGACACCGGGCCGCGTTTCATTACGTCTGCGAGCTGTGGCATGGCTTTCCCATAAAGTCTCGGACGCCGAGGTCACTTCAACTGAGTACGACGTGTTTTCGTATTGCTCTTTGCTAACGACTTGGCGCAGTTTGCTCTCGATGCTCGCAAAGGTAGAGCTCAAGTCCGAGGCTAGGCCTGTCCATTCTGGAGGCGGGAATGCCGGAGTCTGCTGATAGCACACACAATTCACTGTTTTCGAGAGCAAAAACAGCGATACAAATACCACGGTTAGCATTCTGAGACAGTCCTTGGCGCTAGTCCATTCTTTTGTCGCGTGCCATGTGTGTTTAGGCACGGTCAAAGATCTGAGACGTATAGTAGGGGCTTAGATAGTATGTGCAGGTTGCAATCTACAGCGTCCCTGGAATGAGTCCTTTGACACACACCTCGCGTTCAGAACTGCACGAACACGAATTTGCGAGAGTATCAATCTGACCTCTGGAAGAATAATTACCGGACGACGTATCATAGTCCGGGGAATATAGCATGGAGAGAGACCACAAAGCGGCCTTGTATCGTTCTCCGTGGGCAACTCGTCCAGAAATGCGCCGAAGACGCCAGATGCTAAAGATACATGCTCAACTAATTTGCATTGCTTACCAAATCGTAGCTAATTTACAATTCTCACGTCCACAGATATCCGTCAACTTCTCTCAGAAAAGAGTAACGCGTGGGCTGGGAAGCGGCGTTCAATCTCGGCCCAGTCGGTTTCAACAAAGTCCACACACTTCTTCTCCCGCAGTGAACGACTCTTGCGTCAACGTTCGTAGGTGGGCTGAGGAGCCGCCAGGAGACTTGATTTGCTTCAAACGATAGCTCTATGCACTGATTTTGGCATGCTCTTATGCTTGTTCGGCCCTGATGCAACCGTGTCCTATTATGAGTCGTGCTAGGGCTTGTGATGAACCCGACCTTCTCGAGTGCTACAGCCAAAAATGTTCACGTAATATTCAAGGGCTCAACGGAGTAGCCTTGCGAGCAGCAGTTTTCTTGCGTTCTCTTTTCGAGCTCGCATCACTAGCCATCTCCTCGATCTGCATCATCAAGCCATCAATGAGCCTTTTCTGCTCCTCCCACGCTCTACTCAATTCTTTGTAATGCTCTAGGATCCTTTTCTTGTCGCCCTTCTCACAGGCTTGCCAGCACTTGTCTCTGAGATCGTCGACGTCCAGATCCAGCCGCTGCTTCATAACTTCGCGATAGTCAAGGTTTGTCGTGAATATGCCATCAAATGCGGTTTTGATCAGTGGAAGGTCGTTCCTTCCAGCGGCTGGCTCGTTGCTTTTCATGAGCTTCGACATGTCGTCCAGCTCAGCGCAGAACTCTGCCCGGCTGTTCTGAAAATTCCTGGGGCCTGTCCGTTATTGTTAGCGGCGGAAATACGGTCGGAATGAATCCAAAAGGCGATCACTCACGTTCACTGTTCACGGTGAACTCGGCGTACGCGAGCCCTCGGATCGCAGCAAACGGCCTGGCGAATTCGAGGATCCTGCTCTCTGCGCCGCGAAGCTCTCGCTTGATCACAGGCCTTCGGCATATGGCCACGCTGTACTCGATGGATTTGATATCGATTTCGAGGCAGCTGAGGCCGACGCACTGGGCGAGGAACTCAGCAAAGTTCCTGACACCATCCATGCGCTTCCTGTGGCACCCAGCCCGCACGCAGTCATGCGCCGCACCTATCTTGGAGGGACAGAAGTCGTCGCTGGCGTCGACAGCGATTCTCAAGTCCGCAACGTGCCTCAGCTGGCTCTCGATCATGCCGAGATCGCACTGGCTCGAGCCGAGCAGGAACTCCCTCGAGCAGATGCGCAGTTCGTTGAGGACAAGCTCGCCATTGAAGGTCTTATTTCTGTATACGATGCGAGCGCACTCGCTATACAGCTGGTGATTGACGCGCATCACGGCGACGTGGCAGGGTTCGAGATCTTTCCGCAACGCCGAGTACCAAGCCTGAACAACCCGCAGGTACTCTTCCAGTCTCTCCTCACGCTTCCTGATGGGCACGCCGTGCCATCGGCCTTTTCTTGCATCGCGCAGCAGCTGTATGGTCCCGTTTGGACGGCAGCGCGTCTTCAGGTCGCGTATCCTATATTCTTGCTCGTCCGGGAGCAGATACTGCAGAATTTGAAGGCGAAGCTCGACAGGCAATCCTAGCAGGGAAGCCGCGGGGTATTTCGGTCGACCATCCTGCCGCCGGTGTGAGTGGATTCCAAACGCTTGGTAAAGAGCCAGAGACTAACATGCACCGATCTAAGCTCCGGACCAAACCTCCACAGCTTGGCGTCGTACTCAGCTTCAAGGTCATAGGGAGTAGTGACGGAGTCGACGAACGGGGAGCCATCTGCAAAACCATACAATTCGAGCTCCTGGCGGAGAGTTCGTTCGCGCTTCATACGCCGACGCTATCCTATGGTTAAAGCAACGGCCAAGGGATTGACTGTAGGAGTTGGTAACGCGTGTGTTTGCACTTAATAAGTTACGGCGTCTATTCAGGGACGGGTAAGGCCGGCTAGACCAAAAATGGACTAAGCGCAGCGCGTTCACTGGCCCTTGTGCGTCAAACGAAGGCGTCTTCGAACCTCGCGTCCTCATGTCTATGACACCTGGCCAACAAGGCCCACGTAGCTCTGTAGATTCCAACTATTCTCGGCGAGAACAGATAGCAGACCAATCGCCTTGTCGCAGCATCCGCCTCATCGGGATCCCAGACACGCACGTGGCATTCAATCAGGCGGGCAAATAACTCGCCCAAGTCTCAACAGCCTTACACAACATATGTATGTGCTTATGGCGGCTCTGACCACAGCAACGCCATTTCAAGATCTGAACGCCTTCAATTCCCCAGACATCGAACCTGCTGTAAATACTTTGAGAGTCTGGAAAGAAAAGAGGCGCGCTAGAGACCCAGCACGTCTATGCGGAAGGGGAACATGTCTTCAGTTACTCGTGCAAAACGAGGGCAGCGTGATCGGGTGTCGAAGATGAAAAAAAAAAAAAAAAAAAAAAAAAGATGATGATGATGTTTTGTTGACGATAGACAGACAAGACCGAGATCTTTGCTGTTTGGCTGTTTGTTTTTTGTCAATCGTGGTCATGCTTTACACGCACGCGAGATTCGGTAGAAAGAGCTTGGTGCAACCATCGACGTTCAGATCGGGAGTTCCTGTCCGTCGTTCTCCTTCGCCTTGCATCTCCGTGCAACATACGTTCGTTCAAGGTGCTGCCCGTTGAAAGTGGCACCCTTCACTACGACGCGAGGGCTCCCTCTGCGGCCCAGCGCGATGACGAGCGGCGGGCAAAGCAAGTCGCTTGAATCAACGCACATCCAATGGGCCAACAATGTGCGCCCGATGAGTTGGCGACGGTGAAGGGAAAACAAAATTCCGTGCCACTCCGCTTTTCCACAGCGAAGCAACAATCCCGCCAGCCGCCTCCCGCCGAGGTGCGCTCGAAGCTGGTTTGTCGAAGATTGGGTCCAGCGAAGAGGAGCCTCGAGAAGCCAGTCCGCATTGCTCACGCCGACCACGTTTCCCACAATCTTTTCACTCCGACACCGCAACATCCCAACCGTCGCAAGGGCAAGGCTGAGAGCGGGAAGCTCACGTGGCAAAAATCGCGCCGTGATTGGTCCCCGCCAGGGCATCCTTCCCCACGTGCTCGCTCGCGCGACGTCCCCCCCCCCCCCACCGTAGACACTCTCTCGTACATATACACGCATAACTTCCGAACGGCATCATCTCGGACATCAACCCCGTTTTGACGACGCGAAGCCCGTCGACGCGTAGAATCTGCCCGCGAATCTGCCCGCGAATCATCCGGGACCCGCAGAAGAAGATGATGTTGACCGATCGGACGCAGGCCCTTGCATGTCCGCTTGATGTTACGGCTGGCGGTATATAGCTTTGGATGGACGGCCGCTTGAAATCTTCGCGACCGAGCGCTTGAAAAAGACGTCAGGCTTCACTGCACATCGCTGCGCAACTTTCTTCGTCTCCCTCCCCCCGCCTTTCCGTCTCTTCTCCTCTTCCACATCTCTTGCCATGCTCAAGACGCTGATCGCCCTCGCTCCGCTGGCGAGCCACGCCCTTGCCGGGGCCACGCCATCGTACCTAAACTATACGACAGTGACGGGCTACTTCCTTCAGGACGAGGCGTCAACGAATGCCTCCACCTTCGACTACGTGCGTTTTTTTTTTTCTCTTCCCGCCCCTTTTCTTGGATTTTCTCTTTTGCCCCAAGACCGTTTTATATCGCGATGAATTGTGTCAGACGCGCCGACCATGAGCTAACCTCTTTCAGACCGCCGTCAACTTCGGCCTCATCAACCGGACGTACGATGGCGTGCCCGCCGAGGGCAAGACGCAGTGGCAGCAGTTCGCCGAAGAGGTCGCGCGGCTGAACGCCGCGGCGCCGCGGGGCACGTCGTACAAGGTGCTCTTCCTGGGCCGCCACGCGGAGGGCTATCACAACGCGGCCGAGAGCTACTACGGAACGCCGGCTTGGAACTGCTACTGGTCGCTCCTGAACGGGAACGGAACCGTGAGCTGGGAGGACGCGCACCTGACGCCCGCCGGCACGGCGTCCGCGCAGAAGGCGCACAACTTCTGGAAGCACGAGATCGAGGTGCAGAAGATCCCCACGCCGGACGTCTACTACACGTCCCCGCTCGCGCGCTGCCTGGAGACCGCGAGCGTCACCTTCGGCGGCCTGGACCTGCCCGCGTCCAAGCCCTTCGTGCCCACGGTCAAGGAGTACCTTCGTGAGGGCATCAGCCTGCACACGTGTGACCACCGCAGCAACAAGACTTGGATCCAGGCGGCATACCCGAGCTTCAAGATCGAGCCCGGCTTCACGGAGTACGACGAGCTGTGGAACGGTATCACGGCCGAGTCCTCGACCGCGCAGGACGTCCGCTCGAGAGCCGTGCTCGACTCCATCCTGGCGTCCTCTTCGTGCAAGACGTCCCCGACGTACATCAGCATCACCTCCCACTCCGGTGAGATTTCCTCCATCCTCCGTGTTCTGGGTCACAGGGCCTTCTCGCTCAATACCGGGGCCATCATCCCCGTGCTTGTGAAGGTGGAGAAGATTGCCGGGACGACGACCACGGCTGTGGCGACATATACCACGAGTGCGCACTGTACTGTCGCACCCCTGAGCAGCATCAATGGCGGTGCTTGCGTGTGCCCGGCAAGTGCTACCCCAGTCACGAGTCGCCTGGTCACGGAGACTCCAGTGGTGAGCCCGTTTACAATCTTCACGCCGACTGCCGCAGCTGGCCAGCGTCGTTGAATTTGGTTCAGCGATGCACTCCACCTAGTACCCATATTTAAAAAACTGCGGTTGATTGTTGTACATATCATTTAGCCATTAATAGTAATGCTAATGCGAGAGATGCTTCTGAGGTACTAATCGACACATATTACGCATAAATTGGTAACATTTGCGGATATTTGGAAGTCAGAGCGCCGCTAGCAAAGCCCGTGTTTCCCAGAACAATTATGTGTGGAGACTTGGTTGGAGCAAAAGTAACGACTCCGTCATAGCGAAAAAAACATTACTGCCAAAGCGCAGCACTTCCATAACTCGAAATATATAGTTCTTGTTGAGAAGGAAAATGGGCATGTGCGATACGAAAACTAGGACTTATCCGGGTCGTTGATACCACCTTTGGTGATGATATAAGTCGCTTCCGCTTCAGGCATGTCTGCAACGGTCAATACTAAGGAACATCCAACAAGTGAAACTCTTGATTAATGTCTTTACCTGGAGAATCCTGAAGTTTGGCAACCCGCTCTTCGCCGCGACCTTTGCGCAAGAGGACTCTTGTGTGCGAAGCATGGGCAAGCACATGTCCACCAACTGGCTTGCGCCCGTCCGATCCCGCAAAGAGTGCGCTTGCGCCGGGATCACTCTGCACTTGGTTTGTGAGGAAAACAACGACGTTATATTCCAACGAAATGTGATTCAGACGTTGTAGATATTGGCCCAGCTTCTGCTGTCTTTCAGACAGTTCACCGCGGCCAACATAGTCGGTTCGGAAGCAGGCGATCACAGAGTCGATGATTAACAACCGGTACTCGCCACTTATGAAGGACTGAGACAACGTCTCCAGCAATTCAAGTTGGTGCTCGCTGTTGACGCACCGGGCGTACGAGATATTCTGCTGCGCCGTGTCCGGGTCCAAGCCGAAGCGTTCAGCGATCTGTGCAATGCGTTCCGGTCTGAATGTGCCTTCCGTGTCGATATACGCCACTTTGCCCTCGGCTCCGCCCATCTCCTTGGGTAACTGAGCCATTACGCACATTGTATGACACAGCTGAGTTTTCCCAGACCCTAGTTCGCATTAGCTCTCACACACGGGCTGGGCGCTCGAAATCTCGGTTTGAGGACGCACTGAACTCGCCGAAAACCTCGCTGATGCTCTGGCTCTGGAATCCACCTCCAAGTATAGCGTCAAGCTGCTTGCTGCCCGTTGATACCTTGATGATCTTTTTCCGCTGTTGAGCGAGGTCATGTGCCGTCACGAAGCCGCTGTGCGGCTTTCCTTACACATCAGCATGGTCCTCCTTTCCGACTGCTGTCAAGAGGGGGTCTCTGAGAGTATACCATGCACTTCTTGACCGCTTCCTTCACCTTCTCGACCTTGGTCTCGCTGAACCCCTTGATCTTTTCGAGCTGTCGCTTCGTCGTGCTGTGGACGGACTGAACCCCTCATCGTTGTTCTCAGAACACGTCATGCACCAAATGGCCACGGGGGAGCACGGTGAGCTTACGGCAACGGTCCACAGGCCAGCATTCTTCAGCTTCATGATGTCCACCGCTCCGATGCCTAGACGCGTCAAAAAGGTCAGCTCAAACCCCCTCATGGCGTCGTAACACGCCTCGCGAGGAAGGGGGAAAACTATAAGTAGGAAAACGAGAGACTAGCCGTGTGCTTGGATCGCTTCGATGTCAACGATGTAGCCATCCTAAACCGAACGGGCAAAAAAACAAGATCAGCACATCAGAAACTCAGCTCGCTTGACGCGTGGAAGCAGCTCACGTCATCGAAGTCATCGGACGCCACTGAGGAAGGCATGGCGAACGCGTCTCTAACGCGCCGAAACACAAAGGTCAAGTACGACGAGTCAGTTCTTCAACGAGAGGGTATCAAGACGACTCCGGTTCCCGCGCGGTGAGAGAGCGCCAAATCGGCCAACGAACGGATCCAAGCCGGACGTGACGGACTGATCGTGCTCTGGCAACGCAGGATCAGGGAGAAGAGCTTTCGACGACAGTCGAAGGGCAGATCGAGGTCGGAACTTCAAGGGAGGCGAGGAAGGATGTGTGACGACTGCCGTGTGAGGAAGTAACTATCCAGCACCGCAAACGGAAACCGCGAAAGGATGGATCGCACCTGCCTTGTTGCATGCTTCCCACACAGAGATGTGTTTGCTGTGGGAGGGAGTCCAGGAGATCGAGGCTGAAGCGACCGAGGCAGCCGACTTGAACAGATTCTCAATGTACAGAGCTGGAGGATTAGCGTCGTGGGCGCCGCCACGCTATGGTACATACCCTCGTCTATCCCTAGATCATTCAGAACACCGATGCATATACACACGTAGCCGTATACACATATACACGAACGATTACAACAAACACGGACTCAAAACACACAACACTGTCAACAGACCTAGGTGACGACAGCAACAACGGTAATGAGGGGATGATTCAGATGCCAATTGTCCTACTCTGACCGACTTCTCCGACAAAACATGCCTGATGACTGATGATGATAAAAAAAAAGACGGCGACGATGGCGGTGATGACGAGGAGGCAATGATGCCGTCGCCCGGAGTGCGCATGCACGCGCGTGTTTCGTTCGGAAATGTGTGTTCGTGTGTGTCATTGTGCGCACACGCGTGCATGCAGCCCGTTCCTTTCCGTTTCCATTCCTTCAAGCCAGAAGAGGGAGAGCAAGAGGGCCAAATTCACGCACCGGATAAAGAACCAGCCGGTTTGGCGAACAAACAGACCAAGTCTATGTCCACGACCATGGAAGAAGTAAAGGAGCCACTCCCCTTCCATCACTTTGACCTTCGGCCCCTTCCTCCCTCTCGCTCCCTCTCCTCCCTTCCCGCTGCTGCATCCTTTTTCTTCAATTTCCTCCCTTCCGCCCAACTAACTTTCGCATCCCGTTCTCATCCTTCGCTCTGCGGTCCGTCACATATTGCTGCCGGGTTTCACTTCACTCCCATATGCCCTCGTCGTATCTATCCGATTGGACAAACAGAAGAGACGAGACCAAGAAGGCTATTGTGGGGGTTGTGTGTTCCCTTGTCCGCTAAGATCGGTTTGTCGTGTTCGTTCTGAATATTGGAGAAAGAAGAAGGAAAAAAAAGGAAGGAAAAATATGCAAAACGTGGGTATCGGGATCGTCGTGAGCGAGGAACATTACACGTGGGGGTGGTGACTGACGGAAAAACTGAGGTTTGTCTATCGAAGTAAAAAACATGGATATGCGTGCGAGACATTTGGTGCAAAAATGGTTGTTTGAACGTCGTGGGCTTTGGCATCGATTCGTGAATGTCGGTTCAGTTTTGCTTCCGCGACGTCCCTCAGCGCCTCGGAGTGAGACTGAGAGTTTGCGGATGGAGCAGTCGCAGAGTATGTGCGTTTGTGAATGTTGACGAGGGTCGAAGAGCCGTTGATGAGAGCGATCGTGAATATGTTGTGTGTTATGTGAAAACGTTCGGAGGTTACAAGAAGAGATGACCAAGGAAAAGAAGCTGAGGACATGTGGGACGCAAGCGCAGTGTGCGTATTCGTACAGACAAATCTGCACCGTCGCAGCGGCGCCCAGCGTAGCCCGCATTATCTAAGCAACTGCCGCAGCAGGAGCGGCAGGAGCAGCGGCAGGAGGGGTAGCAGTCTCGCCGCCAGAGGCAGCGACGCCGTTAGTCTCAGCCTGCGTGCAGTTCTTGGAAATGTGTCCAACCTGCCCGCAGCGATAGCAGGTCTTGCCACCCTCCGCGTTCAACGGACCGCCGTTGGGAGCAGTGCAGTCACGCGAGATGTGGCCCAGCTTTCCGCAAGCATAGCACTTCATACTCTGAGCCTGGCAGTCACGAGCATAGTGGTTAGGCCCGCCGCACTTGTAGCACGTGGCCGCGCGGGGCATACCGGCTCCGCCGTAGCCTCCACGGAAACCACCGCGACCACCACGGAAGCCGCCTGCGGCTGCGTTAGCACCACTTTGGGAGGTGCAGTTGCGCTGGGGAGCCAACATGGTTAGCGGATTCAACACGAAGAACGAAGGGGTGTGTGGCCGGTCTTACAGCGAGGTGGCCTGGCTGGCCGCACGAGTAGCAGCGACCGCTGGTGGCTCCGCTCAAGCGCAGAGTCGGGCAGTCCGCCTGAACGTGGCCGAGACCCTGGCAGTGATAGCACTGCTTTGCTGTGCACATTGTCAGCGACCTCTCGCGTCGAGTCCGTCCCGTGGAATGCTCTTACTCTCGGTTGTGCGTGGATGCGGGCAGCTGTTGGACTCATGGCCTGGGCGGCGGTGTAAGCGAATGTTTATAAGGTGACTGGAGAGATGTTCAGCGCAGGCTCATACCAGGTTGCTTGCCTAGCCATGGGTTGTCAGCACGCAGTGATTCAACGGAAGCAGCAGAACGGTACTCACAGTTGTAGCAAAGGCGCTCAGACGAAGAGCAGACCTCTGCGGTAGCAAGTAAGCAGTCTGTTCGGCGCACGTCGGCGGTCTAAACATACCGGCGTAGTGGCCGACGTTGCCACACTTGTAGCAGGCCCGACGCGACAGAGAAGACATGATGATTTTTCTGCTTTCGTGATCTGCGCGACTCGCTGTGTCAGCATCTGCAGTGTTTCGCTTGGCCGGTGCGACGTGGTGGCAGGAGGGCAAGGACGAGTGAACTTCTACATGAAGTGTAGCGCGGACGGCGCCTCGAGGCATCGCACGATGAATGCACGATGAACAAGGCTCGGAGAAAAGCGTCTGGCGTCACATGTGCTGATTGTGCGTGGTGGAGGATGCGTTGCGCCCAGCAGGCAAGCGAACGGAGGGAGAGAGATGGCATCGAAGGCGAAAAACGAAGCAGATGAGTCGCGGCAGCATACCTCTGGTTTGAGAAAGATATACCTCTGAATCCAGCGATCTTTCACTCCTAGACCGGCGTGTCAGACAAGCGCGTGCTGTTGCGATGACGCGGGACGTGGAGGCTGTCCCAGGCGCATCTTTGTCCGAGAGCGCGGTTACACACCTTTTTTTTTCTCGAAGAAACCGCAGCGGCGAAAAAAAATCTCCCGGCGTCAAGGACCTTTCCTGACCTTTCCTAACCTTCGACTTCGACTTCGACTTCCCTTCGACGACGCTTCGTCCGTCCACCGATCGCGACACCGGTAGTTTCCAAAGGAAAAGAAAGAAAGAGAACGCGGAGGTTGGCTGTGTGTTGTAAGGTAGCAGCTTGGAAGACACTGGGCGAGGAGAGGGGGTCGTGGTGGGCACCCTTTCTCCTTTTTCGGGGGGGTGGCACGTTACTTGCGGCAGGAGAAAAGGGTAAGGTTCGCGTCGGGTAGGGAAAAGGGAAGCGACCAGCAAAGAGAAGGGCCAGCTGCCCACCTCCAGACGCCGATTCCTTACGTGCTGGCCTGGACGTTGGGTGCCATCGCGCGAACCACCCACCAACCAGCAGCAGACCCACACCCTGCAAATTGCGCCGGGGCCCAGCACAGCGCACCAGCGACGACGCCCCAGCACCCGCGGGCTTGGCAGGCCGATCTCTGTCGTTGCCGTAAGTTACTGCGCTGTACGGAACGGGGCCTTGGTACGTTACCGCACGGACTGGACAGCCCGTCCACAGCGCCCAGAGAAACACGGCACGAGTCGTCCTGGACATGGCCCGTCCTGGTGCTGCTGGTTTGAGCCCGGAGGAGGCGTCATGTGCGCCGCGGTCTCTGATCGTGCATGAACTCGTTTCCTGCCCGTCCGTTTCTGCGCAAGAACCGGCCCTGCCCGTCGCGCAAATTCCCTCTTCACCACCGCCACCGTCCAGCCGGTTTTCCTTCGCGAAACTCTTTGTCCTTTGCTCTCTCTCTCTCTCTCTCTCCCTCCCTCTTCCTCGCCCCCTCCCATTCCTACCTCTCACACCCCGTCTGCACTGCTTGCTTGCAAAGGTGGGTTTGACTCGCGGAACGCCTGCGCGTGCGCACGCGCACACACACACACACACACGCTGCGACGACCTAGCCCAAGCCCAAACCGGGGCCGCTCAAATTCTTTCATTTCAATCTTGGCTCCGCTCGCACAAAGATTGCCATACGTACACGTAGATGCGAATGTGCATGACCAATTAGCCCCGCCAGTGTCCCTCCGGGAAAACCGAAGAGCATTTAAAACATGAAAAAACGTAATAAATGCTGACATAATGAACGTCAAGCTTTTCGGTTCCGCTAGCACGTCCTCGCTCCTTTTGCCCTTTTGGCCGCGCTATCCGCCGTGCGCAAACTTTTGCCCGCCCGGAAAAAAAAAAAAAGGTTTGCGCGTGCGCGGAAAGAAGATTGGGCCCCCATGGGAAATTATCACTCTTTTTTTTCATTTCATTTTCGGTTTCATCGTTATTTCTTCTCGTCGTCATTACCATTACTCCGCTTTGGATGCTGCACGGGCCCGCGCACTTGTGCATACATTTACACACACACACGCATACAAAACCACGCTACGCAGCATGCATCAGTATGCGCGCTCCGTACGTACACGTAGAACCGCGCCGCCCATCGCCTTTCGCCACAGATCAATTGGGGCTTTCCACGTCGTCGAACCGGTCTTTTGAACGTCCGTGGCGAGAACGTCCAAAGTCAAGCCTGCGTCCGGTTATAAAAGTCGTCGTCGATCAACTCTCCAACCAAAGACAGACAACCCTGGTAAATCCCTCCGTCGGGCGTCCCTTCGTCATTCATGCTCTCCGTCAAACCACGCCAGCCAAACCCCCTTCCTCTTTGCTAACAAATGCAATTCGAACCGTTCTCTATTCGTCGTGCCTTCATCTTCTCTTATTTTGGCTGTTGGCGGGAGAGATTTAGGCGTAACATACCGTGAATCCTGGTGCCTCCTTCCTTTTCCTTACACCACCCTCAGTCTCCTTTCCGTGTTGGGCTCATGCTCGTAATGCTTTTGGGCCGTCATCATGAAATGGCCGAAGCACGACGAAAGGGAGCGGCAAAACGAGGCCCGAGAGCAGTGCCAGCGACGCTTGTGACACGAGGGGATTTGTCCAGCCATGTCGGGACAATCACTTCCAGTAGTCAGGCCAATGTGAATCATGCTCGCAAAGTTGTCCACTTCATACCGCCTCCGTGCCACACAGAAGGCTTGGTCTGCTAGTACTGCTGCTTGCCGTGTGTGCTCTTGTATGCTGCTGCCAAAAACAATTATCCCTGGTACACGACACCTTCGTCACCTGCCTCTGTACATTATTCAACCATCGCCTGCCCTATTGTTCAACGAGCGCAGGAACAGAACTGCATCGTAATATTCCTCAGCCATGGCTGTGCACGACTGGAAAGGAGATGTGTGTTGAATAACTATGTACGAAAATGCCCCTTTCCCCCGAGACGTGACATAGTCAAGCCTTGGCTTCGTTAAAAGCGTGGCTTCATCGCCGTCACGGCGAGGACGGCCCGGCGAAGTGAAAGTTGGCGGCAGTCTCGAATGTATTGCAACGACAGGGATAAAGGCCATGCGACTTGATTCGAAGGAAGAAAGGTCTATTTAGCTACATACCAGGCCACTTTCAACTCTAGCGATCAAAGACGTGGAAACGTAAGGGCGGGTTTTGACGAGGAGGATTTCGCTTGCTAATTGACATATGGATTTCCCGTTTTGGGAAGGACAGATATTACTCTTCCTTCTCGATCACGGCAGGTGCCTTGACTGTCCTGCCCTTGAGGAAGTCGAGACCTTCGCCACCCTGCGTTCAGCCAGTTAGCACTCCGTTCCTGATTGCAATCTGTGGGTGGGCCTGTCGCAGGCCTGGGAGAAACACGTACGTAGCTGATCAATGGCGAAACCTCAACGCCAGCGCCGTCGCCCTCGTCCTCGACCACAGCACCGGCCGCCGTGACCCACCGTCGGCCCTGCGCCATGATGTGCTCCTTGCTCGTGTCTGGATCATCTTCGCCCGTGCCCTTTGCGTTCTTGAGCGGCGAGAACTCATCCTCGCGCTTCACCTCCATGCATGCGAACTTGTTCATCTCCAAGAGAGGGAAGCAGTCGAACACAAACTGTTCCATTTTGATGCCGTTAGGCTTCTCAGGCTTGATGCTCTCGCCCGTCTCGGTGTTGATGCAGGGGATCTTCTTCTTGGCAACGTGGTGCGGCAGCTTGTGTGCCCACGTCGGAATGGACTCGAGGAAGCGGTACGAGTAATAGTGGTTGACGATGTTGGCTGCGCGGAACTTGAGCAGGTCCGGATTGTTCGCGTCTTTCGCCTCCGCCGTCTCCGTGTCGATCTCGGAGTACTCGACCACGTCTGGCCGGCCGTTCTTCTGCAGAATCAGACCGACGGGCTCCTTTGCGTTGCGCTTGCGGACCACTTTCGTCGCGATGTCGACGTCCTTTGAAGCGCTGAAGCCGATGAAAGTCGGGTCTGCAACGCGGACGAGGCAGTTGTCCACACAGTACGCGTGGACGTGCTGCACACCGCGCTTTTGCATGTCGAACACGGCACCGCTCTTGACGAGGCCCTGGTAGATGCCACCGTTGCCGTCAGGTGCAACCGCAATTTTGGACTTGCTCTCGAGCATGATCTTGCCTTCGTTCGAGATGCAGGGCAGCACGCCCTGCTCGAAGATGAACACATTCTGCTGGTCCAGCCCAAAGTAGTTGTGCTTCTTGAAGAACTCCTCCGTCGGCTTGCGTGTCGGACCGCTCGTCATCACGTACCAAGGGACGACCACGGCCTCTTTTCCGTGCTTCTTTGCAGCCAACTTCTGTACCTTCCAGATGCGTTCCGCCTGCAGCTGAAATAGCGACTTGTGGCTCGGCAGCCCAATGTCGTAGCAGCCCTTCGGCGCGGAACTGCCCAGCCTCGTGCCTTGCCCGCCGGCCATCAGCACGACGGCTACTTTGCCCTCGGCGACGAGGTCGAGCCCAGCCTCGTACCACTTTCGAAGATCTGCCTCGTCCGAGTCGAGCACCGAGGAAGTCGCAGAGGAAGGGAGCGGCTCGAGCTTAGGCTTAGCATCTTCCGACTCTGCCTTGGGCGGATGCAACACCTTGTCCGCGAGCTTGGTAATTTCCTCTGGCTTGAACTCCTTCGCTTGCTCGTAAAGAGCGGCTTTGCCAGCGGCGTCGAGCTCTTCGTAGAAGGCGAATACCTGACCCTGGCCTGCCTTTTCGTAGCTCTCACGCAGCTCTTTCAACGCTTGCTCCGAAGGCTGCTTCGGAGGCGCTTCTTTGGACATCCCTGGGAGCGAGTCCATCAGGTTGTGAATGGCTTTCTCGATCTTCTCGGACATGATTGCGTGTGCGAGACAGAGAAAGAGAGAGAAAGGCTCCTGGATGAATATGTTGGTCTGGAGAATGAGGGAGTAATAAAGGACTATTGGAGTGAGCGAAGAGAGGAGAAGGTTGTCGGACGTGAATTTGTGTTTCGTAGTGCCCGCGAAGCTGTCCCAGAACGCATGTGCGGGATGCGTGCATCGATGGTCAGCTTTCACAAGCCAATCAGCACTACGGAATGACGTACATATCCCCAGGTACAAACTGCGGCGGTGCAGGAAAGCCAACCTGGCAAAGATCAGCGGTATTCCTGGGCTGGACCAGCTCGCTGCGTACGACTGGTTCGCGTGTGCTATTTCTGGAGACCGCTTCCATCAACCTTCAGAGACCTCACTTCACCGCTCTCCATCGAAATCAGCACAAAATGTGCATCGAACTGTCGTCGCCAGGCAAAAGACACGCTCGCAGGGCTTACGAGTCCCAAAACGAAAAAATCAGGTGGGGCCTGCTCCTTCGCTGAGCTGTCCATTCGCAAAAACAGACCAACTCTCCGTTGGCCCCGGTTTCCAATCGATCATATTTGCGTAGTGTCTACGAAGAGTCAGTGCAAGGGCGACCAAAGATCGCTGTTTGCTTGATGTTCGGAACGAGATCCATCGCTCGCCACAAAGACTAGAAGACGCAGTGATAGAAGCTTTTTTACAGGCTTCGAGCCACGCCACAAAGATGTCGCCAAATCACGTGATGTGGCGTTGCATAAGGACTCCTCTTGGCTTTCCAAGCTCAGTCCTGCACTCCTGCGTAATGTAGATTTTCTCTGAGCCAGCGAGAAAGACCAGATCTGCTACTTCTGCTTCTTAAATCGAACTTGTTCGTAAAGCCATCAGCGCCATGTCCGTTGGTTAGGTTGTCATGTTGCTGCAGGAGACACTGCTGATGAAGTAACGGGCTGAAACACCAACGGATGACAGCCGATTTCACTGTGGATTAGTTCCCCGTACACCGAGGGCAAATTTGTGGGGCAGCAGTGGCACGATTTTGCTTTTGTCCACAGAGCTAGCCCTGAAGGCCATCCGCGCCAGCATCACGACGCAATGCAAAGCAGTCAGGGATATAGTTTCGTCCTGAGTTTGAGTCTCGAGCTCGGTGAAAGGATCGTCTCCTTTCACCTCTTTACCAGAAAATTCGCAATGTCTCGTTTCAATGCCTTGCGTTCAATCGTTAGGAAGAAAGAGCGTAGGGTACTTGCAGTATGGCACATCCTCACTTGAATTGTTGCTTTCGAATTCAAAGTGGTGGGGTGATTCGAGCACTTTATGCGGACAGGTGCGACTTACGCATTCCATGGCGAGCGGAAGAACTCGGACTAGCCAATGCATTGCAAAGAAACACGACGGAATCTGCAGGCATAGGTCTAACTCGCTAGATGGCGCTTTCAGATATTGACACCTCAGGACTTGTACAAGACCGTCACGATCGACGTTGCGCAGCAAAAGCACGACTCCATACCATGAAATTGGAGATTCCAAAAAGCTCTTCAAAAAAGCACACCGAACCTCCTCCCACGTCAAAGCGCGCATGAATATGTTGACTGAATCGCGAGTGTTCATGATGACTATCAGCCCATTGACGACATCTTCAGGCTGCTGTCATGGATCTTTCCAGGCTTAGACTCGTGCCTCGCTGGAGGATGCAAGACTAACACCTTGCCGTGTCCATGATCTTATAACTTGGAAGACCTGAGGGGCCTTAAAGTTCTAATCTGGGATTCGAAAAAGTAGAAGGGTTGATGATCAGCTTGCAGTTTGCCGAATGGCGTTGTGATCAGTGCGCTAGGCCGGGATGCAGCGAAATGCAGCGAAAAGCTCCTGCTCATCTCAATTCCCGCGAGACAAACAGCTTTAACTGTTTCACCATACACTTTTCCTTGTCATACTCACAAACTCCATTCGATGGAGGCATCTCGGCAGGATCGCAAAAACCCTCCCCATGCAAGGGAAAAGAATGTTGCCAAAAATAGCACTTTTGAAGGAGTAAATGAGTCATCAAACACAGGCTGCAGCCTTGCGGCTTCGAATGATCTTCCCGGCGTACTTTGCTCCTCATCATAATTGCGAAGCATGCCCAGGGATATTTAATCACCGCCCTGCATGTATTATCCAATGCTTTGCCACATAATGTGGAACAAAGTCCCGCCATCTGTAGATCGAACACTGTAGATGGGAAGGGATCATGCGTTTTGGCTGAGTTAAGGCTCAATGGTTGGCTGTTTGGATTGCCTTGATTGCAGCTGAAGAATTCCGTCTCGCTCTTTTGTTGTTGTATCCTCTACTACTTCGATATGTGAGCTTGCCCAGTTCAGCGTGGCAGGTAGGATTACGGCTACGATCTAGACTCGATGGAGCCGCAGTATGGCTTGGTCGAAGACGGAGACGAGTTTGACGGCGCGAAGGACAGAAATACGTATCGCCTGATTAGCTTCGCTTCTCTGAAAACCCTCCGGAGGGATGACTGCGATTCTCGGAAACGGAAAAAAGGCTCGTACACTGCTCTTGACGACGACCAAGCGCCGCGCCGGTCATGGAAGATCGGTTGCTTCAAACTCGGGTCCGGCTGGCGTTTTGCTGTCTTCGGCTGCGCAATGTCTTGCACAGTGTCGTTCGCGCTGAACCTTCTCCTGGTCATTGTGATTGTCGCGAAGTATGGGGTTGACAGCAGCGGACGGCTCCAGATGTACGAGGGTGACTGCGTCAGTACCGAGAAGTTGAACACGGTCGTCCACATCTTCATCAACGCGATGAGCACGGTCTTGCTGAGCAGCAGTAATTATGTCATGCAGTGCATCTGCGCGGTCACGAGAGAGGAGGTCGACGCTGCCCATGCAGGAAAAAGAAGATCGAGATGGGCTGAGATTGGGGTCCCAAGCATGTTCAACATGTGCCTGATTGCTCCAAGAAGAGTTTTGCTTTGGTATCTACTGATGTTCTCATCATTGCCGCTACATCTGTTGTAAGTATGGCTTCTGCACAGGTATCATTTATGCATGCTTACGACGAGCTCAGCTACAACTCGGCGGTATTCTCCTCAACGGCAATGTACGGTTCGCCTATACTCTCTGTCAACTCTAATTTTATGGACATGGCCCTCGACCCAGCACGACGGACACAGCTGGCCAGCAACTTTACTGATTTGTCGAACAACAACGAAACAATATTTTTGCCATATTTCAACACCAGGTACAACATGACAGAATACGTTAAATCCGCTAACAATCACGAGCCATACCTTGTAAATGGTAGCGTACAGTATTTGCTTAGCCAGGTCGATTCGTTCAAAGAGATGGACCCTCGAGATTGCATCGATGCATATTCGCAAACCTACCAGACGACGATGGGCGGGCTCTTTCTCGTCCTGGACGTTCCGCCGAACAATACCAACACAAATTTCACGGATGCTGTCGTATTTGACAGAATGGCTAGCTGGGGCGGCTATGGGTACTGCGACATGGATCATTACGCCTGGATTTGCGACCAGACGCATCTAAATTTGTGCTGGCTGTCAACCACTGCAGGTGCAAGGTCTTGCGAAGACCAGCTTCCTGCGCTCGTCAAGGAGAACGTCACCAACTGGCGGCCCAATGTGCCAGAATACGCAGTCTCGAAATGTTACGCACAGACGCTACCCCAGAAGTGCAAGTTGCAAGCCAGCATTCACTTGGTTGCGGTTGTTGTGTTTCTGAACGCGATGAAGGCCGCGATAATGTACCTGGCCGTCCGGTGGATGGACGATGCCCCGCTGCTCACTATTGGCGACGCGGTTGCAAGTTTCCTAGAGCGTCCGGACCCGTACACTGCTGATGCGTGTCTGCTCACAAGACGAGATGCTCGACGCGAGATCACCTGGATTGGAAAGATTAGTGATCGGCCGAGGCCTTTCGATGGTGCGAGGAAACGCTGGTACTCAGGATCAGGTCTGATCCGCCAGGCCCTTATCGTCTTCTTGTGAGTTACACAGTTCATTTTGACGTGATTTCTCGGATCGCGTTCACGACGCTAACACTCTGGTTGCAGGATCCTCGCCGCCATCATTCTCGTCGCCATTCTGTACGTCTGGGGAAAGGCTTTCGCTAGGGAACAGGGCGCAAAGACGGATCTGGCATCGCTCTGGAAAATGGGCATGGGCGTGGTGAATCCAGCAACCACTATCGTCTTCTCCAGCATGCCCTCCAGTGGTGCTGCAGGGCTGGTTTGGTCAGCATTCGTGGCCAACGTTCCGCAGCTCATCTTATCCCTCATATACTTCGCATACAATGGTATACTCACGGCATTCTTCCTGGGCGCCGAGTGGCAGAGCTATATGCGCGAAAGAAAAGGCCTACGTGTGTCCGACAATCCAAGCGGCGACCAGCGCAGCACATATTTCCTGCAGCTACCCTACAGGGCGGCGATACCGCTTATGGTGGCCTCTGGGGCGCTACACTGGCTCGTTTCGCAGTCCATATTCCTGGTTGACATCGAGAACTACATATACGACAGCACCGTCAATTGGCAGAGTGGTGGATTTCCGTACACTCAAGCAACCGCCACCAATGGCGTGACACTGTACAGTATAATACAAGGAAATACGCTCACGTGCGGGTACTCTCTGATACCCATGATATTTGTGTTGATCATTGCGGTCGTAATGCTGCTCGTTCTGATTGTGCTTGGTGTCCAAAAATTCAAGACGAGCATGCCCGTTGCCGCAAGCAACAGCCTCGCAATTGCGGCAGCATGCCACCTGACCGACGACGAGTTCAATTCAGGAGATGCAGCTAGAAAGAAGCTCAAGTGGGGTGCTGTTAGAAGTTCAGGCAAAGGAAACGAAGTGGGCCACTGCTGTTTCTCGAGTCTTCCTGTTGAGCAGCCAAAGGTCTCAGCGTTATACGCTTGAGTCTGTCAGCGTCATTTGATCACGAAAGCGAAACTCATGCCTTTTCTGCTCCGAATGAACCAGCGCCTTGTCTATCAAAGATGCTTTTTTTCTCTTCGTCCAAATGGCGTGCTTCTGCGATGTACGGTCTTTACCCCTACGATTAGGAGTGTCGATGACAAGATACCTCAGATCGGTCCACGAGCCGAAAATCGTGCAGATAAACCCTGCAAGTACCCCAACCTTTCGTCTCGGGTATAAAGCACGTCGCCCATCTCTGGATTGTACACCCTTATCTTTCAATCGCGGCCAGTCAATTGAAAATTTAGCTGTCTGCCGTAACATTACCGACTTTACACTGGCGCCCACGCTTTATGGATCTACCAGACGAACTGCGCAGCTCGATTCTCGCGTCGCAGGGCAAAGACCCGATACTGCACCATCTTAACGCAGACTCGTCCTGGCTCTTCCAAGTACCAAATTCAACATTCCAGCCTGGCCGCAAGTTCTTCAACATTCTTATCGATCCTTGGCTTTCGGGTCCCCAGTCTGACGTGGCGAGCTGGTTTAGCAAACAGTGGCATGCAATTGCTCCTCACTACAGTAGCATTGCTGCCGTCGAGGCTTTGTGCTGGCACGTCGAGCGGCTGCTCGACGCTGCCTCGGTTGAAGAGAAGCCAGGAAAAATCGACGCGGTGGTTATCAGCCATGAGTTTACGGATCACTGCCACGAAGGAACCATGCGGCAACTGGATCCCAAGACCGCGCTGTTCGCAAATGACGTACGCAAATCACCTCGTTTTGATGAAACATCTTCGACCGCGGAAACGGCGCAGAAAATGCTGACTTTTGGACGCGCCAGAAAGCCATCCAGTTGATCAAAAGCTGGAAGCACTTCGACCAGGCTTCGATCCACGAAATACCCGGCTTCTCCCCAGACTGGCTTGCGCTGTCCCGTCCGCCGCTGCCAAAGTCTCTCTCCATATCACGGTTGCAGAACGGAGGCGACTTCCTGTACTACCACTCCGCCGTCGTCATCTCGTTCCTGGATCCAGATCTCAACGCGGGCAAATGCCTGATCTACACGCCACACGGTCTGCCCTGTACGAATGAGAACCCGTTGCTGTCGTGCACGCCGCCGCTGCAGACCCTTGCGCTGCTGCACGGCCTGCACGACGTCAGCATACCGTGGGGCGGCCCTTTCAAAAGCGGAACGCAACAGCTGAACCTGGGAGCGCACAACGCGCTGAAGCTCCAGCGGCAGATCAAGGCGAAGTACTGGCTCAGCACGCACGACGAGGTCAAGAAAGGCGGCGGCCTGGTGGGCTTGCTTTTGAAGCGCAAGGTGATCCCCCTCGACGACGCTCTGAAGATGGAGAAGCGTGGCGAGCAGGATGCCGAGTCAGCAGAGGACGCGAAGGTCATAGACATGGAGAACGGGAAAGGGATGGTGCTGCTGTGACGTCGGACGCGATTCGTGGCTCTTCGACGACGTTCGCGTAACACCACGGGTTTAGTCATTCCATCTCTTCTAACTTATCCGTGCGACGACGATGATAATGGAATATGTTTTGCGTCCTCCCCATTCATCCGTCTGCACCTGTTCCCAAAACTTGCGGCCTCAAATATTTTCTTCTTCTTCTTCTTCTTCTTCTTCTTCTTCTTCTTCTTCTTCTTCTTCTTCTTCTTCTTCTTCTTCTTCTTCTTCTTCTTCTTCTTCTTCTT